TTTTTGGTTATTTACTTCAGGTTGTATTACCACCAAGGAGCTTGGGACTGTGATGAGATCACTGGGACAAAATCCTACCGAGGCTGAGCTTCAGGATAAGTTACCAATTTTGGTGTTCTGCATTTCTTTAGTTGCTTATATAAACCATGTAAGTAGGGATGTATGTGAATTGTTGACTGTTTTGTGCCGTAATCTGAAAGTATGATAGTTGCTGAAAATTATAGTTGGCTTCCTCTTTTGTAGTAAAATGGTGGCTAGTTCTTCTAACCAGGGACCAGACAATCCGGAGCTCCTATACTTGCAAGCTGAGCATAGATCCGGTTCGGTCTTCAACGGTGAGGAAGATTTTATATACCTACACCATACGTGCCGGACTAATAGTAGTCGAATTTGGAGTGTGTTTCCTGTATCACATGAGAAGGTAAAGGGTTGTGTTCAGGAAGTCGGGTTTGGGACATTGTTGTTGAATGGGCATTTACAATTAGACAGCCATCTTGTAAGTGCCCTGGTCGAAAGATGGCGATTTGAAACCCATACCTTCCATTTCCCATTCGGTGAAGCAACCATCACACTCCAAGATGTTGAAGTTTTATTGGGTTTAAATGTTGATGGACCCCCTATTACGGCGGACACTTCGGAGAAAAGAGACTGGCCTGCTTTGTGTCAAGAACTATTGGATTTTGTGCCCAAATTCAAAGGCAACTCCATTTACTTAATTTCCCTAGAAGCTAAGGCAAGAGCTGGTATTGAATTGGAAGGTGAACAACCTGTTTATGAGAAGAGGGCTCGGGTGTTTATAATGTGGGCGTTAGGTGGTATACTCTTCCCCAACTCAACTGGGAATACAATTTCTTTAAATTATTTGCAACTGTTAAAAGATCTGAAGGGTTGTGCTAATCTTAGTTGGGGCAGTGCATGTCTGGCCCGTCTTTACAATAATCTGTGTAAGGCATCAAAGAGGACAAGTTGGGATATAGGTGGTTGCCTTCGTCTTTTACAGGTTAAGTTCTTTTATCTTTTTTTTTTTTTTGGCAGTCATTTATATAATTTCTTAAATTGCATTCTGGACTATTTCTCAATGTTTTATTTACAGCTATGGCATGGGAGCGTATCCCTTCGATTCGATCAAGGAGGAATACTGATGAAGACCTTTTCAAGGATCATTCGCTCGGTGCAAGGTGGTGTGTTGGTTTGAACCTCTCTGCAGTGCCAACTCATACTATCACTGCCTATCGAGATCAATTTTCAGCTCTGAGGACGCCTAAGCACGTAAGATCTCGACCTTTTTTTTTTAAGTAATGCTGGACTGATTTCTAAGTTTTTAAAATTCTGGACTTTTTTCCCTCAAATTTGGACTTCTTTTTAGGTTATTTTTTCTGGAATTCTATTTCTCAAATCTGGAAAGTTGTAGGTTTTTAAACAATGTTGTACTGATTTCTTAGTTTTTAAAATTCTGGATTTTTTTCCTCGAATCTGGACTGTTTTTTTTTTTTTGGCTATGTTATATGCCTCTGCTGTGTTGTTTGTATTGGATTTGTTAAGTGCTAATGGGACGGTTGCACTTTTGGTCTGTTTTTTCCCCTTGAATTTGGACTTTTTTTTGTAAATTTCAAATATGGACTTTTACTTGGAATTCTTGACTGTTTTTTTTTTAATCTGGACTTTTTGTTTTTGTTTTCACATCTGGACTGTTTTGTGGATTTCTGGACTTTTCTTATTTTCTTTTTTCCTTTTTGTTTTTGTTTTAGTTCACTTGGAGGCCCTATGATAAGTACCTCCCTGCACTTCCTGCTGCTTGTACACGAGGTCAAAAATGTTGGCAGGCAAAAACTTGTTTGATTTGTTTTGATGTTATAGAACCATATCAACCTGATTGTGTCCTGCGACAGTTTGGACAAATCCAAACTATCCCAGAACCTCCAATGATTTCCAACAAAACTGAATGGACCAAACTCACCGTTATGGTATGACCGGGTATCATGACACTAATTGGACAGATAAGAATAGTGAGTATATCGCCTCCTGGGATGACAGATTGCAATCTATTGAGGTTGGATTATCGGTCGATGTACCTATAGCCATTGCAGATTATCTTCCTTAGTATCAAGCCAGGACCGTGAAGTTCAGTACCGATCCTACTAAGTACGACGAAAGGGTGGAAGGGTTTCTTGAACAATCAGATAGGGCCAAAATTTATGTAATGGATCTCTGTTATTTTATATTCTTTTTTCTAATTGTTAAATATCTTTATTTAATGGAAAATTACAGGCAGATACTTTGTTTGACATCTCTAAGGAGGTCGAAAAACATCAAGCCTCCAACTGGTGTTCAAATGAGAAATGTGCTGAATTTTGCAACACAATCAATAGTTTTGCGGTGAATGCTCTCTCGGTTGTACCAACAGAAATGCCTACAGTGTATCCCAGCCAAGTGCTCCTTCAAACTCAACCTAAAAGAGCCCAACCAATTGCTAAACATCGCAGAGCTAATGTCCCTACGGCTGGAATTGGAGGAAGAAGGAAAACACCACAAGATCCCATCGATGCAAGCATGTTTCAGACTCTCTCTCCCATGGAACAAGCTGCCACGGAGCAAGATACCATGGAACAAGCTGAGAATATCGATGTTGAGGTTGAGGTGAATTTAGAGCAAGGTAGTTTACCTTTGGCAAAGACAAAAAAGCAACGAACCCGAAAGCCTCCCAAAAGGTATACACCTTCTAGGTCTACGCCGCCACCATCGTCGACGGATTAGTTTGTTCCTAGGTTGTGACTCGTAGTTTTAAACTGATTTAGATGGATATTGACTATATTTTGCTTCTTTTGTACGATGTCGCTTATGGATATTAGTTATCTCTCTTTTGTACGTTGTTGCTTAACTGGAATTTTCCTCTTGTTTTATTCTGTTTTTGGATCTGTTTTTTGGTGCTATTTCTGGTACTTTACAAGCTGAGAAACAGAAATGTGCTTTGTTTTTTTTTACTAGTTTAGGTTAAAAACGAAAAACTGAATTCCGTTTTATATTTAAGGATTTTTTTTACTGAAATTTTTATACATAATAACCCAAAAATTAATAAAGGAATTTTTTGATTTTATTAATACGAAAAATGGTTTTCCGTGTTTCTGTTAAACCATCCGACAAAAACTAAGTACGCTTAATTACAGTAAAAACGGGTAATGAAAGTCTGTTTTTTGCACTGTAGTTCCCAAAAACGAAAATTCGTTTTTCCGTAAGGGTATTTCCTGACCACTTCTACCGATCTCTCTATTTCAGGAGACCAATTGTTTCAAACGATTATTTTGGTAAATGATTCAGGTTAATCCACTTTATTGAGAACAAAAATAAGAACAAAAATATGATAAAGTTAAGGTAAAATTATTTCCCATCCTTTCGTGCTAAAAAGATAAGGGAGAAATTGGGGAGATTTTCAGGATCGAGGAGAGAGGAGGGGAGGGAGGCTTGTGAAAACATGAAAATCAGTACTCATTTCGTTTTGAAATTATTGTTTAATTTGAGTTTTATTTTTAATATAAATTAAATTTAACTAACAATAAAATCTAAACAAGACAATAATTTTAGGACATTAAAAATATGATTTATAAACTTTAAAGAGATCGACAATTATTCTACGATATGATCAATTTGTAATGGATAATCCAAAAGTGCTCTCAACAACTAGTACCACCTTTGCATAATGCACAACTTCGACTACAATAAGTACAATCTCAACTCTATGAATCCAAAATAATTACATTCTCAACTTTGCGTTATGTGTGCAATAATATATTTGTACATTTTAGAATTCACAAGCAAAAATGTGTTTAGCGATAGCAGCATGTTCTTATTCCGGTCAGCGATTGAATAATTTACCGCAATGAATTAGAGGAATTAATTGCCGAATTTGGTCTAAACTTTTAGATTTAGTGTTTTTTTTTTTCCTTTTTGAAATCATAATTGCTACACTATCTTAAAATGATCATTTTATTTGAATATTTAATTCTTCAATATGATTTTATATTAAAAATAAAAATTTAAACCGAACAGTCTCTTCATAGACAATACTGTAATGTAAACTTTACCGGAATCGGCCAGTTGATATGTGAAAGCATCTGTGTCGTGTAGGGTGTGCGACTGAGTGTGAAACATATGCTTCAACAGTTCAATCAAAAATATAAAATGCAAATGCACTGGTGTTCAAATGTTGGGCTAAACAGTAGTACTACGCTAGGCTATTCTTCCAAGAACCAAATAATGCCCACATTTCCATATACGACCAAAAACCAGGGAGAAAAGCCCAAACGGCAAATAATAATCTTGGCATTTGTTTTTGGGAATTAACATATTGTTGTTAAAATAAAAAACAAGGTGTGGAGTAAAAAAAAAATTTATCCATCCTTAATCAAGGTGTGAGATTTGCACATGTAGTAGTAGATTTAAATCATTTGACCTCTTGCCTCACCAATGAATATATTTGAAACTTAACGAGTGAAAGTGATTAGTTATTATTATCGGGCTTTATATATTTTATTATATATCGAAAAAGACTTTCCGATAATATTCGGGTCGGGTAAATACCATTTTGTGTGCGCGAGAGTAATGAACCGGAGGCGCATTTAACACGCGTGTGACGAGCGTTGTAACCAATTTGGCACAAACTTACAAAGAAAGAAGACGTCAGAATTGTTTTTAAGAAACCGTAAGTAATCAGGTCAGTCATTTTACATGCTTTGTTGTCCTTCCCCTCATCCCCCATCCCATTCGAGTTTTTTACTAAACAAAAAAATAAATAAATAGAACGTTTTTTTCTTCTCTCCTTTTTTATTTTTTTGGACAGCAACACACACCTCAGAGCAACATTTCACCAACACTATCATTACTTCTTCATACATTGTAAAATCAGAAGCTACTTTCTATTGTTCTTTATCCCCCATTAAGACCACCTCCCAGAGAGCAATTCATAAATCAATATTAGATTTATAGAATTCTACACATCATTTCTCTCTTTATCTCTTCTCTTACACCAAATTAAGGTAACACCATTGTATCTTTTTTCCTTTTTTTTTTAGGGGTTTCTCTTTTGGGCCTCTTTTCTTGTTTGCATGGTTTGTGTGTGTGTAACCTTTTCTGGGATTTTTCCGATTTTGGTGTGGCATTAGTGATAGTTTTTTGGATTTGAGCTGAATTCTGCAAGTTTCAATTGGGTGATTGAGCTGAACTCTGATCATTCATATATGCATGTTCGTTGAAGATCATTCTAAAAACAGATTGAATTCTTGATTTCCCTTCTGCTCAATATGCATGATTTTGATCAGCCATTGCTCTCTTTTTTTTCAGTGTTTTGTTTTGTACCATCTCTGATTTTCCTACGAAAATCCCATTGAATTTCTGGATTAATGAGAGTGTGAATTTGATCGAGATTGGGAAAAATCTGGGAATAGATTTGGTTTTTTCTTTTATTTTCTCTTTTTTTTTTTAAAAAAAAAATATACATAGAGATTTTTTTTAAAATTTTGGAATGGAGTCTTCTAGGATCAGCATTGAGGTTTCAAAACCTTTGGCGGTCGTTTCCAGTGGGGCCCCTATCTCATTTAAGTACAAAGCTGTGATGATAATCCATGAAAAGTTCACTTGAAAGAAACAATGAACTGATTAATGGATGATCTGCTTGCTGTTTAACATTCTGCCTCGTCTAACATTTTGAAACCCTTTAATCCTTTTTGATCTTTTTTAAACTGTGGAGTTTGTGAAGATTATTCAGATTACACTGAATCAACTGTACTTTTCATTTGAAGTTGAAGTTTTGATGATATGACACTGCTAAAATTCTGTGTGTTTTTTTTTTTTGATGCAGAGGAGCTGAGTTTTGAGTTTGGTTTGTTGGGTTTTGCAGGCATTTATTTTGCAGGCATATAATTAAAAGAATGGATGATGTGGGTTCTCCTGGAAATGGATTTGACGAAATAAGTGACTTATTAAAAGATGCTGCATCTAATCTGCCTCAAGATCTGGGCCTGTTTCTACTCGATAAAGATGGGGGTTCAGATTACGCGTTTGATGATTTTGGAAGTTTCAATGATGAGCAAGAACAACCTCAACTGCCAGCAGAAGTAGTTCTGCCTGATTCTTCAGGCTATGAAGAATGTCCAGGAAATCCGAATGATTATTTCAATTCTTCTTCTACAGCTGATGCCAACAATGGCGTCCTTCATGATACTACTGGTGCTGGCGATTTCAATTCTCCTTCTGGAACTGATGCCGTCCAGCATGATACTGGAGCTGGTGTTGTTCACAATGAGGAAATGTTGGAGCTTACATCCCCGGAAAATCACCAAAATGACGATGGAACAGAGAGCTTATACACCGGTTATCTACGCGAATCAGGTTCTCAGGTTGATCTGGCTAGTATTAACTATGAGGGTGCTCCTAGTAATGTGGAATTTGGACTTCCACCGGGAGGGGAAGAAGGGGCAGAAATGAGGGATTCTCCACGAGATGACGATGCAATGGATGAAGAACTGAATCAGCCTGAAGATCATCTTAATGAAGTAGACAATGCTGTCCCAGCGCCTGAGAATGAGATAGGAGAACTTCACTCTGATGGTGGAGGAGACATTAGTGGTTTGAGGGATTGGGGCAAAGAGCTGGATTACTCGCTGGCTATGGATCAACAGGGGACGTCTTTTTGTCCAATCCAGGTTCCTCTGCATCCCATCATTTCTGCTTCTGATGATGATGCCGGTGGTGTTAATCTAGTAGTACCGGATCAACCGTTTCAGGCCGGTGTACAAGAGAACTCCGAGTCCTCACCGGGATCAGTGGGAAGGTCTCAGGAGGATACCCTGGATGATCCTGCAAAAAATGTGGTTACTCCAGAGATAGTTAGCCCAAGGGTGAAAACTTTGGTGTCTAAGTCACCAATCAGGCAGAGGATTAATGTAAATGATAGTCATCCTGAGCCAAGATCTCTCCACCGTTCCAGGAATCGGGAGAAAAGGCCGTCTGAGAGGGATGATGATTGTTTTTTCCAATCTCCTGGAAGTTCAACAAGGCATGTCTCCAGGGAAATACATTCCAGCTCCCAAAGGAGGCATAATCACAAGCCTGATGAATTGGCTTCATCAGGTGGTTTGCGAGATCACTCTACTTCAGGTAGACGTTCTCCAGCCGCCTCAGGAAGAGCTCGAGCTTCGCGACGTCGCGATCATCACATGGACGGGGAAAGGTCAAGAAGGTTGGAGTCAGCATCCCCTGTGAGGAGAAGGAATCCCCGTTCTGGAAGGAAGAGAGAACGTGATCATTCCCGATCAAGGTCACCATATCCCGGAGACCGTCATCACAGGTTATACAGAGTTTGTTTTTTCCTACTCTTTTGTCCTCCCGGAATTTTGTATTTCTTCATAAGTTTAATTTCAATCATAGGTTGCTATAAAGCCAATCCTGATGTTTCAATTCATAGGAATTGTTTGTACGAATTAAGTAGTACTCCCTTTATTCTAAATTTATTGTCCGGTTTAGATTTTTCATTTTTTAGTTCATTACTAATAATAAAATTTCAAACTGAACAATAATTTTGGGACAGAAGGGAGTATATGATACTAGAAACGTAGTAGTATAGTCTAAAAACAAGTGATTTTAGATACATTACTCTGATTGAATTTTAATTTGTGCATGTTTAATTTGGTTATTTGACTGTGTACGTAGGAGGAGGTATGTCTCAAGACGCAGGTCACCTGAAAGGAGGGGGTATTCTTCCCGACATAGGTCTTGGGAAAGGAGACGCTCACCACCACCAGCTTCTTCTTCTAGGGCAGGAAGAGGGACATGCCTGTTTGTTGCCGGAATTCCATTCTCAACTACTGAAAGAGAACTCGGGTGGAAGTTTTGTCGATATGGTTCCGTAGTGACGGTTCGAATTATTCGGGAAAGAAGGTAACTAAAGATTCTCCCGGTGGAAAAAATAAAGCTTTAAAATTGATTTTTGGATTCTTGTTTAATAATTTCAGCTTGTCGTCTAGTAAGGGAACCGAACAAAAAAGCATATTATGCATACTTCGAATCCATCTATATATATATATATATATAAATAGTTGACCTGTTAATTTGATGACGTACTTGAAAATCACGCAGCCAAAAGTTATAAAACCTTGTCGTGTACTGGTTAACTGTTTCCGTGTTGCGCCTTTAATTTTAGGGATTGCATACTTCAAATCTATGTATATTTGACCTAGGTTAAAAAGATCATGCAGCCGAAGTATAGAACTTGTCGTATCATGGGTAAGATCATGCACCCAAAAGTTACGTAAAGAATTGTGGTATAGTGTGGTATAACTGTTGCGCTTTTAGGGATGAATATAACTTATGAAAGTGTACGTGATCTTTTTTTTTATAGTCATACTTTACTTCCTAGTTGAAAGGGCCTTTTGTTAACTGCCCGGATATAGTGCTAAGGAGAGTTGCTTTGGGGATTCACTAAATACTGTCATATTCAAAAAATGGACTTCTGAAAACATAATTATCGCAGCGATGATTCTATTATCGCGGATGTGACGTTTATAGATCTCATTTTATTTGTTGTCAATATGATTCTCCCTACGTCTTAAAAAATAATTTTTCAGTTTAGATTTTTAGTTTTAGTATAAATTGAATTAAAAGTAAAAATCCAAACTAAACAATAAATTTTAGGACAGAAGGAGTATACAGAAGAAGAAGTCAGAAGATGAATAAGTAGGAGAGGGGCTTTTACTTTTACCGAACTCCGTTTCTGTACGTGAATGTGCTAGATGTACTTTTTTGAATATTGTGTTTTAACTGTTTATGGAAGATGAAGAAGCTATAATTACAGTATATGGAATCTAACATTGATTGGGAACAAATGCTGTGTATTAATATTATTAGGTCGGGGAAGTCGAAAGGATACGGGTTCGTGACATTGAGAAAGGATGAGGAAGCAGATGCAGCAATCAGAGCTCTTCACGACACACAATGGGATAACCGGCCACTCCTGGTGGCAAAATCATACAGGAGGACTTGAAACCCTTTTCTAGACCTTCTATATACCTAATTTAGTCCTGCTGTCTAGCTTGTAACTGTGTTATTACTTCTAGAACTGTGTTTAATTACTTGGCTAGCAGCTGGAGTGTAGACTATAAATTTATGAATGCAGCAACATTCATAAGCCTAATGCCTTTTATCGAGAACAATTTGGGATGTACAGTGATGATATTTGTGTCTTTTAAAACCTTTTTTATTATGTAGAACCTTTTTTTCTTTTTGTTTACAATGTTGTGTGTGGCAATATTCTTTTCATCTGGTCTGATACTCCTTTGGTTCCCAAAATAACAGTCCTACGTTGGTAAACAGGAATTTTTTATTTTGGGTCGAAGGAGACAATATTTTAGTAGTAGTTCTAGTTCATATGGAACGTACGTGGGTTTCACAAACTAAAACCGCGTACAAAGATTGGGCCGCAAATGTGAGTCCATACGTGTCAGTGGTTGAAATGTTTCTCACTTTCCTAAGCTATGCGGGAAACGTGTTTTTTATCACGCAAACAGCTAGCTGTTTCGAACCAAAAGTATCACTTGTCTAGGTTTGATGTGGATCCATTCCTCCTATTTTAAGGATAATCTTTTTTTCCAATACTCTGTTTGCTGAAATGACATTGAAAAGTTTGATTGAAACTGAGCACATAACGAACCCAAGCTAATGACTGACTAGGGGTGTCAGCTGTCAAGTGTCAACTTCTATGCCAACACGGTTGTGGGTTTTAGGTACTCCTACTTTGTTTCAAGTTTAAAGTGTTTTTACGCATCATGTTCTGTAAATTAGATTCTCACGTCACATTCATGTCATTTGTAATGTTGGAGACATTTCTTTTGAAAAAACTATCTTTTTTTTAATATTGCAGGATGTACACCGTCGCACACAGTGACTAATCCCCCTCGCTCATGATAGACATTTCGATGGGTGGGAAAGAATTAAAGGTTGCTTCATCCCCATGGCGAGGCTCGAACCTTCGACCTATGATTAAGGATGAAGGAGATCTTACCACTTTACCATAACCCTGAAAAGCTACTTTTTTACAGTAACTAATTCACCTTCATATTTTTGTACCCGAGCCAATATGTGAATGAATTGGCCTTTACATACTGCTGTGAGTTTCTCCTACTGATAGTTTGTCAAAATCTTTCTGTTCATATCAAATCCAACCACAAACTTAAAAAAAGTTAAAACAAGTCACGATTCATACATTCGATAAGCAAAAAGGGAAACGAAGAAATTGGATATTAAAGGCTTTGTTTGTTTATTTTTTTTTTATGGTATTTTTAACTACTTTCTAGCAATTAACTACTTTCTTCACTGCGGTTTGGTTTCCATCGAATTATTTGTAGTTAGAAGTTAGTTCATCAACAGCATATGTTTGGCTTCCAGCTAAATCTACAGCCTACAAAGATACAGCACAAACAATCCGGCAGATGAACTTGGTCAAATATGCCTACCACATTATGGAATGAGAGACATAAAAATGTGTATTTGCCTTTTAAGTTTAATAGCAAGTGTACCCCTCATGTTTTACTGTTTTGCACATCACGTTTTGAAAGATCAATTGAAACACATTTCCACCTCTATAGTTTTAAGATTTTGTAGTTAACGTTCATTTCGACTACTTAGCACAATTCATCTTATATCGAATGAATTTTAAGCTTGAGTTAATTGTTTTGATTACATACTTATCAATCTAACATGAATGCAATGCAGTTGGAGGTCACATGCTAAAGATAATCACTCAAAGATTGAACCAAACCTCATTCTTAATAGCGAAAATTCTACATTTTAGTTGTAGTTGTTATGCTAGAGATTAATTAGGCCGTTTCCCATGTCTTTGATTGTATTAGATTAGCAATCTTGTTAACAGAACTGCCCATGAAATAGAAACTTATGCCATGTCTTCCTTTTAATTAAGAGGATTCATTTAGGTCCCCTCCTTTGGTTCGGTTGTTAATCAATGATGGGTAAAAAATGAATCTTAGTGATAAGCGTGTACAAGTAAATATTATAAAGTTTAGAGGAAACAAAAATGTTTCCAAACTGAAAATTCACGAGAACAAGGTAGTTGATTGTAAAAAGTATAAAAATATATTAATCTAAATCTAATGTGTGTTTTTACTCTTTTTTTTTTTTTTTAATGGAACAAAGAAACTTTCCCCTCTTGACTTTTATTTCCTTGATCTTTTCCTCAATTATCCTCATTCTTGGGGGGAATATGTGTAAGATTATTACAAAACTAACCTCAAGAGACAAAATGTCAAAATAGACTGACAGAGAAATCAAACTCCAACACTCCATTCTCATCGCTGACAAATAAAAACCTTTGATAATTCAATGTTGATGTAGTCATGTGACACATAGAAGATGCAATCATGTATATAAGTACTAAAAAAGTTTTGATCTCAACAAAAATCTCGCCAGATTCATCCAACTGTTCATAAACTAAAATCATAAAGAATTAAGCATTACGCCGACCCAGGAACTTGCCTGGATTCTTCATCGTATTAGTATATTGTAAAATTCTCAGTTGTGGCAAGCCTGCTTGTTTTTGCCTTAAATCCACCCATAAAAAAGGTAGCTATTAAAAATTTTAAAATTAATTAGATACAGCCTAGCTGATTCGTGTTTGGCAACATTTTATTCTTTCAGCTTCTCTCAGCTTCAGTCTTGAAGAATTCAAACATTGCTTTCTAATTATTTTTCTGCAAAATAACCAGTCATCTTCCTGTATTTGGACACTTCCTCGAGTCTGATCTGAAGCAGAGGAACTTGAGTTTTATATCCAAATCCTACCAATATTGATTTGATTCCTTCTTGGTCAATACTGATGGTGGCGTTCCACAATCAAGGGTCCCCACTACTATTCTGAACGAATCTCAAAACCAAAGGTACTATAGAATGCTAAACACCTTTTTCCTGACAAGACTTGGTTTTTCCTCATTATTTCTTGAATGTCTGTAGATGGTTCTGTCTTTTTTGGCTTAGTATTGTTAGCCTTGAGCAACCCTCTTGTTTGATTCTGAACACAAGCCAATTTGGTCTATCCTCTCTCATTTGTGGCCATACCGAAAATTCCAGTTCAAAATTGAATCTTTTTGTGCTGTCAGAATTGAGTGATTAGGAAGGAAGAAAGGGATGGGTGCTTGTTTTAGCAGTGATAAAGCTCTTGTTACCAAGGCCAATGGCCATAGATCAGGAAATGAGGTAGATGGGACTAAGCAAAACGCAGTTCATCACGATGCCCAAGCGCATTTAAGGCCACCTCCAAGTCCTAGACTTGTCCCAAGGCCAGACACAATCTTGGGGAAGGCTTTTGAAGATATCAAATTGCACTATACATTAGGGAAAGAATTGGGCAGGGGACAATTTGGGGTGACTCATCTCTGCACTGAAATTGCAACTGGAAGACAATATGCTTGCAAATCCATATCAAAAAAGAAACTTGTTAGCAAAAGTGATAAGGAGGATATGAAAAGAGAGATTTCCATTATGCAACACTTGAGTGGACAGCCTAATATTGTCGAATTTAAGGGAGCTTATGAGGATAAGCATTCGGTTCATCTTGTGATGGAGTTGTGTGCTGGTGGAGAGCTTTTTGATCGGATTATAGCGCAGGGACACTATAGTGAAAAAGCTGCAGCTTCAATCTGCAGGGCTATCGTGAATGTTGTACATGTATGCCATTTTATGGGCGTAATGCACCGCGATCTCAAGCCCGAAAATTTCTTGCTTTCAGACAAGAGTGAAAGTGCTTCCCTTAAGGCAACTGATTTCGGGCTCTCAGTATTCATCGAAGAGGGTATAATTCTTTACTAGCATTTGATATGCTGCTTACTTGCTTAGTGCTTTTAATTTCATTCATTTTGAAGTGAAAATGGGTATTTCGTGCAGGAAAGGTGTACAAGGATGTGGTTGGAAGTGCATATTATGTTGCACCTGAAGTGTTAAAGCGTAGATACGGAAAGGAAGCTGACATTTGGAGTGCTGGAGTGATGCTGTATATTTTGCTCAGTGGTGTGCCACCTTTTTGGGCTGGTAAAAATCATGAATATTCCCTCCTTTTGCTACTTGTTACAAATACCATTTCGAGTGTTTCTGTTCAAATTATTTGCTTTCGTGGTGTGATGAACTATTTATGACACATTTACATTTCAGAAAATGAGAGGGGGATATTTGATGCGGTCTTAAGAGGATATGTTGACTTTGATACTCAGCCTTGGCCATCTATATCTAGTAGCGCTAAGGACCTTGTACGGAAGATGCTAACAATGGATCCCAAAAAACGAATTACTGCTGCACAAGTACTTGGTAAGCCCTGAAATATTGATTTTAGTTTTCACCATCATCCTGCTAGACTTTTCGCCAGCGAGATAGAATGGCAATACCTATGATATGTAAGAAGTTTTATGCACAGTGTCTTGTTTTCTCCAGAAGAACTGATAATTCTGAGGGCATACGGCTAGTCATTATCAAATTGTATGATGATTATCATCTTTCACTACAGATTGTGAACATTTTCCCTATAACTCTTGATTGTCTCCTTTTGCTTTGCAACTTTTGTCTTAATGACTAACAAATATAAAGATGCTAGAAGCCTAGAGTCACTCCTGCAGATAAAAAATGGTTTCCAACTGCACATAAGTTTCTTTTTTCTGAGTCTTTTGTCATGTATGTAACTCCCACTCAGTAGTGTCAAGTTTGCATGTTCTAATCCATTTGTTCTTCCGGCTAAATAGAGCACCCCTGGATGAGAGAAGGGGAGGCATCAGATAAACCAATAGACAGTGCAGTCCTCTCCAGGATGAAGCAATTCCGAGCAATGAATAAACTCAAGAAGCTTGCGCTAAAGGTACCTCTCATACATTATATATAAACTAGTGAATAACATTGCAGTACGGATTAGTGTGCGAAAGGATGAGAATCCAACGCCAAGATGCATGCAGAACTCATCTTTCTTAAACTATACATTTGGCATAGGAGTTTTCTTGGATCGGAATGATATGACACTCTGAGCCGACTGTAAAATCCAAGTGCATAAGAGACTAGTCCTGCTTTTAAGTTCAGATACACACGCTAAAAAACATAGGTTTGGTCTTTGAAGTCAATGATCTTTCGAGATCAAAATGCTGCCTAATTAGTTTGAGTGAGGAACAGTGTATACCTGCATGTACAATGAGAACCATATTTGGCTATGCAGGCAAGCCTATCGTGCTAGCCTCCTTCTTCTCTGCTGTTTTAGAAACCGAGTACCCAGGCTACTTTTATATTTAGTGATTACTGATTCAGCCTTTACCGAACCATAGATTCTGTAACAAGTCTGGTGTGTCATGAATTCGAGAATGAACCATAGCTCAAGGAACCAAAATTAACTAAGGCTTTCGTCATACATGACAGGTCATTGCAGAAAGTATGTCAGCAGAAGAAATACAAGGATTGAAATCAATGTTTCAGAACATGGACACTGATAACAGCGGAACAATCACATATGAGGAGCTAAAGACTGGACTTGCCCGACTGGGATCAAAACTCACGGAGGCTGAAGTCAAGCAGTTGATGGAAGCTGTAAGACTGTTTTGGTATTAAACGTTTGCAGTATATATTATAAGCTCTGGAATTAATGGTTAAACAATTCTGCAGGCTGATGTCGATGGCAATGGGACGATAGACTACGTTGAGTTCATCACCGCCACAATGCATAAACACAAATTAGAAAGAGAAGAAAACATTTACACAGCATTTCAGTATTTTGATAAAGATGGGAGTGGGTGAGTTCCGAATAAGGATGTTGTTAGTCAAGTATCGGGCACTTTACATATGGCCTTGTGGTATGTCATGTAATCTAAACTTTTGATTTTTATGCTCCTATAGGTATATTACGACAGACGAACTAAAATCAGCTATGGAAGAATATGGAATGGGTGACCAAGCCACCATAAACGAGATAATATCTGAAGTAGACACGGACAATGTGAGTACTTTCCTTGGTCTTTCACATCTTTCCGTCACATCATTTCTCTTAGAATTTCATCTTTGTGCTTTTCCTGTACCAGGATGGAAGAATCAACTATGAAGAGTTCTGTACAATGATGAGGAGCGGAACAACACATACTACCAAGCTCTTCTAATTGAAGATAGTTGCAGGCCATGTGGCAATCAAGCATAGAGAAATTTTGTAGAGGAGAATATGCATGACTTCGGAATTCAAATGCCACAGCAATTCCAGTTCAGACGTTCACAGCCTAAACAACTGGACATCCAACTCTTTGTTTCTTTCTCTGTTCATTGTATAGTGTAAGGTATCTTCCGCTCTTGTTTCAAGTACAAAGATTTTCCTTATTATTCTACACGAAGAAATAATAGCACACTGACCCCCGCTAAGTTGGTCAAATATACAAGTTCATTGCTTCAAACCTCCAATATTTGGAAGCTTGAAACAGATTCTGTTTGAGATTGTAAGGCCACACATTGGATCCTAACCTCCAAAAGGATAAAAGCATGCCCAATTGAGACTTGATTTTAGCTTCAGAACTTGATTTTAACAAGAGATTGTGAACCCTTGATCCATCTGAGATGTAGCTGGGGAAAATTATAGCATATATTCGATCCTTGACATCATAATCGACCTCAAAATTATATACCCTTTATTTGATCAGGATCCTGACATTATAATCCTCAAAATCCGACATATGATCGAATTCCATAGTCAGCAAGCAGTGGTACTTCTAACACATAAAAAGATTCTGATATCTTCTCAGAATTCCAGAAACACTATGGAACCTTAACAAGGCGAGCAATTTCCCGATTTGATGACAGAAGCTAAATGTCATAAACTAAACCAACTCTTGTGAAAACTTCCAGAAAGACTATGGAACAACCATAACAAGGTGAGCAATTATTCAATTCGATTACGCAAGATAGAACAAAAATAAAGACAATGCTGAAATTTGCAATGACAAAAGAAACAGGAAGAAGTTTCTTATAATATCAGTAAGTATATTATTGGATAAAAATGATGATAAACTAAGGTCACAATCCAGACTTGACCCCATTACATTAACTGGTGGTGGGAATAACTCCCAAATATCATACCCACGACAGCGAAGTTTCAACAAATATCCCTCACAAAACAAGCAATACTAGAAAAAAAAGACACCCAACACAAATTTCTTCCAAGTTTCAAGACCATAAGAAGAGACCCTCAAAAACCATGAATCTTGATGAGATCTTTCTTCACAAGGCCGTCGTTGATGAGGAACTGGGAAGCATTCTTGCGCTGATCCCCTTGGAGCTGGATAACTTTGCCAAGTTCTTTGTCCACAACCACATTCCCGTTGCAACAGAACTCTTTCTTGAGAGCCTTGAGGATCTTCTCAAAGCTAAGCTTCTTATCCAGTCCTTGAATTGTGGTCACACACTTCTTACCATTCCTCTGCTGGACACGAATATGAACATACTCCTTAGCCCCAGGAGCTACTGTTTCGTCGTCAATTCCAGCGAATGGATCAAAAGCAGATGGGATCTGGACGTCGATGTCAACCATGTATCTGTTCTTGGAAAACTTTGGAACCTTTGCGAACTCGCGCGCGCTGTATAAATTAAAGGAAAACAAACAATCGATCAGAAACCTCCGAAAAAGCCAATTTCCTATGCAACAAAGATATAATTAAAAAAACCTCTGAAAAAGCTACCAATTTCCTAAGCAACAAAGAATTAATTAATTACAGAACATGCCGACACAAGAAGGAAAACTCTCAAAACGCAGAATTTCAGCTCAGAAGAACAATTTTGGACAAAATTCAAACACATCAACAAAGATCGTCCAACACGATATCAATCAGAACATCATCCCTATAACAATCAACCCCCCAAGATTGAATAGATTCAACAGAAACAAATCATACGTCGAAACGGATCATCAAAAGATTGGAAGATAAAATTGCGGAACCCAACAACCCATCAGACATGAATACAAACGAATAACAACAGCTACTAACAAAACCAAAAAAAAAAAAATAATTGAAGGAAAAGAATCAAGGAGGAGAGAGAAGAAAACTGACCTTAAAGGAGAGACTCAAGCAGGAAAAAAGGGAGAATAATCAGAGAGGACTCTTGGCGTAAACTTGTTTTGATATGAGAGGAAAAGGAAGAGGCTTTCAGGCTTATTTATAGGAAAAAGAAGAGGCGGTGGGGTCTAGGAGCTTCTTTCTCTCTTGTTCTTGGCTTTAACTTTTAAGCCGCACCACACGAATACTAATTGTAGTTGGGTTTATCTCTTAACCCCGGTTTGGAAACGTATGTACTGCGTGTAATAATGACATCTGATCATTGTAATAAATCCAGTATTGTCCGTCTCATAAAATTTGATTACACTTATACTTAATTCCTTATGAAAAAATTAATTCTTTTTTTATCCTATAATGTATTAAGAAATTCATTCTTTTAATCCTAAAAGGTAATCAACATTTTTATAAATCATATATTATATTAAAAATAATATAATTTTTAATGGACAAGTTCCATCAGCAATTCAAAATTGCATTAAAAAATAATATCGTATTGTCGTTCTCATAAATAATACTCCCTCCGTCCTAAAATTATTGTCCAGTTTCAGGTTTCATTTTTAGTTCAAATTATTGTCCAATTTGAGTTTTTATTTTTAGTTCACACGGAGAGAATATATTAGTATTACAAATGATACAATTTATAATTTAGGTGGAAGGACTATAACAAGAATTCCAATGTCAATATTATAAGCATACTAGATGCCAATCAAAATAATAAATTCATTAAAAATACTACATAAAGTTAATTTGTAAATTTTTCTTTTTATCATTTTGTAAATTTTGTAAATACTACACAATTGTACGAGTCGGCACATGTGAATTCATATGTTCATTATTATTATTATTATTATTATTATTATTATTATTATTATTATTGTAGATTGATTGATTTAGTAATGATCCAAGTATTAGAATAACAGGTGAAATTTGAAATTTAATGATTCAGACACCATTATGTATGGAAATAGAACAAGATTATTAATTGAAGCATTTGGTTAGGATATTCTAATCCGTCTTTAGAGACGGTAAAAGTACACTAAGACGATAGCTGTGTTTTGATTCCGTTTTTCACTGGATTCTTTTTTTTTTTTTCCCGTTAATTTTCTTTTCATAATTTTCATTTATAAAAAAAAAAAAAGAAAAAGAGAAAAGGCCGATGGGAGAAAATAGAAAAGAACGCGTAAGAAAAACGCAAGCGCAAAGGATTATTGGATTGGATGAGTCGGTCAGTTTGGGTCCAACTTGATGACAAACGCGGAATATAATTTAGTCACTAGCTAAGCTACACCCCAGGGGGAATGGTCCACTTGGCGTTTTGGATTCCTTGATCCTTCCTTCCCTCATTAGAAAAAGGAAAAAAATAAAAAAAAGAAAAGGTTTTTCTTATGGGGGAGAACAATCCAGAATGTCTTCTTCTTTCCAGCTTGTCTCTTTATGCTTTGCGTGTTCTACATTTGTTTCCTGCTCTCACCAATTTGTTGTAGTACCCCCTTTTTGTTACTCACTTGTCATTTTTAAAACTCGATTTTCCTGTACCAACGTGCTGCTAAAATTGGCAGATAAGAATAAAAGTACCCTTTTTTCTTAAATAAAAATTATTACGAATTTTTTATTCAACATTTATTACACGCACCTACAGACCTACTATCACTTTTAGTGTAAATTTGATTGATGTACTAAAAATTTGTGGGGTAATGCTTGTAGAGGTAAACAAACAATTTGTGCTATCATACGTACGTTACCGAAGGAATAATGTTAATGATCAAATCTCATCGGGAAAAAATGAACATGTTTGTAATAAGAAAAAAGCGGGATCACTGATAATAACAAACCAGGTTCCAGTGGCTCACTTGTGGACTCCTAATACAAAACCAAAGACTCTGTTATAAAGTAGTAACAGCTCAGGTGCTCCGATGATCAGGTAGCCGTTTCAGGTCCAGTTCGACTTGATGAATGGTCCAACGCATGTTTTCCAATTTCTGCAACAAAGATGATCACTGTCAGGGTCACTGAAACAACAAACATACACCGTTCTCCTCATATTTAGAACACTTGTTTGATTACAACTTGCCTTCACAATCTCATGATACTGTCTGGCAATTGAATCAAAGTGCGGATCAACGCCTTGGTATTCTCGGAGGCGCGTAATCTGTAGACATTTTTGAATATCATGCATCATGAAAATTACAATAGAAGCAGGTTTCAGCAAAGGGATATAGAGAATATCAGTGCAGAACAGTGACGTCATACTTCCATAGATTGTCTCATCCAGGCAATCAGAATCGAAATTGAAAAGAAAAACTTGATATAATGAGAATTTTATAATTGTAGCATATCAAAAAATTGGATAAGCAGGGCCATATATGTGGTCCAGGGTCCAGACACACACACAGAAGCACATGTTCTTCGCAAAGCTAACTTTCAGACAGAACATTACGCAGCTTACCGCTTTATTATATGCAATTGATGCTTCCTCCGTCGAATCAACCAAAAATTTCCTGGGCCACATTTGAAGCAAAGGTTGGCAACCATTATGGCGCGAGAAAGACGAATTTCATCAATAAAAAGCTCATCTTCTTTGCTTACCTTATCTTATGTAGGGCTGGTATTGTTTCTGGAGTATACGTGTCCAGCAAGAGAACATGTTCAAGAACTCTGGAAAAGAAACAATGATGTTAAAGAAGTTCCCTTCATCTTTACTCATAGACGAACTGCTAAATAATGTAATTAGAATTGGAGAAGCTTTTGATATTACAAAATCCCATCAATTTAACTCAAGCCTATAGTAAGGATTCTATACATCATTATAAATAAAACTGTCCTCAAAACTCGTCAGTTTCAATCAAACTAAAGGCAAAATACGAAAAAAGTCACTAGGTCAATTGGCAACAGAGCATCTAAATTTCTAAACCTAAAATAAACCAACAAACACAAATTCTGCATTACAATCAATACAAAGAACGAGCCAGAAATGAAACAAACCTCAATTTTGCACTCATGGTCTCACACCTCTTGCAGAGCCAAGTTTTATGCAGTTCATCCTAACATTATGTACAAAACAAGGCTTTAATAATTCAACAGATGGTCAAAGGTCCCAAAGAAAGCAAACTAAACATAAAGCTAAATCTGGACCGACGTCAGAAAATAAAGGAAGAAAGAAAGTTGGAGGAAACAAAATTATCCACAAAGGCAATGTTTTACTGAAAACCTTACCAGGGAAATGAACGGCTGAAGCTGAGAACACTTACATATTTATACTGATGCTGTAATTTAATTTCTTTGACAAGCTTAATCAGTACACCAAGTATTTGCTCCAAAACCTTTCATGAAAAAAATGATGCGTCAAGAATGATAATGAAGAATAGAAGTATCATATCTCAAGGTGACATATAAATAAAGTAAGTACATTGTAGTATTCTCCAAATTTTCTGTCGGACGAATATAGATCCTCCCGCCATGCTGTTTCCTCTCTCTCGATTTCCTCAATTATCAACTTCACCCTGTCAAGAGATAAAATTAATGCTCCATCACCAATTTCATTACCCTGACTTGCATGTGCAATTGAGCGAAAGAAGTTATGTAAGCCTATTTCCATATTTGATTCTGCAATAAATCAAAGTGTAACACATCCTAACCGAACAAGCAACCATGTAGAGAATTCCGTGTGTGCTCCGCATAAATTACTATCTCTTCATGGGTTTAGGATGATTTAGGAGGAAGGAGAGAAAGGGAAGGTGTTTAGTGTATAGAATGACTCACAGAGTAACACCTTAATCAGATTTTTTGTAAAATAAATAAAGCTATTAGATCAAATGAAAGTTATAGATACGATAAAGGAAGGCACGAACCTTTCTGGGAGTCTAGCATTTGAAATTGGACCACTAGATGGTGAATCTGAAACAGCAAAATATTCTACCATAAGTGTACCGAAGAAATATCAAACAGTAGACAACCCCCTTATACAGCAAACTTCGTTGTCGGAGATTAAAATAAGCTATGATCCACTAGCTATGATTGACATATCAAGATTAAAATGATTACCTTACCCATGTTTACATGAACAATTAACTCAGAACCACAAGGAGAAAGCATAGACAAATACAGGAATCTCCTACAAAATTATGACTGACCTATGTCACCTATAGCCACCACCTCTGTTAGCTTCTCGGATTTACTGTCTAGTCGATTTCCAATTTCACGGGCCACTGAGATTTGGTATTCTGCCATGTCCTGGAGTTTCATTAATATAGTAAATGAATGAGTGGGAAAAAACTTCTTAAAGATGGTTTTCATGGATAAAATATGTCCTATAAAATAGCTGCAGGCAACCAGTAAATTTTGCATATTCAAAGAACTTAGATATGACGCCAAGGGAAATAAGAGCACGGGACTTCACACTAAAGAAGCTACATAACGCATGAGCAGCAGGAATGATCAGCAAGTTATATCTGTTTATCATGTCATAAGCAATTTGAGGCCATACCATGGACAACGGAATTTGTTGTAGTTGAGTTTGCCATAAATAAGCTGGAGTAATTCCAAGATATCGATTAGGAACACCACCAACTTCAGCTTCTGAAGCATCAGAAACATTGGCAATGCTAGTAGCAGTAGCAGCAGCACCAGTGCTAATCACCGATGCGTTGGTGTAGTTAGTTGAGTTTGTGCTTGAGCTTGTTGTAACACTAGTACAGGTACCATCAAGAGAGCTTCTTGACATTACACTCCATTTCTCTATTTCTTCCTCGTGTACTTCACCATGTTCAGATATTAGAGGAAGCCTCAACTTTTGAGCAGCTTCAGCAACAACCATCCGGTGCTCAAGAGCTTCATAAACCTGTTGTAAATCAGGATTAGTACTTTTGTACCATCTTCAAACCGACTAAATTCAATATCAATCAAAATTACTAATAGCTGTATTAATGAATTTCCAAGTTTTGGGCTTTACTACCCAAGAGGATGAGAAAGGCTGAAGCTTATGCTATACTATAAAAATAAAAAATAAAAAGAAATTGATACAGAAAAAACAGAAAGAATCTAATTATGGTTCTTGCTTCCAGCAACCCAGGAAGTTCATAAATTCATGAAAACAGTAAACAGTAAAGCAATGAAGATGGCAGAAACCTGAGCCCAATTACAAATGTTCCTCAGTAGTGATTTAGCTGAAAAGCCTAAATTGGAAAAGCTAACTGCAACGCAAAAAAGAAAGAAGCATAAACCTGGGGAGGATTCTTCAAGCCAAGTTGAGGATATAGAGACTGAATGTCACGAATACCACCAAAATTAGCTACGGAAACAGCCTGCTGGTACTCTTCCACCATTGCAATGGCCTCGATGTAGATAGCCTACATATATTAACACAACCGAGAAACTCATAAATTGAAATATAATCCTTAACCTCACACAATTTCCCCCAAAATCATAACAATTCACTGAGAAAAAAGTACCAATTCGGAGAGTAATTACCAAGGATTCCAAATAACGCTGTCTCTCTTTGCACATTTCCTCCCTCGCCTGCACAAGCATCATTGATAAATTGATATGATATTCCAGGGAAAAAAAAAAAACACACACACACACACATAAATTATGGTAAAGGAAAAACGGAATGGAGGAGAAGATTGTACGAGTTGGAGATCGTAATAAGTGGATTTGGAGATGAGAGATCCGTCCGGAGCCAAGCAGTGCCGCTCCAACTGATCCAACAGCTGCATCACATCCGCTCCGAGATTCTGACTTCCTATTCCCTTCCCCATTTTTTCTACCAAACTCAACCGAGTGAATGAATCGATACAAACTTTACTCTTATTGTTATGTTGCTTTGATTCGTTTCCCTCTATCCAGAAATATTCGATTTTCAAAGTTCAAACTTCAACTTTACGCCGGCAGGAACTGTTGTTACAAATATTAAAATTTTGAGGAGTTAATATGATACATTGAAAATATAGTGGGCTTTATTGAAATTATATTATAATTGAAGATGTCCTTTTATAAATAAAACCCTAGAAAGTCAGAAGAACACAGTCCAGCCAAATATGGCGGTGAGGGATTTTGATTTCTGACGATTCCGAATAAATTCAGAATAACCATCGGCCGTATGTTTCCGACCGTCGAACCGGGGCTATCTCCGTCGCTTGATCATTGGTAGCTTCGGTCAGCATCTTGTTCGGCAGCTCGTTCTCTTGCTTTGCTTCTCCAATCTTTGATGGAAAAATACAATGATTGGAATTTAAATCCTTCGTTACGGGAGCTCAGATTGAATGTCAGCAAGGCCGAGAAATCAACCAAGATTCCCGCTTTCTCTTCCTCCTCCCTCCAATCTTCTTGTAATTCCTCAAACCTTTCTTCTTGTATTAGTTCTACGTAGTACTCTAAATCGATCATTCTTAGGTAAAATAATCTTTTTGGGTTTTTACTGTTTTGCAACTTGACTTTTGTGAGCTTGTTTGGATTGCAGTGATAAAATTCAAGCAGCCAAAGCCTCTGAGTTTACTTAGTTTATGTCTCGGAGTTGTTGGAAGGCATTTAGAGGACATCATAGAGGACTTGCCTGAGATTTCCCCAACTTTGCCTTCCAATATTAAGGTACAATGAAGCAAAAACATACCCATTGGCTTTTATTTTCCTTCTCCTGTTGTTATATGATTACTTGATGTTTATTTGATTTAATTTAGCTAATGAAAGGAAGGTAAAGGAAGGAAAAGAAAATTCCTGGGAAGATGTATTGAATACCTATTATCTTCTTAACGTTTGATTTTAAGATGTTTTATAATACAGGACTAGTTTGCATTTTGTTTCCTAAAAACTTTTTTGGCATTGAAAAGATTTGTCACCTTGGTTTCTGGAACAACTGTATATCTCACAAATGTTAGCCTGGTTAAGCGCAACTTTTTGAGATTGCTCGGCTTGATGATTCTGGCACAGTTGTGCTTTTCAGTATCTCTACAAGATATATTTGAGTCCTACCAATACATGAATCCTATGCTTCTGTAATTTACGTAAATCTTTGTCTCTATGTTTCCTTTAAAATAAGCAGATGGTTATAGCCGCAATTGCAAGACGAAGAAAATTGCTAAATGATGATGCCATTGTTTCATTAGCTGAAAGTTCCTGGGATATGCTTGATGTTTCGGGTTCAGATATCTCTGATAGCGGTTTATCGCAATTGGTTAAGATGTGCACATCTGTTAGAGCCATGGATATAAGGTACCCTATCTTATTTTGTTAATTTAGCTTTTCATTGTTTTTGTTGCTGCTCTAGCAATGCCTGGATTCCTCCTTTTGGACTAGTTCAACTTGATCTAATGATTTGTACGTTTGCTATGCCGAAGTTTATCTGATTTTTAAATTTCTCGGTCAAATATGATTTAAAAGACTCCCTCACCTTACTTTCATTAGAATGGTTTTCTTGCTTTCTTTTTTTACATTTCTATTTATTTCAGTTTTGGACAACGATTCTTGTTATTTACCCAGTTTTTTTCCCCCACTTTAATCTAGTCAGTGCAGAAAACTTACACCTACTGGGGTTGCTGAGCTCCTTGAGAATTGCAATTCACTGGAAGTGTTGAGATGGGGGTATGCCATTCTTTTCATCCTCTTTCTTTGCTGCCACTTTCATCAGCCGTTGGTTATTTGTAAATGTGCGGAAACCAAAAGCAATCTAGCATGACTTTGGAAGTAAATTTACTTGAAACTTCTGATTGGTTGCTCGAATGGCTTAATGACTTTGTATTCCATTTTAAATCTTAGGCTTCATGCTTCATTTTTCTCCATATGCATGTGCTCAACTAGGTGGGTATCAGCTCCATAGAAACACTTGGGAGTATATCTATATACAGGGAGTTTCATTTGCATCTTGATCATGGAATTTATTTGGATAAGAGCATCTTTCTTGGTTCAGTGGTGCTACCGTCTCATAAAGACAGACCTTATCTCTATTATTATTCTTTTGTTGGCATATTTCCGATCTTACAAAATAATACACCCTATCAATTGGGGTTTGACTTGAAGAATAACCTCAATAACACAGGAAATGAACCAAGGTTAATGTTGCAGAGGGTGTCCAGCAAGTGAAGAAACTGCCCGTAGATGCTCAAGGATGTTGAAGCCTAATTTCCGTGACGTTGTGAGAGAATCTTGGGAGGACCTGGATATTGAAATTGCTCCTGTTGCGCAGTCACTTCGTTGGCTTGTGTGGGTAAGATCCCTTTTCTTTTAGATTCATGTCTTGGTCTCAACCAGCAATTGTGCAATTTTTTGTACTGCATTTTTGAAATCTTGCACCCTACCATTTTGTGTTATTCTTTCTTTAATAACATTTGTCATACAAGTGTTTCATGGGTCCTTTTTTTTTTTTAACATTGCTCCTCTTTCTGTTTTTTCTCTTTTGGATAGCCAAAAATTGACAAGGATTCCCTTGAAATCTTGTCCATGGAGTGCCCTCGAATTGTAGTCAATCCAAAACTCTCACCTTTTGGGTACAGAGGGGTTGAAGTACCTAGAGAAGCTTTACCAAATGTCGTGTTAGATGATCCAGTTGTAGACGATATAGATCCAAAAACATGGGCAGTTTCTGGATTTGAAGCAAGGTCAAGAGTTCCGTTGACTAGTGGATATGATGAACTGCCATTAGCTGAAAAATTTAGGCGTGCATTTCTAGAGAGAGACACCCGGTTGGCGCCTAAGCGTGCAAAAAATGAAAGGCAACACCAGAGGCGTGCAGAGGGAGAATGGACATTGACTAGTGGATATGATGAACTGCCATTAGCTGAAAAATTTAGGCGTGCATTTCTAGAGAGAGACACCCGGTTGGCGCCTAAGCGTGCAAAAAATGCAAGGCAACACCAGAGGCGTGCAGCGAGAGAATGGGTAAGTATGAGTTCCAGAGCTAAATCCATGGCACTTGCCTCTCAGGTTACCAAGTCAATGTATCACTGAGACTAAAAGATTTTAATTTGATTGTGCCCTTCTGCTATTCATGTCCAGTATTCTGCAGAATTCCATGATAATAAATCTATCGTCAGAATACATGCCGCCTCTCTTGTTGCGTTAATACATGTTTTCACCAAGATAAGTGACAACTAATGACGAGCTTCTTTAATTCATCACCATTGGTGCTTATTTTAGGTGTTTTCAGCGTCGTTGAGTTAAATTTGATACTATTGTAAGGTTCCTTCATAAAACACAACAAAATAACTCTTAAAAAAAAAAAAATAGGATGGGTGGGTTGGGGGGCGGTTTGGAAGATGTGGGTTTGAGGGAACGATCAAAGTTTTTAGGAATTGCCATCAATAATGATGAGAACAGAACAAAATATATGAACTACCAGTTACAGGAATATTTAGTTGCAGGAAGTCATACGGGCTAATGAGATGATGTTCTCTTCAAAATAAGACCAGGTAGCAAAGATATCCCGCGAAATTGGCAACTCTCTGGATGCATCAACCTGAATCAGTTCCCAAATTCTCATGGATGGATCAAACGTGTAAAGCGTAATTGGAAAAGATTGCCAAAGGTCATATATGAGCATCTTTCCATTGGGAAGGACTCCCAAGGCATGAGCTTCATAAACATATTTTTCATCTGGGGGGATCGTTATTTCTGGTTTGATGACTTGTATCTCAGGAAGATCATCAACCCAAATCCCAACAGTCTCTTCACCGTTGACTGTGTCGGAAAGACAATAACGTAGAATTTGGTCCCTAGATTCCTCGCGGGCCTTATTAGCAGGTTTCGTTATAACTATATCAGGACCAAAATTTGTTAGCTTCAAATATAATGTCATATCCGCCTTGTAAAAATCAATATCAACTTCTCCAGGTTCTAAAGGCACGGGAATGTGAATAAACTTCTCCTGAGCGAGATGAAAAGCTATGATTCGATCACCACAATAGTTCATCCAGCAAAGAACTCCACCTAAACATGCACTTCGACCTTCTTCTATACCTTCATGTGGAAGGCAACCAATGATTCTCCATGATGAATCCACTCCGATGGTCAGAATTTCCACGTGCATCCGACATGTTGTATATTTCTCTTGAACACGGACGCTGCATATTCTGAGCAACTTGTACCGTTGGTTCACGGGATCGAATCCAAAGTGATAGCTGTCAGGCGGGTCATCCGATTTTTCAAGTTCACTCGAGATAGGAAGTTGGACCATCTCGCGGGTGGCAACATTATACAGCCAAGAATCCCTGTCCCGGTAGAAACATAGAAGACCATTCACAACGTCCGTACAAGTTTCCATCTGCTCCCAGCCGCCATGGTCTACGGTATGATGAAAGACAATTTGGTTGCTGCAGCAACTGCCACCATTAAGGCTGAGGTAAAACACAGAATGACTTTCGAGTTCCCAGGGGTAGACAGAGATAAGACCTCGGGTGCCACCAGAGTAGGCCTTGGCGAATGATGGATCTGTGATCATTGATAGCCAAGTTCGTGAGACGCACTTGAACCGCATCAGGGATTTAACTGGAAGCCTTTTCAAGACTTCCCAAATCAGATCATCAGTGAACATCATCTGTGACAAAATTCCTTCAAAAAAATACCAAATGAATGTAAAGATCAGCCAGATTTTTACAGGCACGGTATCACCCGACAGCAAAGCTGGGAATATATTACAACAATAGCAGTAAAATATTTGCAATAAGCAAAACGATTAACACAGGTAGGATACGACAATATTTATTTTTGGAGTAGGATATGACATGGAACATTTGTACGCAATTAAAGTAGACATTTTATTGGTCCTAGTAAATTCTTTTTTGTCCTAAACGTTATCAAAGTGTTTTGCTGAAATCTCCATACTAAGATCTAGTGGTTGGTACATATACCCGGCGAAAATAATGTCTTGGGAGAGGTAAAGAAGAAAAGCGAGTAAGAACTAAAAATTCCCAAATAAAAAAAAAAAGAAGAAAAATAAGCAAGGGATTAAAGATCAAACTACTAGCCAGCACCAATCAAAGGTTTACCTGAAAAGAAAGATTTCTCAGACGGGTGTGGTGGTTCCTCAGGCGGCGCGGCGGCAAGGAAGATTACACAGAGGAGTTTGCAGTGAAAGCGAGTCAGCTGCTTAGCTCAGATCCAGCTGAGAACATGAGAATATATATATATATATATATATATATATATATATATATATGGGATAATGAGGTATATATAACTCCTGCATAAAATATACTACTCCCTCTGTCCCATAACTATTATCTAGTTTGTATTTTCATTTTTAGTTCAAATTATACTAAAAGTGAAATATCAAATTGGACAATAATTTTGAGACAGAGAGAGTAGTACTAGTAAACGAAGACATGGTGAACACACGCCAAAAGCATGAAATTCCCGGGCCTGCCTAAAATAAATTGAGACGGAGTTATTGACCAAGATTAGTTCCTTAGTACCAAGTCAATGATTATTTTTGAACCATTATACTCCGCGTTCTACAAACACTTACATTTTGTTTTCAATTCTTAAAATTTTGAGTACTATAATGATAAACTAATCAGATTTTCATCCATCAAGGGGAGAAACAAATGCAAGTCGCCTCAGAAGATATTGAGCATGAATTGATGTTACAGGATGCAGCTTTATCATTGCAATTAATAGGGACATACCATTTGTTTCATCGAAACAAAAGTCTTCCAAAAAGAAAATAATACTCCCTCCGTCCTATAATTATTGTCCATTTTGCCCAAAAAATTTTGTCCCAAAATTATTGTCCAATTTGACTTTTTATGGATCAAGTTACACATTTGTCCTTAGTTAAACATTATCCATAAAATCTTAGTGGTTAAACAATTACTTATGTAGGGATATATCCGGTTGTTTAAAGTAAAATATAATTAAATTTGACCAAAAATAAAATCTTTCATTTTAATAAAACTAAACAATAATTATGGGACGAAGGGAGTATATGTTAATTATTAAAAGTTTAGTTTTTTTTTTTGTTTGTGTGTGTTGGGGGGTGGGCGCACGAGCGCGAAAAAGATATTGAGATCAAGGGTCAAGGGATCCAGACCTCCGGAGAAGATACAGTCAAGATAGGTGCACCGAAAGGCACTTTTCAAGGTTATATATACCTGGAAACTCAATATTCTGAAAAGTTCATAATCACAGGGGATGGAAAGCACACAATAAGCAGCACCACATTATCGTATCTTTTGATCGTATAAATTCCCAACTGCCAAACTATGTGAAATACTCGCTTCACAAAATTCAGCTGTTCGACCAAATGATTTTATTGCAAGCGAAATAAAAAGAACACGGGGCTCTAAGTAGAGATAGACCTCTATGTGCTGATTTCGGTATGATATCCCCAGGTCCTGAGACACTCTAAATGGAATCACACAATCTATTTGCTCAAGTTCCGGATAACATATTGAAGAATTCCACCGTGCTCAAAATATGTCAATTCCACCTGCAAGCGGAACAATGATAGTGGTTAATTGCAAGTTGACATCTCAACGCACACATGAGAATACCGGAATCATCTAATGCATACCTGTGTATCAAAACGGAGTGTACATGTGAAAGACTTCCCTTTGTCAGTGGTTACTGTTATGTCTTGTCCGGGCCTTATGTCACTGACTTTATCTGGGAGGTCTATGGTGTATCGTTCGTAACCTGTTAAGCCCAACGAGTCTGCATCCTCGCCAGATTTGAAACAGAGTGGAATAATGCCCATTCCTACAAGGTTACTACGATGGATTCTCTCAAAGCTCTTGGCAATCACTGCTTTTACTCCCTGGTCCAGAAACACGGGATGAGTTATACAAAATGCAGCAGTTGTAAGAGAACGAAAATCTTGGACATATTCATAGAGGCTACACCAATTTACCTGTAGCATGGGGCCTTTAGCAGCCCAATCGCGAGAACTGCCGCTTCCATATTCTGCGCCAGCAAGAATAATGGTGTCCTGACCAGCACTCTTGTATCTCTGAGCACAAGTATAAAGTTTCAATACAGAACTAAAAGCAGCATAAAAAATTCATAACTGTGATGTCATAAATCTCAGCTGAGAGAAATGATTTATTCAGAGGACAAAATAAATCTTAATTCTCACCATTGCTGCATCATAAACAGAAAGTGTTTCCCCAGTTGGGATGTGAATAGTCAGTGGGGCCTGCTTGCCAATGAACTTGTTGAAAAGTCGAATATTGGCGAAGGTGCCACGTGTCATGATTTCATCGTTGCCACGACGGCTACCATAAGAATTAAAGTCTTTGCGGTCGACCCCTCGCTCCATCAAGTACTTTGCAGCCGGGCTATCTTTGTGGATGCTTCCAGCTGGAGATATATGGTCAGTGGTGATACTGTCACCAAAGTTTAGTAAGCAATATGCATCCTTCACTCCATGTGGACCTGGTGGATCCATGGCCATATTCTTGAAGTACGGAGGTTGATGGATATAGGTTGAGTTCGGATCCCATGCATATAGATTTGATGAAGGTACTGACAATTGATTCCAGAATGGGTTGCCTTGAGTAATAGCTTGATAGGTGCTTTTGAACATTTCAGGGAGCACACTAGACTGCACCACCTGTAAAATTCAACAGAACTCAAGTGAGCAAATACTCACACAGCAGCAACTTCAACAAGCAAATAAACCAATTTAAGTTACAATTCTCCAACCTCAGCAATTTCTTCACTAGTAGGCCAGATGTCTTTAAAGTAAACACTTTGCCCATCTTTTCCAGTTCCAATTGGCTCCTTTTCAAAGTCGATGTCGACCTGTAATACATAAACCATAGGAGGGTCCACATAAATAAATAAGGAGCAATGATCTTAGTTAAGCAAAGCCAGAATTATAGTTTCTGAACAACATAGATCAAATAGATTAAAAAATATATCAAAACGAATCAATCGCACCAAGGAAATCACATGTAACTACACTTCTTTACTCCTCTTTAGTAGGGAGGTAATAACAGATCAAGAACTGGGCATTTCAAGCATTTTTCTCTTGGAAGAGTTTCTTGGCATGACGTTTAAATTGGCTTGGAACTTGACAATCTAGTTTTGGCATAGTTAGCATTGATCTCAATACAATTTCTCACTACTATTAGTATTGAGTCAATTGATAGCCTTCTCTCACTCGAGACGTCTTCAGTTTCATTTCCATGATGATGAAAACATCATGAGGTTAAATGAGAAGTTTATACTAAAATTCCATCATACCGTGCCAGCAAGTGCGTAGGCAACAACCAATGGAGGTGAAGCAAGGTAATTAGCTCTTGTCAGAGGATGAACCCGACCTTCAAAATTTCGATTACCAGACAGCACAGCTGCAGCTACAAGATCTGCCAAAGACATTAATAAGGATCAGATCAAACATTAAGAAACTTGTGCATACAACCCATAGAGCAGAATAATTTTAGTCAACTAAATAAACCGGCAATATTGTGGGGCTGTATGTCGGTTGTTTAGATCCCAACACATTTTCACAATGTAAAACCAAAAAAAAATCTCCTTAAGTTAGTTCATAACATATTTCTAAGAAGCCAAGGGCAAACTTGGTATTCTATGCTGGCAAAAAGAGGCATCTATCTGCAGTTTTACGATGGCATTATGAGAGAAAGCCAGCCAAGTTCAACAAAACTAATAACTAACTACATGTAAAAGAACATCAACCCTATTCATCCTAAAGGCTAACGCTACTCCTTTGATGTTAATTACATTTATACAAAAAAACAAGAGCCACAAAAACATTTTCTAGGAGTAAGAAATGTTACTAGTATTGAGGACTTCATTACCATTTTCTGAGATAGCCGAAGCCACGGATTCATGTAGATCCCCAGAATTACCAATACAAGTCGTGCACCCGTAGCCAACAATATGGAAGCCTTGCTGATTCAAATATTTTTGCAGGCCACTACAACCAAGGTAAGAATATTTAATTAGTGATGCGGAGGTCCTTGTTCTTGAAGGGGTATATCGAAAAGAATTTTAAACGTGCAGGTACCTCTGCTTCAGATATTGGGTGACCACTCCTGAACCAGGGGCAAGACTAGTTTTTATCCAAGGTTTAACCTACCACACAATAAGAGCAGGAAAATGTCAAAAGTGATAGAGCCTATGCAGATTCAACAATAAACCAACCATCCGCTAAACTAAGTAGTCACTCATGCGCAGTATTTGACAAGCTGTTACAAACCTCCAAGCCCAATTCAGATGCCTTCTTTGCAACAAGACCAGCTCCAAGCATAACACTTGGGTTGGACGTGTTTGTACAGCTCGTGATAGCAGCTATAACAACACTTCCATGCTTGAGCTCAGCAGGCTGACCATTGAAAGAGAACTTCACAACTTTACTCTGCTCTTCTTTTGGTATTCCAAATCCCTGCAAGATCAAAAGTTATAAGAAGTTAGATAACTTCAACAATCCTCCATATAAAACCTGTATTAGTTCCACCAGTTTATGAATGGCTACCGGCAGCAGTAATAAACAAAAATGACGAAAAGGAACATCAATGATAGTAGCAAGAGATTCAATAAACTCGATCCGATTTCTCCACCTTAAATCCAACACTGTGATCGAGGCATGAGTGCCAGTCATCCTTCATTACTTTCAAAGGGACTCGATCATGTGGCCTGTAAAACCAAGAAAAGAGTAATGTTAAGAAACAATGACAATTGTAACAATAGTACATAATGAATGTCCCTCAAAGTCACAGATACCTTTTTGGTCCTGAAACACAAGGTTCAACATCAGCAAGGTTCAGCTCCAGATAAGATGAATATACCCTCTCTGTTTGCGGCTGATGGATACCAAAGAGAAATCAGACTACAGGCTTTGAAAAGGTATCATAACTACCAAATGTTGGGAAATTTTGAGAAATCTACCTCGTTGTAGTCAACAAACATCTTGTTTGCGCGCAGATATCCTTCAATCATGGCAACCTAAATTCATCATCAGAAGCAATCTTCAGGTCAAATCCAAATAAGAAAACCAAGAGTGTAGAAGGCAATCATGGAGGAACTCACAGTATCATCACTTCTTCCAGTTAATTTAAGGTATTGTAGGGTGACATGATCCACAGGGAAGAAACCCATGGTCGCTCCATACTCAGGTGACATGTTAGCAATGGTTGCCCTATCAGCCAATGATAATTCAGCCATGCCAGGACCTGTGAACCATGTTTTATCAGCCAAAAGTTCACCATGAAACACTGAAATAAAGGGCATCACAGGACGTAAACTTACCATAGAACTCGACAAACTTGCCAACAACACCATGCTTTCTCAACATTTGTGTCACTGTTAAAACCAAATCTGTGGCAGTGACCCCATTGGGCAGCTTTCCGGACAATTTAAACCCAACCACACCAGGTAAAACCATGCTCATTGGCTGTCAAGTCATTAAATTATTAATCAAAAAAAGTGCCCAAGCCTCCAAAAGCAATAAAATACTGCAACCCCCAAAGACAGCTTAATAACCTCTAACAATTATAAAAAAACACTTCCCAAGAGTTAAAAATGCTAGAAAGCACACATTAATTTGCAAAAGGCTGGCGAATCTAGTCAGCCAGTGATAACAAAAACAGCCATACTGAATAAAAATACAAGTCAGCTACCATATCAATTACTAATCAAAACAGAAAGAACTAATAGATATAAATATCCAAAAATGCATCTATAAAAATTATTTTACAGTAAATCTCAATAAACATGGATGAAGAAAATAGATATAACAGAGAATAAAAGCAAACTAGTTTAACAATAGTAGACAATTAAAGTTGAAGCAATCTCAACAAGCCTCCAAAGCAAGATAACAGAAAAAATGTAACTATGAAGGAAATCCAATTACCTGGCCCAACATAGCAGCCTCGGCTTCTATACCTCCAACTCCCCATCCAGCAACTCCGAGTCCGTCAATCATAGTTGTGTGGGAATCAGTTCCCACAACACTATCTGGATATAGAATGCCATCAGTGTTGAAAACAACTCGTCCAAGGTACTCCAAGTTTACCTGCAACATTTCCAGATCAAAAACAGGAAAATAAAAAATGGTCAAATCGAATCCCAACACACTAGGAACGAGGTAAGGCTTTTCCATGATTCTACAATTTAAAGTGAAATACATGAACCTAAGTTAACAAACAGCATATGAACTATGTACTCATTAATTCCCAACAGTATAGCATTGCCAGATATGGCTTAACAAAACAGATATATACTAAGCTATGATACCATAGAAGCACGCTAAATAAGGAACAGATCAGAATACATCTTGTATTTTGAAATAAAAATATTTTATGCATCTTACAAAGAGTTTACCTGATGAACAATACCAGAACCAGGGGGAACAACTAGCATGTTGCGAAAGGCAGTAGATCCCCATTTCAGGAACGCAAATCTCTCATTATTTCTTCGAAATTCAAGGTCCATATTTGCTTGGACAGCATTCTCCTGTCTTGCTACATCAACCTGAACCGAATGATCAATTACAAGATCCACAGGTACCTGAAAACAACCATTGTTGGATTAGAAGAGTACATAGCCACAGTAAGAAAAACAGGTGCTTCTATATCCCAAAATCAATACTATACTATTTCCATAAACTACTTTATAACAATGCAAAATAACACAACGGATTCGTCAATCAGTTAGGGTCTTGCTGGAGAAATAAAAAGGTGGAGGAACCCATACGGCAAGAAGAATCAAATAACGTATCCCTGTCCCTTGTATATTCAAGTCAATCTGTGACAGCTGTGCGCACTTCAAGCAGATAGCAAAGGAGATTTTTTTTAATTATTTTTATTATTGTTATTCTTGCCATTCTGATGTCAACAAGATTAGTGGGACATGAAGTTCATTTGCTCCAGATATTTGAAGAAAATACATATCAAATACAAGGCACAGTGTCAAAAGTCACTCTCATGAGCTGGGGGAGAATTTAGACAGAGACGTAAACTGAAGATTAAAATTAAAATGTAAATAAAAGGATAAAGTACCAAGGGATTAATCCTGTCGGGATCACCACCAAGATCTTTTATTGCATCTCTCATGGAAGCAAGATCCACCACAGCTGGAACGCCAGTAAAATCCTAACCCCAACGAAAAGAAGTTAGTGAATTTGTAATGAACTGAACATGAGCAGGTTTGTAATTCAACATATTAATGATCCAACCTGCAACAGAACACGAGCAGGCTTGAAAGGAATTTCAACTTGCTTCGGAGAAGTGTTTTCCCAATCAATGATTTTCTCTACATCCTTCTCATTAACTTGGAAATTGTCACAATTACGTATGGCAGATTCCAGGAGAATCTTTATAGAATATGGGAGCTTATCTGCATTTAGCAGCATCAAACATCACTAATATAGAAGATTTCACTTTAGAGAACAATTTAAAATCAGCAAACAATATTCTTCACTGCGTAGGTAGCATAGCATATGTCTTATTATGTACATCAGCACTAAATGCAACTGCAATGCTCAACAAAAACATAGCTATAGTCCGAAAGACGCATGGATATTCAATCCATCAAAAGTTGAAAAGAAAGCAGAGATGCGTAACATTCAGGAAAAGATCTATCCAGACAAACTGAGATAAATTGCATGAGGGCAGTATACTCACCAATCCTAGGATCATTCAGAGCAGTAAGACTGTAGTATTTCCCAAACTCACCACCTCCAGGTCTTGAAAGTGTAGTCAATATTTCTCTGAAAGGTTTTTCAGGAGCTGACAACAAAGAAAAGAGAAGCGTAAATATGTTTGTGAAACAAAAAAAAAAAAAAAGCACAAATTTAATGCATGTTCACAAAATATGTAATGAGATGAAGGAAATGTTATATTAAAATAGCTAAAATGTTCAGATATTAAATTGTTCATCAATTTCATTTTTTTGTGTCAAAGACTCAATACATATTTTCCCCCTTCCTCCCCCCACATTAACAGGTGTTACTCAAATACGAAGGAGAAATAATAAAATGCAGCAATAAAAAAAACCATTTCAAATCCAACCAGAAAAGGCATTTTAAGTGATCGTAAATAAGAGACAGCAAAAACTCCGGGTGTAAAAGACTGTATTCGACTCAATGGCAAATTATGATCAATAAAACTGTAAAAACAAGCTAGGAAAAATGAAACTGAAAATGAAGACAACAGGACAGGATACATTTGGCTCAATAGGTCCTACAACATCAGCACCCAATCATAGTCTAAAAGTACAGTTCAAATTTGGACCAGAACAAGTACACCAACTTTATCACGAAGAAAACTACCTTAGGACCGCATGAATAGAGAACACGTTACAGAAAAGATTGACTACAAGAAAATGGACGACCAAAAGCAGATATAAAACAGCTTCTGCAGCACTAAATCGGGTTATGGAAACAAAAATCACGATCCAATATAAAACAATCATCAAAACAGAACATATAGAAACTCAAAATCAATTGGCTGAAGCTGTATCGCCAGTGCATACATACCCATTGTAGCTATTTTCCGTTCGAATCGTTCGATGACAGGAGCAGAGCTTCTGATCCGAGCTTTAAGACTAACCGGCGATCTCCAGTCAACGCCGTGACTCCAGCGAGGAACAGAGCAGCGAAGCGATCGAGCGGCGGAGGAGTAATACAAAGATCGACAACTGAAAAACGACGGGGGCTTCGCAGCGGCAAGCGATGAGCCAGAACCAGAACCAGCGGCAAAGCTTCTAGAAACAGGAGAAGAGAACGAAATCGTGGATGTAGATGCAAAACGAACCCTAGCAGCTCTTAAAATTGCAGAGGAAGATGGCGAAGATGAAGACGAGCATGTGCGCACATACATGACGGTGTACCTTTTAAGGTAAGGAGATTTGTCAGACTCGATCAGATAAACCTAATTAGAAAATTCAACACCTTTCTAACCAAATGACGTTTTTTAAGGGTTTTTTTCATATATAATTAAATTTTCTCGAAAAATTATAGTACTTGGTCCAGTCTAGAATATAACGTCGTCAGTGGAAACTAGAACGCCTTAGAAGGAGCTCTTACTGTGTGAGTGTGTGAAAAAATGGCCGCTCGGCTGTTCGAGTTCACTTGGCAGCTACTGTGGGGGAAAATAAATGAATGAGGATGAGTATGAAGACTTTTTTATAGTAGTGACGTGTGAAAAGCCTGTGTGTGAACCGTTGGATGAAGCGGCGCCTAGAACTGGATGGATGAGATTGACTGATTTATTGATGATTGATATAGTGCTGAGAAATGATAACTAATTGAAAAAGTAAACCTTAAAAGGTCACGATTGAAATTATAGAATATATATCTCCAAGATCTCGAATATTATTATGTTGTCCTTGTCATATTCTAAAAAATGTACTACTACTACTTATTTGCATTTGGAAACACGGGTAAAACTTAAAAAATAAATACTCCCTCCATCTCATAGTTATTGTCCTGTTTGTATTTTAATTTTTAGTTTGAATTGTACTAAAAGTAAAATCTCAAACTGGACAATAATTTTGGGACAAAAGAAATTGTACTATATTTCAAATGTTTTTCTTGGTAGTAGTGGTAGTAGGTGGGAATTGTGGAATGTAATTAAAAAATATTGGGGAGAGAAAGAATAAAAAATAAATGAGACAAATATTGGATTTAAAAATTTAACCAATAATAAGAATAACATGTACTGTAGTTCCATTGTTGGCTATTTAATTTGAAAAAGAAAGGAAAATATAAAATGTTCTTGTGGTCGCCACATGCCTTGATTAGGCGAAGGTCCAATGCACACTAATACTTGGTGATTCTGGTCAAATACTGGTCATCATTAACTGGTTCTCTTGCCATGTTGCTTTTAGGACGAAAAGATTTCAGGACTTCGCAAATCTTTAAATAAAAAAAAATATTACTACGTAATCAATATTATAATTTGTAAAAATAGTAGTATAAAGATTGTTTTTTTTAGGACAAAATGAGTATATTTTATTGTAGACGATGATGGAGCAAAATATCGGTATTAATGACACGTTTCTACATCATGATATCTCTAACCCATTTTGTGATTATGATGGCTTCAACAAAATTAAAACCAATATTGCAGATATTCACCACCATTGCTTCCACAAACCGAGGTGCATTCTTAGAGGTCCAACGGATGATTAACTTCATGAAATTACTAGTATCAACAACGTGTTGCTATATAATTCGAAGTTGTATAAAATCTCTTTTCCACCGAACAAAGGAAAAAAACTTTATGAAATTACTATTCATTACTATTAGTCTATTACTCATCCGTCCCATAATTATTATCCAATTTGAATTTTTATTTCTAGTTTAAATTGTACTAAAAGTGAAATGACAAACTCGACAATAATTTTAAGACAAAAAAAACACTATAAAATGAAATCTAAACGCTCAAGATGAGTAGTAAAAATAAGTGAATAACGTTAGATTAAAAACCAAGTTAGATTAAAAACCAGGAGTACTATGTTTTATACTAGCGGAGGGATGTGCGGCTCTGGTTGCAAGGGAGCCAGGGCATGGCGTGTTTTCTGTTTGTTTCGGCGTCTGTAATATGTTGTTATTAGTTTGAGTGAAGTTGAAAAAGGTTGTATATTAGTCTCTGTAGATAAATCGTATTACATATTTATGATACTTGTACGGAAATTATATTGCAAAAAGCGCGAGAACTGTACAAAATTATATATTACGTATATTGATGATACGTAACAGTGTTTTACATGGAAACTAAATTACAAAAAGTGGAAAAACGTATCTTACAATGCTTTGTTCAAAAACTTTGTAAGAAAAGAGAAACAGGGGATATTTTATATATATATATATATATATAGGATGTGAGGAAATGTTTAATTCAATTTCAAGAATTGCGTTTCTTTCTAGCAGCAGTGAAAGACTCCAGCCTATATTGAGTGCAGTTTTGAGGGCGTATTTCCATACAGGATGGCAGAGGAATCTTTTCAGTAAATAAAGATGCAGAAACTCATGCCTTTCTCTTGAGTAACTGGTAAATCATAAAAAGTCCCATCTGAATTCAATCAGCTCTGTAACAACATAGATAAATCATAGCCTATTGAGAGCAACAAATTGGGTTTACATGAAAGTGATAAGTTTAGAAGTGATTATGGACTCAAAGGTTCGCCAAGCAAGAATACTAACATTTTCCAAAATATTCTATCTATCTAATTACTGATGAAAATAATCATACATGGAACAGTTATTGTATAGCAGAGAACCATCTACACAGTGGAGCATCTAATAGCAAAAATCACAAAAATGGCAGGAATTCTCGTTTCCCCACTTAATAGCTAGCCAAAAACAAATGTAGCTTAATAATTTTGCTACTTGTATGCGCTTACCATGATTATAATTCCCGGACTTCAACAATTGGTGTATCAAACAGAAGTACGCTATTTGGTTGTGCATTAACAGACATAGATGCGGTTGTGAACATAAAATTTGTTAATGCATGTGAACAAATGACGTAAGAAGGTGGCAACAAATTTTTTAGTCTTACCATGAAAAGAAGTTACATCCAGTCTTTTGGCGAGTATTATCGAATTTTTGTGAATGTTGTCAACCAGTCGTAGCCCTTCTTCATGTAAAGATTCTTCCTAGAGATTGATAAGCATTGACCAGCGTCTATAAGTTAAAAGAAAAATGTTATTAACCATACATTTTAAGGATAAGTGAAGAAAAAACAATAGCAGGAATGCTATTTGCAGTGTGTTACATACTCTTGATTTACAATGACAAAATTCCTGTACGTTTTTCCGATGGCATTGAAGTGGGCATAAAATGATAAAGTTGTCCTTGAACACGAAACATGTATATACACCTTTATTTCTTTGAGCTAAAGAATTATCGTAATGAACTTCTACCGATGTAAACGCAAACATATTGTTATAGCTACACCTACAAGTTTGAAAATGTTTACACTCTTCAGATTTTTCTGTATACAGTTCTACCAAATCCGCTGGCATCATTGTTTCTCGGAGTTTTATTTTCCCAGATGAACAACAAAATCCAGGTGATTCAGAATGTAAGCGTCTTGCACCACAAAATTTACAATCAGGTGCATCAGGTAATAAATCATGAGTAGTCACTATGTGTTTTAAAGGGTCAGTTGTTTGTTAATACATGTGGGTTCTACAGTGAGTATTTGTTGATTTTTCATGCATACGGGTTTTACGGTGTGTGTTTCTTTCCTGTACACGCTGTTCAACATAACTATATTTTTTTTAGTCATTTTGCCTACTTAGATGGGAATCCTAAGTTTACACTAATGCACACAAAAGGGACAGCTGCTAGAAAATGAACTCAAGTGCAGAATGTGTAAAAAAGTAAGACATAGAATAAAACAAAAGTTTCACAAAACTAATATAGAGGACATAAATGCCAAGTCTAAGTTTACAGAAAAATACACAGAAGGAGCAAGATTGGAAAATAAAGGAGTCTTCAAGTACTGAAACTATAAAAAGTAAAAACATACAATACAGCTGAAGTTGCACAAGATCAGGAAATGCACCTGGTCTTAGATGTGTTCCTCGACGTGGACATTTTCAGGCAGCTCGGCATCAAATCACTTTATGAGCTGTACGAAACATGGAGCAGAAAACTATTAAGTAGGTGAAACATCGTGAGAAACAGATCTGTAGATAAGTTCAAGTATATTCGAATCGAATTTTCGGACAAACTATAATCCCTTTTCATGAGTTGTTAAAAGTGAACTAAACCTTAGCAAATCAATTAGATATTGAAGGAAAGAAACCTCTGAAAACCATTCAAGGAATCGGAGTAACTAACTCGCACAAAGAAACTGAGAAGCTGATTTTTCTGGAAATTTTCAGTTTGGACATGCTGTGCTCAAATCATGTTTATGGACAATCTCCAACTCTGTTTTTAAATCCGTAAAAACAACAATACTCTACACTGAATGAAGACGATTTTCAAAGAAAGAAAATTTGGAAAAGGATTAGTGAGCCAAGAGAAAAACTTGCCTAAACAGAGAGAAGCAAATGTGATTTTCTGCACTTTGTAAACACTACTAAAAACAAGATCATATCTCAGGCAGAAATTCCTAAGACCAATAAAGCCATTTGAGTGACCATACAAACTAATAAAAGACTTGATATTTCAGGGAGAATAAGGAAATAAAAATATGCACAAAAAGAACCATATAATATGAAAATCGAAAACCCTCAATAGTAGTTAATCGAATCCGAATTTTTCCAAATCCCTTCTATGCATTTTACCTTTCAACTAATATTTATACTTCTAGAGTATAAATAAATGATCCATATATCTCTAATCACAATTCTTGGCTACCAAGAACCACACACAACAAGGAGCATAAAGTTTAACTAAAGTTTATAGTTTCCTAAATTCCCAAGCTAATTACAACTCTTTCCCCAAGGATGGATTGTAAATTAATTGGACATAAATAATACCTCTTTTGGTTGTTTATTGGTGTCCGTGGTTCACAGCAGCCGCTGCCCCCTTGCTAGAATCAAACCCCAAAAGTTAATACCTCTACCCTAATTCTCTCTTGCCCCCTCATTGTCAGCCTCTAACTTTCTCTCTAGCTACCCTTTCTTTCAACTTCCTTAATTTGGTCATATATGGGATTTAAAAAAAAAAAAAAGAACGTTCGGGAGAAGAGGGAAGATCGGTGAATGGCATTTGAGAGAAACAGATTGGGGAAGTTAAAGCCTGTAAAAGGATAAACAGAGAGTAGAATATATGCGGCGACCAAAATATATCCGGTGATTTCAAACCACACAAACTCACGCGCATAAACCACACAAACGCACACACATAAACAAGGCAGAGTAAATCCGGCGAGCAAAGGAGATCCGGTGATTTGAAAAATTAAAAACGCGCAAACCTTTTAGATGTGGACAGCCGATGACAAATCCCCAAGGAAAATCTGATTATTGGAAAGTTGATAATTGAAGAGAGAACATAACTGTGATGGCAAAATCTATTCTTCTAACTGGTGTCAAGAGAAAAAGAAAGAAAAAAAGTTAGCGGGCAACCGGAAAAAGAAGTTTGCCGTATAAAGAGCAGCCAAACTTTAAAAAAAATGCGGTCCGTCAAAGAGTGGCCACGGCTGCGTTTTTCACCGGAACCTCCCTTTAACCGTGCAACAAAAAGGGGATTCCGTTTATATACATTCATATAGATACAGATATAGATATAGATATAGATACATGCACACATACACAGAGAATTACACCATTTAAATTCATGGAGCTGAATGCTGCTCCTCTGCACGATGAGTAACTATTCATCATCGAATTTCAGTACATACAAATTCAGCCTACTGTTACAGAAATGCGTGAGATTCAAATCCGTTGGACCCTGTAAACAGATTCATGCGTTAATGCTGACAGCTTTGGCTGACTGGAAAAGTTTTTCACTCAGCTCCAAACTTTCAGGAGCATATGCAAGTTGTGGCGATTTGAATTCTGCTAAGCTAATCTTCCATAAGACGGGAAACCCGAATATATTCGCATTCAATTGGATGATTTCAGGGTTAACTTTTCATGGCCACCATGAGGAAGCCATTGTTTATTTTACATTGCTTCAACAGTCTAGAATCTTTTGTCCCAATAAATTTACATTTTCATATGTGTTGAAAGCTTGTCTTGGTTTAATGGATGTGCTTAAGGGCATGGAATTTCACTGTCTCGTTTGTAAAATGGGATTTGATTTGGATGTCTCCGTTGGTAATGCTTTGATCGGTATGTATGGTAAATGTGGAAGGATATGGGATGCTCGCAAAGTGTTTGATGAAATGTTTAAAAAAGATGTTGCTACCTGGACTTCAATGATCTGTGGGTATTCTAGTGTGGGAAGGATTGAAGATTCGGCTATTTTGTTTGAGCAGATGACTGTTAAAGGGGTACAGCCGAACGAGTTTACTTGGAATGCTATGATTGCAGGGTTTGCTCGGAGAGGAGACTGTGATCTAGCTTTTGCTTTCTTCTCAAGGATGCATGAAGAGGGGTTGATCCCCGACTTAGTAACTTGGAACGCGATGATTTCTGGCTTTGTTCAGAGTCAAAGACCAGCCGAAGCATTTCAGCTGTTTGTCAATATGTTGTCTAGTGGCTTGAGGCCTAATCAAGTGACCATCACGGGTTTATTACCTGCTTGTGGAATGATTGGTTCAATCAACCTAGGGAGGGAGATTCATGGTTTCATCTTCAGAAAGGAGCTACAAGTTAACGCCTTTGTTGGCAGTGCCCTTGTAGATGTATACTCTAAATGTGGCAGCGTAAAAGATGCTTGGAACGTCTTTCTCTCAATTTCCTGCAAGAACTTTGCTTCGTGGAATGCCATGATCAGATGCTATGGAAATTATGGCATGCCGGAGTCAGCCGTTCAATTATTCCAGCGAATGCAAAATGAAGGTATACAACCAAATGAAGTCACCTTTACATCTATTCTTGCATCTTGTAGTCATGGAGGTTTAGTGGACAAAGGGCTGGAGATCTTTAAGTTGATGAAAGAATCCTATGGTATAGAACCAGCAAAGGAGCATTATGCTTCCGTTGTCGACCTTTTGTGCCGTGCTGGGAGGATGAATGAGGCTTATGATATAATCACAGACATGGAAATCGGAGTAACTGTGTCCACTGTTGGGGCTTTCTTGAACGGATGTTTGATTCATGAAAGAAGAGATCTTGCTGAAAAGATGGTTCAAGCTGTGTTATTGAAGAAACCAGGAGGTCTTGTGACACTCTCAAATATATATGCAGGTGAAGGAGACTGGGACCAAGTTGAGAAACTAAGGATGCTAATGAAGGATGAAGGTGTCCTTACGATGCCTGGTTCCAGTAGCCTTTAGGAGCAAAATCTGATGTATAACACTAGATTAGAAACCAATCAGTGAAGTATGAATCTCCAACCTTAATATCTGTTTACAATAAGTTGATTTTTATCAGTGTGAAAGTGTCGCAAACAACTGGTGCTGGGTTATAAACAAATTCTCACCTAGCTCTTGCATTACAACTTTATTGATCTCTTTCTCACTCAGTACAAGTTGTGTTAGGTAGCCTGGCAGGTTGAGATTGACAGCCATAAAGACACAATTTATTTTTTTTTATCGCGAGATCAAATTCAGTCAACAAATTCCATCTGGCGAGCATCAAGATCCACCAAGAAGCAGAATATATTTAAAACCGGCGAAAAGAGAAAGTCATGGATCCACTCCTCTGTTCACCTCTGACGCTGTTGAGGAAATCAGCCAGGAAGAGAGATTTGCAAAGGATGTTCAGATGCTTGCGGACCAACAAAATGATCAGGGGGAGTAAAAGTGGTAAGAAAAAGCCACAACTTTCCCAGCTTTTGAAATGATTTGAGGAAAAATAAACAAGAATACCCCAAGAGGAGATACAGGACACCTATGAATGACTAAAACCATGCTCACCAGTTATTACAATTAAAATCAGATGAATGAAATGAAGCTATCCTTATAACTCAAAGCTATCACAGACTTTCCGATGATACCATGTTTCTTCATCATTTGATCAGGAGGGATATCTGATTTGGTCCGGATATCACATGAAGTTAACTCACCGTTACTGGTAGCTGAAGAACCAGCCTCTCGTTTATTGAATTGAAAAAGGAGCTTCTCATTGTTCCAACAAGAAAAAGGGCGAAAGATTCCGTCAAATGGTCCGAGAGTATGTTTCTTCATCCATGATGAACAAATCCCATATTCCGTCATTACCCATATACTGATGGATTCAATTGTCGTCCTCATACATCCGTTCTCTCGACGGGTTTTGCTGGTGGTATATAAAACAACGAGGGAACCATCTACGGCCTGAAGGGACTCCTCACCCCAATAATAGGCAGGGGTAGGGAATGGCATCTCTCCGGCTACCACCTCAAGGCTCATATCAAATAAAGCAATGACGGCTTCATTCAAGTCGTTGTAATAGATCAGTGATAGAATCCCTTAACGCACACGCCATGACCGGTCAATCCGAGACGGGTAGTGATTCGTCTCCAAGAATTAGACCTTGGATTGTAGACATCAATCAGGTTCGGATGTCCCTCCACGCAACTATCTTCCATGCCTTCATCCATGAGCTCCTTATGCTTGGGTAAGCACAGGACCTTGAACACATTAGCCCGTCCGTCGAACCCAAGTCCCGTGGTCCAATGCCAGAGAAGAATCCAGGAGGATACTCAGAGGGAGGCGGAGGGATCTCCTTTGTCTCCCGTGTAGCCGGATTCCAAAAATACATGTACGGACTACGGACCACCTTCCTCGAGATATACATGGCACACGCAAACCCCGTTACAAGGGGCAGAGACCTTCACGGGACAATCAAAATCTGGTACAAGATCAGGGGCAACCTTGTGGAGTGATTGGTTATTATTCTGATGGTCGAAGGAATAAAATTGAAGAACAGACATCATTGGAATATCATACTGTGTTAGTGCAGCTGCCTCGTCTTGGAAGAGTATAAGGTTGACAAGAATCACGTTTATCGTCCTCCTTTGGATGGTTGGAATGCAGCTCAACAAAGTCGGGGTCTCTGATCAAACGACGCCAATTCTTACACACGCATTGGAGTTTCAACAAACATTTGGCCGGCAATCTTGCTAGAATATCGACGAGAAGGTGCTCAGGCAGATCCATTGGCCAAGGGTCATAAAAGAAGGGAGCAAACTATAAGAATAACCACTTGTCTCTCTCTATTTATAAAGATTGATTGACGATAACTTAATGAGATTAGCCTATGGCATTTAGGAAACCGGAAGGAATTAGTATTAGTAGAGTAGTACTCCCTCCGTCCCATAATTATTGTCCAATTAGAATTTTATTTTTAGTTCAAATTGTACTAAAATTGAAATTTCAAAATGGACAATAATTTTGGGATAGATGGAGTATTATGTTTCGGTAATTACCATAAACTGAATGAATTCTGCCCGTTGTACAATAACCCTTTCCAATTTGGAGGGGGATAGCAAAAAACTCTCAATATATATACATTACGAGATGTGAAGGGTTTCTTGAAGAGCTATTCAACAAAATTTAGAGTTCCTTCTAGTAGCAATCAAGAATGGGTTCATTGGTTGATTCTCAGAATATGGTACAACTCTCAATCTCCGGCGGCCAGAATTATCGTCGGAGGCCTCGTAAGTCCAAATTTCCGCATCGTGCTCCATTCAACTGTATTCTTGATTTGCATCGATTGTCATCAAACGACAATGGCAACAGAGCGAACCATCTTCTTGATTATCTTCATCAAAATCCGGGCCCCAAAAAGACTGTTTTTCCGAAAACTTTATCTCGCAAAAGAAGAAAAAGATCATCCCCTGCAAATAACTCTGAAACAGTGCCTCACAACGGCAACAGAAACTCGAAGAGGGCTAAGCTTGTCAGCATTGAACGGCCCCCTGCACAGAATGTTTTGTCATCTGATAACAAACTCGATGGCATAGAAAGAATTCCCCAGTTGAAATTCAAATTTAGACTTCCTGTCCGAAACAAAAAGACCAATCTTTCTGGAGTACTTGATAAACAGAGTCCCCAAACTAATGTTCTTCAATATCCTCCTCTTCCAGAGAAATTCATGACGAAAATAAGGCAACTGGGTTATTCAGAGGATCCAGTTCTGGTGATTCAGAAGGAGTTATTTACAACAGATATCAAAGAAGGGAACCAAAGATTATCGATTCCAGTAAACCAAGTTATAAGCAAAGGTTTCCTGACAGATAAAGAAAAAGATATGCTTGGTGACAGGAATTTGAACGGGTCAATTAAATCGATTCTGATTGATGATCATCTTACTGAGTGGGAAATCCCTTTGAAGAGGTGGGCTATGAGTAAATCTGGGCAGTACGTCTTGATTGCGCCATGGAATAAGGTTGTTAAAGAGAATGGATTGAGAGTAGGGGTACGGATTCAAGTGTGGTCTTTCAGGATGAATGGACAAATGTACTTTGTTCTAGTTAAGTTGTAGTGTTTGTCAATTTTTAGGGTTTGCTAGCTAGGGGATTCATCGTGTTCAAAGTTTATTGCTAGATACTAGTTCAGGATTAATAAACCAATATTTTCCCTTGAATGGGATCGCTGAACTTCTTTGTAATTTGATCTCATTTAGCTTTGGTGCCTTTGTTGTTGTCGATTCTCATCTGGTGCTATGAATTAATTTTGTTTGCTTAATTGCTTGCTGTTTAATTTTTATTGTAAGACTTCAGCTATCATTCCGTCCCAAACCCCCCAAAATATTGTCATATTTGTTGAACTATATATTCGTATTACTATGGAAACATAATTCTAACAAGGGGTAGGACTTTTCGCTGTATGCAAAAACTTAGCAGATGCACTAGTATACAGAGTAATGAAAGTAACTCAACTATGATGTACACAGTGTGTAACTCAACTAGGAGAGGGAAAATAATAGAGGATATAAGGACAAATTGTTAACGTATGTATACTTTGTATTTTTCTTTTGTAACAAGAAAGAATAATGACGATTCCGATTGCTGTGAATTAATCAGAATAACCCGACTATCCCTTTTTTACCCTATTAAAGTAAAAGACATGAAGCTTATTTACCCTATTAAAGTAGAAGACATGAAGCTTATGTGGCAATTACGTATGCATCTGTTTTGGTTCCAATGCACCATATTTTAGATTTCAGGAGTCTTTTTGCCACGTGTAAGTCTCTTTTAATTAGAAGTTATATAATTCTTTTTTTTAAAAAAAACACATGTTTTAGATGCGACACTTATCTAATAAAAAAATTCTACAAATAAGAATCACTTACATTTCAAACGAATGGATATATTAATTCAAATTCAAATGTCCAATCGTACAATTTTGCAGGCTTAATATAAACAAAAAATAAAAAAACTTAAATCCAGTAATTAAGAATATTGCATTATAAACTAATTATTTATTATTCCCTTATAACCTCAGATTTATAGGTATATTATTTTAAGCCCCAAACCATAGCATAAATGATATATACGCCAAATTAATTCCTCAAAAAATAGTAATACAATTAGATTTTAATAAAATAGTAATTTAGAAGGGGCGCACGGACATCTGCCTGGGCCAAACATCTAGTATTATATTATATATAAGAGCATGTTTTGTTCCTTTTCTGCTAGCAAGAAGAGGTTCCTCGGTGAGTTTGTGTGTGATACATGTATCAAAAGAATAAGGAATATTCTGTTTCAAATCAGTTTGAATTTTCACTGTTAATATGATGTGACCAAAAAATAAAATTTTAAATCGAACTATCATTATGGGACGAAAAGAGTATAGATATTTATAGTTTAATTGCAAACAACTATATGGCTTTAAAAAAAATTTCATAGGGATACCTCCAAGTGTTTTTGTTGTTCGCCACTCTTTAGCAATAAATACATTTTCTAATTCTTTAATGTGACGTTTGTAGTTTCAGTATAGCATCAATAAAGAAAGTAAACAAAACACGGGTTATTATGAACTAATCAGATAGTAATGATGATGAGATTGACAAATTCAAGAGTGTGGACATCTTCAGGCTTCAGCTATTGAACAATTGTTTTTAATCGTTAAACATTAAAATTTTTAAAACATTTCAATCCATTGATTTCTTTTCGGTCAAATTTGACTAAACAGTGGACACACACAATTTCCATTGCAAAAATAGTTGCAGCATTATTAACAAAAACAAAAAAAAAAAAAATGAAGCTGAAAAAATAACCTGCAAAAAACTCGGAAATTACAAGAAACACTAGGGGAGGGGGCTGCACGCTGTGCAACGGAAGAGGAGTGGTAGCCCAGTATTTTGAATGGAATAATAAATTACTGTGAAGGCTGTAAGATGCAATTGTTTGTAGAAATTACAATTTCGCAACTGAAACTGAAACAACAGTATGTATTTATTCAATACCGGGCTCTCCCTTAATCTTCCATGCCGTATCAACACTTTTGATCATAATCCCTAAAAAATCTCAATAGCTGATACAATTGAATCCAATCTGAAACTATATGGTTACCTAAAACATCAGATAGCAGCACCTAAGTTAACTTAACCTTGGGAAATACATTGGTGTCATAAATTGCACACAATCAAATAGCACAATTGTTGTAACTTCTTTTTCCTTACTCTTTGAGGACTACAAACAAACACATTAGATACATATCACACCGATGCCGATCATCTTTTTAGTCCCAGAATCAAAACATGAACATGTACCACTTGTGTTTTGGCTACCAAGCAAGTTTACTGTGATCAAGCGTGTGTACAACAAAATTTACAACACAAACTCAACTCAATGAATGATACAGCACTTAAATAATGCCAATGACCCAGTACATAATTGAGAAGAGTCAATTTTGGCACATTTTTTATCATCGAAACGCAAATTCAAAGTAGGAGAAAAATCCCTTGAAAATCCCCAATCACTCCAAACTGATAACTCCTATCATACATCCTGGAAAATGCAATGAATAAACAGGTGACAAACATCTTTTCTGCAAATGCTAGAGCAGGCTTAAACTTGGGGTACCTGGTTGAAAAGAAATGGCATTAATGGTTCAGATAAAGCATCAATCAAGATACACAATCTGTTAAGTAGACTACTTGGCCCCTTACCATACCAAATAATACTTTATTTAGCTGTTTCCTAATTCCTTCTAAGGAGGGAGATGCGCTCAACTTAACCGCAAAGATCCTTTTATCTGACACACCATAACTCTCTACCAGTCCGCAAAGATCCTTTTTCCACAGAGGAAATTGAGGATCCTAATTTCTTATACCAGTCGAACAATTGATTGTCTAAGGTACCACCAGATATATCACCAATGATATGGGAGATAGCAGTGATGTCTCTTACAGTTTTAAATGCAGTTGTACTGCTGCTTCTTTTGTGTACAGTGCAAAGCATTGACCTTTTTTGAGGTCTGAAAAGCAGTTGAAGAACCATACTACTGTATTATGTTGTCACTGAGATTGAGAAGAGGATTTAAAAAGAATTAAAATGGTAGCGGTAATCTTGTCGGTGCCTTCCGAATCCGATGTTAGTGTCTTCGCAATCTGAATTGATGAAACCAGCAAAACTCATCGTCAAACTAAAATTCCAAAAATTGTATCATCTTTCATGTTTCAGTGTGGAAGAGATGATCAAACCAAAATCTATTATGTTTTAAAAGAATAATAAGAGATGATGAAAGGTGGACATAGATGGTTACAATGAGATTAGTTTTAAGAAGACATACCTTTTTTGTGGTCTTCAGTAAATCTTCTGTCGACAATTGGAAGAGAATTTTAGCTTGATAGACTGCTCTACATATGTTGAGAACAAACCATTCGAAAAAGAATCAGTAAGACTTTACAAGAGCTTAGAAGTTCATCCAGAAAATCACATTAATTTAAGAATCAGATATAAGTAGTATCCAAGCTCTGTTTTTAAACAAGAAGGGCCAAAAAAGAGCTTAGTACCATATATGCATGGGCCTTGAGAGGTTATAAGATCATTAAGTCTGCTTTGAATGGAAAAGAACCAAGCAGCCAACACGATCTTAAGTGCTTTCAAACACCTTCTTATGTGCTTTCAGTGACTATAATATGTAATATTTTGGTTGCGACTGACTTTAACAGATTTTTCTGAACTTTCCATCTGATCAAAATCAACCTTGAAAGTTACCATGATGGCACTATCTTTTCTAATTTCATAATCTTGCTTGATATCGTCAGCTTGAAATGCCTGCAGCTGGAAGAGATTAAACAAAAACAGTATCAGATCTAGTTTCATAATCTTACTTGATATCCTCAGCTTGAAATGCCTACAGCTGAAAGAAATATTTTCTCTTCCAAACAAAGTGTTTTTGTACAAACAGGTTGTCCCAATTTTTAAAGAAAATCCAATTTGAAACTATATGGTTCAAACTTTAAACATTGATATTAGCTTCCAGATTTTCAAAGAAAATTCAATCTGAAACTAAATGGTTACCTAAAACATCAGATAGCAGCACCTAAGTTAACTTAACCATGGGAAATACATTGGTATCATAAATTGCACTCAATCAAAGAACACAATTGTTGTAACTTCTTTTTCCTTACACTTTGAGGACTACAAACAAACACATAACATGCATATCACACTAATGCCGATCATCTTTTTAGTCCCAGAATCAAAACATGAACATGTACCACTTGTGTTTTGGCTAGCAAGTAAGTTTACTGTAATCAAGCGTGTGTACAACAAAATTTACAACACAAACTCAACTCAAGGAATGATACACACCTAAATAATGCCAATGGCCCAATACATAATTGAGAAGAGTCAATTTTGGCACAATTTTTTTATGATTGAAACGCAAACTCAAAGGAGGGGGAAAATCCCTTTAAAATCCCCAAAAGAAATATAATAATTGAGAAGAGTAGTATAGGTTCAGTTTTGTATTTAATTTATAAGGAAATTTAAGTGAACATAATAATTGCACTCATAAAGGCAAAACATCGAACACTTTATATACATTTCAAGCACTGTAATCGGTGAACAAACAAGAAGAACCATAGGCCACAAAAGAAACAATAACATGATGTCTCTTTGTCTATCCATCCAATCCGGGCAAACAATAACTCATAACAAATGAGAACTAAAATTTAACATAGAGAAGAACTACACAGCCTTTGCAATGGAAAATCAAATTTGCAGTCACACTAAACGAACCGAATGAAGAACAATACTGTCGGAACCACCGGGATTTGAATTCCAGTTCTAAATCAAAGGAACAGTTTTCATTCTAAAAGTTCTTAAATTGAAAAATAAAGAATGAGATGCTTGGCTTCTGGAAAAGAAGAGATACTTCACTTTTGGGGGAAAGGGAGTCTGACTCTGACTCTATGGAAGAAGAAAACGAAAAGAGAGAAGAGAAAGGCCCGAGTCAATTTATGGAATCCAATAAATGCCAGAAATATGTGAGGGGAATGACCGGAATGAAGAACAATTCACACGAAATTAATTCCAGGGTCACAATTCACACAAAATCAAACGAAGAACAAAAGAATTAATCCCAGAAATTCAAAATTAACCCGAACTTCTTTCTATTATAGTTACGCACTCAAATTGAACTACCCATGCCCCTCGATTACAGGGAATGGGAAGATGAAAGAATCGGTATCGAGATGGGAAAGAAAAAGATGCCCGATTGCATTGTGTTGGATAATTTCACTTGGCGACATGGGGAGAGTTGAATCCCTAAAATCTGTTTCTGAAGTTTTCTTCTCGCTCGCATTTCTCCCATAGGATGCATAAAGATTGGATTTTGATTTTGATTTTATAGGGCTTCAGATTTTGGACGAAAACCCCTTTTGTGGAAGGAGCAAAGATTCATGGAATATTTGCTCTTATGAAACTGCCGGTTGAATTGGATGCACAGAGAATAAGATAAAGAGGAGGAGAAGACGACAAAGCCGAAAGAACAAAGGAGTTCACCGAGTTGACCGACCGGCAACGGTACAAAAACTGGCCCTGACCCGGTGAACTCCCCTTCGTTTTAGAAAGTACGAGTAGTAGTACTCTTTCTGTCCCAAAATTATTGTCATTTTGAAATTTCACTTTCAGTATAATTTGAACTAGAAATGAAAACCCAAATTGGACAATAATTATGGAACGGAGGGAGTACTTTATAGTACTTACTAGTTTACCATACAATATCTTTTCTCCTTTTCTTCATATCTGAAATGTTCATCATTTATGGGGTGGGCCTACGAAATACATCCAAAGGTTCAGAATAGTTCGAGAGACCATTTCCACCGTTGATTTAAATTTCCCACCTCAAAAACATCGACGATCACATTACACTGTACATTTATCAGCGGAACCCTCAACTTCGGTTATTATTTTGACTTCCCGCAGTACCCAAGTTGAGCAGCAGGCGACCCCACCGACGACGGATCTCCGCTTCCGGTAAGAAGATCAAAATGTCCGGCGTTACGAGTCAAGCTCCAGAGGAAGAGAAGAAGCCTGGAGATCAACATATCAACCTCAAAGTTAAAGGGCAGGTCTCTTTTAATAGTATTTTATTTCTAAAGACATCGCTTTTAATTTTAAATAATCTATGCTTTTATTATAAAAAAAAAGAAGATGATTTATTGGTTGTCGGACATGGATCTATGCTTCGCCGAAATTATTTTATTTTTTTAAAAGTATTTAATTATTATTATTCGTTGAAACAAGTCAACGCAACCACGTGACGAGATCTTTGTTCTTTCTATCTTAAGTTTTAACACCGAGAATCAAAAGGGATTTGGGTTACAGTTATCCTGGAATTGGGATTTGTAAAATAGGGGAAAATTTTTTGGATTCCATGAAAATGATTGTTGGGTTTCTGTGAAATGAGCTGCATTATGTTGTTTGATTGAAATAATCGGAATTTTATATATTTTAGAGCGAGTTTTTGGGGGAAGGCAAGTTTCAGGATGAATCTGTATTTGTTACATATGATGATTTGGCGTTTTCGTATGTAGGATGGGACTGAGGTGTTCTTCAGGATAAAAAGGAGCACCCAGTTGAAGAAGCTCATCAATGCTTACTGTGAGCGCCAATCTGTTGATTTAGCCGCAATGGCGTTTCTGTTTGATGGCCGTCGTCTCCAGGGAGAGCAAACTCCTGATCAGGTGTTTGGTTGTTCCTTTGAAATCCAATATGCATTATTCCCGTTACATTTGAAATTCCACCACTAGGTCTTCTTACATTGTGTTTTGTGTACTACAGCTCGAAATGGAAGATGGGGATGAGATTGATGCAATGCTGCACCAGACTGGCGGTTCTGCTTATTAGACGTTGATGGATGCTGTTGAAGTAGGAGGAGCTCGCATAGTTATTTTAAAATATCGAATCCGTGTATATATTTATTTGTATTAGTCTTCAAGTCCTGATTTCTAACTTCTGAGGTATGGGTTCTTTCCTGGAATTGGTGGTATCATACGGCTGAATTGTGTGTTCGTCATTGTCGGTAAGCCTAGTTCATTCACTTTTAGTTGCTTAGGGTAAGGAACTCGAGTAGTTCTATTTTGCGTGTTATTCCTCCTCTGCGACCTGCATAACTACATTATATGTGTGTTCAGTAACCTAGTGATTATGGGGATTCTTATTGGTCTCTTTTTGATCATTAACCGTATTGTGACATAGTTGCGTTCTTGTTGCACTCCTTTATGGCACATGTTATTGACATTAATCAGCCTGATTTGTTGCTTGCAACTGCTACCATGTCAGCATAGCCGCATGGGCAGTAAGTTTGGTCTCTTATGTCATTGTAAAAGATCCGGTAGTATCCTGTCAGATGTGTGTTTATAGACACGGTAACATTGTGGCTAATGTGTTTTTAAAGAAATAACATACGGTTGATATAGTCTAACTCATATAGCAGTAGAAATTCTGGTACCTTTATAGGGTGTGAATGGCGGTATAATGTTTTTGTTTACCTGATAGCTTCATTTCCTAAATTTTACTGTATTGCAAGTGAATATGAGATTCTCAACACTTGGATGCTCTCTGCCATTGATTGCTGTATGAGTTATCACAAAATGAAACCGAACGCCTGGGGTAAAGTTCTAACAAGAGAGTTTGTTTCCATTTGCTTTTACTTTTCCGTGATCTTTCGTTCCCATTTAGCTTCTTGTAAAAGTTTACTGGTCTGATCATTCAGAACTTTCTTGAATCTTGTTACCTACTGGACAAGGACACCAGATAGCTAGCCGTAAATACCATCAGCATCAAAAAGTCTATGATCGGCAAAATCCCCATCTGAACTCGTTGCCTTTCAAGAGTGTAAAACGTACACTGAATTCACGCCGGCGTTTGAGGACATCCCTATTATCTGGTGCAGACGTTTCCCTAAATCTTGTGATTTTGCCCTCTTTTCTACCCAACAAAAAAAAAAAAAAAGAAAAGAAAAGAAACACGTTAGTCACGAGATTGTAGGTTGATGTGTCATACGCAGAAAGCACCCCAAAAAAATAAAAATAAAAAACTGTAAAGCATTTTCCATGTTCATCATAAATTCATCTAAAATGTTTTCTGGGCTCACTTTTCTGAATGGAGAAATTAAAAACTGTGAAGTACTTTCCAATGTGTACCATAAATTCATCTACGAAAGTTTTTCTGAGCTTACTTTTCTTAATGGAGAATAAAGTACGTTGTATGATGTATCACTGAATCAGATCCAACATAAGGTAGCAACTGAAAAGGTATGTTAATTGGGTCGAATTGTTGAACTCTCTTATTATTTCATTTGAGCGTCCACGAAAGACCAACACGACCCTATAAAATAGAGGTAAGTTTTTTTTTTCGAAAAAGGGAGGGGGGGAGGTGAGGGAGGACCGTGCCAGCCATTAACGGCTGGCGCAGGAGAAGCCCACCCGCATATGAGGGTCGCCTCCCTTTACAGGGAGGCGAGACGGCCTTCGCCATCGGCGAAGGTGGTGGTGCCAGATTTGGCGCCACCTTTGTCCGGGTTAATGCTCGCCAACCACCCGATGGTTGGCGCCACCCATTTTTTTTTATTTAATTATTTTTTTTAATTTTTAATATATTTAATATTTATTAGTTTAATAAATATTATTATTAGTTTAATAAATTTAATTAATTCATCCCATTTATTTTATTTGAGTATTTGTTTGATAGTTTAATATTTGTTTAGAAAATCAGGGTTTATGCTAATTAAGATTTATGATATTTAAAGAATGTTTTTTAATTACGTAATATTGTTCATAGGTTGTAGTTGTTATATTAAATGAGTTAATATCTTGTTCATAATGTATTTATATTGTTCTATGTTTTAATTATGTTAATTATGTAGTATGTTCGTATGAAATAGTTTGTTTCTTGTTAAATGGGTGTTTAGGTAGTATGTTAATGGGTATAGTTGTGACCGGCGTAAACGTCGCACGAGGTATGTACTGCACGTAACCAAGTTGGCGTAGCACTCTCTCCGGCATGTATGGCTCCTGGAAGTCGTGGTACATAATTCACCCACTGAAGATGGTCCTTGGATATGCTGCCGCCTGTTCGCGACCAAATGGCTCCCATTCGACCTGCGAACGTTACCAACATTTATTATAGTATATACAATGAAATACCCCTTACGCAATACACAGAAATAAAATATAAAGACTACCTCTTGCTCAGTCATCGCATCGAGCTGCGTACGAATCTGCTGGAGACGACTATGAATAGGCTTTGGGCCCTTATAGCTAACTGGTGTCCAGTCTCGGGCTCTGGGCCAACCATCAACACCTCGACGTCCCCGCCTCTTGGAGGGCTGCAAGCATGGAAAATACTTATATATCCATGCTTGGAGAAGGGTCATACAACCAGCCATCGTGGTACACCCTGCTCGACTAGCAATCCCAAGCTGACGGTAGAGGAATGCTAGTGTACCGGATCCCCAGGAGTACTCTGCAATATTGTCGATACCTCCGTGCAGCTCATTCATAAGCGAAGCACTGATCTTGCCCCCACTACTGTCAAGGAAGAGTGTCGAGGCTAACAAGATCCACACCCAAGCTTGCACCTGAACAGCGGGGAGGACCCTGCGACAACACTCCTCAATCAATATGTCGCTCACACCTCCGTGGCTCTATGCACGCTTTAACTCAGCCACCGGCATCCCAAGCAATCCCGCGACCTGCATCTTCAAAATTTCAGCTTCCGCAGGTTGGGTCAACATATAACCATCAAGTGGAATCGCCAAAATGTGTGCCACGTCATGCACCATAATGGTCATCTCCCCGAACGGCAAGTGAAAAGAGTTTGTGTCAGGCTGCCACCTCTCTATGAATGCAGAAATAAGCGCAAGGTCAATGTCATCATACATGGTATCAATCAGATGATACAAACCGGTATTCTGAATATGCAACTGTGCGTTCTCCGGCAACCTCGCATACCATCCATGCAATCTAGACAAACTCTTCTTCGCTGGCTTCATCGTCAGATAATCTCTTGGTTCTCCATTCCACAACTGATAAGCAGTGTGGCCAAGAAAACTAGGAATCACTGACCCATCACATGGCCCGCCAGGTACGTCGTCCGTCACAACCCAATCATCAGTTTCTTCGATAGAAACCTTAGACCGTCTGCTAGTACCTGAAACCCGAATAAAGAATAGTGTATAAATACTCAATCGAATGTAATTAAGAAATTGACCAAGCAGTAATGAATGCTGAAATTGTTACAAATACGTACCTGATGACGATGCAGCTGCCTCAGGACGGATAGAGGCACCAATGCATGCGCCACCAAAACGGGAACGAGGCTGACTAGTCAGAGGGGGACCTCTAAAAACAGTACTCTGCGGGCTTGCATGCTGAAGAGTAGTACTGTGACCTCTAAAAAGAGTACTCTGTGGGCCGACACGAACACTGGAACCACCAGGAGTGTAAGCTGAATTCAGGGCCGATAATCCGACAAGGGACTTCTCCCCTCCCCCCGCCCCTCCCGGTAGGGTGAACGTGAGTCTGATCATCAGTACGACCAATGGGGTTCAGTACTGAGTTATCTCCAATATGTATATCCCTCCTCTCAGGCGAGGAATACTCGGATGTGTCATCCTCCTCATCCACATCGTCCCCCCCTCACTCTCAAAACTATCCTCTGCTAATTCCTCTCCCTCAGAATCATCATCATCGTCTACGTTGGCTGACTCACCAAGTGGGCCAAACGTAGGATGTAAATTTTTCACTTTCTTTAACTTTTTTTCTTTTTCTGCTCGATGTTCGGCATAGAGATTGCGCGTAACTACATGCCGATGTCCAGATCCCTCAAGAGGTGATATCCCATCCAACAAAAGTTTCAAATTTTACACGTAACTTAGATTAATTAGTTTAATACAGTTTTATATTATTTAAATACCTAATTATAAAATTATCTACTATACATCTTAAGTGTACAATTTATTAAATCTACTAAGTACAATTAATAATATCTACATTTTTTTTTCATTTTTTAACCAAAATTAAATAAATATATAATTTATTATTTAATTTTAACCACAATTAAATAAATATTTTTTATTAACTCTAATTATCTACTAACCTCTTGTATTTTTTTTAATTTGAACTTATTTATTTAATTTTCCTATACTAAATATTTAATTTCTATGTTTGATATTTTTTTGAGGCTAATTACAATTAAACCGACTAATCCAATAAATATATTATCTATAATTAAATTAATTATAATAACTTTCATAATAATCCAAATTAATTTAAAAACCGTTAAACTCCCTAAAACGACAATTAAATTCCTAAAACTACAAAAGTATTATAACTAATTTATTTACTGAAGATTAAATATATAGTTTTAATAATAGTGTTTCCTAAATAAATTAAACTAATAAAAATAAATTCCTACCATTAAACTATAAAATTATAAATTTAACTAATAATAAATAATTAAACTAAATTTCATAAGATCTACAATTACTAATAGTAACAATTAAATTATAATTACTATACAATTTATAAATAATAATTAAATTTAAATATATAATATAACAAATTAACCACAAAAAAAAAAAACCGGCGCCGGTGCCTGCGCCGGTAAATCTCGCCAGGCGCTAGCCGCCTGGCGAGACTTTTCTCGCCACCCCATCGTTCGGCGGTGAAGAAACGGGCGCCACCACAGCTCCGGCCGGCGTGCGAGATTCGTGCCGGGGCGTGCAGAGCTGGCGCGGATCTGCATACCCCTGCGTGGATCTCCCTCGCCGGGCAGGGTGGTGGTGGTTTTTTTTTTTTTTTAATACTCCTACATAATTCTAATTCAAAAAAACAATCCAAATTTACGTACTTTCAGTTTCCGTAGCTCTTTACGTAGCCGTTTCATTCGATCAGCCATTGAATCTAAGTTTTTAGGAGTTTGGATTGAGAAAATTTGAAATGAAAGATTGATTTAGAAATTGAAAGAATGAAATTGAAACTCTTAATTTATAAAATCATGTAGGGGCAAAATGGTCTTTTGATATTAAATTAGGGCGCTCAAGGGAAATTTTTAGGGTGTTTAGTAGGCTCCCAGATGTTAATTACCCAGCCCGAGATCCCCATATCTTTGGAAGCTTAAATGAGTGTTCCATTATTTCATTGGTGGTAGTGGTAGTAAAATAAACGAGGCATCATGATGAGGTGCATTTGTTAGGGTAGGGTTGAATTCCAGTTAATGAGTGGGTCTCGAGATCTCTCCACGCATCTAATGCAGATGAAACAGTAAAAACTCTGTCGGTCAAATTGGAAGTACGCTTGTTAGTATATGAATATCCTTTGTGCTTATGTAAGGAAATAACAAACGCCTGTTACACAATCCAAAATGAACCCGCAATATTGCAATATGTTGGTGGCAAGATTTGAACTCCTATGAGTATTGCGATTTCAAAGGACTAGATCACTTGATCCACTTCTCGTTAACTATAATTTACAACGGCATAATTCAAATAACTGGTACAAAGAGGTTGATAGTTAGTACTTTTTCCGTCCTCAAACTGGACAATAATTTTGAGACAGAGAAAGTAGGAGAATGAGATATGCTTACAAAAAAATTAAATTTTACCATCAATTGTATAGTGTAATTGACATAATATACTCGATAGAGCTATCTAATTGCGGTTAATTATAAACCCTGGATGACGATGCAATTGAAGTTGTTCACCCAAGCAAATCCTCCCCTACTCCCACACAATCCTCCCCTACTCCCACAAGCACACACACACACACACAAAGGAAAGTAATTTGATGAAGCAAATTAAATTAAGTCTCCAACAAGTCAGACACTGGCACGTGGTTCCAATGGGTAAAGGGTATATATATACATAGAGTAAAAGAAACAAGAAAAGGGAGGACCAATACAAAACAGAGTCCTTAGAAGCTAGATCAACAATGTCAGAAAACAGGAAATGCAGAGTGGTCTCTGTTCTTCCTCTGCTTCCACAATGGCTTGCTCTGTTCTTCTTCTTCTTCATCTCTGCATTATTCCAGCTTCTCCCTTTGTCTCAATCTCTGGACTTCACCTCAGACCACTACAAAGAAGCTCTACACAAAAGCCTGCTTTATTTCGAAGCACAACGCTCCGGTCACTTGCCTTACAACCAAAGAGTTACATGGCGTCACCATTCAGGCCTCACCGACGGCTTAGAACAAGGGGTTCGTCTATTATTCTTCAATTTCAACCCACATTCTTAGCTGCAGCTCAAATTGGACGTGCATATTACTGTGATTTTTTTGTAAATTTAATTGTGGGGTTTTTTCTTCTTTTTTTTTTTCAAATTATAGGTGGACTTGGTTGGAGGTTACTATGATGCAGGGGACAACGTTAAATTTGGTCTGCCAATGGCATTCACAATCACAATGCTCTCCTGGACGGTGATACAATTCCGGGACGAAATCGTCGCTGCCGGAGAGTATCAACACGCGCTCGAAGCCATCAAATGGGGAACCGATTACTTCATTAAAGCGCATCCTCAGCCCCATGTCTTATGGGTTCAGGCAAGTTACTTTCATCACTTTCATCTGTAGTAGTAATTACACACACACAAAAATAAATAAATAAAAATAAAAATTTGAAGTTTTGTTCTAGCAAATTTGAATTCATAACTTTTCTACTAAAATCTACAAAAGTCCATATAGCAACAAATGCACGTCAATGTCACAAATGTTCCCCCAGGCCCCCACAAATTAACCTGGGAAAAAATTCCCCAAATCACGCAGGAGTAATCTATGGTGAAATTTCTTGTCTTTTGGGCTACAAGAAAATTTGGTCAAAAACAAGAACAAAAAAAGTTCGTCACTTTTTGCCATTGTCAAATTATGCATAATTAGTAGACAACTAGAATTCAAACGTTAATACTTTTTCTTTTATGATAATTTTAAGGTGGGAGATGGGGATACGGATCATTACTGTTGGCAGAGGCCCGAGGACATGACCACTTCCAGGAGGGCTTACAAGATCGACGAGGAACATCCCGGCTCTGACGTCGCCGGAGAAACCGCGGCGGCGATGGCAGCGGCGTCTATTGTGTTTAGGGAAACTAACCCACATTACTCCCACCTTCTCTTGCATCATGCTCAACAAGTAAGTTTTAGTTAGTTAAGTTAGTTTAATTGGTTGGGTTTAATGAAGTTGTTGCTTGTGTTTGAGGGATAGGTTATCATCTTCACTAGATTCAACCTTTATTTAATGGTTTTTTTTTTTTTTTTTTGCTTTTTCAAAATTATGCTTTTAGTTCATTAGCTTTACAGCCATGTTACCATACCTCCTTAATTTTTAAACTCCTATCACTATAGTCCAATTATTATCAATATATAGTGTAATACAAAGTTAACTTTTGATTAAATTTGATGCAAAACAAATTATACCTACTTCCGGTATTACTTATTTATAACAAGTCACAAGTTTGGACGTTTATAAATTGGACCGATGGTGGGTACATCTTTTTTTTTTTTTTAAAAAAAAAAAAACTATTGTTATTAAGTTTCAATTGATTCTAGCAAATTAATGATAAAGTGCTTCTAATTCAAATATAAAGAAGTAAAAAAGTGGTTCCAAAGATGATACGCAAAAAGTAACATTGCCCAAAGATAAGAGACCAGAATCGACCTTTTTTCCTCCCCTCTTCATGAAACTTTTGATCACGTTTCCTTCTCCTTTTCTCCATTCTCTCTTCCTCTTTTATATTACGTATAAGTGGTCATTTCGAAATACTGTACTAATATTCGTTCTCATGATGTCAATTTGGAAAAAAGTGAAATTCGAAATCTCAATCATTTTGTATTCATTTTCAAGAATTTTGTCTAGTAAATGAAACACATAAGAAAAAAAATCAACAAATAGGCAAAGGAGTATGTCACGTACACACACAGTCACACACTAGAATCTTCAATTGTCTGCTTATATAGCCTTAAAGGGGAGAGACGGAGAGTACTTCTACTATTTCGATGATATCGACCAACTAAACCGAAGTACTAATTTTTTAAATTCTCCTTAACAACCACGGAATCTGATTGGTACATCTTTGTTTAGACCAGAAAACCGTTCAACAAAATCAAAAGACCAAAAAGCATATAGGATTACGTACTTATGAGTTGTACTTGTGTGTTTAAAATTACTAATTAATCAATTGATGGTTTTTTTTTTTTTTTTTTTTTGTTGGTTTGGGTGTTGCAGTTGTTCGAATTTGGTGACAAATACAGAGGGAAATACGACGAGAGCATAGGAGTGGCGGAAGGGTACTATCCGTCGGTGAGTGGTTACATGGATGAGTTGTTGTGGGCAGCTTTGTGGCTCTATAAGTCCACCGACAACTCCGATTATTTGAGCTATGCGATTCAAAATGCTCACTCTTTTGGTGGGATCACTTGGTCCATGATGGAATTCAGCTGGGATGTCAAGTATGCCGGCCTCCAGATCATTGGCTCCATGGTAAAAAAAAAAAAAAAACGCCCTTCATTTTCACCTCCTTAATTTCGTGTTTAAACTTTATGTGCATCAACCATGTCTAACGTAATCTTATACAATTACAATTACCTTTGGCATTTTGATGAATAACGCCGTAACTACAAGCTACAACTTATATACAGAATAAGTTGTGGAAGAAATTATCTCATTTTAGGACAAAATTAGCTAGAAGAAGTTTTACCCTGGGATATTGGAGCCCTTTACCAAGACCCATGATGCATGTACCCATTAAATTCTATTGTTAGGTACTCAATTATCATTTTAAACATTTATTTGGGATGACCCCTCGCCATTCCCAAAGATCTAGAGTCCAAAGATTTTCCATGTCTTTCTTTAATACCCACAGATTATTTAAGCACCAAACACGGATTGGGGTTGGGAGAGTAATGAATGCAATAACAATTATGGAGTCCCCCAATCTAACCGTCAATGGAGTAACAGATTGTGATTTGCCCTTAAGCTGGGAGGAGGGCTCAAGAAAACTTTTCTACTCTATCAAAGGTCCCCCATTTGGGCACTTGGGCACCAGATTTTGGGAAGTGGGATGAAAAGCAGTACATGAAAAGGATACATGTTCTCTTACATTTTCCTCAAACGCAAGTGAAAGAAACAATAGAATCCAGTTTGTCCAATTAAAATAATGCCCTAAATGACTCGAAATAAGAAATTAATAACTGACGTTTTCATGCTTCTTCATACTCACTCAGTTTTTGAATTTAGACTAGTATATCTCACGCATCTTTCTCCTTTTCGCAGTTGCCTGCCGGAAAGAAAAACGAAGAACTGAAGAAGACTGTCAAAGAGTACAAATCGAAAGCAGAATACTACGTTTGCGCCTGTCTGAACAAGAACAACTCCACCAACGTTGATCGGACACCAGGTGGGCTTCTCTACATCCGGCAATGGAACAACATGCAATATGTTTCTACGGCAACATTTTTGCTTATGGCCTACTCTGATCATCTTCATGCTACCAATCAAATTCTAACTTGCAATGGAAGTCCAGTGACCCCAGATGAGATTTTCTCATGGGCCAAAACCCAAGTTGATTACATCTTGGGCTCCAATCCAATGGGCATTAGCTACATGGTCGGTCACGGCCCGAGATACCCACAAAGAGTACACCATAGAGGAGCTTCAATGGAGTCTTACAAGAATAACAAAGGATTTATTGGTTGTACACAAGGTTATGATAACTATTATGGAAGAAAAGAACCAAATCAAAATGTTTTGGTTGGAGCACTTGTTGGTGGGCCTGATAAAAATGACCAATTCAGAGACAAAAGGGGGAATTACATGCAGACTGAAGCATGTACTTATAATGTAGCACCCCTAGTTGGAGTTTTTGCTAGGTTGCATGCTTTGGAACAGAGCATTAGCTCATCCGGTTTTGATCAACCACTAGTTTCATCAATCTAGAACCATGGTACAGAAGCAAAAAATGGTTCTGATACCCATCAAGACACAGCTTTTGACCATGTCAATGGGTGATTGTGTAAGTTATGAGTGAAAGGTAGATGCCTCTTCTGTGCATTTCCTTCATCCACAAAACCAAAAGGTTGAGTTTTGTAATATGCAAAACATGTGTGTTTCGTAGCAATTACTAGTTAAGCAAATAGATCGATAAGATTGCAGCCATTCCACAAAAGAAAGGGTTAGACTGCTCAAAATTTTGTAACAGCCATCTCATGATGAGACGGTAAGTTGACAAAACCACAGTTCAATCAAGTTCTATAAATGTCAGAAAGTGTTTATTCCTTCTTATCAGCCTTGATTCACTACCATAGAACAGTGTTCAGAGTGTTTATTCCTTCACTAGAACAGATGCATACTAAAAGAAAAAGAAAACTCTATATTTACGAATGCAACCCAGTCCTGATACATCATGAAGGAAACAGTTATGGTGATTGATATACCGAGTACCCGTTTCAAAATAGTACACAGTAGTAAATATCCACTTAAAAGTCCAGCATCGTCCTGGCTGCCTCATTGTCACTACCATGAATCAACACTTAAACTTTAGCATTCAAAATGAACAGAAACTTCAACTCAAATTAAGCTGTAAATGAAGCTTTTGATCCCATCAGAAATGTCGGATCTTCTGCGACGACTTATGCAAGCTACCTACATCAATGACCAAGTTATTAGAACAATACAGTTCCTATTAGTGTAAATTTATATCCACTAACAAATGAAAGTTGGTAATGCTATTCATCCAATGATTGGGTTTCCCTTCAATCCCTTCCCATTTGTTTTGAAAAATCTTAAAACACCATCCTATGAGATAAAACCTTGCAATGGTTAAGGAGCGCATAATGGCAAGTATTGGCATAGGTAACAATCTAGAGATGTCGTCACTACATCAACAGAGCAACAACTCCTAGTTATCTATCCCAATAGTCCATCTCCGCTAAGAAAGAAGATCAAAGAATTAATGAACCACTGCAAGTCTGAAACGGAATTCATATGAATTTCTTTCTCTTCTTTTTTCAACTCGCAAATAATATATATGAACTCTTGGAAAAGGACCCAAGGGTCAAGCCATCTGATGCAGGAAAGAATAGGTAGGTTTCATGTCAGGTTTCAGAATCTTATTAAGAATTAAGTTTCTTTTATATAGATTATCGTTTATGTTATATGACGTCATTTTCAGTCTGTTAGTTTAGGAAAGTAGTAATATTTAGTCGCTTTAGGATAAAGCAAGGCACCTCGATTCTGCAATAGCTTTTACCAACATTTAATTTATTAATTATTATATTTCATAGCTTTCAACGACTGCGCCTTTTTAATCCCTAGAGCATGGGGTATGTTCTTCTCATTCCTACAGTTCAGTTCAGTCCCTTTCCAATCATAATCTCTAGGCCGTGAATCCAATGATCTTAACAGTTCTCATCAGAACATAACCTTCTATTTACTATCTTCATGAACTAACAGAACTACAACAGGTTTGGAGGAATTCTACATCAACTCTGGCAGCCTACATTGCAGAAAGCAGAGATATACAATTCACAGAGCAGATTGACAAGTCACATCGAGCAATTTAGGAAAACAAACAAGTCATTACAACATTAGCGAAATCTTCACGCTGAAGTTGAACTCAAAACATCAACATGCATCTAACAATTACTTAAGGATACATTAGAATGGAGTAAAGAAGAGAACATACAATGGAGAATCTCCCTGATCACTGTGAAGATTCCATCTTTGGGGCTGAATCATGACTAACAACCAACGGAGGCCGAAGAGCACGGTGATTAGCCTCCTGCTGCTTCCGAGCCTCGTACATTTCTTTCGTCTCAATGGCTACCAACCTTTTAACCTAGTACGAAACAAAAAAGATGAATCAAAAGTTGCTCAATCAGCTTTGGTTCCACTACTTTGGATAAATGAATAATGTCAAATACTACAGACCTGATTAAGCATTCCCCGGAGGGTTGGAGTGTTTTTCCGCGAAACAGTCCGGTTGCATTTGGTTAGGTGCAAAGCCTCCAAGGTACGCCTATGGAGTGCCCTGGTGCCCGGGGTACCCCTAACAAGGGTTATGTAGAGCCTCTCACTCCATTCAACCGGAACACAAGCTTTAAAAGCTTTGTAAGCACTCATTTCTCCTCGTGTCTGTCAAAAGTTATCTGCAACAACAAAAGTAACGATTTTATAAATTAATATAGGCAAACAATGTTTAAGAAGTATTCCAAACATCTGGATAAAGAGAACTGCCCCCAGGAATGGAGAAATTTCTAAAAATATAAGCAAATAGTTCAAAAAAATCACAAGTAAAATCGAATGACAGAAATAAGGAAAGCTTAAGAATGCCAAAAACAATGTAAGGATTCAATTTCTTCAGCAAAAATTCGCACAACAAATATCTTCACAACATAGTAGAGCACATCCAAAAAAGTTCTACTGGTATGATATCGCGGGAGCTTACCTAGGCACGAAGGATCTCAACGATGCAGATTCGGGTTACGGCACGGGGACAGGGAAGGTGGGAGGAGGAACGAGGTGGCGCCGACGAATGAAGACGGCCGGGATTATTTTGATATCAGCTGCGCTAGGGTAAATTGACTAAAGAGAGATATTATTAAAGATGAAGCTATATTTTGAAATTACGTCTCAGCCCTTACATCTCCACGATGGTGTTAGGCGTGACTCTAAAACTGGAAAAACCCAATCACGCCTTCATTGTTGTGCATAATATAACCTACATCTATTTATTCACCAAACTCTGTTAAGGTTTATCATCTAATCGTTCATTACAAGTTTCCTTTCTACTTTTCTATGAATCATCACACTACTCAATTTGAGTGATATGATATTTATACTTCATATGAGGAAAATTTGCATTTACCATTTCACAAGTGTCAGCTGAAATCTTGTAAGTTTCATCGCTATGTAAAATTCTTTAAGATAAATGTTAATCCCAAATTTTCAGAAATCGAGGGAGCCTATGGCCAAGTTCCAAGTTGAACCTATCCGTACCCGGAGGGTAAAATATCAACGGTGAAGCAATAATCTGAATATATGCATGGCTGCCACGTACAAAACGAAGCCCGCAAACATAAAGAGTCATCGTCATCTCATGCCAAGTTGGCGAAACCGATAAATACGTTTTGTTCGTTGATTTGTTCACTCCAACCTCAGAATTTCTTGATGCAAAATTTGCAATCTGGAGTTTAACCATGCTTAAAGGACGTCAACTAGTTAGCATCTATAACGGGTCACTGGCTTTGTACCCGATCAAAACCGCAAAATCCCTCATCCCAATCACTATTCGGGTACTCGAACGTTCATCTTGTTCTTCAATGTTCTTGATGTTATACGTTTATTTCTGTTTGAGAGCTTATGCTAAACAACTTTGATTAGTTTAAAGATGGTTTGGTTTTCCTTAATTTGTTTGCTCAGAGGTATGGCCGGTTAGATGAAAAGGGACAGAAAGCCCAAGATGCCGGGCAGAAGGAGAAACAAGACAGCCACACGAAAGAGAATGAAGAACACCATCATCATCATACAGCTGAGAGAGCAGCCTCCACGGCGGAAGAGTTCCAGCACCTCGCCGAAGAAAAAGCCCGGCAAGACTCTAGCCATCAAGAGGTTGAAAAGGTAGACCAAGAAGCTACTTTGGTTGACTCCACTTCTGGATGAATCTTTGATGATCTTCACCGTCACGAGCGTCCAGGAGTTTTAGCAACTTCCACAAACCTCACCGTGGGCATTGCCATTGACGAAAATAATAACCTTATCTTAGGTTTCCTTAGGTTACATATCCAGTATTTGTTTACTTCTTTTTCCTTTTGTTCAGAAGCACAAATGTAGCTATTGGTGCTGTACACACTACATATGCAATAATAACTGGTTCAATTACATTTCTTATCGTCGTGTTTGAAGAGTTATCCATGATTGATTGATTCTTTTAGAAGGGAGACACGGTATTAACAAAACTCAAGATAAATAACGCATGAACAGAGGTGCAAATTTCGTTAAACTCAACCTTTAAAAGGGAATCGATTAGTTCTTGAAAATCCATTTGTGATGCACGCAACCAAGTACGAACTGGATAAACCAAATCGTTCTGGGACAAAAGAAAAATGAAAAACATGGAAGGCAAACGTATGCATATTTTACCAACCAAGAAGTAACAGCTTCAAAAGAGCCATTCTGATGTAAAGACCATTCTTTGCTTGTCTGAAATACGCAGCTCTTGGATCTTGGTCTACCTCCACGGTTATCTAAAATAAACAAAGGAAAAAGAAAAGCAGGCAATTAAGAGGAAATTAAGAGGAAAGGCCAGAGCTGGACTTTGCTACAAAAAGTCCGGGCTATATCAATATGTCTTACCTCGTCAAGCCTGGGTAGTGGATGCATCACTACTGCATGTTTTTGCATCACATTCAAAACATTCTTATCCACGATGTACTTGCCTCTAGCTTCTTCATAGAGATCGGTTCTTTCTCCAAATCTTTCACGTTGTATACGGGTTTGATATACAACATCACACTTTGAAGCAACATCCATTAGGTCAGCACTTTCCTCCCATTCCACCCCATTTGAGGTCAGATAATCCTTTATATCATCCTGCGAACAGAGTAGGAAATAAGCCAAATTCCTAGGTCAGCCACTGTATAACAAAAATGTCCTTGTCAGTCCATGTTTAGCAGAAGATGGAAGAATGATGACTGCCTTGTCAGTCCAAATGTTTAGCAGAAGATGGAAGAATGATGACTGCATGCTCTTTTTTCAATCAGTAATTAAAATAATTTCTCTGTAATGCTCTGAATTCATAGAGGGAATGTTATAGCAAAAAGTTGCCATCATGTACCTTCATTTTCACAACATCAGGTGAGACAAAGTAGATTTTGACGTCATGGTATTTCGCAAGTAAATAAGCCAGAGAACGAACTGTTCTACCGTAAGCAAGATCTCCAACTAATCCGACTTTGATTCCATCAAGCTTCCCAATCTCTCGGTCAATGGTATACACATCCAGGAGAGCCTACATTTGTGTTTGAATAATGCTATCAGCAGAAATGAAAATAAACTTTTTAACAACGGTTGCAAAAAACTTACTTCACCTTTTCACACACAGCCAGTTTCAACTCGTTTGAGTTCATAATGCAGCAAACAGAAGCGATGAATGCAAGAATTCAGAAATTATTAAGTACACCAAGTTATCAGAACTGGCAACAGTATTAAAACTTTTCACACCTGAGTTGGATGCTGCCCTGGACCATCTCCAGCATTAATGATGGGAATATTGGCTGTAGCTGCTGCTCTTTTAGCAGCACCACTTTCAAAATGTCTCATGACAATTATATCTGAATAGCCTTCAACAGTCCTTATAGAATCTGCAATTAGTTGCATCGTGAGAATTAAAAACACAAAACCAACTGCCTTAACAGGGCTTACGAAATGACTACCTTCAAGTGTTTCTCCTTTTGCAGCTGAAGAAAACTCTCGCGCATTTTCTGTGGTCAAAACTTCTCCTCCTAAACGTTTCATGGCAGACTCGAAAGAAAGCCTAGTTCTGGTTGAGGGTTCGTAAAAAAGGGTGGCCATCAGATAACCTTTCAGGAGCTGGCTACCGGTTGAATTCTTCTCGATCATTTCCATTTCACGCGCCACTGCAAATATCGCACTAAGTGTTTCTCTGTCAAACTGCTGCGCCTCGATCACATCATCAAGCTGAAACTTTGTCCCAGCCAACCCCGGAGGCGAATTGGCAACATCCAAGGCTCTGCACTTGACTCCATGGTTTGATACCAACCCACCATTTGTCTGCCAATCTAATCTTTTCCCATCATTAACCCCCAGATGAAAAGGAATTTGAGCCGACAGGGAACTGGGCTTACAATATATTGATTGTTTAAATTGGAGATTTGAACAGCTGCAAACATGGTCGCTCAAAGGGACGGCCCCTCTGGTCTTGGGGGAGAGTGAGCTGCCATGCAACGTGAGTGTAGAAAATGCAGTAGAAGAAGCCATTCTAAGATCACAGTACCTATATCAGTAATGCAAGATAAGTCTATACAAATAAAGGCGTGTAATATCGGCAAAGTGGGTGAGTGGAATTTCTGTTGTAAACATTTACGTAAATGCACGAAGAGAGGACTCGATTACTGCAGAGATATGAAAGAAACTACAGATCCTTTGGGCATTTTAGCAAACAAAGAGAGGCTAAAAAGAACAAAAAAAAACGGTAATTAACTTCTAAACTTAAAAAGAAGATCTCTGAGGCATTCTGTCGAACAGGTCAAAGGTAGCGACCGAAAAAACCTCAAGCCAAAAACTTTTCATGAAAATGTTTTAATGTTGAAGGCGTTAAAGCAGAGCTGGGAGAGACGTGAGCCAAAAGAGAAACAGAGTAGAGCACCTGTATTTCCAGCAAAATCAGTGTGGCTTCCGCTCCAGGTATCCAAAGAAGACTGTTAGAGCCTGCTTTTCTTCAACCTTTTAAACAAATACTCCGAGGAGGTAATAATGTGAGTGAGACGCACAGATACCGAGGTCCGAGAGGCATTAAGGCATTGAGTGTTTTTGGGGTGTTATTATTTGGCCAAAAAATACAAGTTGGTTACATTAAACTATAATCACACTTCTATTAGAATTGAAATTTGGATATACTCGGAGTTCTCTAAGATGTCGAAGCTTTTTCGAGGTTAATAACGAACTGATTTTAATTTCGCATTCTAAATAGTTGTAGTATAAAACTATTTTCGTTTATACATTTTCTGTGGCTGTTGACAAAAACAAAAATGAGAGGGAAGTAGTCAGCCTCGGACGTACATGCTTTGGTTCAGTTTAGAATTATGCCGATCAGATTCCAAACTAAGAACAAAGTTGTGGAATGGATCAAATAAACTGCTTTGTTACATTCGAATTATCAGGTCACAATTCAAAACAGATCTTAAAACAAAAACCTCATACAACAGGGGAGCACAAAGTACTAAAGTATTAATCTTAAAAGCTTGTTTGCTGCACGAGTACAAGGATGACAGATGGATCCGATAAGACACAAATTTGCATCTTACACTCATGGAACAGGGCATCCTTTAAAAGCGCATATAACCTCCCTGTTTGTGTACATAGGTTCTCAAGAATATGCTCACACTACATTTCAGGACATGCCTGAAATCTTAGGTGAATCAGAAGAACTGGACATCAAAAACCCCCAAAACAATCAGCCTTCTCAATGACAGAAAAAAAAAAAAAAACATAACTGGAGGAAACCGCGGATGTGTAGTACAGGAATTCCGTGAAGAACAATAACACATTATTTCAGAGTCAACTAAAGCAAAGGAAATCCCAGCACCAGCCACAAATCAATGAGTCATAGTTTATTCATAACCTAGATCATAAGAGACAAAACATTTGCCGCTAAGATACTGAACCCATTTATTTGCTTTCAGTTGCTTGTTCAGTTGCTTGTTCCGTCTGCTGTTGCTCATAACGACGCTTATACTTTGCAATCTGGCCAACGGTTTGAGCCATCTGCTTCCGAGACCTTATATGGTAGACTTTACCAACCTGGTGTATCTTTGTCATCATTATGTTTATCAATCGGCCACTCTGAGTCACATACGACATCCATTGCTGCTGTGGATGGATTCCTTTCTTCATTTTCCTTTTCCTGGAAAAAACCACATTCACTTATCAAAAAGCGGGGACAGGAAGGCCTTGGAGCCACAAAGGCATAAAACCTCAAGGACAGGACAGGAAGGGCCAAAAAAAAAACTAAAGAAGCTGGACAAAATGTAGCATGAACAAAGAGTCATCTCCCATTCTGAAAATATTCCAATTGTAGCTCAAGTATGCAAAACTTGAAGAATGACAGACAAATTATCCTGCCTAACTCCCAATGTGGCCTACGAATAGAAATGATTCCTTCATATAGGATTCGTCGATGAAATTGAGCAAGAAAAAAAAAAAAATCAGCATGAGCAAGAACTCCAAGGAACATTTTAGTCTTCGTAGGAAATGGTATAAGGGCTAGACTATAATCCAAAATTCCAAATGGAGTTAAATTAAGTAGATGTTACGATTTAGGAAAGAAAAAGAAAAAAAAAAAAAAAAAGCCCGTTAAAGTTACCATTCACAGTTTCATTCTTGCTTAAATCACCGAACCTCTTTTGAACATTTCATCAAACACATACAGGGTATACTACATAAACAGGCAAGCAAAACTCAATAATCCGTGAACTGAAAGTAAATTCTAATAACATGAACAACAGAAAAAGTTTGAAGGACATTACCGCGATTCAGCAAAACCAGACTTACTCCTCGGCTGATGGCAACTGGCAAACGTTTTGAGTCCGCAAGGCTTTTTGCAATGGTATTCGTAGAGATGCCCTGTGTGACGAATTAAGATCGGGTCGCTCGCACGTTGCCCCGTTCGGCGTTTTATGGAATTTTTCCTTTTAGTATTTTGTTTTACCCTAAATGCCCTTCATTTTCCCTCTTTATTTTTATTTTGTTTCCCCTTTTTCATATTTATTGGTGATTTTTTTTTATTTCACTATGTAGGATTTCGCCTTTCTTTTTTCTTTTTTTCTTTTTTTCATAGGCGATCAGCTATATACATTAAGAACATAGTATGAGTTTGTGAGAATTAAATGAGGAAAGTGAAAGATAGAATTGCTGATAGATTATTTTGAAACGCTTAATGTTATTAAAAGATCTTATGTACTCTCTCCATTCCAAAATAAGTGTCATCCTACACTTTGTATATAGTTTAAAAAAGTCTTAAATGGGGTAATAAAATTACTTCAATATCCTCAACCAACCCCACTAAAAAAATGTCCACCAATAGTATTAATTCTTTCGAGGGTAATTTTGGAAGCTTTTGACAAAAAGTGCATTGAAATGTGAGAACGACACTTATTTTGAAATTTCTCTATTTTGCTAAAACAACACTTATTTTGGAATGGAGGGAATATCATCTTTCTCGAAGAGAATTAGGACTCATTTTCAAATTTGATACATGTAGATATAGTAGTTTCAGTTATCATTTTAAGACCTGTCCATTCATTTTTTAAAAAAAAAAACATAAAAATTTGATTATGATTTGGGAAAAAGTTGCACTCAATATCATGATGTAGACATTGAAATAATTAATGAAATTAAATGATAGTCCCTCCATTTCAAAATATAAGTCTTTTTAGACTTAGTACGTGAACTAAGGAGATAATTATTCAACAATTAATTTAAGTATTAAATATATATTTTATCCCTCATTAATTACATTGGAACTATAAACAAGACTAAATAAAAATAGATTAGCATCATTTATTGAGGGTAAAATTGAAAAAATAGTCATTAATTTGCCTATAATTTGTAAAACGACTTATATTTTAAAAAATATCTCCAAACCTAAAACGACCTACAAATTGAAATGGAAGGAGTAACTGATATTCCCTTCATTCCAAAATAAGTGTCATTTTAAAAAACTGGAGAAATTTCAAAATAAGTATCGTTCTCACATTTCAATACATTTTTTGTCCCAAATTTCCAAATTACCCTCAAAAAAATTAATACTATTGGTGGACATTTTTTTAATGAGGTTGGTTGAGGATATTTAATTAATTTTATTACTCTATTTAAGAGTTTCTTAAACTATGCGCAAAATGTAGGATGACACTTATTTTGGAATGGAAAGAGTATAACACACATAAATACAATGTAAGCAATTCTATTTACTCAAAATGTTAAATATAACCAAATATATACATGTAGGTAACAAAGAAAAAATTGGTATTCATGTCTTCTCACATGTATTGCATTTTCTTTTTTCCTTTTCTTTTTTTTTTGGTTACATGTATTGCATCTTTCACTAAACGAGTCCACTAAATAAATTTAGGACGAGTCCACTAAATAAATTTAGGGTCTCTGACATTTTGAACAACTACTCATGGTGTTCTCAAGCTAATTAACAAATTATATTTTCATAATAAATGTAGGAGTATTTTCAATCACTCTAAAGATTCGTTGACACATCTGCTTGACATAACTGTTTTCGCAGCAGGTCGACCTCCAAATAAGATGACTTAAAATTTGGACTCTGTAAATGCGGCCAGGTTCATCGATCATATCCTTATCCTTGGTTTCAGTTTCAGAAATTGGCGAAAGTTAATAAAGGTCAAAGTAGCTTCCGTGAGATGTTCTATACCATCTGTACTCTGAACTTCAGCATCAACCAACATTGGCGAGTGCAATTAGGTGGTAGTAGCGACCAACTAGAGTGAGACCTGGAACTGGAAGCAAGCTTTTTTAATTCTAGTTCGTGATACAATAGAACATCTTCAACCAGGTACTGATTCAGTAGAATAAGTAGCACGTGGTTGGAGATCAGAAGGAATTTAGGCAAGTTTAAACAAGCTTGCATTACAACATTGAAGTAATTTACATGCCGAGAGTTCAGCAGAGTTACCAATAGGTCCAATACACAACATAAACCTTCCACACAACCATGCCTATCCGGTTGCATTATTTATGCATATCTCTTGCAAGAGGAGAGGCCAATTCTCCACTTAATTACAACAATAATAGAGTTTCACATCAATCAGACCCGTAAATACCAAGATTTACGGAAGATGGCCGTGCTTATTACACAGAGACCATAGCTGGCTGAGACCCTTTGTTAAGGGCATCAACATCCTCCAGAGGTTGGGAAGCGACATCAGGTTTCTCCAGGAAGCTAGGCTTGTCATCGTCCATTTCCTCAATGCTGCCAGCAATCGCTTCAAAGATGAGAGCTTTCACTTCTTCAAATCTCTCTTCAGACAGGGATACCTCAGCAAGCAGCCTCCAAGCATTTCCCTCGGATGCCCCCTCATAATCCTCCTTCCTTTTCAGCACCATGTGTCCACTTATCTCCCAAACAGCTGGGTTGACCTGTGTGTCAAGGAGCTCAGAGCTCACTTCGCCAAGAGCTTGCTTTTCAGCATAGCACTGTTGATTCAATTCAACAAAATACAGACCAACGTTAGTCACCAAAACCAACTAGTCATGGATTGAACATTGCAATCAAAATTTCAAAGACAAAGCACGCATCCTAGGGTCTCAATGGTGCATGTGCATACCTGTGGGAGAAGGAAAATTCTTTTTCCCGAATCAGAAATGAGAACATTGTAGGGGACGTTGGAGTCCTGAAGGCAGATACAGGAATCAGAAACAACATTGGACAGATCCTCTAAGGTGTTTCTACCCTCAAAGAGAAGACCTCTGACAGGGTATTTCAGAATTTCTGAGATCTGCACACCACCAGTGGTGGTGGTAATCTTCTTAGAGGGAGCCTTTTCGATAGGAAATGGCACAGCCAGGTAATAGGCCTGTGATGACAGGAATTACAATACTCTGAATTAGTTAGATACTCCCATTGGCAAATTTCTAGAGCAAACCTAGTATAAGTATTGATACAAACCTGGAAGTGAAGATGGTTGATGGTAGCAAAGGCACCCAGGCTATTGTAACCCAACCGGAAGTATGGGTTTCCAGCCTCAGCAGCCATGTAAAGAGCAAGCAAGAAGCTATCATGGTCAATCCTCTGAGGCAAGCATTCAAGAATTCGGGGAATCAGCAGAACATGGCCATACTCAATAGGGCTGACCTGTTAAATTATGCACAAGGAACTTTATCTGAGAAGAAGAGAGAATTGAAGCATCGTTAACAAAAAGAAAAACAGTGAAATTCACATACATTTATGGCAACCACGCTTGGTGAGTTCTCAGCATCTATAGGTGCACTAGGGAAGAACTTGACTTCCTCATCCTCACTTGCTTCAAACTGAAAGAGGACCTCTTCCTGTCCAACCTTGGTGAAGTTGAATTTGGCCTCATCAAAGGGCTGCAAGACTTTGTCAACCCTAAACTCAGTAGGCCTCTTCTTAAGATGCCTGCCTTCATTCAGCTGGGCAATAAAGCCATATTCACCAGGAATAACCTATACCAAAAACATTCATTGTTTACCCCCAAATCAGATTACTATTCCCGAATAAGTTCTACTTATTAACACACTGAAGCTAAATCCAAGTCACACAATGGACAAAAAATGAAAAACAGAAAAAGGTAAATACCTTGGTTTCGCAGGCGGTGACATCATAGCGAAAGAGGCCTCTCTGCATGCGATCTTCCCACTGAAAGCAATTCACATTTGATTAAGCACCCATTACAGGAATTCTCAATTATATATAGCTACTAAAATTCTGGAACAATTTCAAGAAATTTTACCTCTCCAAGGAGGAGAGAATCCAGGAAGGGAACTGGAGGTTCATTGTTCTGGTAGCTAAGCTCAACCTTCCCACCATCAGCAATTTTGTTCAACTTCTTGAAAGCATACAAAGGTAGCTTTGAACCTACACACATTTGAGGCGAAAAGAAAACAAGAAACAGCCCTCAACACCATGAGCGCCAACAGAACCATAGATTTATTCATCTCTACGAAAACAAATTTTAAAAGAATTAAAGTACCTGGGAGACAACAGCTCCTGAAGCAGTTTCGGCCGCATCCCCCTCCGAGGCGAGTGCCTTCCTCCCCCTCTTCCTTTTGGTAGTTAGAAACAACAGTAGGAACCCTCTTGATTCTCAACATTTTTTTTTCCCAAAAAAATTTCTAAATTCCCACGGTGAATTTCTAAGTTCTTAACCTTAATAGAGAGAAGCGATATGTAATAAACTATTACGAAGCAAAAAAAAGAGAGACACTAAGCTATAACAGAACTATAAATGCAAGGACTTTTAACAACCGCCGCCGGCAAGGAAGAGAAGGTCGGAAGGGCTACCGCCTTCGGAAGGCAAAGCGCCACGTCCGCCGTGCGGCGAAGGGTTGTTGCTCTCGCTTAAACCCTTGCGTCGTACTGCCCGGACATGAAGAATAGGGCGGAGCTCTCTGTGTATAGCCGTGATGTCTGCAACTTGTTTCCCTGGGTATTACCCCCAAAAAAACACACCAATCAAACCAGCGCAAAAAAAACACTAAAATCTAGCGCTTTCCGGAACTCCAAACTTTCTGGGCAAACAAAAAAACCCAATAAATTCCTTCGAATCTAAAGCTTTAAAAAAAAAAAAACTGATGGCTGATTGAAAATTAAGGGAATGCTGATTTTTCTTGCTGGGTATGAATTGAGGGGCGGAGAGAGCAAAGCTTGGAGGGGTAAATATATATGAGGAGATGATGAGAATGGTGGTGTGACAATTGTGGTTGTGAATTTGCCTGATTGGGGGTGGTTGAATTACACACAGTGGTGGTGTGGCCCTTGTGAAATTGGAATTGAGTGGGCTGTAAAATTTCTGTATTAAGTCGATAAATTTGGGTATGGGAGAAGAAGATGAACCAAGATTTCGTCCGACCGAATGTGGCTAGGAATAGGGATTGAGTGGTGCATTTTTTATTGGTGATAAATACATACTCCTATATTACTTACTCCTTGGCTGCTGCTGGGTTATTAAATTACAATTAATTTATTATGGATTAGTCTTGTTCTAAATATTTATTTAACTTTTTTTCCTTTTACGATCGTCAATTCGTCTATCAGGTCAACTATTCTCTTCTGCCCAGTTCTTGATTGTTGATTCAGATTGCACGTAGTGACGTAGCTATTGGCTGCGCCACCATTTAAATTCTTTCTAAGAAGGCAAATTTTATTTTGAAAATTTATGTTGAGGAAAAAAAAAAAAAAAAGAGAAGGGAAGAACAAGATTGTGTCTGCTTTTCGTAATTTGTATACCATTATTGAAATTTTTTAAAAATAGTTGCACTATACATTATTGAGATTTACTCTTACTTTGGAACGTATAGATTTTTAGAAAATTATAATTAAGATTGTATATTGGATAGTAATTATATATTTCATGAAAACATTGTTTTGGTAGTTTGAATTCTTCTAGAAAATCAGCTTCCTTTTTTTTTTTTTTTCTACCCCCTAAAAACAAAACAAAAAAAAAGATCAGCAAAACAATAAGAAGGTTCTAAAAAGAATCTTAAGCTCTTGCAGATTCAATAATTTGGTATCATCACATTCACACTAAGTGGGAAGTTTCCTATAAAACAACACCTTCTCTTGCATCATAGTAGACCTGCTAATTTTCTCATATTAATTTTTTAATTAAGAATGCGAAAATTCAACATCTATTACTATAAGACAGGCGGGCACCATAGCATAAGTATGTCACTCGATGACATAATTAACCTCCCCCTTCAATTAAAAACAGTACAGTAATACGTAAGCAGGTCTCAAATATGGATTAATAAATAGTGAATGATTAAGACAAACAAATATCAATAATTAACAACAGTGTCAATAAAATGCTCACAGGTCTAAGTAAGAGTTGTAGGATTTTCTTTCACCAAACTAAACTACTACAGCAACAAGTGGTACGCGTACCAATGTCTTTTGGACCAAAACCGTGCAATTTGATTGTTCTAAATTATAAACACGTGATCCCGGCCCTGATCATTCTTTATGACATCAATTCAATATGGATATTTTCCTTTTTAAAATTTCCAAATTCAGTCTCACTTTAGACATTAGCGTTACTTTTATCTATGAATTATTTAATATACATACACTATTATTACTGAAATTTGGAACATTTAATTTAATCTAACTCACAAAGGATAAATTAGGTGAATTAGTAAAATACTAATCATTCAAACTATATTATTTATTTTTTCCTAATCTCTGCGTTTGCCTAATTGAGACTATTGAATTGAAATTGATCGAGGGAGTATCACCAGTATTATTGGTACAAGAATTATGCTCACATCTCAACAAAAGCTTAAAATATTCGAAGTCATGGATTTGTTTTGCAATCTCTTCCAACAAATGAAATCGAAAGGAGTATTATTCAATGTAAAAAAACATTAGAATATATTATTAGCTAATAATCACATTTAATACAATCCCTTAAAGAACACTTGTTCCACATTTTTTTGGTTGGTAAGAATCAAATGGTTCTTTTTGGGTCTTTCTAGTTTAAGGTGGGTATTTCTTTATTTGGAACTAATTCAATTAGTGGTTCCAATTGAGTCAAAATGTGAATTAGCCAAGTCACCTCAGACCTCTGTGTGATGGGGATCTAGACGTACTTATTCAGTTAACAAACAAAAAATACAACTAGCAACACCAACACACATATATGTCTAACATCGTGTTCCTTTTTTTTCTCTCATTTATATGTTGTACAAAAAATATCGTTTAGTTAGTGGTATCTATATATGAACTATACACTCGTTTAGCATGAAATCTAACATTTAGACCACATGCATCCATCGTACTTCAAAGATCACAGGTCGGGAGAGACATATACATACACCGTTCGATTGGTTTTAAAAGATCGATCTTATTCAAATTTGAATTAGTTCTGGCAATAGTCTCGAATACTAGAAAAGAAAAGATAAGCATATCGTCCTATCTATCTATATCATTCTTGTGCCAATAGGATGGACGTATGTAAATGTGATTATCATCCAAGGAGTTGATGTTGATTTCTTAGCTCCATGTCCATTGTCCTTTGTCCACGGGCATGTGCCTTTCAACTCTTTGGGATACGTCTACTTTATAGCCTCCTCACTCCTGGTCCCCTGCAGGCTAAAGGTAAAAAAAACCTGTTTAATATCCATCCACACAAACATTATTATTATTGTATTCAGAAAAAAAAAATTTATATACTCGTCTCAAAATTATTGTCTAGTTATATTTTTATTTTTAATTCAAATTGTACTAAAAGTAAATTTCAAACTAAAGAATAATTTTAAGACAGAGGAAATTTGTCATTAATTTTTGGTCTCAATTCTCAAAACTTTGATATAATGGCAGTAGTCATTTGTAATCTTAAATGGTGTGTATGAATAACAACAAATTAGTCCAATGTGTAAGCTTGATAATTAAAGTAAAAAAATTTACAGCTTGTGAAAAAGGCCACATTATTACAACCACAGGGGTTTACCGTTTACGCCTTGACGATATAAAGTCAGCAGCGATATTTACTTCATTATAAACATTTTTCAATTATTATACCATTCAAGTTTCAATTTCTCTTCAACAATTCTTTAATCGCACCAATGATCCACTTAAAAGTTAAAAACACTCAGTTGCCTACTTTAATAAACTCTGATTATCGGCCTCTGCATGCAAAGATAATTACAACCTTTTTAAATGGTTTTCTTTTATTCGATTTCTTACAAGGTGGTTATGGTTATTTTTCTTTTTTTGTATATTACGTATTTGGTGTCCGAAGTTATTATTCCGATTAATCCAAATTCGAACAGGATAGTTATGTTTAGTTATTTTCGGATATATGTCAATTGGTCTCCAAGTCTCTCGCTACACTCTGTATGAATTTTTTTTATAAACTCTCAAGTTATGACTTATGATACATATATAGATAACGCATCGTGAAGCAAATAAATTCAAATCCGCAGTCCATCGCTTATATAACTTTTACGTAACATATCCGCAAAAAAAAAACTTTTACGATATACAAAGTTCATGGAAATATGAATGATAAGAACAAAAGGCAATAAAAAAAATCTAGCCACCTTTACCAAAAAAAAAGTAACGAAATTTTTTTTTATTTGTTTTATTTTTTAGTTGGTTTTTTCAGAATTAAATAATAATAAATGTCTCTTTCCATCATATCTTTTTACATTTTCAATATATTTTTTTATATTTTTAATAAAAAAACACTTAAAAATACGAAAAAAAAAACAAATAAGCCACCTTGAAATAAGAGGCCACTTTGATTTTGAAGCTGATTGCATTCATGGTTAACTTCGTGGCTACGTGTATAAAGTGAATAAATAATAAATAAACAAAAAAGAGGGAGAGTAATTAAGATTAAAAAAAATTGGAGGAGGAGGAAATTTCCGGTGAAAAGGACGTTGGAAATATCTTTAGCCGTGCAAATGGAGCCCCTTGGAACGAATGGAATTGGTTGCTTCTTCATGTTTGGACCATGGAAAATTATGGGAAGAAAAATGGCGTCTTAATAATATTTTTGTAATTTTGTTACCCATGTGAATGAAGCTCCACATCCGTCGGGGACCCATTAACCCGATTTTACCCGATTTTACTAAAAAACACTCTGAATTACCACTCAGTCCATTTGAATTTCGGCGCCACAGCAAGCGAACACGCTCTTACATTCAACACCGCTGTTAAAACTATCGGTAGCATCTCTCTCCTAATTTCCATCATCCCAAAGTCAATAGGGCTTACAGAATATAAATAATTTAAAAATGCTGCATCATTTTCGCAAAAAGTTATAAACCAGTATTACATTCGTTTCAAAATTATTATACCACTTATCAAAGTCACCAAACTTGGCCATAATTACATGAACGAAGGGTAGTACGTATAAGTTCAGAAACTTTGAAAAAAATTTTAATTTTGAACTCGTATGTCATAATGTATTTCAGATCTCTTAATTGTATAAACTTAACATGTATAGGTTCATCCAAACTTTTTTATTTTAAAAAAAAAATTAAATACAAAAGAGGCTTTACCCAAACAAAAATAAAAAGATTATCAACGAAAAAATATACTGATAACATCGTGTCACGATTGAAATTGAACCCCATATGGGAAAATCGTCCATTGTTTAGAATCCTACTTATTTCCGATGTCACTACCGAAACCAAGTAGTGCGTGGAAAAATTTTGTTTCCCAAGGTCATCTATACTCGACAGGAATTGTAAAATCAAACTAACTGTCATAGGATCTCTGGAGTCCGATTTGGCGATTTCCCAATCTACCAAAACTAGTCAAAATGTCTTTCTAAGATTCGATATCTCATTATCTTGCCTCTTTTGAAGAAAAAGAAAAAGAAAAAAACAGAAGAAAAGGGGAATCTTGCTTGTGATCGAGGATATGCTGCGAGTAAAATATATAGATATGGACCTCCGCGCTTCACAAATAATGAGCACCACATATTAAATCTAGTGAAGCATATACTACTAGATTCATTGAGGTACAATTATATATATGTACCCTTTTATGTTACTGTTGTTATCCATTTGCTGTGTATTACCGCATTTGATCACATGATCGAATCCCTAACAAATTTAAATGGAATGTTTGGTTTAGATCACCATTTTGCTTCATGCGAAAAATAACAAATTCTTATCATTCCTGAGTAAAATGATGGAACAAAGGACGATAAGGGGGAAGTTTCATAGGAAGATTCCAATATTCCACCAACGTGACTCACACACAACTTCCCTACAAAATTGTACGTACAAAGAGTAGTCCCCAGCAACCAAAAAAGAAGAAAGCAATGGATTCACAGTAGTCTGGGACCAGTATTCACGTTATTGTTTGGCAAGTACGTACCATCAGATACCGGACATGAAACGAAAAGGGGAGCCATTAATGCCTCCTTTTCTTCTTCTCTTCTGGACTTTCCCACTTTCCCCGCCCTTTCCGCCATTTTTTGGAGTTATATTTATTGTTATTCTTTTTTTAAACCAGTGTGATTAGATAAAAACTGGAGAAAGCTTACGAATTAAACGAAGGCGCAAATTGTTGTGGAATATTTTGCTACCGCAACCTCTTAAAATAGTTGTCAACGCAATGATCATTTTGAAAACAAGTAATATAGTTTAATTATTACACGATGACACTCACACGGTTCACACCAACCTATCTTCTTTGTTTCCAAACAATTTACGTTCTAAGGCACTGTATATATGTTTCCAACTTAGAGTGTTGTGGCGGAAAGGGTATAAACGCAATACACTGCAGAAGTGAACCCCAAGAAAATCTCATTTCTTACTATCAATAAAATAGGACAACCACCCAAACAAGCAACTAATTCAAGAACTGATAAAATAAAGGAGGCACACGAATTTACGTGAAAACCCAAATCGAAAAAAATCACGGGACTGTAACAATAATTAAATTTCCACTATCACAATAATAGAAAAACAGTTTTCACCGATCGGTGGATACACAAGACTTCACCCAAAGGTAGATTATAACAATACTCTTCCAAAACACCTAAACCACAAAATAGGATTGAAGGAATCTAACCAAAAGAGAGTTAAACCGAAAACTAAACTCTAACTTTCTTTCTTTTTCTCTCATACAAAAATAATGCACGGTTACCCTAATTTCCTTCTCTTCTTGGCTGAAAACACACACAAAAACAAGGAGTGCTTCCTTGCTTTTATAAGCCACGACTAAGATAAATTTCTCGGTCAACCACCACTCAAAGTGGTTTGGGTTTGGGCCAAATTGAGGGGAACGGCCCAACATAGAGCATGTCTATCGGTGTGGTAGAATAAGTGGGGTTCCTCCCTGCACGTAAGCACACATTAACTCCACCCTTTTACTTCATATGCTGTTACACTGAATTCACCCCAAAATTAGTAAGTAAAGTGGGCCTTCTTCTGCACCTACAATAACTTTTTTATTTTCTAAGATAATCCGATCAGCAAAAATTTAGATTGGCCCACCATTTAACCCCATATTTTGTAGCAAAATGCAAGTAAGAAACAAATTTACGGACAGACATTACTCAACTCTCTCCAATGATTGGTATGGTAAGTGGCATGTGGTTCCCTGCTATTTACTTTCACTAAACTTGCTCTTAGAACATTTCTTCCTTTTGCTTCCATATTAGTTAAAAGTGTTAAATATCTAAGTAACTCTTTTTATGTAGTTACATCTGCAAAATTCTAATAAATTGTATGTATTCATAATTGTAACTTTACAAAGAAAAGAAAAAAAATGTACTCTCTCTATTTCAAAATTATTGTTCAATTGAGATTTTCCCCATTAGTACAATTTGAACTTAAAATAAAAAATTTTTTAACTGTAAATTATTTCGGGACGAAGAAAGTATATATTTTAGCCTTTTAGGACATATACACAATGTCTTAGGTGCTGGTGGGAATCGATAAAAAGTGATTCAAGAGCTGTTAGCCCGGAAATGATGAGAAATAGAAGTGATGTATTTGTTCATGGAGGCAAATTTCGTGGAAAATTGTTTGGCTTTCACTGCGGGGGCTGGATTAGAGGATTTTTATGGTTATATAATCTTACACATGTTATTATACATTTCATGGTTGAAATACCACATCATTGGTGTTTCTAATCCGAAAAATGTACTTTTTTCAAGTCTAGATCATGACTTAAAAAAGGAAGACACAATATTTTTGAAGTTTGTATTCTATTAAAAATAAAAATTTAAATTGGACAATTATTTTAGAACAGAAAGTATATATTATGCAAGACACAATTATGATGTATTGGGCTTGAACTGAAAATTTCAAGAATTGGTACGAAAATCAGTTGTGCAGGCCGTCCTACCGATTTGGGCCTAACCCAATCACGTGGTAAGTAGTCCATTCCAAATTTCCTATTTCAAACAACGGTAAAATTGGAATTAAGGAATATGGAGTCCACTACTCCACTCCAAATTTCCTGTCATCAAATTTTGAACGACGCGTCCTTGGATGTTTAGAAGGATGTTTTGTACAGGACAAGAGATACAGAGGGATGTTTTAATTTGTAATCAAGTCATTAACTTCCCGTCTATATAAAAGAATAAAAATGAAATAAACTAATATGGGGGGATTACTACATCAATTAGACTCAAATTGTGTCTGATTAAACAACATTTCATCCCTAATGGAACTGCTTAATCGGCCCGATGAATTATGGCATCTATTTCTTTTTTTTAACTACTTTGGTTGAAACCATTTCCCAATGCTTCCAAATTGGAATCTTTGATTTACATACATTTTGGGTATCATTTCAATGTCCGACGTTTCTTCTACTTCAAGTGTTTTATACAATAAGTTTGCGTTTACATTCGCCTTATGTGTTTGCAACAAATTCCGCGTTTATTTATACTTCCTCATCAAATTTAAATTGCTGTGTGTGTCGAATGTCGATAGTCAAACAATATATATATTTTTTTAATACAGATGTATTAAAAATAAAAATTCAAACAGATTTTTTGTTTATAAAAAAGATTATTACAGAATTTTCATAATTTGATTACAATAATCAACTTTTCTTAATTCGCGTATGAGTTAAATGTGACCTGTAGCTATAATAATGAATATATAATTTTCTATGGTTGCATTTGATCCATCAAGCGCACAAGTAAATACATGTTCCTGGCATTTTTTTCTCTTGTAATCTTGACAAGAAAACTACTAACAATACAAAAAAAAAAATTAAAACTACTAACAAAAAACCTCTTCTGTGTGTTTTCAAGAAAAAGGAACAAGAAACTGTCTGAAGATTTGGGTAAAATTAGTGCTAGGAAGAGTCAGATAGTGACACACTTGCCTTAAATTGCTAATTAAACTGTATCTTTGAACAGATTCCAATCTTCCTCTACTGGTATCTTTAGCCAACCGGAAGCGCGTGATACCGGCCTCCTCTTCCCCTACCCAAATCCGCCCACCAATTCGATTACACCAATCTTTTACCACCGTTGCCGGATTCGGTTATCCTTCTTTTACGACGTCCTTGTTGAACATCGGAGACCGCCGCCAGTTTTGACTCCGTTCCCCTCTGTATGATCAGATAGTTGACATGGACGAAGTAATGACGGTGGCCGATGCATCTTCCACCTTCCGCGCTTACCCATCGGACCCGTCCATTATGCCGTCCAATTTCCCGCTCGTTGCCGCCTTCTTAGCTTGTTTTCTCGCCCAGTTCCTCAAGATCTTTACTCATTGGTACTTTTTCTTGTCAATTTATTTATTTATTTATTTATTTTTCATCTTTTCTCTTTGTTTCTGATATTTAGCTACTGTTTATTTCTAGTTGAGGCAGAAAATCATCGTGTCGTTTTATTCTGAATCCTGAATTTCACCGTGTTTTTATATCTTAGCTTAGGAAAGATCAACGGCCTAATTTTATTGGAGATCATTGTGCTAAAACGTTCTTGATTTGTCCAGGAATTCGTTTTGAGTTCATTGTGTTCTGTTTTACGCCGAAGGTAATATATTTGATCTCTGGAAAGTATCACAGTTCCCATAATTTTCACATTAGGGGATAGGAATGATTCTTTTGCACAGCCCCATCCAGCAGCTAAGTTATCTTATGATTAGCTTAGTGACTCCATTGAATTAAGATCAGTGGCTTAACATGAGCAAAAATTTAATTTTAAAAAAATTTCCATCTAGGTATATTTGTTGAATAGGGCAGGCCTTAGTGGTACAAATAATAATTTAAGAATATTTTGATAGTTCAAAGAGCTTGGTTATTAGTGTTTGAGGGTTATTGTTCATGATGTTTGGCAGTTGTTCATTGGTTCTCAGCAATTATTTCTGATATTATGCCTGTCCTCATTGGTCTCCTCAAGCGGTATTTTTTTTTTGTATTTATGTATCTTTTCTGGCTGATATTTGAATGTGCTAGACTTTCAGGTTTAAGGAGAAAAGATGGGAGTCTAGGAAAATGCTTAGTTCCGGCGGAATGCCTTCTTCACATTCTGCATTAGTTACTGCTCTGGCTGCGGCAATAGGTTTACAAGAAGGTCTTGGGGGATCTGCTTTTGCCATTGCAGTCATTTTGGCATGTGTTGTATGTACCTTCTAAACCAGGTTTTATGTGTTTCTTCCCGGATTCGTAATGCTCAAGTATCTAGGCGATGATTCAGATTTTGATTTCATCCATGAACTTCCTTTCTTGAGTCCCGAAATCTATTGTTTGGAACATGGTGCAATGATTTAACTTAGGGTTTCAATTACAGGTCATGTACGATGCTACTGGTGTTAGGCTTCATGCTGGCAGGCAAGCTGAAGTAAGTTCCTGCTCTCTGGTCACGTGTTTTCACAATAGCCCTCTTAATAACTCTCTTTGTGAAGAATTGGTTGATTGTGTTAAAACTTTGTTTCTTGTGCTTTTCATTGCACAATTGTGTTCATTTTCCATTCCAATATAGATAGTCTGGGGATGTCCTGTCGTATGTAAGTGTCTGGTTTGGTTCATTGCTACATTTCTTAATGTAATCTATCAAATTGTGCAGTTGTTGAATCAGATTGTTTGTGAATTGCCTCCTGAACATCCAGTTGCTAATGTGAGGCCTCTACGAGATTCACTGGGCCACACTCCTCTCCAGGTTTGATTCCATAAAATGCTTTCAGATTGTTTGCTTGTCACCTTTGGTTTAATTCATGCAAAATAGTCCATCTGTTCTTGAGTCTTTATGTCCATCTCAAATGCACGTGCTGTGAAACGAGTCTATGTTACTGAATAATCAGCTGTGTTTGTGCTCTGTGCTTTTCAACCAAATTATCTGCCAGTCTTTGTTGTACATATTTTGAGATTTATGTGCTCTTTGTAAGGTTCTTTTATCGAGCTTAAATTCTTGCACCCTCCCTGTGGGCTTTTGCAATGATTTGACCTTGGATGATAAGCTACTCATTGTATACATTTTGTTTCCAGGCCTTGTTAAACTTTCTATTGGAAATCTTTGGGATAACTGTTCATTTGAGAAGAATTACAGTAGATTTTATTGACTTTTGTACCATCATGGTTGCTAACATTTCCTTTCCTTGCTCATGACCTCACACCTATTGCAAACAGAAGCTCTTATTAATTCTTGTTTGTCTTGACATGTTGATAAATAGGAGTTTGGAACCTATCTCTGGATCAGTTTATCTCTCTGTTCTCTTGCTGATTATATTGTATTGTCTTCCATACAGGTCCTTGCTGGTTCTTTGCTTGGAACTGCGGTCGCATATTTCCTGATCAGCTTTACTTACTAGAATGGTGCCTCTGGCTCTTACAAAAATCAGGTAGTGACGTGCCTGTCAATTTCATGTGGTGGCTGCCTTTTCTGACCTTGTAACATTGCAAGAAGAGAACCAGATGTTACGATTTGACCCGCAAAAAATGTAAGATGTGCTTGTTAAGAAATAGGATGGGAGGGAATTATAGTTGTGGGTTAGTGTTAGAACCTAGAAGAGGTGGAGGTGCGGATACTTTTTTTTGATTGATTTGATGGTGTCAAATCAGTTCTTTAAGGATAATCTCATCCGAAGTAGTAAGGTTCTCGATCAGTTTGTTCATGTTCTGCTCTATCCCAGTTGAATCAAAAGAATGTAGCGTTCATGAGAACTAGTTTGCTGTGCTTATGGCAATTTAAGCTCATTTCTAAAATTTCTATGGGCACCACTCTGTTGAGATGGGGGTATATAAATGCTTCTGAGTAAACCAGGTTCGGGGCTTGTGTTTGTTTGTTGTATGACTTGTAATTCATTTCAAAGGAAAAGAGTGATATCAGTCATATATGAATCCTATCTATATGTGCATATATGATTCTCTAAGTTTAGGAGTCAGAAGTCAGAACAATGCATATGGACAAGCCAACTTCTTGACTGCAAGTGGTGAAATGACGCCCGATAGAGAAAGAAAAGAGGTATAACAAAATTCTTTACGGCACATCACTGCATCAGCCGTGCAGCATAAGAACAGCTAATTAAGAAGCGCACCATAAGAAAATGGGTAGAAAACATTGATTTAACGTCCAGCAAAGGTTCAGAGTCAGCCTCCAGGCCACCAAGTAGCAGAAGTGAAATATGCAGTTGAGCCAATTCAAATGGACCGGTGAATTGACAGGGTAGAAGAACAACAAATGCAATAGAGAAGAACTAAGCTGACCTATATCGAAAAAGATGGAGCCCAGAGGACAAAGATCACAATTAGCTTTGTTTGTGGGGTCCTAACTAAACACACCTCTCTTACGGCGTTGGTACGGCCACGACAGAGAAATGGATGGCAAAGTTAAATTAAAGAAAGTGCAATGGGCTATTTTTAGGCCGAGACAAAGAGAATACTGAGAAGGAGAGCTGCTTCCCCTCCTAACCTCTCAGAAACAAAGACATTCCGAACAAAATAGGGATCATTAGCCGAATCAATGAAGAATGATCCCACCGACCCTTATCCTCCTATGTCCAATCAAACCTCCTCCCTTTTTTTCTTTTTCTTTTTCTTTTTCTTCAGTCGCAATTTCGCATGTTCTTTGGTCTCCTTGGTTCATCTCAGCTGGATAATGCAACATCTTTGTTATAGTTCTGCTGATGTTTCCACTTAAAGCTTATGGGTTTGTCCTTATAGTTTGTACTCCCAAAATAAGTTTAGGAGTTAGTTTGGTGACACACACACACACACACGATGTATACATATGCTGCAAAATTGATCCCCAAAAATTAGATCAACTTGATGTGGTGGGGAGATTCAATAAAAAGAAATGCTGGCCAGTTGCATTGCACATTGTGAATTTGCATGTTTTGATGCATGAGGATGAGATAATGGCAAGTCTTCGTCAGTTTGTCACCCCTCACCAAATCAAATCAGGGTTGATCCGTTTTAATTATAAGGGGTCATTTCATATTAATACCATAAGCATCACAACCGTAATTGCTAATCTTTATTATAGTATTGTAGATAGACCTTAGTATTCTACTACCCTACTCTTGCTAGCTACTAGGGATGGGCTGGATTGGGCAAAAAAAAAAATTTATATCATAATTTTATATTCTTTCATCCAATAATAAGTTATTGTGTTAGTTAAATTTAAAAAATTAGATAATATTTAAAGAAATACATGTGAAACACACAATTCAGTGATTTAGAAAGTAATATAAAATTATGATATAGGAGATTATTAGCGATGGTTTGCTAATTACTTTACATCATGAATTGACTGACGTAAACCAACAAAAAAAAGGAGTATTAATTCGATTTGATTTTGGTAAGTTGGAACAATCGAAATGACTTTTGAACACCAAGCGTGTATATATGAAAAAAAAAATGCATTTTTTCAATCTCTATTTTATTTTGTTACATTTTCGGAGTGCTTCTGCTATAGCTAGTGTCATGAACCCAAAATTTAATCCCATCAATTAGGCTCCGTTCGATAATAACTGAAGTCTGAATCTGAACACTTAACACTTAATACTGAAGTCTGAAGTTTAAAGACTGAATTTATATTGTTTGATAAAAACGTCTGAATTTGATGTTTGAAAACTGAAGTTTGAAGTCTGAAAACTAAATCTGAATACTCAGGTCTGAAAGTTATTTAAAATTTTAATATCATTAAAATTGAATTATAAATAAAATTCTTTTAAATAAAAAAATAATTAATATTTTGTTCTAAATAATAGAATCATAATTTTAAAATAAGTTTTTGGTATATATAATGAAAGTAGATATTACACTTGGTAAATAATCAATATATAATTAAATTTAGATTATTGCATATATATGTATCCCTTGTTATTTAGCAAATTTCATATATTAGAATTAGTTTAATTTGAGTTTGAAAGTTTGAGATTTTTTATACTCATAATATAAATTCAACTTTAAGCACTCTTAATTAATTCATCTAAAGAAAATAAAAATTTTAAAATAAGCGTCGAAATAAAGACGAAGGAAAAAAAGAAAAAAAGAAAAAAGAGAAAAAAGAGTCATTATAGAAATTAAGTGATAAGTGATAAGTGTTAGGCCTATCACTTATTTTTTGGCTCACAATTGAACTGGGCATTCAGACGCACTTAATTAATTCAGATAGTAAAATTTTAGTTATCAAACACACTTAATTTATAAGTACTTAATTAATTCAGAATTTAATTCATTAAGACTTTTTAGTAGTAATTATTAAATACACTTAATTTCATTAAGTACTTAAATAAATTAAGTTACTATATTAAATGATTATCAAACAGACCTTAGATTTTGACGGAAAAAAAAAAACAAAAAAGAAACACAATCCAAAAGAACAAGAAACCACGAGGTTAACCATGTAGTCTACGGTAAATAATATTAAGCTCCTAGGTACACCTTGCAAGGTGTACCTAGCAGTGCGTGTATATCATCCAAAGCCAGAAAAAAAATGGGCAATTTATCCTGATTTTTATGTTTTCACGCGCATCATTTAATCCCGCATTTAATCACCCAATTTTATCCCTTTTTTTTGGCATTTTATCCCCTTTTTTTTGGCATTTAACCCCTTGATTTTATCCCCTTTTTTTAACACACGTTTAATTTTAAATCTTTTTTTTTTGCTTATCATGTTAGTTTTTATATTATTTTATTTTATGAGATAATTTTTTATAACGATGGATTTTATTTTGGTAAAATTGACTATGGTGAATCATTGAGACTTATGAATATGGAGAATCAATGTGTATTTTTTCGGTAATGAATAACTGACGTTTAGACAATGAATAATATTATGCAATTATTGAAAGATGAATGATGTAGAATGTATTCGTTTTATTTGTGAATATACATGCGTAAGGTGATGCGTAATATACTGATGAACATGAATTTTATTATTTTTTTTTTGGCAGATGATGTATCATCTTGTTAAGATTTTACGATGAGTATCTTATTTTAAGTAATAAATAACAAGTTGTTATTGATGAATAACATATATTGTGCTTATTGGACGATGTTTCAACTCTGAGGAAGAGGATTTTGCTACCGGTAATATCAACGTTATGGACGTGATGAATAATGATATTCTTATAGTGATAATGTTATGCACGAATAAATTTAAATTTTGTAATGAATAACGATATTCACAAAGATGAATAACGATGCAAACCTGATGAATAATGATCTCATCCTAAATGAATAACAATATTGCAATCAAGAATAGTTGTAGTTTTACAAAATGAATAATTGTACTTTAATGAATGCATAATATACGTTACTAGATGAATAACTTTGATAACAAGAATATATATTACAATGGGTTAATATTAGCAACTAAACTAGCAAACTTCTAATTATGTATTATACTAGATAAAAAATAAATAAAAAAACTAGTCATTGTTTTTAATATATAAGGTCTTGAAGGATGTGCCGATGTTCGATACACGTTTATGTTGATTGTTTGATTTCAGCAACTCTGGCAAAATATTTAATTCTCGGCCGATCGACTTCATCTTGATGAGCATTTCTTTGCTGCTGATCAAACAAAAAGAACATTATAATAAGTGAGATTTTACATTCAATCAAAACTCTGTTAATCATCAATAACAATACTATTGAAGATGAATAATCATTATTGGACGATTTTTTAATTGTGTTAATTAATATCAACGTATCAGATGTATCACAAAATTAATGAACAAATTTTTGTGAATTAATAAATAACTGTACATAGATGACGAATACACATTTTGACAATGACAAGATATCATGTACTTTTTTCAGATTATGAAATTGAAAAATTAATAATCATTGTCGATCCAATGAATATCATCCCTTCACGGATGAATAGCACAACAACACAATATAATAAATACCAAACACCAATCTGATGAAGAAAATTAACGGATGCATAATACATATTTATGATAAATGATAAATATGACAATTTCAATAATGAATAATTATACAAAACTGATGAATAATTATACATATCTAATGCATAGTACATAACTAGTTTTATGTTCTGTTCCTTGTCGAGCCAGTGAATAACATCCATTTGCGGACGAATATCCAAAAAAAAAAAACACAATCTGATGAATACCAAATACCAAACTGATGAAGAAAATTAACGAATGGATAATACATATTTATGGTCAACGATGGATCTGACAATGTCAACAATGAATAACCATACAAGCCTGATGAATAATATCCAGATCTACTAATTTTTCAAACTGATAAATAATACAAAGATCTAGTGATTTACCAAAAAATAATCCCAAATAGTTATGGTAAACGATGAATTCGATAATTTCAACAATGAATAATTATACCAAACTGATGAATAATATAAAGATCTACTAACTTACCAAAAAAAAAATACTACATAGTTATGGTGAACAATGAATCTGACAATTTCAACAATGAATAATTATACTAACCTGATGAATAATACACAAATCTAGCAATTTACCAGAAAAACAACATCTAATCGAAAAACAAAACTCTAAAATTGATGAACAAACATTGTCAACCGAGTGAATATAACTTACATCTATGCACAAAACTAAAAATTAATGAACAAACATCTCAAATCGAGTGAAAATACCTTAGATTTACATAACCGAACCGTGAAAACACATCGATTGTTGAAGAGAATAGTAGTATTACCTCATTTCTTCTTCATCTTTCGATGTGCTCATACTCGGTTCAGATTCCTCAATCGCAGGCTTCTATATGAATATTTCAGAAAACAAAAACGACATTATTAGAACTTGATAGATGCAATAAACACACAAAATCGATGAATTAGACCATATATTACCTTAAATCTCAGTCGGAGTAGAGTATATCGCAACCCTGAAGTTTTGGTTTGAGACGTACTGGATTGAATCGAAAAGAAAGTTGGATAGGGTTAATGGCCGGATTAGGAGCAAACAACGGTTACCGAAAATCAAAAAGTCGCACATAATGGGGGTACTAATGGGCGCGTGTAAACACTCGGATGACATTGTTGTAAATATTGAGAGTTCTCCTTTTTTTGGTCGTGTGAGTTTCACCCTAGAAGTACCTAGGATCCCTATATTATATTGTGTAGTCTACCGCGAAATTAATTCACACCTATCATTTTCTTCTTCTTCTTCTCTTTAGTTTCTCCCTAAGATTTTGTCGTGCTTCACTTTTTATGAAACTCGTAGGGAATGGGATAAAGGCAACCTACGAACATATTCTTCCAAGCTTTCTTTTTTGGAGTCTTTAGCATATTAATTGATAGGTCCCCTCCCCCCCCATTTCTACCCTACCATACTGATCATCAACCAACAACAATAATTCTAACTTTTCTGCTATACATCTTCTTGGGTTTTTTTTTTCCCCCCTTTTTAATCCATGGACAAATTTAAGTTCTTTCAGATTCTAAAGCTCTCGGTTATGGTCATTCTACTTTGCATCACCCCTTTTTTATCCGCATCATTAAGGCCTCCCTACATATATTTCATTGTTAATCTTCTCATCATTGCACTTGGTGCTGAAGCCGGCCTTCTTCCCTTCCTATTCAAAAGCACAGAGTCTGATAACAAAACCAGTACTACTACCAGTTTTTCTACTCTTGATGATCATAATGTCGCAGCTCAAAAACCCGGTTTGGTTTCCTCCGAGGATACATTTTACAATAAAGAAAAAACGGCTGAAATCGCCACCGGGACTGGAAACCGGGAAGGAGAAAAACCAGCAAAGGCGGTTGAGAAATCATCATCTGAGAAGGTTGTTATTGGTCAGGTGGCCTATAAGGTAGTGAGAAAGAGCCCTTCTATGCCAAGCCTTTTTTTCATTGGAGATGATCAGGTAGAAGAAGTATTAATAGATCATGATCAGTTGATTGAAGAGGGGAGAAATGCAGATGATTATGAAGAAGGGGAAGATGGGGATGATGATCATGAAATTAATGGTCAGGAACTGTTTCATCAGGCAGAGACATTTATTGGCAACTTCCACAAACATTTGAGGATGCAAAGGGAAGACTCGTGGAATAAACTTCAAGAGCTTTGTCACCAAGCTTTTTGATGAGGTTAATTTTTTGAGCTGCATGCATGGTTCAAGATTTGGGTATCTATCACTATTAATCTCATGATTTACGTACTAATTAAATAAAATAGCTAATCATTACTAGTTTCTAGATTGGAGACACAAAACACTATCTTCATTGATCTTTCTTTTTTAAAAGGATAGTGATATTTGTTGGATTATTAATCGATCGTACTCATGTTTCAGTTTTAGTGGATTAAATAACATAACAGATATGACTATTATTTTTTGATGGAGATGATAGTCATTGCTTGCTTGGGACTAGAGCTAATGGTTATAGGGTTTATAGTTCATATGGTAGCAAAAGAACCAAGCCCAAATTGAAGAATACCAGTGTATATAATCCATACTTTCTGTCCTATAATGATTGTTTACGTGCGAAAGAAATTGTCCGTAAAATATATAGATTATTTGATGTACGTGTGCTATCTTATTTCTGGATATGTAAACTTGAGTAATTATGAATTTTATATCTAGTTTTTTTCATCGATGGATTCCATCTCTTGCATTGATATTCACGTTAGTCTTCGAGATTTTACTGGCAACATAAGTCGAAGTAAGAGGCGTAAATGTACATAATTAACCTTCCCCTCTTTCTTTTTATTTTAGTTTTTCTTTTTGTCACAAATGATTTTATTTCCTACTAGTGGTGACTATTTTTAAGTTATCGGAGTTTCTCTTCAATCGAACAACTCGACATGCCAAAGAAAGCACGTATAGTTTAGCATGGCCGGAAAACGCCAAACTGGAGTCTGATTAACGTGAAATTAAGAAGGAAAGTCTACCAACTTTTTGCATGGGATTCACTTGTCCAAGAAATCAATAAAATTATAGTACTATGGTTTCAGTCCAGGAATCTGACAGCTAATTGGACTTTGTTTTATCAACGGAAAAAAAAAAAAAAACATTCATAAACGACTTGAACATATGGGTTCTGCTAATGATCAGACCTTTTCACTGGCTTTGTAATCCGTGCATGAATGTGAGAATACCTATGATTTGTGTTACACAAAAACTCAGAAAATTTATTAATTTCTACAACAACTAGTATCTGGATTTGTTACGATCATCAAGATTAACTATATATATTGATCATATGCGCCAATCACCGTCACTGGCCTCTTTCTCTACGGTAACATTTATTTATTACTTTGCTAATTCACTGTTCACGCCATATGATTTTTTAAAGAAAAATTTTTTATAAGGAACAAATTTGAGTTGGGAATACTCAAAACACGACATGCTGTTACACTGAGATCCAACTATATACATATATAGACCTAATATTATATTCATTTAACACATGGTAAATCAACTTGTATTGTAGTAGTAAGGACTAGTGAATAAGACAAGAATATCAAATAGGGAGACTCATGGGCAGAAGAAAAGAAAAGATTCATTCAGACTTGGTGGAGAATATTTTGACTCCTTTGTCATATATGATATGATATAACACACTAATTTATTAAATCGTGCTCAGTTTTTCACATTAGCATCAATATTAATTTATATGTCATTTTTGATATACACATCACACAGGAAGAGATTTTGAACAGCAGCCATTGGAGTTAAAGAAGAAGGATATGGAGGAACCAAAGAAACCAGGTTGCAGCTCAAGTTTAGTAGTCAGCTTGCTCATCATCACATTCCCTTTGGTCTACTTTGCTTTTTTTCAGATTGATCAATGTAAAATATTAGCTTTAACTTTGATCTAACATACTCTTTTTATTTAATCTTTCATATGATAGTACAACAAAGCAGATTTGCTCATTTACACATTGGTTTCGGCTTCGAGTTGTCTTTTGTAGTGAAGGCGCATTTCGCAAATTGGCCGGATATCAAACCAGGATCAGGGAACTTGCAAAAAGATGCCAACAATGTGAAAGACCCCTTCCAGAGGCTAATGAGAGGTGTGGCATTTTCTTCACCTTTTCCCTTCTTGTTGTACTTCATGAAACATCAAAGATTCTGCTACATTATCAATAATGACAAGATTTTCTTGAAATATGAACTGGGAAATGGCGATTTCGCAAGAAATAGTCGTAGCTACACAATTTGCATTGTCATTCTCTGTTATGGGGGCGACCAAAATCCTGCATCTGGTTTACAGAAGCTGCCTTTTTTTTTTGGTTTGTTTTCTAATTAAACAGGAGAGCAAAGGGAACAACTCAAAAAGACTGGATTTGTTTTCCTCTCTGAAAAGCACTCAGATAGTTATGTTTCAAGGAAAGAAGTGAGGTTTGACACCAACTCATCTACAGTTTATATACATTCCAATCAACAACTGAAGAAATACAGATTTCAGCCGTATCCTCTCAAAGATTACAAAGCAAAGATTCTGAATTTAGTCAAACCTATTGAGATACAACATGGAGATATGAATCCACCGGCTTGTAATTTCATCCATGATGATCCAGCAGTGATTTTCTCCTCAGGTGGTTTCGTAGGTAACATATACCATGAAATCAATGATGTCATCATTCCCCTGTTCATCACAAGCCGCCATTTCCGGTCCCGGGTGAAGTTTGTGGTTACTGATTACCACTTTTGGTTTATCTACAAATTCAGGAATGTAATTGATAATTTGTCGAATTTTGAAGTTATAGATGCCTCCGAAGCGACAAATGGAAAAGTTCATTGCTTTCCAGGAGCTGTGGTGGGGCTGAAGTCTCATGGTTTCCTGTCTCTGAATAAGAGTGACAATCCAGGTGGGCATTCAATGTCCGAATTCAGGGACTTCCTGACAAGTTCATATAATTTCAAAATAAGGGATGTTTCCGCGCTGATCATGGGATCCAACAAGCCAAACTTGCTTCTTTTATCACGCAAAGGGACGGAAACACGAACCATCCTGAATCAGGACGAGGTGGTGAAGATGATGGAGGAATTAGGCTTTCGGGTCATCGTGTCCACCATGAAAATGATGCGGAACATGTACGATTTCGTTCATATCGTGCGATCATGCAGTGTGATGGTTGGAGTTCATGGTGCAGGGTTAACCAATGAACTGTTCTTGCCAGATGGTGCGGTGACGATTCAGGTGGTTCCACTTGGCCTGGAATGGGCTGCAGAGTACTTCTATGGGGAACCAGCAAAAGGCATGGGTTTGCATTATTTGGAGTACAAGATTGAACCTCAGGAAAGCTCACTCTTGGACTTGTATGGACCAGATCATCCTGTGATTACAGATCCCAAGTCTATAGAGGACCAAGGTTACAAGAATTTCAGGGCTATTTATATGGACAAGCAGAATGTGAAAATTAATGTAGAAAGATTTAGGAAGACACTTGTTGAGGCAATGAGCCTTCTGGGACAATTGAATTGAATTGAAAGGACCATTTTGTGTTTAAAAAAGATGGAAGAGATTCTTCATTTTGATATTTTCCCTTTTGATTCCTTCAGGGTTTCTGCAGTGATCCATTTAGGTTTCCAGGTTGTCCTTTATAGAAATGCCATTCACACACACACACACAATATACCACATTTACTTGTATAAGATTGTTTATAAGTTGCATTCTTGTCATGAGATAAAACAAAGGACACAACTTTATACATAGCCACTTTATACAAATTACGTTCAGGAACAATAATCATATAAGCCATCAATGCCAAGTTTAAATGAAATCATAGTTACTATGGTTTGTAACATGACAAACTCTGCGGACCTTACTGAATTATTTATCCCCGTCCGTCACACCCCCACCCCCCACCACCCCCCAACCCAACCACAAGTTAACAAACTGATATAGCTCCTTAATATAAACCCCTTCATCATATCCCACCAAGTACACATAGAAAGAGAAGATGGAAAGCCATGGATGAAGCAACCAACCAGTTTCTTCAAGCTTAAGCTGAGATATGGAAAAATCGTCCTTTAATCGCTTGTTGAAATTGCATCCAAAATCATCAACTCTTTCTCCCCAAACCTCCTTTACCTCTCCCGAATCATGCGTTTATTAGTCCATAAACCACGTTGCCTAGCTCCGGCGGCGGCAAAATCAGCGTCGGGTTGGTTGGTACAAGAGGGGAACAGTTGAGTTTAGGCCCATTTTTGTTAATGGAAGATCATCCACGGACTCTACTAAGCCCATTGGCATCAACTGAGTGCTTGTGTTAGGCTAGGTGGCTTTGCATTTGAAAGGGCTATCATTTGGTGGGCTGGATCTATTTGAGGATCTATTTAAGAAAGATTTATCTCTCAATTTCCAAAACTATCAACTAACATAGTCATTATTTTTCTTTTTTGGCATAATTTTATTATTATTTTATCCGACAGCGAATTGCGTGACCAGTGATTATTTGAATCATATTTGATCATTCTTCTTCAAGGAAATCGGTTTCGATTAATACATAATTAGGCGCCCTTCTACTTTAATTTTGTGTTAATAGATAAATAAATTCTTGATTTGGAAAAAATAAAATAGGTTCAGATTTGTTTTTTTTTTTTTCTTTTTTTAGCCAAAAATAAAAATAAAAATAAAAAAATCATCTGCCAAAGGAGAAAAAATATTAAAAAATACAACGATGCAAAAATCATACAAAAGAATATAGAGTAATAAAGGGGATAAGTTTATGGGCAAATTTAAATGCTATTTTAATTTGATTGATAAATGATAAATGTTAGGAGTTAAAATTGTGTAACTATTTTTGTAAAATAGCTTTTGTTTCTCCATATAAGAATTTTTTTTTCTTTTAAAAAGGGATGACACGTGGCAGAATGGTTAATGCAATATGGTGCATTTGGAGCAAAAAAATTTTAATAAGAAGTTGCCACATCAACATCCTGTATTCTGCTTTAATAGGGTAAAAGGGATTATTAAAATATTTATATTAGCTATAGGTCTGGTACTTATTTGAATCATACTCCATGATTCTTCTTCCATGAAACCAGTTACGGTCAATACATAATTAAAATGTTTATGTCAGCGTTTAAAAATTGATGAAGATTGACATTGCATTACTGAAGGTTAATTTAATTGTTATGAAGATCATAAATTGGTCTCAAATTGCTTCAAAAGAATAAATTCTCGACAGCAAACTAAGTGTTTTAATTGCTCAAAACATAACTCCAAAAGAACTAATGATTGGTTTTGTAAAGGAAAAGAAGGATTTGATTTGGGGCAGAGGATAATTATGTTAGTACACAACTAATTTTATTTTATACTAGTTTGTGGCAAATATATTGCTACGAGACCATTTATATAAATCATACCCTTTTATTAATTTAATAACCCCCTCCCAAAACAATAACAAAAATAATCCGACTTGGTGTTGGTTTCTGAACTGGATTCTTATCTACACCGTGCCTTTTATAAATAAAAAGGGTAACAATTTTGTGTTGTCGATACTATAATTTTTTATTTTGTCCTCTATTGTGTTGCAGATCCGATTCTACACGCCGACTTTGCCTCCGTCAAATAAGATGTTTTCAACACAGGTAATTACATTTAATTAATGTGGCTTCTATAAATTTTTTGTAGAGATCTTTATCATCAATGGATCTTCTTTAATCCCTTTTAATTAATCCCCTAAAGCTATCAATTACGATATCTGGAGTATTGAGCAATACGTACGTATGGTCTTATTTTCTGAACCTATTGAATTATCACAATCTAAATAACGTTTTTTTTTTCTACCTAATTATAAAGCTAAACAATGTGCCTTGTAATTAGAATTGGGAAGAGTACAATTCTGGATATCAAGATTTTCTTCAAATTTGAAATATTTGCTGGTTTTAACTCTTTCTTCAGGAGGGTTGTTGGGTGGATATAATGCTGCTGCTTCCCCTTTATTTGATATCAGAAATCTTGAAAAAGCTCCCAGTAAAATCCTTGATACGATCTAAATGTGTGTCCCGAGCTTGGCTATCAATCATCAGTGATCCATCATTCGCCATGGACTACTCTAGTGGATCTCGAATTCTGGTGATTGCTCAACCCAATGATGTCCCCGATTTTAATCCTCGCTACAGTCATTCCTTCATTTGTGTCAGCCTTGATGGCGGCGGCAATTGCAACGATATGTTTCTCCATCATGAAGTGGTTCATGGCGATTGCGAGGAACACATGAAAAAGTGCACAAACATAGTGAAAGGTCTTGTGTGTTTCTACCGAGGCCAGGATTGCTGGATGTACAACATTACCACCCGCGAGATGGTTCAGCTTCCTCCTCCTATCTCAACCCATGCCCATGATCATCATGTGGTATTCCATTTTGGTTTTGATCTCGTCAACAAACGCTACAAATTACTCCGGACATGCCCTAGTTGTCCTCACGTCGAGATTCTAACTATTGGGGTAGATTCTTGTTGGAGAACAATTGTGGGCGCCCTTTCACCCCAAGACATTGGAACACGAGGGGCTTCCTATTTAGGTGGATGTCTTTGCTGGATGGACAATCTTGGTAAACAACTTACTTGTTTTCCTCTTGCTCATGAGAAGTTTATTCAGGTTCCCATCTACGATTCTACTTGCTTTCCAGATTTGAAACCAGTGAATTTCGGACCCAACATAACTATTGCGAGACCTAATTATGGCCCCAATTACTTGGTACACAAAAGTAACAACGTTGGAGAGATCAGAATGATTAAGAATATTGATCGTCTCCCGGATATACAAGTCGTCAAACCAGCTTCCCCCCCCCAAGGGAGCACATTTTACACGTGCCGTAGGAGTCCTTCCCGACGGGAAAATGCTCATTTATGATCGCACCCAATATTTTCCTATCACTCTTTACTTGGTTGATCCATCCAATCGCAACTGCCAAGAACTTGTTAAAATTCAACCCTCGGAAACGCGGCGCACCACTTATCGTTGGCGATATAGAGATCATGTTTTTGAGAGCTGGTAAACAAATATGCTCTTTGTTGAAGTGAAAATTTTGGTATTCATACCTAAGACTTGCTGAATTTTACGTTGGGTTTCTTCATCGCCATATTGCTGATAATCTAGGAATCAAAACGCAAAGTAAGAAAGATCCCAAAATATATATCAATCAGCTAAAAGAACTGGACATATTTACAAAGAAAAACTTAATCAATTCCCTCCCAAATTCCCAGAAGAATAACAACTAACAAGAGCTTCCATTAATCAGAAAACCAAATTTAATGCTCTTGTAGAGGCTATCAATCTACTAGAACTGATTAAAAAAGAAAGGGCTTAAAGAAATGGTAGATTATGAATTAATTACCATCTTGATGTCCTGTTGGGTTCTTAGCGTCAAACTTTTTGTCCAAATCGGAAGATTCACCAGAACCAGCAACTTGAGCATCTTCTGAATTCCAGAACTCATGATTGATTTCCCAGATTTTTCTGACTTCGTCATCAAGAAAATTCCTCAGTATTTTTGGTTGCCAGTTTTCCTCGCACCCTTCTACTGGGCAACGCACATCGACAAAAATTGCCCTCTGAGCTTTATCCCTTACCTTACTGGTAGCATAGACCACGAAGAGAATATCATCTCACTGTCCCGGTTGATCTCTGGGATTTAAATATTGCGTTGGTGTTTATGCAAATTCATGAGGCGGGTTCTTTGGGATCGGCAATAGCTACCTTCGTTTAGATTTTTAAATAAGAGGAAAAGACCTCATGTACTTAGAGAGAATAGGAAGCTATACACATCTTTCATAAATTGAATCCCAGTTTCTAAATTACTAACCTCCATTGCTGTCGAGGTATTCAAGATTAATTGCCTGCATTTCAGATTGTTTACATTTATTATTATTGTGTTCTACTTCAAAAGGAGTCGGCAATACATAGTTTACTGTGTTTTGTTTAGTAGAAGCAGAACATTGATTTACCGTTCCATAAAATTTGTACTCCATCCGTAATCTTAAGAATGGTCTCGTAAGGGAGAACTGCATTCTTCTGAGAAAGATGAATGGTACCACTAGACCTTCTTCCTTCCTTGAGAGCAGCATAAGAAAGAAGGGCAACATATCAGTACCAGTCTCTAACAACAACAATAAGCCTTCATCCCACACTAAGTGAGATCGGCTTACCTAAAATTGTATACAATAACACCTGCTATTGTGATCACTATATATGAACATACATCAGGCTTCACTTTACACAGTAATATCCCAGTCATAGATACTTGGATTGTTGAAGACCTAGTATGATAGTTGTAGCTGCAGAGTTTTCAGCATCCCTTATTCGAGATCTTTCTTCTCCTTTTGCAGACAGCTGTGTTGTTGCAGTCTCCACTCGCACTGAGCATATATATCTCTTATCATGTGCAGGACCTTTTTCTTCCTCAGTTCTGCAGAGATAATCACAAAAGTTATAATCTTTCTTCAAAGACAGAACCCAGAAAAGCACACACGGGAACATACACTACAAACAATTGCACCTTATGGGGTGGAGTCAACTGCTTCGATCGTGAATCACCATTATGCTTTGTCAATAAACAATATGTCCTACTTCTATTTTTTATTATTGGGCACAAAGAAGTTGCAACAGAACTTCCCACCCACAAATAGTCAATCATTGTCATACGATAGAGCAGTCACCAATTAGGACGTATCTTTATACATTGTCAAATTACTATGCAAGTTATGTTCAAGAACCACAATCATTTAAGGTATCAATGAGAAGTTTAAGCAAATGATCCAAGTCAAAAGCGGCAAAGTAAGAGTACCTGTAGATTGGCTTCGGCCATTTCTTCTTGCCACAGATCTCATGAAGTTTATGCTTTGCACCGTCAATCTCACTAGAGTCGTTGAGTTCACTATAGTAGTCTACATTGATAACTTTGCAACCATTGTTGTAAGATAACTTCTGTAGAGCATCCTTTGCGGCATGAAGCTTTGCATTTTCCTTCTGCTTAGCAGAAGCAGAGCCAATAAGTTCACCATCCACGAAAACATACGCAAAATTGTATCCCCCTTCCTTCGAGTACGTTATATTAACTTGCTTCCTCTCTTTTTGACATAATTCAAACAACATAGTCACAGGCTGCGGCTGTCGTTGCAGCACATCAAGAGTGACCAAAGGTTCCAAAAGACGTTCAAATATCTGAATAGAAAAATGGAAAACTACATCAGAACAACACCAATTATAAAATCAAACCCACAATCAAAACCAACCAAAAATTCAATCAACTTTGGTCTCTAACCCGAATTACCGAAATGTGATCAAAATCGTGACTTTCCTATGATTCCTCAGAAACTCCTACTACCAGAAAAGTCCAATTAAGAAGAATAATAAAGACCAAAAATGAGCAACACTAACCGGCCAGGAAGCCTTTAAATCAAACCCACAATCAACATATACAGCAGCAGCCACTGACTCCACAATATCTGCAAGAATCTTTGGCGCTCTAATCTCACCTCCGTACACTTCAGTTTCACCTTCTTCCTCCACTGCCAATGCAAAATCCCTCACCTGAAACAGAGCAATATATCCTGAAATGATCAATAACCCTTAACAAATTCAAAAAACCCAGAAGGAAACATCAAATTAACCAACGAATTAAGGAAATCACGGCTTACTTTTTCGTGAAGTGGGGCGGCATTATGACGGATGTATCTGTGAAGGCCGTGTTTGACGGCGGCGCGAGCCAGCTTCTCGGTGCTGATGTTAGCAGCTCGGAGAAGGGAGAGTTGACCTTGGTCGAGATTGGGGTAAGTCAAGAAGACGTAATTGGAGACGGCTAAGCCGAGGGCAGAGTCGCCGATGAACTCAAGCCGCTCGTAACAAGCTGAATCAGTGTAAGAAGAATGGGTCAGCGCCTCTTCCAGGAGCTCCACCCGCCCGAACTTGTACTGCAGGACTTTCTCCACAGCCCTCAACGCCGCCGCCAAGTCCGGCACCGGATCATTCGTATCTTGGGTTACCGGCTGCCGCGGTGAGTCCACGACGGTGTATGAGAACCCCGGCACGCCGTGATTTTCGAATGAATTCATGGATTCAAAAAATCAACAAAAAAAAAAAAATTAAAAAGAAGAAGAAGATATAGAAACTTGAGAAAGTAGTATACATATGCTCATATGAGAAATACACGCCAGAAATAGTAAAGTTGACGAAGTAAAAGGAATCCCCGAATACAGCAGGGAAAAGGACAGGTCTGATGGGCCGTGGATAACACGTGACCTTGCGGCGCGTGGGGTTTCTTTAACAGGACGGACATGAGAAATTATTAGCGTACGACACAAAACCCCCCACCCATTGTCAACCTCGTCATTGGTAAAACCCCCCAAATGGAAATGAAGGTTATCAAAGAAGGGGGTTTTAAGCAAATCAAACTACAATTGTTCTGAACTATATAAGGTCCTGTTTATCGCAATGTAATCATGGTTCTATTGTTTGCAGTTCAGATTGATAATGCCAAGCCTGATGAAGACGACGATGAGGAAATGGATCCATATTTGGATGCCTGGATGGGTAAGATTGTGCTAAAGAAATGGATTTATTTAGCGCGCATCATTTAAGATTGTGCTTGTTTGTTTTGTCTATCTTACATTTCATTTTGCCACTTAAAAGTGAAAAGTATTTCAAATTAAAAATTAAATGGAAAATAAAAATGTTGTTTAAATGATATTTTGAGTAAAAAGTTGATTGGATGTTGATTTTGAAAAAAATATTTTGAACTACAATTAAATAATGTCAATTATAGTTATTGCAAAAAAAAACTTTTCAAAAAAAAAATCACTCAACAACGAAATCCTGCCAAATTTATCACTAAACTATTTGTAGTTCTAAAATGATCATTACATTGACAAAAAAATGTTTCAAGTTGGAATTTAAAATGTAAATCAGAAAGTTGTTTAGATGATATTTTCTTTTTCATTAAATTTTGTGTTTAAGAGGTAAAATGAGTTAAAATGTAAAATGAGTGGACGTCCAAACAAGGCCGCTGTTTAAGCACAACATACGGAAAAAAATAAATAAAAATCAACATTAAAAAAGCAAAAAATAAAAAATAAAAAATAAAAAATTAGAAAATAGAAAACCTCCGAAACAAAAATTTTTTCCCTTGCTCAGTGGGGAACTGACATCGATTCAAGCACTGTATACAAGAATAGGTAGTCAAATGATGATGGCAACACACAATATTTTTGACACTTCTGATGTTTAAAGTTTAAAATGTTGTACAAAAATTGATCTTGAAAATCTTTTGCCGTTTTTAACCTCAAGACTCTGCGCTACTTTGTTTCTGGACAAGTTTTCTGCTCGACAACAAAGCTCTTTCACCAGACTCAGATACAATCAGCTATTCTGCTAATTCCAGCTTTACTGTTGAAGGATATTGAGACAATAAAGAGAATACGTCTTAACAGAAAACAAACAAACCCTTCTCCGACGTGGTCATCCTTTTCGCGGCCGAAGAACCAACAATTCTTTCCAGCTGAAAAATATAAACATTATGTAACATCGGCAGAAAGGAGATTACAAATTAGCTGAAGAAAAAAAATTACTGTGCCAAGAAAACTCCGAGATAGAAGAGAACAAAAAAGGCATCAACTTGGCTCATATTTATTACGGCATTGAAGCTGGGGCACGGAGAACTATGAGCTAATAGTTGATTGTTCTATTCTTGCGGACCTCAGTAGAGAAAATACTTCGGTGCCATGAACACAATATGAATTGAACTATGAATTTTATAATCAATCAGCATGTGACATAAAACATTTGTTTGTGCTGGCTAATTATGCTAGCACAAACTGTTGTACATATGCGAAAAATTCAAACAGGTTTGAATGTGGAGACATCAACACAGCATTTAAGGTAATAACCAGAAAATTCAAAGACTGTTTAAGATAGGAAATGGCAATTCAGACAATTGTTGGGAAAATTAAGTAGAAAAGCACACAATCATCAGATACGACTTTTATGGTTTAAGAAAATGTGGAACTTACCCGTAACAGATCAAAACGAGAAAATAACACAGTACAAGACATGTTTTGGGATCCTTCCAGCATATTGACAATCTGCAATCAAAAGAAAGAACATGGTAACCGTGGAGCATATTTTCCATAACAGATGCGACGAATATCCACAAGAGAAAAAGGGAAAAGAACAATATATATCAAGTGTACCTCAGGGTAAAATTCCTTGCGCTCAGGAAGAGAATAGACAAACAAATTCTGAGTTCCACGTATCTATTTGAAAAACATCAGAAATAAAATCAAATTAAATAGGTATTTCTTGGAGAAACAATATCAATTAAAGATTTTGCCACACAATTCAAGTTAAGGTGTCTGTCATACAACTAAGGCCAAGTTTCACATCATCTAGCAAACTCAGAAACTAATTTGCTTTAACAAATTTCTCATAGAGCGTCTATATCTACAGCTACAATTGATTATTAAGGAAAACAAAATATCGACCTTATATCTGTGGTAAAAGTGAGCTCTCTCAGTGTAGAGCATGATTTTCCGTTTCCCTTGGAAAAACCAGACTCGAGCACGTGAAATGTCACTCTGCTTTGTGTACCTAAGACATCAAATCACAAAAATAACTTTCTGAAACATGGACATGCTTTACGTGGATGGTGAGCAAATCTAACAAACAGGAAAATGAAGAGCTATAAACGGAACCCTGGTTATAACTACTTACTCTCCAAGAAGACAGAAGGATGCTTCCTGAGATTTTAAAAAATTTCGTAGCCGAACAAATTCAAAATAAGAACTAATAAAGAGCATAATTCCCCCCTGCGCAAAAGAAAAGATTCACAAATTGACAAACAGTTTTATAGTAGATATGATCAGAATAAGCATCAACCAAGGCCTAACAAGACAAAAGTACCTGAACAGAATCTTTTATTTTTGGAAACACCTGCATTAATAAATTAAAACCAAAACAAATATTAAAAAATAAAGTTACAACTTACACCTTCACAAAGTTAGCCATAGAAAATCATTGCTGGAAAATTAGTCTTTCTCTTCTTTTTTTTAAATTAACTTGTGTCAACAAAACAAAAATTGGTGAGTATATTGTTGTATATTTAACAAGGAGTGGCCAATTTTTGTGGCCAATTTTTGAGGAGAAGGAAAGACATACAGAATGAAGCTTGAGATTTTCATTAGGCCAGATGAAATATTGCCAAAACACAAACCTTCTTACAGAAGTACTCAAAACGAGCATCATCAGCCTCCGCAATCGTTGGTGCATCAAAACGCTCATATATCTACAATTTACAGGAAAAGTAAACAAAGGGAACAAAGTTAAGTTTTTCCTTTAAGGTAACTGACAAGCCAGCCTGATAATATATGAATAACTCGACAAACCTTTGAAATCATCCTATAGTTCAAAAAATGTTGCCTTCCAAAGTGTTACATGCTAAAAGAAAGTATTCACCAAGAAAAACAACAGTCCTAATTGCAGATCATGTAACTAGTCTACTGCCCTAAAGAGGCAAGAAAATATAAAGACCGAATTACCTGCCGCACTTGGAGCAATACTTTTGGAAGAACACCTTTACTTGAACACACCAACTTAATCTGCACAAAGTCCTCAAACATTTTCAGTTTTCCCTAACAACAGCATAAAAACAAGCCAATGTTCCTGTTCAAACTAGACTACACTATAAAACAACATGTAGCTTAGGCCTTCCCTTATTATGCGATTAAAGTGGAAAAAATGTAGCTGCTGAAAATAACTAGCAAAACTATGGCACTATATCCATGTCAGATAAACAACTAATGTCCATGCCCAGAACCTGAACGATGAGGGCTGGGCCATAGCGAAGCTTCATGTTCAATTCAGGGAATTCTAACCTATGGATTTGACTTCTCTCTTCAGGACTAGTCCAATTATGAAGAACTAATTGAAAGGGAAAAAAAATGGAAGGATAACATACTAGCAGATAACACTTAATATGAGTGGTAGAAAACACAAGGCACAATAGCGAAGCTTCATGTTCAATTCAGGGCTGGGTCATAGCGAAGCTTCCTTGTGTTTCTTCGTAAAATAAATCAATCAAGAAACAAAAAAATAAAAACAAGAATGGAACTGCAAATATTGAAGCATTCAGAGACTACTAAACACTTCATGAAACTGAAACAACTTGCCACATCTAAATTAAATGCTGAAGACCAACTTATTTAAGCAGTAAAAGGCTTGTGCAAACCTTTCCACGGTAGTTAAGACAGTAGCGATTGAAAGCTGAATTGATGTCTGCAAAACGGGAAAGCAGAGGGAACCATCATAAAGGAACATGTAAAAATGAAGTGTCAATAACATCTAATCACATCTAATTTTTCAGAAACAGAGATTGAGGGGCATTACTTCCTAAGGCTGTAAACGAATCGAGCCGCTCGCGAGTTACTTGCGAGCTGGCTCGGTCAAAGCTCGGCTTGAGTTCGAGATTGACCGAGCTCGAGCTCGAGCCGAGCTTGAGCTGGTTTCTTAAGAATACGAGCCGAGTTCGAGTTTAAACAATACTCGCTCGTTGGCTCATCGAGCTAAATGAGCTAGTCTTTTTTTTTTATAAAAAATAAAAATAATACTCCCTCTGTTCCAAAATAAGTGTCGTTTTAGCAAAATGGAGAAATTTCAAAATAAGTGTCGTTCTCACATTTCAATGCACTTTTTGTCCAAAGTTTCCAAAATTACCCTCGAAAGAATTAATACTATTGGTGGACATTTTTTTAGTGGGGTTGGTTGAGGATATTGAAGTAATTTTATTACCCTATTTAAAAGTTTCTTAAACTATGTGCAAAGTGTAGGATGACACTTATTTTGGAATGGAGGAGTATATATTATATATAAATACATAATATTATATATATAATAAAAAATAATATATATTTATTTCAAGTTACGAGTCGAGTTCGAGCTTCTTGTTAAGAGACCGAGCCGAGCTCGAGCTCAAAAAATTTAGGCTCGTTCGAGCTCGAGCCGAGCTCAAGTTAGGTTAAAAATTGCTCGAGCCGAGCTCGAGCATGGGTAAACTTGGGCTCGTTTACACCACTTCCCACCAATCTTTTATGTTCTGCACTTCCTATTTTCTAATATAATGTCCACCAAGGATGTAATAGTATGCCCCCATCTCAAGACTAATGTAAATAAGCATCAGACATCTTTCCAATAACAACCAACTAAAAAACTATTCACAAACCATGCGCACAACACACCCATGTTATAAGCAACTATTTAAAATTTGATGGCATCTCTCTAAGCCAAGGCTTTAAAAGCAAATAGTTTTGGGACATATTGGGATAATTTTCTTTTATTCCTATCTTTTGTCAATTTGTCTAATAAAACATTCAAGAATGATAAACCTGTTATAATGGAAGAGGAGAAACAATTTATTCAATGGCCTGTGCTTTCCAAGAAAGAACTACTCGGTCATCTACTTACAGTAGAAGAACTAAGTACCTGGGTTCAAATGAGAACTTAAAACTATAGTTTGTCTGTAGTATTGTGCTTGTCCATCTAGGTACCTAGCAGAAACAAAACAAAAGGCGAAGGCGACATCATATTTCAACTTATAATGTGATATAATACCATCATCGCAGAAAGTGTGTTCTTAATTCGCATCAGCTTCCAGAAACCTCTTAGGAAAAAGTTTAATCTTAAATTTACCAAAGAGAAACCACAACACTCAGAAGAGAAGGTCTTTTAAAACTGGTTTTTTAAGCTCAACTGAGTAACAGATGTCAGAGCCACGGATGAAACCTTAGAACCAATATTAACTCTAGAAGAGTTGCAAACAATGATTTAAAGTAAATGGCAACTGTCCAAAAGTAATCTCCGCAAAATGATATCTCAAATCAGAAGATACAAGAAAAGAGGAAAAGTGTTTCGTTGGTAAAAACGAGATTTCTTGTACAAACGTACAAGTCTGTTAAGGAAGAACAAGATACCATGGTCTAATGCGCATAATATCAGTCCCGTGCTGCTTCGATGGTAACTGGTTCAATTGCTCGAATATGGTATTTACATGAGTCCAATTCTGCCAGATCAAACAGAAGGGAGAATCATCAAACCAAGATAAATACAAGCTGACTAGACCCCGTAAGCACCACTGTGTTTATTCCATTCTATGCATGCACCTACATTGTTCTTCACCTAACCAGTACTCAACAGATATAATTATCCAAAAGAAGCATAGGAAACTGCCACACTGGTGCATGCCGAGAAAAAAAGAAAAAATAAGACGAGGGCAATAAGTTATACTTTATTTAATGTCTTTTAACTGGAAATACTAGTCTGCAATTAGAATAATTGAAAAAAAAATCACCTGCATTAGTATGACATCCGCATGATCAATAATCATAACCTGGTAAACACAACATATTTCTTAGTTAATAATACACCAAATCACCACAATGAGATTAAGAAAAAAGTTAAACTATACACATTGACGACCTTAGGAACAAGGGCGACTCACCTCTATTGAGGAAAGATAATCAACATCTTTTTCTTTCTCTAATTCTGCGTCCCCAATTTTCTGCATATTTTAAAGAATGAATAAAAGGTAAAGACATATAGATATAGTACACTGTCCGATCAGTGAGAGAAGCAAACTAAATACAACCAACAAAAGGCACGTTTTCTCTTGAATTACACCTTTTTAGATCAAGCTGCCTAAACCTGATAACTATGCAAACTGTTTTATCAGACTAAATTCACAACATAATCTTTATTATACATAGCCGCCAAAAGGCCTCAAGCACTAACAGTGCACACTGGATCCTGGCAAGAGGCAAGCACTCTGCATTTCAGAGACTTCCACCAAATAATAGAATTATTTTTTTTTCCCCAGAGAGTTCTCATTTACAGAACCTGTGCACAAGTCACTAGACCTGTGCTCTATCTAGAATAAATGCAATAAATCTTGAGACAATTATTTGCTTGATAAGCTGGAAAAAAATACAACATCATATGACAGCACAAATCACTTACAGTAATTAAACCGAGAGGAGAAGCAACAATTATATCCGATGAATAGAAGTCGCCATATAACTTCATCTTTGACCTATCAACAAAAAAGACAGTGAAGGGAAAAAAATATAAGAACACTGAGAAGTATACCAAGAATAGAATACATCTGCTACATCGTAAACTAGAAACCAATGATTCAACAGGAATATGTCAAATCCCAAAGCCGAAAAAACCAAGAAGTTTCTTGTAGCAGAATTCATCAACTCAAGACCTATGAAGTATTGAGGCCAAATATCAAATGTTTACCCCATATATTTTATGCCCATCATAAAGAAATCATCGTTATTCCCACCAAACAATGCCTCAAAATCAGAAGGTTTGGATGACTTTTTTTCTTTTAATTTTTCAATATCCTCCTTGTCGTCGCCATCTTCTTCTCCTCCATTGCCAAAGTTCTCTGTAAAGCGATCGAAGTGTTCAACCTTAACCTGAAAAAACCAACAATAACAAGGAGCTTCAAAATTATAGTCCTTTTTATGAATGTGTTTGAAAATGCACAAACAAAAGGATGTAGTGACTTTGCACTCTTTGGATGCTACTGCATAGAATAATGTCCATACACTTTCTCAAGTATTCGCAATAAACAAAGACTGAGATGGTTCCTTACGTGTTACATATTTTCCAACTTTCCCACCAAAAGCTTTTTGCTTAATTCTATCTCCTGTTTTACCTTCTCTTCTCATTCTCTGGGTCTACACATTTTTTTTTTTTTAATGTTTGTGAAGCTTCAAGACAACAGTTCCAACAAGGAAACTTACTGGTGTCCTATATGTGTCATACAAAATCACAATAGTATCTAGCTTAATACATTTTCTGATAAATCTCCTCATGAAGAAAAACGTGTTGCTCCTTGGTCAATCCACAACTAAAGCTTGATATCAAATTCTCAGGTTTAAATTTTAAAAGTTCCCTCTAATACTTTTTCCTTCTACCACTAAAAATTAGGGCCCTTCAAAAAATGCTACCTTCAAAAACATTCTCCTTTTCGAAGTATATTTCTCCACATAAGTGGAAACAAACCTAAACCAAAAGCAACTACCCATTGTCCCAATAACAATAAAATGGACATTTTGTAGGTACATTCCAGAATGTGGAGTCTCACTTAATCATAGCTACATAAATTGCCAGATCATGGGATCTTACACAGGGTATCTCGGCACAAGTTGATTCAACTTAGCCCAAAGGGAAAGTATGTCAAAGTTGCTAATGAAAACAGTTAACAGGCTGCAATAATATGTCCTGCAATTGTTGTTGCTTTTGAGATATCTAAGGAGGCAATGGTCTTTGAATTTACAAGCATTTTTTGCACGAGTTAGATAGCTGGGAAATATGAATACCTTGTGCTTTGGAGGGGTCAACTGGATCAACCTCTTCACAACCCTAAATGCAATGCTTGCAAGGGGCAAAAGAATCAAGACCTGAAGAACGCCAAAGATAAAATCACAATCAAGCTAATAGTAGACGACAAAGTTAAGTAATAAGTTCAGGAAAAAATTAGCCGGAAATCAAAAGAAATCTCTTTGGATATTCACAGAAAATGACTTCAAGAATTCGCTGTGTGGAAAAACAGCAAACATAAATCAGGAATAAAAAATTTGCCAATAATCGTGTTCCTAGAATTCCTTATAGCTGCTAACGAAAGTAAAAAAGAATGATTAATGAAGTAGAGAAGATTTCAGAACGCACAGTAAAACAGTTTGAAAGAATTAGAACAACTACAACAATTGGTCAACAGGAAATCTCCAATATACATATTTTGACCGAGATTTTAAAAACTCAAATGAAGAACTTAATATACCTTGGGACGTGTAAAACCTTGGTCACGAAAAGCGTCCCCAGTGAGAATATCAGCCTTTCCATCAGAATTAACTAGTTTTGCATTATGCTTTGTGACTAGATCTCTCGATCTCAAAATATGGTTTAACTGCAAAACATTTCTAAAATTTAGCAATTCGAATTTCAAAGCATATGAAGTCACTTCTATCCTGATCAGTAAAATCGATAAACATACAGCATGTGTGAGATAACCATCCATGATACTTGAGTCCTCTTGAAGGCCTTTGAGATAAAATGGTTTCTTGTTGTGATGCAGTATATCGTAGTAGCTGTTGCCTACACAGAATTAAATATATCTGTTGTTCGTAGCACAGAAGTAGTGATTCTACTAAACAAAACCGTTTCTGGACAATCAAGGGAAAGAAAACCACCAACTGACTTGTCTATAACATCCAATATGGTATTCAAAGTCAACTTCACACAGGCTTAAAAAATAAGTAAAAGATAAATCAAAATAAAGGACTTTCTCACAGCCAGGGAACTGTGATTCTAAACAGAAGCTCATTTTAACGCAGCATGAAAATTAAACTTCAATATCAAATCATAATAAGGATTATTATATTACTTACACATGGAGAAAAAATATCTCTGCTTAGATGTATGGAAATCACTAACTCCAGATCCCTTGTACACGTCTAATAAATGCTTATACAATCTAGGCTTCAGGTCATAGCCTGAAATTTCATCAATACCCTGCATATCCAGTCATCAAATTGCAATTAGATACAAGCCAATTACTTGTTTATAGGTCCCAAGTTGATGCAAAAGAGTGAAAGACTGAACATTAACTTCCTGCGTATGATCCGCAGAAACCATTAAAGCAAACACACACAACAGCATACACAAAAGAAGGTGAATCTATTTCCTTCTATTTCAATCACCAAGCATAAAACTAAAAAAGATACCACATATCTACACAAGATGCACATATTTCGAAGTGGGAGAGTGATGCTGGTCTGAAGACAGAGATGTTTCTAAAAGCAGATTAATGGGGCTAACTAAAACATAGACGCCTTTGACTTAAAACATTGAGTCATGACCAGTGAGACATTGCATGCATGTCCAAGGTCATGCATCAAAATGTCATCCCAAGAACAGAGACCTACCTCGAGAACACACTTTCCAGTTCCTCTCCACTTGCAATTAGGTGCACCAAAAGCAGGAACCTCCCATATGAAATTCCACTTTTTCTTCGCTAGCTTCTCAACCTCAGCTTTTGATAAATTATATTCCAAGTGACTAATAAAGCTACTGCAAGTTTGCAACATTAAACGAGGATTAAAAGTTTGTTTCGGCTTTTCATTTATTCAACATAAAAAAAAAAAGAAAAAATATGTGGCGTGACTATTAATCTCATTATCACATTAAAATTGAAGAAAAATTACAAAATCAACAATAAGAAATCTTAAACCTTGCACTCGTTGATGCTTCAGCAGTGGATTCTCCTATTTTTCTCAAATCATCTTCTTCTATGTCAGATTCATTAATATCTTCATCATCCGATACAGAATCTTCACTATTTTTGTCAGAATCTAGTGAAGTGGATCCTTCTGAACCACTTTGCACTCTGTTTTTTCTGGGAGAATCCTCGCCTTTCTCTGATAAAAAATAAATGAGAAACAATTAGAGTTCAACCATTTGAACTCACAACATCATCATTTGCTTATCAACAAAACCCTTTGAATCAAGGGCTAGTAAATTTGCCAATTACAAAGGGACACTCCGATGTGCAATCTTGGAAAATGCTCTATGAGCACTCCCATGTCATACTTTAATGAAGGTAAAGCATGCCCAAGGGATGATTTCAGCTGACCCACAAGAGTTGCGTATTATGCCATAGGAATGGTACGATTAATGTCGTCATTCTTACTTAAGTACTAAACGACTGAAAAGCGTCATTACTTGAGCCTAACATGAGGCCAAGGACAATAAAAGGGAAAGCGATGCATCTTGCAACCATGCCATCTATCAGCTCCTTCTGCATCTTGAGAGTCACTACCACATGCGAGTTTAAAATGTTAAGATCATCGAGCTAGTGTATAAAAGGCACCGAAAAGTTCTAGATGATATGAGTAGCTACTGTCATGTAGGTAGAAACTCTAGGAGGCAATATGTTGACGCTAACAACTTCTTTTCTTGTGTCATTCGTTTCTTGGGGTTTACGGGGTTTTTTTGTTTCATGGAAATTACCGTGTCATCACATTCTATAGCACAAAGGTATCTTCTCTTAAAGTTTACAGTAGGACCAGACCTAAAGGGAAGCACATATTGTACAACCAACTTGTCAGCAACTTACCTTTCAGGCTATTCATCAAAAGCTACATGAATATTCAGTAAAGATATATTAAAGAACTAGGTAAAAGCTCAGGAAACACACAACAACAACAACAACAATAATAATAATAATAATAATAATAATAATAATAATAAGGGATAAACATAATAATAATAAGGGATGAACTATTTTATGAGACACCTAAATCAGAGTTTTTAGAAAAAAAAAAAAAGTTTACTAGTGGTATGTGCTAATAAGAAAATATATTCTCTCAGAGCAGACAAATAGACAAACAGATTCTATATTGACACTGTTAAGAGGTTTTTCTCCTAACCTTCTTCCTTCCGAAGCTCAAAGTCAGAGCCGTCATCTTCTGCATCACTATCATCTTCTGCATCATTATCATCTTCTGTATCACTTCTACCTTCTTCGTCTCTTTTCCTGAAAAGAGGAGAATTGTTGTTCTAAACAATATTTAGATGGAGGAAAAACATTCCATAAATCAGTATCAAGAATTCAATTAATCCAGCAAGGCATTTGGTTGATATCAGCAAGCTCTATACAGGACAGGGGGAACTATAACTAAAATTACAAAGGATCAATAATGACTCAGTGATACTGCAATAGAGTCCTAGCCCCACGAAAATCCATTCTGGAGGCAGACCAGTGTGAGATACCTTTATCGGCGAAGATGAATTCAAAAAAGGTTCTAAAAAAAAGAAATGAAGCATAAAAAAAAATTAATGTCATAATGCACGAGCAGTAGGTAATGAACCAATATCATCTTGTAGATTATTTGAGTGTGAAACTCTTCCCAGGCAACATTACAAACTTTTTCCTTGTAGCAAGTTCTTTAATACAACAGTTTCTCCAAATAACAAAATGGAGCTACATGTTTTATAACATCATTGTGCTTAAGCATTCAACAACTTAATACAAAACTAGACATTAGAAACACCTATCAACTCATCAAAATTTAGTAATCAACATTGTCTACACTCTATACACTGATATGCAATATCTTTATTTTCCACAATGCCACTCAGCTCTCTTGAATATATTCAAAGGGATGAACAACGACTATACGTTGGCCTTTCAACATACCAAAACCCAATCCAATACTTGTGTTAAAATTTAAAAATGCAGGAATGAAAATCACAAAACAAAAAATGCACAAAGACAAACATTACCTCCTCTTTAAAGCTTGGGCAACGGCCTCACTCTTGGAACCCAATTTCTTCAATAAGTTATCATACATAGTGGGCTCTTTTGTCAGAACAATTTCTTCTTCCTCTTCTTTAGTGCCTACTTGATAATCCTCGGAAGCCACGTCTGAGTTTCCTTCGGACCAATCCTCTACACAAAAATTTCAAGCAAGCTGTAATTAATTGGAGCAGAATCACAAGAAAGGAAATCATTAACAATAATGAAAAATGTCATGGAAACACGCAATCATGCCTGAGTCGCTTTGGGGAGGTCTAACTTTGTCCTTTTTATCTTTCCTATTAGCTATTTTTCTGGATTTCTTGCTAGCCTCTTTCCAACTGTTGGGTCTCTTCATACCTATTTCAATACAAACAAAGAATAGACAGAAAGCCCACAGACCAAAGGGGAAAACAAAAACAAAAAGGATGACTATTAAAGCTTAGATGCTTAGATTACCTCTGGCTTTAGCGAATCCCGGCTTCCCCATTGAAACTGCTTACAAAATTTAAGCAGAAACTCAAATTCTTAAACCCTAGCTTGGGTTTTAGAGCCAATTGAATGAGAGGATAAGTTTTTAAATCAGAAGAGCCGAGGGCGGGGAAGTAGCGGCGGGGAAGCCGGACGGAACGGAGAAAATAGAAGCGTGAAGAAGTGAGAGGCGGCGAGTGGTGGCGCGAGTTGAGTGTGAGGGATGGAGTTCAACTTTAAACTTTAAAAAGCGGAGAATTTTGAAATTGTAGGTTCAAAAGTCTTCTTGTTCCCTGGTATTTTTCAGTAGGTATTCTTTCTAGGTTTTTTTTTTCCACTATTTTTTTGTTACAATATTACGTTTTCCATCTCATCATATTTTTTTTATTAAAATAATTATCGATTCGTCAAAAAAAAAACGCTTTTATTCAAAATAAAATAAAATAAATAAACAAATTAATTAATTCAAACAATCCATTGCTCCCCATGAATGATTTCTAGCTTCCTTCAAGGAACTTACATCATGCATTGACCATTGATCATGTTCGTGAGTGTGAAATCTCGGTTAGATTCTTGGTTACCAAATGATGTTAGTTAGTTTTTTGGGTTTTGAATTAACGTACTCATCCACGTGTATAGAGGTCACGGGAGCTGTAGGTCTAAATGGATCACAAAAAACTCTTGTAACATACATCAACAATTAAAATGGGAATTACCCATTGGAAATTATTATGTTAAAAGTTTTAAAACCTGAGAAAGAAAGAATGATAAACTCCTCGTTTGTAAAGACGAAGAAAATTGAAAAGGAAAATGGTGGGTTTTATCCTAAGAGTTGTTTTATGACATAAAGCACCTGTACAGGAATACGCTAAAGAATTCCAATCACAGAAATCTTTAGCACCCCTACTTTAATACCTTAAACAATGGAAGTAAAAGCAAGCATTTCTTTTTGGTATCAAAAGCTTGCAACAAAGCACTATTTGCTAAATAAAAATGAAGTCTAAGATTGCATATTCATTTGTATCATTTTTAATTCAGTTAACTAGCATATGATCAAATCCTGTCCCAGCTTGCAATGCGACTCGAGGCCCTTGGACATTGTGAAGCAACTGTTGTAGCCATCTTCTTGTTGTTGGATCTTCCTGATGACACAAAAGATGAGCTCCAGAAATCAATACTTACAAAGACTACAATAATTCTTTCAATAGTGATTCCTCCAAACATTTTCGTGAGAGAAACACCCAAGTTAGTGACAGTCTATTGTTAAATACTTACGCGAAGGCAGCCACTGAAGGTTGCATCTCTGAGAATGTCGGGAAGACAGCCACGGAGAGCGTCACATGCCCTGAATCAAATAACCTTATCAGAACACCAAGTGCTTCACGACAGAGACACATACACATTGAGTGACTTTGTTGTTCGAAATAATCACCTTGGGTTATCTGACAACCGAAGGTAGCACCGGATAATATGCTTTAGCAGCCTTGAAGAGGGCTGTTCAGCAAGTGCACCAACCATATTTCCCAGCACACGACCAACAGCGTAGAACCGCTCTGCAGTTGTACATATGTAATCCAGGCCCACATCATCCAGTAGAATCTTCTGTACAATAAAGGTAGCAACCTACACGCAAAAATTCCTTTTAACCACTGGGAATGTATAGAAGAATACAAAGGGAAAATATAGTTTTACTAGGCATACACAAACAAAGGGATGAAAATTAGTAACATAAATAACTTTAGACCAAAAAATCGACCTTTTTAGCGAATCAAGCAACAACTACTAGGGATTAATATGTGAAAAAACATTTACAATTACCGGAGGCGAATTTCATTAAAAACCAGAACCTCGCTATCTGAAGAAAACCTAAGCAACAATCTTAAAGTAACCTTCGTTATCTATCACACGCAACCCAAGCAATAAGCTGAGGGGAGCCAAATTCATGGCTAAGTAAAAGGCATCAATTGTCTGGTAAACAGGGTCAAGATGAAACTCGCTGCATCTGAACATGAAACTCAGCAAAACCAACATTCCTAGGTTGATTAAAATAAAAAAGAAACACTAGCCTGATGCATTTGGGGGAGTGTTCCTGCTTTTGTAAAGTCAATGGAAATCCTGACATTAATGTCTGGTATACATTGCCCTACTTTATAGTTTCTAAAGGGGTGGTTTCCTTAACTCCCATATAACCCCAATAACATGGCAAAAACTATAACAGCTGTGACAATTATTTCTGAATTGATTTAACAATAATGAGACGAGAAAAGTAGGAAGAGGCATAGCTGAGCACATATATGTAATTAGTATTAGGGAGTTTAGAAAAAAACATGACAGCACTCACCGTTTTTGATAATTCACTACCCATCTCCATTGTACGAAGACACAGAGGAATAATCTCCGTTGAGAGTAGGAAACTAATAACATCGGTGTCATCAACCTGAAAAGGAAAAGAAAGACGAAGAAATCAGAGAGAACATAAATCTAACTAGGTTAAAACAATAATCACAACTGACAGGACATACAGAATATGAGTATAAATATGCGAAATGACCATCCTGAGATGACTGAGCAATTTTTCTCAATGGTGAACATTTAATCAAATAATCTTCAACAATTTCATCTGCAATACTATTCCTATCAAAATTTCAGCATTTGTGGAGGGTACTGAAATAATAGTACCTTCACCAATGCCCCGATGACACCAAGACTAGTAAGCCTCAAATATTCAAAAGGCCTAGATTTGCTTGTTGTGTTGAGAAAAGGGTAGAGATACAGAGGCATATGAGCTGCAAAAAACAAATACATCATTTAAATATATGAGAAAAGTTCCGATAAAACCCGTGCAGCTGAATAAACTAGCAGTTAGCACCCCCTCTATCCAGCTTTATTGAAGTGCTTCCCAAATGTTCGAATGAAGATAGCAGAACATGGGACTCTAACTTGACCAAATAATTTCACATAAATGGTGAACGAAGAAATGGTTACCGTTTAGGAACAGCATTCTGGTGTCTGGATGAGAGGCCACACACTGTCCAATGCCAAAAGCATATAAATAATTAGGATCATACTATTTTGCAAAACATTAGGTCGACAACACGTGACAGCATAGTAATAAATGAAGCAAAGGAATATGATTATAAGCCAATTTCCATTTTAGATCTCACAAATCATAAATAAAATGGATTTCCAGGAACATTATAGTTAGTCAATAAAGGCAGATTAGCCATCAAACAATTCCAAAAGCACTGTAAAGGAGAATTAAATAGTACCTGGAGAAGAGCAAGGGCATTACAAACTCTATTTGATTGCGCAGGAGTAAGGTTTGGAGGAGAAAGCACTGGGTAAATTGAAACTATTTCCTGCCACAATTCCCAAAAAAAAACATTGGACACCAGTTCGAAGAATTATGCATTAAGAAATGATCATCAAAACGTATTACAACTTGGAATCCAATCAGTACAAGTTTTCGTAAAAGTACAGCCAACTGCACTTTCCTCCCATCACAAAAATGATGCACACATACTTCCATATACACGGAAATACCAGGGACAGAAAAAAAAGGAAAAGGAAAACAAGTAACAATGAGATTAGAGCCTGCGACCATATCGAATGTCTGAACAAAGCAGTTTATACAATTACATGCGCGAGGATGTTCACTACTGTAAACCAATCACTCAATACTACAGAACGCTCATAAGTCAGCAGCAGTCAAAGTGGAAGAAATCAATGAAATTTTGTACGTATGAGATACCTGCAAGAGTGCTGCAATAGTGCCAAAAGAGTTCCAAAGCAATGGAGCCAAATCTTGGAAGATTTCCCTCTTCTGCAATTATGGACAAAGACATGCACAAAGTTTCTAAGTGAGAAAGTAACTCAAGAAATGAATGTGAATTATTTTAAGTTTGACATCATATGAACTCTTGATCATACAAGAAAGGAAAGATCATTTTATAAAAGCAGCATCTTATAAAAGCATGATATGCCAAAAAATGTCTAGCACCGAATTCATGAAGAACCTATAATATACATCACTTTTCATAATTAAACCATCATCAAGCAAAGTTTATCTCGACAATCCTAGCAATAACAACATTAGCAAAAAGCTAAAGGGTGCATTCATTCACATCATAAATATGCCTCTCAGTAATGCCCTGTCCCTTTAACGTACTATAAACATGCTTCAGTTGAGCTCATTGCTATATTTGAAGAATGTTTTCAACCTTTGGCTTAGACACATAATCACCAGATTTTACCAGCTCTGATTGTGTAATTTTGATTAATTGCAGTAATCTTCAGCAACGTAAATGGGGATTATCCGCATACAAGAAGATGGATATAATTCATTCTGTAGCTGACAATTATGCATGAAATTCTCAACTAGCTTAAGCAATGTGAAGAGGGCCAAACAACGAAAATACTTTAGGGTTTCCCTGTTATAGGCTCTCGTCACTGAATAGAGAGCAACGACAATCAAGGTCGGTGACTAATATGGGGAACAGCTGGTTGGTCGCCGTATTGTGATAGTTACTAATTGCCTATTCCCATGAGAACAGTCATATCATTCCCAATTAAAAAAAATTAGTAAGAAATTTAATAGCATGTTTCATCATTACCACGCTAAACGCCACGGAAGGTTTGACTAATTTAAAGTTATTCCCGATCATAAAACCACCTCCACCAAGAATCAAAATAACTTCTTTTCACTTAAAGTAGGCCTTTTGTACCCCAGGCTTCCAATTACTACTAACTTCACTGATTCTAACACTCCATCTAATTTGAACCCCAAAAAAAATCCCATATTCCCATACAATAGAATTGACTCACCAGCCACAAGAATTCCTAACCCTAATAGAACAAGTGAGGGAAAAACACTGAATTCAGCATCTCACGTAAAACAATTGGGATCATATAGCAAACACAGAAACGAGACTTAAGTTCACCATTCTATTCCCGTAAACCTGAACACTTGAAAAAATTGAGATAGAATTAAACCTTAGAAAGTTCGAGGAGCGCATTTTCCCGGAGTGCAGGATTGGTAAGGTCAAGTACGAGCTGTTCAGGGGAAATCATCTTTCGCTCCTTGTTGGCGGCCTGAGCTGCGGCGGCGGAAGGACTGGCAGCCGAAGAAGCGCCGCCAGAACCATCAAAAGCGGCAGCGTTCATGGACAAGGACATAGGCAAATTCGCCATTTAGCTTTTTGTTAAGGGCTCAATATATATATACCACTCCAGTCTCCACACTGGGAATGGATCTTCCCCGTCCGCGAGAATCGGAATTATATGGGAAATTTAGCGAAGAAATTAAGGAAAGAGAAGAGATGAGAATGGAAACGAAGAGTTGAGAAACGGTGGCGTGATTCATGAATGGAAGGAAAGACAGCGGTATAATTTTCATGTTCTTTTTTAGTGAACAGCTTATCACGCCTTTAAGCTACACGTGCTGTTCATGCCGCTAGGATGTCTACCTTCTAGTATCATTTTCGGGATTTTTAACGTCATAATTAGACAAATGCTCGTGATGTTGTTTGTGGTAAACTGATCGTCATATTTCAGAAATGATGAAGAAAATGGACATAAACTATGCATTTATTCGATGAAATGAAATGATTCGATCAATCAAACGCAGTAATTATTTATTCCGTGATTAGTTCAAGTCGTAATAAACATAAAAAGATCGGTATCTTTAAAATTTCTTAATAGTTAAATTGAGTATATGAAGAATTTGTTTCTTTCATTTTCCCCGACTGATATTTTGATCTTTCGTCATGGTGATATTGTATTGATCTGTAAAAAAATACTCCTTCTGTCCCAAAATTATTGTCCAGTTTGAGATTTCACTTTTAGTACAATTTGAACTAGAAATAAAATCCCAAACTGGACAATAATTATGAGACGGAGGGAGTACTATTTCACTTAGTTCAATGAAATATTACACCAAAGTGAATAGTATTTTTCTAGAACAGAGAAAGGGAGGAGTCTATTGCAAGAAATGGTAAAAGCCTCTAGTTAACGCACTGAGAAGGTAAAACAATGGGAAGACATGTCTCATTCTCATTATCACTCTTTTGAAACTGCAGAACAATAGTTTGCCTCTAATCATTAGAGTCTAATGACATGAAAATTTAAGATTGAGCATCTCATTGCCTGATACCATATTTTCACAGGTATGGCTCGATGATCACATGAAACCGAAACCAAAAGAACCTTGGCGGGTCGAGAGTTTCTAGTTTTCTTCTACTCTAAAAAGGATGCCAGTCATGTCATGGAAGGAGACAGCCCGGTTTCAATGAGATGAACAATATCTAGGTCCTAGAAGGAAAAGTCTTGTTAATATTCCGGTAGCATTCTAAAGTTCAGAATTCTGTACAAGATCACAAGAACCACAAATCCGTGATGGTGCACAGGCTTGATGATCAGAAGCATTGAGAGTTGCCGATTTCCTGTTCCTCTCGTATCTAGGCTTTGTAGTTCTCGTGGCCACCAATGCTGCTCAAATTCTCAATATCCTAGTCAACTTGTAGACCTGCAGTGTCAAAAGCAAACGATCCATAAACTGTGAATGGAGAACTGATAAAATCCCAGGTCAGTAGATGCTTTCACTTTCAAAATGTAACAAAAGGTTTGCAGACTTTATGCAAATAACCAGGGAAGGCAACTTTGAAATCTGTTAATGCTAGCCACTGAAGAAATCATCGCAAGGACAATGAGAAACAACTTTCCACCATATGCTTCTATGATAAAGAGCACCAAATCCAAACAGTCCTCAAAAAGGCAATCACTTTGAAGACTGATTAAAAGGTAAACAACTCATAGAATGACTAACCTGAGCTGTTCGACTTGGTAGAGGCACTTCCAAGCAAGTCCGCATTCCATCAGTTCTGCAGCAGACAATGCAATACAATTCATGATCCATATCAAAATGCATCAGGAAAATCGTATTGCTATACAAATACTTTGCACGCTTACCTTCCACTTATTGTTCTCTGAACGTAAAGCTCACGCTTAATAGATCCTTGGCCGCCATACTTCTCTTCATCTGTATTGAGGATGATCTGAAAGAGGTTGTATTCATTCGTGTGAATCATTGGTGATTGAAATCACTTATATTGCTAATGCTCAAGTATTCTATACAACTATGGCATAATGCAGCAAAAAGATTAGAATATGGTAGTCACGTATGAAATCTATCTACCTCTCTCTCCACACTAAAGTTCTATAAAATAGGAAAAATTGGGGAATTGACTGTCACATATACTCTTTTATCCCTACTTAAAATCCGGACATGGTTCAGACTCACTCATCTTAGACAAATATTTAAACTTCATCGGAAGGCATTTTCACTTACCTGATATTCTCCAGCTTCTTCTACACCAACCTTGTAACTAGCATATGAATTTTTTGGATGGAAATTGAATACAAAGAGGAACGGACCCCTGAGGTAAGAGATAACCTGTTCCAGAAAGAAGTCCTTCGTGTTAAGGCCTAATACGATCTTCCTAATAACAGAAAAACGAGAAAGCGTAAACACACAAAAAATCCAGCCAAGTGCTTCAAGATTACTTTACTGTCTGTATTTGAGGAAAACAAAGGCTGACAAAGAGGAGAACAAGGATTGAAAGCATTAAACAGCAGTGCCTCCAAAATCTTCAAAAAAAATAAAACACTGGTACTGCCGACAGTCCCAAGGAGATCGCAAACAAGCACAGGCATGAGTGGAGCTTACCAATTAATATAAACCCATATAAAGAATGCTAAAGAGCTCTCAGGAAATAACTGCCACATTTTTCCTACCACTTCAAATCATGAAGAAACATCTGATGTCTTATAAGGGAAACTGGTATTTGTAGCCAATAGTTACTGTTAGAGTTAGGACCACACATCTTCATCCAACAAGTACTTTTCACTCATAAATTCCAAGTAATCAGAGTAATATCAAGCACAGATCTGATGGAAGTAATGACTAACATAAACTTTACCATAGTAGAGTCATTGACATGATGAATGTTGGAACAGCCACCTAAACCTCTTGAGAGAATTCTTTCCATTTGGTCCAAGTTCATCATATCCTGGATAAAGAAGTGGAAGCATTAGCATCTTTTGATGCATTCCCTGTGATGAGATAATGATTTTTCTCATTTCACCACAATTTTCATTTTGTCACATTAATGAGACGGAAATAAAGAAATGGATACAATACAGCACTTGCAATACTGGTCAAAAGTAGTTTTTTAACAAATTATGCCATGGTGATATTCAGGTGTAACCAGGAAATTAGGCTAAATAGTACTTGAGAACAATAAACTTTGTATAGCCAGCCCCATAATGAGATGGCACTAAGTTGTATATGTTGTAGTTGTTCAAACGTGAATTAATTTGAAGATACAATCAAAACAAGGTTCGCACTCTTCAACAATTTCATTGTTAAATTCAGGTTCTTTTATGCAAGGAGTCAAATGAAGGACACAAAGTGGAGTCCATAATACATCAATTACCTTATCGAAAGTAAATAACTGCTTATGCACTCCTTCCTTTGATAAGAGGTCCCATTGACGATTAGCAAGTGCAAATGAAAAGTTATTACTGGACATTGGGAACTCAATTCTCTGTAAAAATCAACAAAATAAGCACTTATCTAGCAGAACCAAACAATTCTGGGAGGGTATACATTCACAAAAACAACTGAGTAATAGCCTTCACCTTAGGGTGCCCAAACTCATTTCCCATGAAGTTGAGATATGCTTGACCACCGATTGAAAACGTAATCAACCTGATCATCTAGTTAATTATAAAAAAAAAAAAGGGAATAAGAAAGGACCACGCATACTTTAACTTCACACTGATGCCTTCAAGCAAAATATTAAGGCCAGTTTCAGTCATTAGCTTCAAACATATATTCGGGAAAAAAAAAATACCAGATATAAATAATTTGAAGAGGGAAACGATGTACTGGTAGGAAGTTGCATACCTTGTGCAATGAACAGCCTTTAAGCGCAGACTCTTTGGTGAAAGTAAATGACTCTATAGCTTTACCAAACAGAATTTCTGCGAGGGATTGCCCTCCTGCTATGGACTGGCAAACAAGGAAACAAAGATCAGCATGGTGGCATTCAGAACTTTCAGCTTGTTCATAGAAAATTAGTATATTTTCGGGAAAGAAAGACGATGGCATGAAACTAATGGTAATTAGAAGATACAGAAATGGTGTCAAAAAAACCAATGAGAATAAGGAATTAGCATGTTACCTGGTTGTGATTTTCAGCATACAAAAGCATCTTGTCTGCATTACGTCCATCCCCCACCAAGGTGCTTACAATCTTGACAAGGAGAAGGAACGAGTAACAGGGATTCAATACCTTTATTCTATTAATGTGGTAATAAAGATCCAATTTGTGATGACAAATGAGAAATTAATGGGGAGACATTATCTAACATTTCCGATATTTAAAACCATGTTCAAGCAACAAAGAACAATGTAAACCGGTAATAGGGCAGAACAAACCTTACTCATGCTCCATTCATGGTCAGAGGAGTTATCTACCAAAGATAACCACATCTCTGGTGCAGAAAGATTGACAAAATAATCAAACCCAAGTCCACCTTGAGAAGTCGGTTCACATAGTCCAGGATAAAAAGTTGCCTGAAAAGTAAAAGCAATGCATCACCTAAGGCACAAAGGGGGCAACTTAGCATTGTAGAAGAGGAGAATGCTCAAAACAATTGACTGACAAAATGCGGGGTTTTATGCAGTATTATAAACTGTAAATACCTCTTAAAAAATATTTTTTCCCAGATTACAAAACCAGCTCTCTACATTATTATTTTTTAAATCTTAAACATTTAAAGGACATCTCGACTTCAAATTATTAATACAATGTATATACATACAAAGTTTGCAATTTCAAAGTTTCGGCCAGATTGTATCTATAATCAATGAAGCCACAAATAGTACTCATAAAAACAGAGCCTAATATTGCTACACGATCTTGAATAATTTGACCATGATGGCCTAGCTTACACAAAAACCATCAAAGTCATAACAAACAGTAATACTCACATCTTCAGCAATTGTGATAATATTTGGATGAAGAGCATGCAATATGTCATTGGCTAGAATGAGATATAACAAAGCATCCCTGTCAACATATTGGTTGCAGTACCTGAAAAACAAAAATAATCTGCTGTTAAAAGAACGCTGTATCTGAAACAGAAAGTCGTCATCTAGCATTACAAGGTTTTTATAATACACACATGCAACATGGATTAGGACTAGACACTGCTTAAAGAACCAGAATCATTCAAAGACAAAAGGCCAAAATTAGACACTGCTTGGTAAATACATAAATATATGACAACTTTAGTTTATAAATTCAAATTAAATCGATATAGTTAACAGCCTTACTCATCCATGCTCCCCGTAAATGAAGCAAAACCATTGTGTGTGTACATCATGGATGGAAGAGAATGAAACTGGAAACCATCTATGTGATACTCCTCCACCCACCTAAGAAGCGGCAATCCATATAAGTAACGAACAATCACAAGAACTTCAAAAGCAAGAGAACTACAGCAACTAAGCCTTTAACCCATTACATGGTGCTGGCCGATCTTGCAAACTTTAAACAGAAGTAAATTAACAGATAACTATCCAGAAAAAAAGAATGGTGTAGGGGGGGGGGGGGGCGGGGAACATCATATAGCACTGAGCTTTTTGGAAGAAGACCAGATATGCTAGAATTTTACCAATTTAAATTTGAAAGAAGGAAGTGCAGCACATTCTGATCTCCATAGTTGAACATTCTCGTTCCCCAAAATTTATGGTTTCCACGTTTACCTACGACACAAATCGAGGGAATAATGTTACTGCTTCTGCACCAAAATGGAATCTAATGTATCATGAAGACAGCAAATTTCCCAGACTGACTGACATTGATGACCAAATCACATAATGTACTTCCATGGACCAGAATCACATTTGATACAACAAAATGTACTTTCATGGACCAGAATTTAGATCATTATTATCTGCACAAAGAATGTAATGAGACCAAAACGAGATCAATTTTGTGAGCCAAAACTATATCGGGGTTTCCATCTTTACTTTTTCCAATTAAAGAGCATGAAATCAGGGCCAGCAAAGTAAGATTAATATAAATTATTACAACTTGGTCAAGGCAATATTTGACTGTAACATAATGTGAAAATCTGCTCACCAAACGCGTGAACTGGCCTTAGTAGACATTCTTGTGACTAGATTGTGAATAAGCCACTTTGAAAAAATGAAAGATACATCTAGTGCAACCTAAACAAAAAGCTATAATTCATCCTTCAACAAAATAAGCAAGATTACCAGAATGGAAATAGCAATCATTTGATCCATCGTAAAGTGATAACCCAACCATTTCATCGGCTGCTGCATAAGAATGGACTATGTCTAAGAAGACCAACAGTCCAAGACCTGCAAACGAAATATAAAAAGGAAAGATAAGAAAATCAGCAATCACAAGACAGATGATACTATTAGAACTCCCAACAATAAAAAGATGTGCAAGATTGCCTTAAGAACAACTGCGAAGGAACTGCCTTAAGAACAACTGCGAAGGAACTAAATGGCAGTTACTAGATCTAAAGAACCCGCGAATACATTGGTTAACGAGGTTGGAAGACCACAAAGTAGATTAGCAAATTAGTGAAAAATAGAAATTGAAGGTGCCAAAGTTCAAACACATGCAAAAGATCAATTCAGAAGAGGTTATGACTTAACAAAGAGAGATCACATGTTTAAGGAAACAAAATACATACAATACATATACCCATGAACATGCTTTTGAGTGTACTATCAAAATAGAAATAACACAGCATGGTACCAAATAAGTTAACTTTTTAAAATTACCATGTGCTACATCAACCAAGCGCTTGAAGTCCTCTGGGGTACCATAACGGCTACTGACAGCATAAAAATTAGTTACCTGTGGCAGTGGACATCTTACTTATAAGCAAGTACTCTTTAAGAGATAGAAGTTCCCGCAAATCAAAAGATGAATAAAACCTATTTCTTCTGACTACTGGCTAGCAATCATTACAACAATGTGCACCAACATATCTGAGAGGAAGCAGTGACAGCTTCTGTTTCAAGTGCAGGTATCAAAACTGTGCTTAGTAGTCTAAACTTGTTTGAAAATTCCATTACAACAAGAAAATTAGTCCAGCAATTTCACCATACAACAAAATAAACACTAAGCGTCAAGCATTCATACTATGTACAATACTCTTTCACTGATCTCAATATTCAACAGAGATTTTTTTTAATGACACAAATTGGTACATTCACTTAAATTATGAAAGATAATGCGGTGAATTTCACAGAGTAAGAGGAGTCATACTGTAAATTATGATGCAAAGGTATAAAAGAGGAAACACCAAAGAACTCACTCTATATCCAACAGTAAAATAATCTTTATGCTCGACTACTCCAATCAATTGGATTGCATTGTAACCCGCTTCTTTGATGTGCGGAAGGACCTATCGAAAAAATTGTGCAGTTGAGTAGCCAGACCCCATAAAACTTTAAACCTCCCCAAAAAAAATGATGAAAATATACAGTGAGAACTTAAAAGTACATAATTCAAAGATTGCCTTCTCAACAAAATCATCAAAAGATGCAACTCTTGGGTCCTGTCCACTAATTCCAACATGACACTCGTAAATGCGTAAAGACTTGGGTTTGCGCGGAGGATTGTGCTTCCACTTATAAGCTAATTCAGGAGGCGGTTCCCATTGAACTGCATAGGCTTGCTTTCCCTCTGCATCTGCATAGTGAAAGATCACACTCAGGATCAAAAAAATTGCATAATATCTATTCATAAATCAACCATGTATAACCTAACTTTGTATCTGTGTACAAGGTTTGATTGTTGGAGAGTCAAGAAGAGGCGCTAAACCAATATTTTTCATCATGCACGCAGTAAGAGGGCAACAAAAAGCAAAACTATTTACTAGTCTTCAAGCTTTAGAAGCAAACTAATTGATAATTTTTCTGAGTTCCCCCTACTGCTGCATATGCCAACCAATATGAACTATGTTTCTCTTCTGATATCAAAAGAAAGCAATGTATTGTCATGAGTAATATTTCCCTGAAAATCGAGATAAGTCAGCAGATTCTCTGGCAGTCAGTAACACCTTCTCAAAAGAGCATCATGCAGTTCTATTTTTCTTTATCATGTCAAGATACCAATGCAAGCGAAAACCGATGCAAGGATACTTGAGAGATTATGTGCCATCATATACATGCAAGGGCAGATTTGTGAAGATACATATATATATATATATATATATATATATTGAGCTAATCTTTATTTTAAGGACGATCATATTTTAGCTCACGAGGATGTCCACCTTAAAAGTAAGTTTTGACTATGCTTAGCCACATCCTGAAATATTGCAATTGCAAAGTGTTTACACACCAAGTTTATAATCTAAAAGTACAAGCAGATAGGAGTGCCAGCAGAGAGCTACCTGGAATCACATAATTGGCCCAGGCAGGAACACGTTCTAGAGGCCCTGCTGGAGTGTTGAAATACACTCTGTATTTGCTTCCATGAGGAATACAGGGCCTATACTTTTTCAACCATGCCTTCCTTCCTTTCCGAGTCTCCTCCCAGTAAGGAATGGGAGGTTTCTTAGCAAGAACTTTTTCGTACCATACAGGATCACTTACGATATTGAAAATATCATAGGCCTCTAACCCATTATCAACTACATGAGTAGATGGTAAGTTGCTTGGCGGATCGTCTTTATGCTGCTCTTTCCAAGCTTTGTACCTCGTCTCTGGATCAGCTATATCCTCCAATTCCTCTTCAGTTTGAGGGCCATTAGGGCCAAACATCTGCTCGTAAAGCCTGACTACATTCTCATAACGTGATTTTATGAACCGGTCTTCACCAGGCTCCCAATATTCATCATTGGCTTTCTTGAACATTTCCTCCACTGTGACACCACTATCACCTTTATCATAATCATCCACATAGTTGTACTGCTGAAAAAAAAACTGGTCCGGCTCTTCCCCTTCCCGTAGTTTGTCTTCAAGAATAATAAACCAATACCCAAAATCATCATGGCCAAGGTAGCCCTCCCGGGCACAATTTTCCGTTGGCGACCACCCATTAAAATCACCAACCAGAGCACAATAGCGAGCACCTAGTGTAAAACATGTTGAGCTTCACATGTAAGCAACACCAATAGATGTAATTTACATTCCGAAACAGCAGTAGATTCACATTAATGCGCTAAGCCAACTCATGTATAATTGGAAAGTATATAAACTATTGTTCACTACTTCAAAACTACTATTGTGATGGCCAACAAAACCAGAAAGGATGGCATTCCTCACAATTTCATAACAAGTTACCAATTTTCGTCAGAAATTTGGAACTCCCAAACATGAAGCTAGAGTTTTCTTATTCACCCACTCAGCTGCTAAATTTAGTTTAAGGAAAATAAATAAATAAATAAAATGATGGCAAACCTGGAGCCCAATCCAAGAAATCCACCCGATGCTGCACGTTCCGGTGCATTCCCATTAGTTCATACCTGGAAAAACAAGTGTATCTTCATACCACACAAGTACTAAAAGCTTTGAACCAGCAAAAATTTTCATCCCACATTTAAATTTTAACAACCCCTAACAATAAAGCACTACAGCATCCCCTAATAGCATCAAGATTGGGGGTGTGTGGTGTTGGCTGGGGAAACAATCTTGACACTAACCCAGAAGCCATCTCCTTTAGATTGTCGTGGATTTTAAAAATTTCTTCCCTCAAGTCTTTTAACAACTTGTACCTACAACAACAAAACACATATCATCAAACATTGTAATTTCCTAAATAAAGGTACCTCAAAAAAGAGTAAGAAACAATAAAAGAAAAGCTCCACCTCTCACGAAGGAACATAGCAAATGCCTTGTGGGTGATACCATGTCTGGAAAGGAACCCAACTGGGTCGAAACCTTTCTCTTTATCATCTTCATCAGACTGGGGCTTCTTGGATTTGGGTTGCCTATTCTTCTGTTGTCCAGTGGCTGAGCAGCAGAAAGATTGTTTCTTTGGGGGACGAAATGTAACGACACTCCGGCTTAGGAAATTGTGTTTATCAGTTTGGAAGATGAAATTTAAAGGAGAATCATGACGTAGAGAAAGCTTTGCTAAGTCTGCTGAAGAGGAGGATATCATCATGATGATTAGTTCTCAAAAGAAGCACCTAGTTTCAGAGTGGCAATGTAGAAGAAGAAGATGCAGCAGTCCTATTATATTTCCTTAGTTGCTTCAAAATGATAAGGTAAGGCGGGCACTTGGAACTGTAATTCTGTAAACTGGAAAGTGCATTTCAAGATTTTGTTTTTATTTTTTCGCTTTTCTGAAACAGCATTTTCGAGATATTTAGGACACTGTCCGACCCTGGGACATAAAATCGGAATATAGACAACAAAAATTTGGTTAATAATTCAATTATCCCGTATTTTGAGACCAAAATACTGTATAATGACAGGTTACTTCTCTCATAGTATCTTTTTTGATTATCGGAGACATTGCTGGATTATAATCTGATTGCTTTTTTCTATTCATCGATAGATGTGGATCAAATTGTTGTCGAAGCATGATATGGTTTTACAGTTTTACTTTAACATTTGCCGGAAAGAAAGAAAAAAAATATATTAAACGTTACCAAGAAAATATTATTGTACCTAAAAAATGGAAGCAAAAATAACACATCACTAGATATTCATTGACCCTCAATAGAGCCCATAATGGGTCCAGTGCACTTGAGGAGACGTTATAAGCTGCCCAACAAATCCAAAAGTATACATTGCTGAAAATTTGCCTCTTCCCTTCTTCTTCCACTGTATATGTTCACTTATCATATATATGGTCATTGTCTCTTAGGATATGACCTTGGTCCAAATATTGTTGATCCGATTCTGACGTTAGTGCTTCCCATCTTAATCTGCATTCATGATGACAAGACAATACTGCAGTCAGTCGTGGCCTAAATGCATTTACCGAAAAACTAGTCATTTGAATGCAGATTAGTATCCCGGAAACAAAAATGAGATAGGGCTGCAAATTCAAAATAGCACTCCGCGGATTAAAGTAATCTTCTCGGCCTTTAAACAGTTTAAACTTCTACTCAGAAATGGCTATAAAAACTTCAAAGGCATGGAGGAACCAGTTCAATATGAGTAGAGATAACATGTGAGTACGATTTCATATCATCTTGACATACCGCTTGTTCAAAATCATTAGACATTCCCATGGACAACTCACACAAGGACTCAGCCACTCCAAGTGCCTTGCAGACCTCAGTTCTACAGTTTAATAGAGCCTGCAATTAGGCCACACAGAACAAGAAGGTCAAAAGAGGTTGATAGCAACTAACAAGTAAAACATCCAAAGATTGACCAAGGATTTAAGGCATATGGTTAAATGTCATTTGCATACATACAAGGATTGACAATAATGTTATCGTAACAATCTGGTGTCAAAAAGAGAGCCAAAAACTATCAAATTTTCGTGTCTCCTGGCTGTTACCTCAGGAATACATTTCATCATGTAGCAAAAACAGATTTGAATGAAGCTCAAAATATCAAAGTCATAATCCTCAAAAGAATCTCGGATTAATGCAGGATACCACCTGAAAGTTTTCTGGAGTTGAAGAGTAATCTGGCATCCCTATGGTCATCAAGCCAGAGAACTGAAGATTTGGGCAATCGGACTTGACATGCTTTGCAAGGTCCACACATTCAGATGGCTCCACACCAGATTTTGCTGTAATTATCATCAGCATTAGAAGATTAGACTTAACCACGAGCTAAACCAAACTCTCCCTAAAGGTGAATCAATATATCAGTATGTCTATACTTACAATTTTCCCCACTAGTGTTTACTTGTACAAAAACCTTTAGAGGTGGACGCCCAAGCCTGGAAACTTCCCGGTCCAGATGATTTGCAACCTGTGAACCGGACAAAGGCTATTAATACTGATAATGTTCATGATTGACTTGACCAAATTATATTGGTAGTCCAGCACTGATTTAGCAAGGAGAAGTTCAACCTCAAAGAACAAACAAGAAAACAACATTCCACGAAGGAATACAAATGAAGTTGTAAAGAGATTTCTATGTAGTCAGCTGTTAGTATTCTTATCCTACAGTATAAACAAACACGCTCACATCATAAGTTGGCAAAAAAGAGAACAGATAAACTACACTAACAGTTCGAGCCAGACTTGAGGAATTTCATTGGCACTTGTACTAACGATGAAAAGTAATTTTTTTGCTACATAATAAAAGAAAGATGATAAAGAAGTCAGCTTCTACGGAGAAGAAAATCTGAAAATACGGATTACCATGAATGATGAATTGACAACGGAAGATACTTGCCTTCATACTATCTACCCCCTCAACTGTAGCTAGATTTGGTACAGCAGCTGCAAATCAAACAGTCTAAGCTTCAAAATGGCATTCTTCTTCATGACCAGAAGAACCAGAAAACACAGAGAAAAAGAAAACAATATAATTTAAAGGGCAAGAAAAGTTTCTCCTCCTAACTTGCCCGCAAATATGATAGTTCCAGATAGAGACAATTTCCAAGAAAAATGTGTAGTAGCAGAAAAGAAATGCCACATTCATTAGCAATGCCAAGGTAGTTAAGAGCATCAAAAGCAAAAATCTAAACTCTAACGATTCATTTCTCGAGCTTAAGAGATACCATAGAACATACCAAGAAGTGGTTTCACTTTGTTGCTCTGTAAATGCCCGATAAAATGCCACTTAATGTCTTCAGGAAGCTGCAATTATGAAGTGGCAATTTCGAGAATACGAACAATTCACTTCCGCCCAATTACAGAACAACTATCAATCAAAACAATCCCATTTACAGGGATATGGAAGAAAGTCGTACCTGAGGAGCCTTTTCGATGATTTCTTGGACGTAATTCTCGCCAAAATATCGGTGACCGGAATCATATACTTCGCGAATCAGAGAGACCGGTTTGGTCTTGCCCACAGCCACTACCCTCACGTCTTCCGGCCGGCGACCAGCTTGCTCGGCAGCGAACCGGACACGGTGGAGCACTGACCGGAGCGCGGTGATTGCTGCGCCTTCCACAGCTTGAGCAGCCATGGCAGGATTTGATGGAGCCTTGTGGGGATTTTTTCTTGGTCTCTATGAATGAAGAATGACTGAAATTAATTTCTAATTCAGAATTAAAAAAATTTTCCCACGCCATTGTTGGGGAAATTGAAACCTCATAAATATGTGAGGCTGAAAATCTGGGCCCCCCGCAGAAGGGAAAAAAAATCTAACGGCTCGCACAAATAACACGAACCGACCCGACATCTCTGATTTGGTTAATCCTAGATTCATATTTCAGATTTGCTTCAACAAATTCATGTTTTGTACTACTATATATAATAATGATACATATCTCATCAAATTCATGTAACAAATTAAGATGTTATTAACATGATGATATTGAACCAATGCATTCTTTTTGTTCGGATTATTTTGGCTCAATAAAGTAAATTATTATTAAAATGGGACTGATAGGGAAGTAGGATACCTTAATGCCATAATGAGGGAGCCGGAGCCTTTGTGTGGGTTTGAGGATGATGTGGAGAAGGACTTGATACTTTTCTGTTTCGTTTCGGCGGACAATCTGGACTTAAGGTCGAAGTAGAGACCTTGTTAGCCATACTTGAGACTGAGAAGAAATGTTTGGAATAATTTGGACGAGGGAAAGAAGGGTGCCGTGTCTCTTGACTTTATTACATCATGTACTTCTATTTAGTTTAGTGGCGTTAGGAGAAGGGTGAAGTCTTGTGATGTCTAGATGCCAAGTTAAGATTATTATGATAGGGTTGACTAAATTTGCCATGTTAGGAAAGGGAGTTCAATTTGCATTAATTTCTATTTGGTGTCCATCCCTTATTAATAAATAAGGTCTGATATAATATTACATCTTCAAAATGGTTAAGACTTTGGAAATCATGCCATTCCAAGTAATCAAAATGCTCAAGGAGAGCTTTATGGTGCAATGGTGGAAAGTTTCAACTGCGATAATCTTAACTGGTGGTAGGCAGAGAACAAAATGAGAATTAATTGAGAGGCAGAGAACATAGAATTAGTGTGTGAATTATCTTAAAAATCGTTACACTCATTGCAGCCCTGAAGATTTCAATCCCAGTTCTGACATCTTGGGATTCTGCTGTCTACTACTGAAAGATTTTACTAATTTTGAGCTGGCGATACGCCTTCATTGACTGTATGATCTGCTTTGTGAAGCCGTTGACGAATTCTTGACTCCGTTCTGCCACGCGAGGAATTGGACGGAGCTGGAACCTTCTTTCTTTTGTCAATGCAAAACTTTATCCAGGTATAGACTTCTAATGAAAAGGTTATGAATCCTAAAATAACCAGAATCCCAACATACGACCAATTCCAGGTGCGATCTGTGCTTATGATGTTAATCCCTTTAAATATGTTTACAGAAATCATAGCTAGCAATGCATATCCCAGAAAATGATGGTACATGTTCCAGTAATCCCGATACTTGTCTTCTCTGCTTGGTTTTAGTCGCAATGCCAACATCTGCAACTCAAAAACGATGCGACACATTATTATTTCGGAATTGAATAACAATCTTGTGGTTAGGATGTTGTGTTTTCTGTTATTAGACCCGTTTTTCGTTACTTACCTGCAGTGTTGCAGATGTGAATACGATGATTCCCAAAATTCTATGAGCTCGTACTCGGGTGTACTGTCCGGAAGCACTGTTGAGTAATAATCCGATGACAAATCCAACAGTGCCGAGTATATATCCCAGAAGCTGACAGCAAATGTGGAGACAAAACCATGTATTAGAGCATTGGAACGGATATCTTCTGAAATATCTTGCAATTATAGCCCCAACTGGTAAAAGGGTTCCCCAGCCTACGGTGTTTACTATCCCATGAACCTGCAAAAAGAGTAAAAACAGAGTCAATTTAGCTCATCCATCAATTCATTAGGCATCACTGACTTATCAAATGCTGAAATATTAATGTGTGAGAGAGAGAACTTACAATTCTTAACCTACGAAGTTGTGAATGATCAAAACTGTGTGGCTCCTCGGTTGTCAAATCTATTGTCTCCTTGGAATCAAGATGCTCAAGATCCAAAACATGTCCAGATGGATGTTCTCCTCCTTTTGCAACATTCCCAATTTGCCAGACAATGTTGGCTCTCGAATCGTTGTATTCTCGGGGAAGAATAATTCTGGCTTGTATCACGTACTTATCAATTGCTGGCACAGGAAAAAAGCTTAAATTCTGAACTTGTAAGTCAATCTTTGAAGGAACAAGATTGCAGCCAAGCTTTGTCAGAGCAGTGATGTTATAGGTTGTAACGTTGTGAAAACTCCAATTGGATTTGACCCCAATCAGGGCTCTGGTTCCTATCATCACTGGCTTTTTCCCAGGATTTAGCCCCCAGGCCAACCACCCACTTTCACCTTCTAGCTTTGCACCAAACAAGATCTCAAGAACCCTTGTGGTGTTGTTATAGTTCCACGCGAATTCTGCTCCCAGAGTTTGTTTTCTGCAATGTCCTGTTATGTTCCTTTTTTGGGCTTCTTGCCAAAAGCTGTCACTGCATAATAAAGGTTTTCCAAATCCAGGAAGAAAATACAAAGACAAGATCAATGTGATCTGCAGGAGATGAAGATGGGAAAACAACATTGTTTGTTTCCTAGGTTGTTCTGGTTTTCTAAATGATTGGACGATTTGGACTGTTGGATTTGATGATTCGTGGCTATTATAATGTCTACCTACCTTTTTTCTTTTCCTCCATAAGAGACAGTAAGTTATGCTAGAGCCTAGAAGGAAGATTTTCAGTTCAGAAGTTAACTTTATTCTGTTTGTAACAATTATACCTGCATGAGTAAGGAAGAAGCTACTATATATGTAGAGTTTGAATCTCTGTTTAACACTTTTATATGCTAACTGTGCTTTCGCACAGTAAATGGCATAATTTTAGTTGTAAGTATGACACGATTGATTGATAAAATTTCATATGAAATGGCTTGTTCAAAAGAGAAAAGTAGATAGTGGAATTACCAATGTTATAACTTATACAAGAAATCCATGCTTAATATTGGTTTGTATGTGTGATATATATTTTCTCCATTTAAGAAAAATAGTCCACATTGGATTTTGATATTTGTAATAGAAAAGTACAAATTCCAAAATTCAATGTGAATTATTATCTTGGGACAGATGGAGTACGTTTTAAATCAGTGTAGTTGTAATTTGCATACAAAGCAGAGAGAGTACTTTGCAGGGAAGTTGTATCATGTGGGTATTAGGGGATTAAGTGAAAGTGTATCGGCCGTAGGGGATTAATTTGTAACGAGGCAAAGAATAAACCATAATCTGACACTGCAGATTAATAAAGTTTTGTTTTTGGATTAATAACACAGCGCAAGGGAGACTGGAGTTGTTTTGTGCCTTTATTTGTTGGCTTTATATTAAAGTTAAGGTGTGTTCCACGTTTTGGAACTTATGCCCAGTGGAAAGAGGTTTGTTTGCTTTGATACGGAGGCATGGAATCATAGCTGATAGATTCCTACGACCTTCCTTTTTCTTTTGGTATCAAACTTCGTTGTGTGAGTGTGTGTTTTGTTTTCTTTTTTTGGGCTCTCGTTGTTGATAATGGAATGGAATATTTGATAGTGTACATAGAATCAATCCCCTTCAGCAATTGCACTCCCTCCAATTTTTTATTCGTATTTTTATCTTTATAGTACATTAATTAACTTTGAGTTTATACTCTCTTCATCTTGAAATTATAATTTAATTGAAAATTTGAATCGGACAATTCTTTCAAAATAATAATAAACTTGAAAATTATTAGTAACCTCGTTTGATGAGGAAATCATTAGTTCGTCAAACGGCATGTAAATCAATCAGGTGATTTGAGTCCCCTTGCCCGTACCAATCAGGTGAAACATTTTTTATATTATTTTTTTACTGTGAAAGACTGAAAGGAGGGACATGCCTGGCAATTACATTGTTACATTTCCATTTATATAGCCGAGACATAAAATTGAGTAGTGATTCGAGTTGTATACTCCGTCCGGTCTTTTTAATTGAAAGAAAAACTTTAAAAATATTTTTTAATAATTATGAGAACACAATCAATGTAAAAGTATATTTTTAAGATTTTTTTTCTAATTAAAAATATATTCAAAGTGAAATTTAAGACAAATTAAAATACATTATAATAAAGACTAGAGGGAGTATGTAGTCGAGAAGCAAAAATGATACTCCATACATGTCTGTGATTCCGGTCCAATAGAATACATTGGTAACGGTTTGGAAAATATGGGAAAGAGTCAAAGAGGTACCTCTGCTGAGAAATAACAGATCTGAACACTTCAACTTATAATTTGAGATTGATGAGTATCTATTGGAGTACTCAACAACGTCATGTTTGGTTGGTTGTTTCTTTGATTTCCTTATCAAAGGATTTGAAGCGGGATAAGTCACCACTAGCTAATGTACAGTCGTTTTTTCGACGTCCATAGGATATTCTTTTGGGCAAAAAAACATTAAACCAAATTAAGCCCGAACCATTTTTGGACTACTTAGGGAGTGGACCTATATGTAAATTAAGTAATTTCACTACGTACGGCAATCAACTTATGCTAATTCTCAATTTTTAACTTCTTCACGTTCTACTTTGGTGTCGTGCAATTGGTGATGTATCAATACCTGTTCCGTTCAGGCCCTGAATCTAGCAAACTTTCAATTAGTTGGGGATTCTGTTAAAGCGGCGAGAGGCAATGTAGATAGTACATCCTTAAGACCTTAACTTTGCCAATTATTCAAGAGATCAAGATCCTTATGTGTCATTTCCCTAACATTACTTAAGTTGCATTGGGAGAACAGTGTGGCTCCTAATCTGCAAATTATGCAAAATTTTGTAATACGAGAGAATTTTTGGTCATCTCCTCCGACTGATTCCAACCTAATAATTTATAAAGTTAAAAGTTTTACCTTTCAAAAAAAAAATAAAAAATAAAAACTCTTCCGCCGGAGATGAGACGCAAGACCCTCACTTATCATTTTTAAATGGTTAACTCAACAGGATCCATAACAATTAAGGTAATTGCCAAGCTTGAATATCTAGTTTATCTGACTATAGCTAAATACAAAATTAGATGGTTATTTGAATCCAAGCCACAACATGTTGTAGCAATATACTAGTTACAAGATTTTTTCCTTTGAAATAACTACAAAGTATTTACAGTCAACAATAATAATAATAATAATTCATACTCGTCCAATAAATTATCGGTATTATGGGGGTCGAAGAACTAGGTTTGGGATCTTAGTGTACTTGTGTGTTCAAGGAGCAAAGAAACACACATGTGGGAAACTGAGATTGCAAAACTCCCTCTCGGGGAAACCCAAGAGAGAATGATGGGGTGTTCTGTAAGAGATTTGCGAAAAAAACATGTGAATTTTCATGATTTTCGTGCACATTCGGTGGATCTGCACTTTTCTTAGGTTCCAAATAATGAATCCCTTCTTAATTAAGATGAAGAATTTCGTTCATAATGTTTACGGGGATTTGATTAATGACCTATATGATCTGAAACTTGCGGAGTAAACAGTTGACTAATTTACATGGCGAATCATTAATTATACGTGTAACTTGTTATATAGAGAATCCAGTTTGACATACCATGCATGATTCCCAGTTTGCTACTTAATCTCACTTTTGACCATTTTGCTTTTCACGCTCGTAGGCTGTTGTGTTCCTGTCATTTTGCGCTAACATTTTTTTCTCGAAATTAAATATGTGTGACATTTTATGAAGGCGTATGATCACTGATTAGGTGACACTTTGAATTATGTACTCTGAACAGTAGTTAAAAACGCTTGGCGATTTATAATTATGCTTCACATATTGATAGTGTAGTTAAATTTACGGCCTAATTATTGATCTTGAATAATAGTATAGATCTAAAATGAACTGTGACACGTAATTAAATTCATACACATGCTCATGCAATGTGAACCCAGAAAATTCAACTATTTAAACAAAACTTTCATTAGCAAAATGGTAGCCAAAAAATATTGCTCAGTTACTATTATCATTTGTACATTTAGCTCCAACCAAAAAAATGAAGAACGTCAAAACTTCCTTCATTGCATCAAAACTATATGTCTGCCTCTTATATAACAAAACAGGGACAATGGTATAACCAAACATATCTTATCACACTTACAACCGTATAAATATTTCAAATGAATCGTCCTTGAGCATTTTACTCGAGAAGTACATTATTGATTATTGTATATAAATATCAAGACTCTGAACCTAGATACGCACGTACTTTATAGTATACTTTGAGTGAGGGAAAGGGACCAAATCCAGGAATATGGTCTATTTTATTTGTCACGAATAATAAAAATAAACAAACCTTAATAGTAGTAAATAATAATTGATCATCAACGTCCCAAAACACGAACGACACAAAACCGATCCGTTTCGAATCCGAATTAATCAAGCGTAATCACATTCACCGTAGAAACAGAATCCACCAGGCATGCACCGATGGTTGCAAGCTCCACAGTGTCTCTTATCCATAGACAGATTGACACATTTCCCTCTGCAGCAAGACTCAAAGGGCTGCAAACACTTGTTCTTACAAGCTCCGCAATTGTTGGAGCTGTAATGAATATCCACGCATTTGTTGTTGCAACAAGTAGCATTTTCTGCATCAGGCAATACCAAGCCACAAATGTCGTGATCTTTCTTGCAATGATCGGATCTCCCATGTTCTTTCGGTGGCTTCGTCTTCTTCTCATGATGACCAGATGTATGTTCTTTTGGCTGCTTCTTCCCGTCATGATGACCAGATGAATGTTCTTTTGGGGGCCTCTTCATTCCATTATGATAACCAGAAGTATGTTCTTTAGGGGGCCTTTTCATCCCATTATGATAACCGGAAGTGTGCTCTTTTGGGATCTTAGGTGGATCCTTCTGATCATGAGCTGCAAGAAAACGGCTGATCCTTTTTGTTGGGATGCTGGTAAACACGTTTTCTGATTCTTCAACGAATTCTGTGGAGATGTTGTTCTCCAAAAGGGGTTGTTTTTGGGCAGCTTGGGTGCCCTTTGGAACAGTGATTAGGACTATGGATATGGCCATGGCTATGGCCAGCATGAGAACTAGCCTAATCACCTTCATGGTTGTTTTGAAGGTGGAGGGGAGTTAGGATGAGCCAGGAATAAAATGGTAGAATTAATCAGTGATTTGGTTTTTTTCTTGGGGATTTGTTTAGTGACTTGTGAGGAAGTGAGACATGGGTTTTATTAGGGTGATGGTGAATCGTTGACCCTGGAAAAATGGTAAAAAATTGGTAAAATTTTTTTTTTTCTAATAAAAAAATAATCAGAGAGAATTGTGATGTAAAATAGCGTGTGCGTGCATGGTGGAATTTTCTTTGAATTTTCAATCTTTCTTGACTTGCCGCCTGTGATTTGTGGACAGCTGCGATTTCTTTTAACTTTTAAGATTGTGAGCTATCTTTTTTACTTTTCTTCTGTGTTCGTGAATTAAAGACTATTTTGCCACTACAAAATAGATGTGATTAAAAGAAATGCAGTGATATTTTTTCTTCCTTCTTATTAAAAATAGCAAAAACGAAAATTAGCCAGCTTCAAAACTACCCTTAATAGTAGGGAAATGAACGTGAAAATATTGTAGTATAACGTCATTAATCATTACTAGTGAAGATTAGATTGATTAAATTCAATTTAGCAAAATCAAATTTGTGAAATTAAGAATGATCATCGATTGGCTTTTTCATTACTCCCTCCATTCCAAAATCAGTATCGTTTTAACAAAATGGAGAAATTTCAAAATAAGTGTCGTTTTCAGATTCCAATGTATTTTTTGTCAAAAATTTCCAAATATACCCGCAAAAAAAAATAATATTATTGGTGGGTATTATTTTAATGGGATTTGTTGAGGATATTCTAATAATTTAGTTACCTTATTTAAGTGTTTCTTAAATTATATGCAAACTCTAGAATAACACTTATTTTGTAATGGAGGGAGTACTTTAAGGGATAGACTTGGAAATAAAGTTGCATGTGAAGACGGCAAAATGGTCGTAAAATTGACAACCGATATATAATCACTGCTCTCATTCTTTCCATTTAGCCAAGAAAAAACGCACAAAAAAAAACCAAAGCTATAAGTAATAAAATCATTTTAGAAGCGGCCGGTAAGCATCAAGCCGAGTAGCGTACGTTCAACAAAAAAAATACTAATAATTACAAAACTTTAGGTCAAAGACAGACGATCGACGGGGTTGAGATTGTTGGCATGATTTATTGGTGCGTACTTCTTGCTATCACTTTACTAAAAAAGATTTCAAAAGAAAAAAAATCAATGTAAATGACCTTCTTTTTTCTTTTTCTTTTTTTTGGTCTAAGGTTAGACTTTCTTTTACTTCAAATTGATTCAAACTTCCAACCCAAGAAAGCCCACCCGTCCTAGATTAGTTAGAAGCTGCATCCAATCATCCTAAACTTGCTAGCCAGTTCCTTCAAATTTAACTTGCTTCAATTTGTGTAGATTATATATAATTTCTTCAGATTGTTTTGCTGCTTTTGCTCTTTAATTAGCACTGCTCCTAGATTGCCTTACACGCATTCAACAAACGAATAACGATTGTTAAGCAACATTACAGTTAATCTTAACAAATATATATACTACTTCTATAATTTAACGCGTCTTAATTTGTTATGATATTCACAACACAAGCATTGTTAATTTAGGCTTCAAAAAGCACCGATTAAGTGCTCTTTTAGCTAGTGATAGACAAATTATATTATATAAGTCAAATGTTTGTTTATTGTAGCTAGAGAACTGAAAGTCAACTGATCGCAACAAGCCAAATTCTCAATTCTTATACTATGGACCATGGTCCATATTCCTAAATGAACCATGCTAGTACACGCGCGCTGGGAAGTGCAAAAAATAAGGGTGGAATTTTTTTTAATAAAATCTCAATCAAATCAACGCATAAAAATTTATCCATTCTGGATTTAAAAATAGAGATGAGATTGTCTATGATTCAAACTCCTTATATTTCTTAATAATCCATCTGAATTTAAAACCCTCTTATTTTCTCCACTAAAAAAATTAACGATCTCATCGGTTAAAAAATTTTGAGTCACAGCCGCCGAAGAATTTTGAGTATGCAGCCCTTAGCCACGATAATTTTATGTACTTCATCCCTCGCTTGGGCCATCGCATATTCGCATGTGAAATTTAGAGTATGTACACTTGAAGCTTTGTTTACATTCGATACCTTTAATTCATCATAAATAAGCTCTGTTGTTGTTGTTTTCTTTCTTATATTAATTGATGTCTTTTCAAAATTTCTTCTATTAATTATGTTGCTGAAAACTTGACGAACAATGTATCTTTTTGTTTGTGCATTTAAAATATAATAACAAATTCTATGAAACCTATTTCAGGGCAATTACTGACTTCATGGCACCGGTTTTCGTTAGTAATGGGAAAAATAGGTTTGATTCCATTAACAAATTTCACAGTAAATTTCATTTTCATTGTTATTGTATGCAAAAGTTTACAGTTTATTTTCTTTTCGTACATATGTTTACACGATATATAAATAATGTTCATACCCATAAACTTAAAAGTTCATTTGTTTGATTTTTAAGGTATTATGAAAAAGAAAGACGATAAGTAGTGGTTTATTAGATAAAGTACCATATTCTAACAGTTCATAAATAAAATATGCTATTTTTTCTTCATACACAATTTTTTCTTATTTTCTTTAGTCTAATGTTAAACTTAATGATATATTTGTTCACATGTATATAAGCTATTCGGGAGCTTTATGCATGTAAAAGGTCAAGATCATATGAGATTGAACTTCACTGATCATATACAATCGAAGAAAATCCGGGGGACGTGGAAACGCTTGGAGTTGAAGGGGTGGGGCGTGGCTTGGCAAAGAATGAGCACGTGAAGAGCACTTCAATCTAACCAAGATATAGCGGTGTCGGTATTGTTTCATGTATGCAAAATAAATTCCTAAGAAATATGCTATTAATTTTTTTTCCCTTTTATGATTCATGTATGCAAAGTAAATAGTTTATACACTTTTTTTCATTGGTTCATACATATAAAATAAATAGTTTATACACTTTACTCGTAGTATTCATACGAGTCTATGGCATACATCATTGTGCTTTGAAATTCATGGTATTAATATTGTTTCATATATAAATATATATGCTATTAATTTTGTTTTTCTTCTTAGATTCATATCTATAAAGTAAAAAGTTTATACATTTTTCTTTGTTGGTTCATGCATAAAATAAATAGTATAACAGTATGAACACGAAGAACTTAATTTATGAATTATATCACATAATTGTATGAACATGATCAATGATAATATAAACCTGAGGAATGACGGTTATTAAGCAATAAGACTTTAAATAAATAGTTTATCTTTTTTTAAATTGTTTCATCAAAATTTTATTTTCATGATATAATTGTTGAAATTCAGTTAACCACAAAATGAATAGTGATTTAAAGTTTAAATTGATTATGTGAAAAGAGATAATTAAAATTAAGAGATAAGATTACCCTAAGATTTAAGATAATTATAAAGAAAATAGTAAAATTTCACTTGCTTTTTTGGAGTGAGCAACACCTCTCTTTTTGGCTCACATTGTAAAATGAACCATGGTCTATGATATAATTTGCCCCAAATTCTTCATTTGTAATTTGTATCACTCCAGGTGTCAGTAAAGCAGTTATAAGTGCGGAATACATGGTGAAAATAGATTAACTCTAAGAAGTCAACGAGATACTCCCTCCGTCCTACAAAAATAGTTCACATTGAGTTTTAAATTTTGTATTATTTTTAGTACAAATTTAAAAATTCAATATGGACTATTTTTTTGGGACGGAGGTAGTATTCTTTTTAATTTTATGCTTTAAATTTGAAAATATGTCCAAAATCTAGAACTGGGAAGACGTGAAAAAAAAGGGCTAGTCTGTGACTTTATGTTACCAAAGTTTACGCCCAAGAAAATAAAATTTTTTTTATAAAAAAAATAGAGATATCGATCATGAAGGCTGGAGAGGCTATGATGTGTTCTTTTTGACGCCTTTAACGTTTTAATATTTTAGTAACTAATTTTGGTTTTCAATGACGTCGTAGGATCGTAGTCTCGTTCCCAACAAACATCAACCATCCTTTCTTTTTCAAATTAAATAAATGACGTTTCCGATAGCCCAAATCCTCGGAACAAGCAATCCCAAAATTAAGTTCTTTTTTTTTTCTTGTTTGCACCATGTTCATATTAGTCGGGATAGTAATTTCTACCTTTGAAACGTGTAACGTACTGTGATATAAACAATGGGAGAGAGGTTGACCGTTATTAATCTGTACCCTTTGCATTTCACATTTCATACATAGCTTTCTTCAAATATGTGGAGCAAAAGTATGTTTTTACAAACTGACTAGTTGCGAATCCATTAGACCTAGCACCCAGCTAGTATTGTCGTTGCAATTTTTAAGAATCTTTTGAATTGCAGCAAAAATATATAATATTTAACTTCTCTCTATTGAACTGATAAATAGTTGATCCGTAATGTGCTTTCAAACCAAAAAATTTTGTATGTAATACATTTTGTTGTATTGTTACTTATTTGATTGATCTCAGCATTCGATATGTCGATTGAGCGTTTGTAACTGCAGTCTACAATATGTTATTATCGATTATATGTTTCAAGAATTCCAATATTCTAAAAGAGGATAAAGGGGGGAGGGTTCCAAAGCAGTATACTTAGCTAGTTTACTATTATCTGTGTTCTAAAAAAATAATTTACATTGAGTCTTGAGATTTATACAAATTTTAATATAAATTTGAAAATATAGTGTAGACGATTTTTATGGGTGTTTGCGTGAAAATTGTGCACACAAAACTGTCGAAAAAAAGGAAACATAATCACCCAAAACACAATTAAATCAGACGATTGTGGTTGTGTTCGAACAGGCCTCGGACCAGGATCGAGAACTTAGGGTTATTCGCTTTAGTTTGAGAAAGACAAGTAGAAACTAGGGAAAGTGAAAAAAAAAGCCGAAAATACGGTGTTTGACTCATAAAGTGGAAAATCCTAGCATCGGCAAGCTATAGATGGTGCCAATGACACGCTATTACACAGAAGACAAAGATAGGACGGGCGTACAGATGGTAGTTAACATACATAAGTGTTAGAACACCTATTACAGAATAAACGAATTCGTTGAAGTAGAAAACAGTGAAAACCTATAAAATTCTATGTAGGAGAAAAAAGGCAAACAACTCTATTGCTAAGCTAGGGGCTAAGCAAGCATGATAGAACGTGATGAACTACCATAGGGAAGGTAAAAATATGATAAACGATAAAAGAAATCATAAAGGACAAGGAAAACCAGTTGTATGGTTGATCGATGATAATTTTCTCTTCGTGGCTACCTCTATTTATAGTGTTTGGACGAAACCCTTGTTGTCCTATGATTCCTTGGAGAAAAGGTAGCTTAACATGGTCAATTTCTTTGAAAATATGATACTATTCTCGCAGCAATCTCCCAATCGGTTAATGACTCTTCTCACAATCAACTTTTAATTTGGTAATAGAATCCTTTCCCAAATATATCTCTTTAATTATTAGTAATTTTCCTTATTAAAAGGAGCAAGAAATAAGGAAGAATCTTCCTAAATTGCCAATTAATCATGCAGCCGATTTTGGAACAATTCTATTCTCACTTGGCTTCTATTTTCCTTCTCCAATTCTGAAACTGTTCACACTCAACCAGCCCATATTGACCCTGAACGTATTTTGACCACTTTTGGGCTATTTTAGGGCCTTAAAATCTCAGCCATTATCATATAAATCTACAAAAACTCCTGGGCCATGATTCACATCTCTCGTCAGCTTGAATGACAAAAAACTGACCGAACATAATGCCCCCCAAACGTTCATATTAAATATGACTTTGTATGAATGTTGATAAACACATCTCTACCACCAACCATACGCATTCCATGTTGCACTTAGATCCACATAACATCATCCCACCGGGTACATAACGTAATACGGTACCCACGCATAATGTGAATAATACGGATTAACTAATGGTGCACGCTTACTTTTTTGCGACGGCTGAGACCTTCCTTTAAAACTGCCGCTTGCTCTGGAACTGGATCTGGACTCTTGTGATCATTGTCTCCGCGGATAGTTTCTACGGTTCCTCTCTGTTCTTGAGCCATGTTAATACTGAGGCCTGATTTTGGACTAAACTGGCCATTTGAAATGGGAGAACTAAAAGTACTGTTGACTTTTCGCTTCTCAACATCTTGAACTTTAGAACCATAAATGACATCTTTGCTCTTGACCTCCTTTGTGACTGTTGAAAAGGACTGCCCTTGAGAATTCATTGGAGAAGTAACTATCTTGTTACGCACAACCTGAAACTGGCTACCATATCGTTTAAGAACTGGACTTGCCATGGTAGCACTACTAACTGTACCCGAATCGTTTGTCTTACTACCCTTCTTGTCTTGACCATGAAAATCAATGGAAAAGTAATCGGTTGGTTGCATCTTACCTCATGCAGACCGTGTGAAAACTGGGTTGGAGATGGCAGAACCACAAACTGTATCAGAACTAATCTGCTTGCGGCTCTCTTCTTTGTTGGTTGCCGATTTGACAATGGTTTCACTTAATGCTGTGTAAACCAGGTGCCTATCCTCATCTTTTAACTGTGACTCGACCTATCGTTCTTAATCGGCTTAATGACTTCTATCTCTGCTTCATCATTCTTCAATCGATTATCTTCATTGTACTCTCTATTCTCATTAACCTTTGGCTTCATATCACCATCCTTTTTGGCCACTATCTTTTCAACATGAAATGCTCCAATCCTCTTTGGTGTAGACCCAAAAAGTTTGGCATAAGCCCTAGTGCAACGCCTTTTCCATTGACCAGCTAATGATTTCAAGATCTTCTGATCAGCGGTTAACTCAAACTTCCATTCAACAGTAGCACCATAATCCAGCCAAGCAATGTATTTCTCCTCCTGATTCTCATCAAATTCAGCATCAACACAAAGAGAATCGGCCCCAGATAAAGAGTTTGTAGACTTGGCTCTATCAGCATGACAAAAAGATTGTTGTATGGACTTACCTTATGCCTTTTGTTGTTGGACCTCACGGAGCCTCTCTTGTCGTAAATCCTTGAATGATTGGAGCATTTTTTGGCTTGCGAAGGAACAATTGTTTGCTTAGCTCGATCGCCACTAAAATTGGTATGCCGAACGTGACTTTGATTACCACTAACCCCTTTTTTTGGGACACTCTCTACTTCCGGCAACTCGATCTTGCTCATATTATCCCGTTCCTCCTCTTGCGTCCTCAAACGGTCTTGATCCAATTGCTGAAGAGAAATATAATCGGCCGACAAATCAAGCTGCCGAGTTTGATCACCATCATTGCAAATCAATTTTGTGGATACCTCACCAGCCACCAATGATGTAGTCGTGCTTGTTTCAGCTTGATCAACGCCGAGTGTCGTCAATATGCTTTTATCTTGCTGACTAAACTGTGAAAGAAAATAAGCTGATACGGTGGCTGCCCCGTGCTGCCGACCATTGCAGATTAACCCCTTTAAAATTTCATTAGCTGTCGGCAAAGTGTCTTTAGTCTCATCACTATCAAGCATTATCAATCACCCTTGTTCTTGGTGACTGAGATTTGAAAAATCTGAAGCTATCTCGGCTATAAAACTAGACTGACGAACATGGCTATCATCGAAAGACTCGTTCTTTTGACCTTGAAACAAGTTCCTTAAGCTACCTTTAATTGATGACAGCTTCATCTTACTACTCGTAGCAGCAAAATCAACCCCGATTGAATTCAAGCAACATTGTTCTTCGTGCCCCAATGGTGAGGAACCCGAAACCTGATGGGAAAGGCCAGAATGCTGAGTGTGACCATGATTGATACAGATTTGTTTCACTTATTTCAACCACATCGATCTTGAGTATCGTTGAACGACTTTGACCTTGATGACCCATAATTCTGGTGTCTGTAAAGCTTTTATCACCATGAACTTAAGGTTCTCCATCATACCGGTCTCTGCAATCAATTTCCGCATTTACCTCCTCACTGCTTGTAGACTTGCCATATTCACTTTGTAGATCAATACACTCTTGAAAGCCATTAACATCTACGGAATCACTAAAACATAAAGTTTCAATTGCTATCCCCACCGTTAGAACTTGGGACACGTGTTGCACCATACTATCAAATTTCCTCATACAAGCATCTATGTCTTTATTCAAACCATCAAACATTTCTTCATTTTTACCATGGATGTATGAAACTGACTTCGGTTATCATAAATCTCGGCCAACCCACTTACATTAAACATGGATGATTGGTATCTCACAAGCTGGCCTCTATCACCTCTACTAACAATCACGGAATTGAACTGAAAACCACATGATATTGACAAGTACCCATACCTTCTTGACTTAGTGTGTAAGGATTCGTGAAACAAACAATACCATGTTGATGTGTATCAGTGTAGACTGCTGATCATTCGACGGTTCATGTAAAATGGAAGTTATGACTAACCAATAAGCAAGATTTATCATCAGCAACTTGCCCCGGGCATCAAAGAAACTTCTTGAGAACAACAGCCATCCGAATTAGTCGGCCCTTTATCAGTCAATAACAACATTCTGGATTGCTGATCCCGTTCACGAATTCTTTGGAACCCATCGCCGCTCTGACCGGCATCACAATAACTTGTATTGACACAGATATTTTTCTTGTTAGCTAGCCATTTTTCTTGAACATACTGCCCAGTGTGGAATCACCAACCATGTGATCATGTCTAGAATATGCATATTGTTGGTGTTGTGAAAGTAAATGCTGAAACAAGCTATCATGCGTTGAGAATGTCGGACACCGATTCTGCTATAGTGACACTCGTGACAGATTCTTCATTGATGGTATTAGCACATAAATCGGCAAAGGTGATTCTTGCAACTAACCTTGTTCTAATTGAGACAAACTCTGAAAAGATTTACTTGGCACTAGTTGCTGATCAAACTCGTTGTTTTGCACCATTTGTCTCTGAAACTGTAACATATTCCCTTGGAACTCATTAAATGATATCGTCTTCTGATCAAACAGCATCACACGCTCATGGAACACCGCTGACTGTTGTTGAAACTGATGGGGCTGTATCATTTGTTGTTGACCATACTGATCTTATTCTGATGATGACTGTCGTCAGTTGCTTGAGAGTTATAATTAGCATAAGCATTCAGAATCGGTGCACTAACATGATTTGCATTTATTCTGATGATCAGCACTATTTTGGCACCAACTGTAACCATGGTACTCTATCTGCTGCTCTTATTGTTGATCGGCACCACAAATAACCCTACAACAAGGTTGTGTCGATATAAACTGTTGGAAAATCTGCCCACCAAGTGGTGATGGGATATGTTGGATCTGAGGCGATGAGGATTGATGTTGTTGATAGATCTGCCCACCAAGTGGCGATGAGCTATATTGAATGTTGGGGGATGTGCACATCAGGATAGAATTTTCAGGCGATCAACTATACGGAACAAGGGTATAGACCGGACCTTCAGAAGTGTCAAAGACTAATTTCGGGTGTTTAGATGCGCCATGACAAAAGAAAAAGAAAAGACTCTTTTTTGGATTTTTATGACAAAGAAAATTTCGTGGTATGATGATAGACATCCACGATTTACAAATCAAACTAAAGTTTGTTCCACCGGGCGTGCCAAATTATGTTTGCGTGAAAATTATGCACCCGAAACCGTGGAAAAAAAGGAAACAAGAATCACCAAAAATACAATTAAATTAGACGATTATGGTTGATTTCGAACCGGCCTCGGACCAGGATCAAGGACTTAGGGTTATTGGCTTTAGTTTGAGAAAGACAAGTAAAAACTAGGAAAACTGGGAAAAAGCCGAAGATACGGTATTTGACTCATAAAATGGAAAATCCTAGCGCTGGCAAGCTATAGATGGTGCCGATGACACGCTATTACGCAGAAGACAAAGATAGGACGAACATGCAGAGGGTAGTCCGACATACATAAGTGTTAGAACACACTTATTATAGAATAATTGAATTCGTTGGAATAGAAAACGGTGAACACCTACCAAATTCTATGTAGGAGAAAAAGACAAACAACTCTATTGCTAAGATAGGGGCTAAGCAAGCATGATAGAACGTGATGAACTACCATAGGGAAGGTAAAAACACGATAAAGGGTAAAAGAAATAATAAAGGATAAGGAAAACCAATTGTATAGTTAATTGATTGGTGATAATTTTCTCTTCATGGTTGCCTCTATTTATAGTGCTTGGACGAAACCCTTGTTGTCCTATGATTGCTTGGAGAAAAAGTAGCTTAACATGGTCAATCTCCTTGAAAATAAGATATTATTTTTGCAGCAGTCTCCCAATCGGTTGACGATTCTTCTCACAATCAGCTCTTAATTTAGCAATTAGAATCCTTTTTTAAATATATCTCTTTAATTATTAATAATTTCCCTTATTCAAAAGAGCAAGATATAAGGAGGAATCTTCCTAACTTGACAATTAATCACGCAGCCGATTCTGGAACAATTCTATTCCCACTTAGCTTCTACTTTCCTTCTTCAATTCTGAAACTGTTCACACTCAACTAGCCCATATTGACCCTGAACGTATTTTGACAACTTTTGGGCTATTTTAGGACCTTAAAATCCAGCCATTATCATATAAATCTACAAAAAAACTCTTGGACCATGATTCACACCTCTCTTCGGCTCGAATGGCAAAAAACTGGCCAAACAATTGGATAAAGGGAGTACTGTTCATGTGCGCCTTCAAATTAGCCATCTTGGAGAAACTTTGTTAAAAGGTTGAGATGCTTGTTTTTTTTTTCTTTTTTTTTTTTTGAAAACTAGTGTTTATAGAGTATGTGAACGCGTGTCGTACTAAATTAAAAATTTAGTCTTGAATATATTTCTAAGATTCTGGTGTAAAGCTTTAATAGTCGATCTAACAAATAAATTAATAGATGATTCTCCTTGAATGTGAACGAGGTACGGTGCGTGGTAATTGCAGTTTGTACTAAGTCTGAAGGGCAGTGGAAGTTGCACTTGATAGTCTATCAAATGATGCACGGAGTTGTAAATTACTGAGATATACGGAGAGGGAGTATTTTAATATTTTAATTACTTTATGAAGTGTAGGATCTCAAAATACAGGAAATTATAACACTAGTAATTTTTTTTCCCTAGTGTCATACCAATTAAATCGATAAAAATTAAAACATTATCAATTTACAGCGTGAATTATTTTTATGGTATATATATCTATATATATATATATATATTTGAATCGAACTATGTTGAAAGATAACAAAATTCAAAGTAGGTTTGAATCGAACTATTTTTCAAGTATCAACTTAACCAATCTATATATGAATAAAAAAACGAAAATAATAAATGAATAAACCTACATAATACGTATTAGATCCCATCCCATCTTCCCCGTCATACATAATAAATATATAAAGTGAACAACATGTATTTGCATAAACCATCACCAAGGCCAATTAGAATATCATCTATGATCTATAAATATTCTTACAATGATGCAAGCACGAAACAGTTTCTTGAAAGTAACGTTTGAAGCTGGGATGGGAATAACCTCCCACACTATTCAAATGCCGGTCATAGCGACCAAAATCATCAAAATAACGCAAGTTTCCTCCCGTACTACATATATCCGGGGGCTGTCCAATCAAAACCCGCTCAAACTTTTTGGTGCGGTGATCATATGAATAGACTGGAGTCGCCGCGCGCGCAATAACTGTTGTCGGCGTGGTTCTGAACTTGTACAACAACATCACGATTCATCAGTAGTAACTCCCCAGTTGGTATATTCCCCACCGTCACATTATAAACCGCACCACATGGATCAATTTCTCGCGGCAATCTAATTTTATGCTCACTTCATTTATCTTGGTTTTCGTCGAACACAAGGAGAGTAAAAAATTTGGGTTGAGTACTCGGAAAATGGTATCTATGAGCTGGGACCCAGAGAGCCAAATGCCCCATGGATTCGCAAAGATTCCATCCCCCGCTGTGTGCCAGAAACGTGGGGAATTCCCCGCTGGGAGGAGCCTCGATGATTATAAACATGTCTTTCTTAAGATCATAAGATAGTAGGATTGATCTCCGCGGTTGATACCAATATAAGACACCATAACTCGATGACCATGTTTTCACTTCATGTACATTGGGAACATAAGGAAAATTTGTAATTTCAGATGCATTAACATCAATTTTCATCCACGAAGTTGATGAAGTAGAGGGTCGTAAAGTCATTACCATCGCTTGTATATCCTCTGCTGCGGTTCATCACTACTCTTAATATACTGAATTGTCAAATTAAACAATTTGTACACTCGGTTAAGTGGATCATACCCGAGATGGAACTTGATCTCATGTAACGGTTGCGAGACACCACCCGCAGCGGGGGAGTCGCCACCCTCATACGTACTCTCTCCGGTACAAACGTTGTAAAGTGTCAATTTTTGCCGACCCTTCTTCTGCCCATAATAAACACACGTGAGACCGTTCACTACTTGGGTCATTTGGTCGGAGAAAGCAGTAGCTTTTAACTCCCTGAGGAAACTGAATTCTTCTTATCTTTTGGTGGTTGTTTCAGCGGCCAAGTTGAAAGTGTGGAGTGGAAGAAAGTGATTCGTATGTCATCATCACGTACACCATTGCGCCTGATTTTCTGCTTGCCTCCAACTCTTTTAGGCACATTATAGACTCTTCTTTGTGGAACGTAGAATATGAGGCCCGGTTGATGACAACTTCGGGAAGCTTTCAGGAATTCACTACTTTGGGTTATGGATCGCCATGACTTGCACACGCATTTGCACTTTCCTAATTGTTTACCGGCCGGAACCCTTTTAAGAATCTCAAAAACCAAATCATCAGGCAGAATTATCTTTGCCCGCTTCTTCAAAACCTTCTTCCCATCACCACAAACCCCAGTTGTTTTCTTCGCCAATAAATTGAGGTAGATTAGTACAAAGGTTGCAAGCTCTTTTTGTGTCTTCACGTATTCCATGCATATGAGTATATGTATATATAGGGTGTAAAACTTTGCCCTTTCAATATCCTGGGTTCTGTATTTTCCCTTTTCCATTTTGGAACAGAAAATTCCTCCCACCAATAAAAGATAGTTTTGAAAATCGACTTTCCAGAAAAGGAACAAAAACAATTTCCTTAAAAAAATTGGGAAGCAACAATCATTGGAGATGGACCTGGAAATGGAGATCACTGATCAACTAAATTGGCCGTGGTGGCAACAGATAGAAAGAAAGACTCTTATCATAGTATCATGCCATGCATAAACAGACCTGTGGTGTGTTATGTGATAGTCAGTATACTGTAACGATTTTGAACGTGAAACTTAATTTATACTATAACTTCATATTAAGGTTTCCCCCCAAAAAAACTTACTTAATATATAAATGATGCTACGTACATATATAAACGTAAATACGTAATGATGATATTTTCAATCCATCATCGACAAAGAAAGATATCAAAAGTAGCTCAGAAAACTCCGACATATTCATTGAGGAAACTTCTCCAATTTTTTCCCCCCACTAATGCTATAAAAACATTGACAGCTGTCTATGAGAGCAAAACACTACTATATTTGTATCTTGCAAGTGTCATAAAAATTGATCAACTGGATACCTAATTCTAATTAATTAGCAAAAGGAATATCTTAACAATGGGAACTTCCACTTCCACACTTAATTGGTAAGCTTCAATAATTAATCCATGTCGAATTCATCACCGTCGTCGGGGAGTGGCACATTAGCAACTCCAGCAATCTCACGGTCATTTTGTTCCAGTGCAGCCCGGTCAATCTCCACCTCCGGCGGAAGAAGAGCAGTTTCCGCCACAAACGCTAAGTTTGGATCACCCGCAAGTTTCCGCGCGATATAAAGGAAAGGCTTCTCAAAGTTGTAGTTACTCTTGGCCGATATCTCAAAGTACATGAGATTCTTCTTCCGATGGTACATCACATCCTTAGCCTTCACCTGACGGTTCTTCACGTCCACCTTGTTCCCGCAAATCACAATGGGAATATTCCCTTCGCAGACCCGGGTCAGGTCCCGGTGCCACGTGGGGACGTTTTTATACGTCCCCCGTGACGTCACGTCGAACATGATGATAGCACACTGCGCTTGGAGGTAGTATGCATCCCTAAGTCCGCCGAATTTCTCTTGGCCAGCCGTGTCCCAGCAGTTGAACCGGACCTTACCGCGGCTGGTGTCAAAGTCCAATGGATGGACTTCCACACCAATCGTAGGTATGTATTTCTTCTCAAACTCGCCGTTAATGTGCCTTTTCACAAAGGTGGTTTTCCCGGTCCCACCATCGCCCACGAGTACGAGCTTGAAGCTCACAACTGGTTGCGGTTTCTGATCAGCCATTGATGCAATTAATGATACTGTGACCACAAAAAAAAAAAAAAAGTATCCATAAGTAACTCACAACCGTCAATTAAGTAATATAACATACTCCGACTATCTCTTATTGACAAAGTGCATGCATTGACAAGATTAAAAAAAAAGCCTTGCATGACAAGCAATGAAAATTCGCCTGTATATTAATTGATTAGGGAAAAGAGACTAGGGTATACCATAAACGATTAGGGAGCAGGAAGAAGGAAGCTAACATGTATCAATTTATCTCAATGAAATAGACGACTAGGGTTCAACAATTACTGTTTCAGAACTCATAGAAATCAACAACTATCAAAATCGACTAATTAACCTAGAAGAGAACTAATCTCTCAAGACAATTCGGAATAAACCAAAGGGAAAGTAACTATAGTACCGAATCCGACGTAAAAGTTTCATGATTAGGTTTAATATTCCAACCGATAAAGATCCATCAATAAGTTCGAACTTTAACACGACTTCAAGAATTCCAATTATAATACTCTCGCTCTATTCAACAGTTATAACATGAGATTAAACACTTTTTTTTAAAAAAAGAATCGACTGATACAATGAAGCTAAACAATCATGAAAATCCGAATCAATAAAAACCTGGCGATCAAAACTCAAAACACCAGCATATCACAACAATATCTTTCAAAATCGGTTGGCCAAATAAAATATTAGTAACTGCTTTGATAATCAACAACTAAAGCAGCGAAACCAAAAAAACTTGAACTGATACCTGAAGTCTCTTCTGTTTTGATACCGAAAGCAGTAAAACCAGAGCTATGATCACAAAGCCTTTTATGATTTTCTTAAACCTTATTGTGTCGTTTATATAGGAACTCTCTCCCGTTCTTTTCCCTGCGTGAAAAGGAAGCACTGCTACAGCGTACCCCCTATTCTCTGCGTGAATTGGAAGCACCCAAACCGCGTATTTATGGGTTTTATTTTCTTTACAAATCCTAAATTATAGTACTACTATACTATTACTAACGTTATTGTAAAAATACTAATAGTATTAATCTCTTGTCTCATAGATAATTAATTTAGTTAATATAGAAATTATTCGTTAGTGAACCCTTTTCAAAAATGAAAAAAAGAAAAAAAGGAACTTAATAACAATTATACTCCACCTCTAAAACCAACTACCTATTCCAGAAATCCTTTTCATAAAATTGGTGGAACATATTGTAGGTCTTAGAAAAATAGAGGGTCAATTAGTGGTTCACTCAAACCTTGGGGGATATGTATGTAATTTGCTTGTTAATGCACAAAGGCGCAGCGTTTTCTATGAATTTCTACTGCGTTTTTTTTTCCCCCAAATCAATATATATAAACTTCATCACTCCACCGGAGTCAAACCTTGTCGTCTTTAAGTCTCCGACTACGGAATACGGAATACCGGGACATGAGTTGAACGAACGCCGAGCTCACACAGATTTCTCGCACTGTCCGTTCTAGAATGACGGAGCTCGAATTCAGACGGCGAGATTATATCGCCGAAGATAAGGCCTGTTATCTTTCTCGTGCTCCGGCAGAATCGCATCCTCTTTCCACTTCCTCCCAATCTCATCCGCCGGTGAACTTCATTTTCTCATATGTTAACTCGTGAATTCTGATCGTTTTCGTCCAATTATTTTCATTTGTTTTTTCCTCTGAATTCTGGAATGAAAACAATTGAAATGTGTCTTCGTGGAAGTGTAATTACTTATACCTTTTCTATGATATCTCTTTCTTTGAAGTGTGAAACATAAGGCGGATATATGGCAGTATACAAGTTACTGAGGCAATTGCGACATTCTGAAGTTGTTAAGATTACCAATTGCTTGAGATTTTGAGTGAATATCGAATATTGGAATGATGATATTTCCGGGGAAAATGATAGTGAAAGAGTAGTGTGTTCGGCTTCCGGAACGTATCTATGAGTTTAAAATTGTCAATTTTTTAGCTTAGCTGGATGTCTGATTGACTTCAAAATTGTTAATTCGTTTTTGTTACTGGAGTAGATAGGAGAATCTGTTTCTACTGTTGTTTTTGGTGCTTGGTTAGAACAGTTACATTTGTTGGAGAAAGTAACCAAAAAGTGATTAACAAAATTTGTAAATCATTAGGTTGGTTTTGTGCATAAAGTAAAAGTAAAGGATGAGGATGCCATTTTAGATCCACTACGAGGAACCACTGAGAAAACGGAAATTGCTTCTGCCCATTCACAAGAGGAAGAGATTAATCTAACACCTCTGGTCACTGATGGAGTTTCCTTGCAGTTTCCATCAAAAGAATGGACTTCCCTCAAGAAGACACTGTTTCAGAAGTTTCCTGTTGCTAATAATATTACGTTATCTTCGGTAAGTCTTACCGTTTTTTACAAAGCCTTGTTGTTTTAGTTGTGTTTCTGCCTTGACATAATGCACATCTTTGAGACCTATTCTTTTGACTTAGGAGCTGCTTCAATTGCTCCATGCTCCAGAGACATTGATGCCTTTATGCTTAACTGTAACTATCAACTTATTACTCTACGCTGATGTCTGCTAGTCAGTTTTTTTGTGTACATTAATGGATGCTGTCTTTAAATAAAATTTTCGATTTGGGCTATCATGCATGAATGTGACGTGGACATTATCATATTAAAGATGATGCAGTATTCTATAGTGCATGCTGCGGATACATAAAACTTAGTTACATTGCAATGATGATTGAACTTATTTACGCTAAATGCAATACTTGGTCATTGCTTTATGGCAAAATGCAGTAATGAAGCGGTTGTGCTTCATTTCGGTGTGATTATTTAAGATGAATTCTCCCTCTCCCTCTCTCCAAAAATTTTCATATTATCTTTGCAGTACAAACATTCTAGTTGTAAATTCAGTTTCCTCTCCTTTACAGATTTCTCAAGGAATAATGAAGGTTGGGAAGGGTACGCTGTAGGATTCAAACAGCCACTTTTTATTAGCAACTGTGCTGAAGGATTATCATCAATTGCAATAACACTGTCATTTAATGTCCCATCACGACAATTTGCAGTGACAGAGCAGTCCCAAGTGCATTCACATTTTGAGGAACGGGATGATCCACAAAAAATCAGTGAAGAAGGTCTTAAAGTTGTGAGTCAGAAAGAGTATATCACTCGTTTACAGGAACTTAAACATGAAATTTCCCATTCTTGGGACAACAATGACCGTGTAACATCTCTCAGGTTGTCAATCAAGGTCGGTGTTTCTTCTTCTATTTTTTTTTTAATGAATGTTATAGTTAATGCTTTAGCGCTTCTTTGTTGCTGACCTTACGCTTGAGTTTAAGAGTAGGAATCTCACTTATTTTGTTAGATTTTCAAATTAATCACCTTAGGACGTGTAGTTTATTATGTGCACAGAATGGGATTCGTAAAGGACCAATGTTTTCAATTGACTTTGAAATATTTGCCCTCCAGGTCGCCAGGCTTTTGATGGATACATCTGTTCTACAATTTTATCCAACAATATTTGTTCTAGCTACGGAAGTGATGGATATGCTGGGTGATATGGTATGGGAGAGAATTATGCATAAAGCAGAATATGCTGAAGACGGAACATTTATATGCTCTTTGCCAGGTTTAATGATGAAATTCAGAATTCCTCGCTCTTTCTCTTACACAACAGCATCCATTTTGTACAATAGTATGGTGGATTGCAAAGCATGTTCGCTTTTCCAAAAACACTTATGCCATAGAGTGTTGCTAATGGTCGGAACCATAAATGATTTCTGATCATTGGAACCGTTAATAAAATGAGCTTTCTCTTGTAGTTAAATTTTTATTATGAGTTGCACCACATAGAAAGGTTTTGCTCAATTTTTCTTTTGCCGTATCCTAAACTATCTGTGAACTTTGGCAGATAACTTTGAAGCCAGCCACATATGTGAGGATGCTAAAGAAACCTGCGTCAACTGGTTTTCCAAAATTGGATCTATCCGTGAACTTCTTCCACGCCTGTAAGGTCCTTGAATGCCTTGCCTACTATGATAGTTTCATGAAAAGCTAATCACGCCTTGTCAATAAAACTAAAATTCCATTATGCGCTAATCACGCTTTATGTATGATAGTTTCAACTTTTTACTCAAGTTTTTTTTTTTTTTGTTTTTGGGTATCAATGTAAAAAAGCTCTGCTTAGTTCAGTGCCTTTTATTGCATTTATGGTTTGTTGTTTGTGCCTGCTAACAATTTCTATCATCTAAAATATCAGCTATCTGGAGTTAGCCTTACTGCCTTGCTGGAGGTTCCTTATCGACAATCCTGTGAGTAGCCTACAACGTTTAGTTTTGATGGCAAGGGGCATTGGAGATCCATTAGCTTCAGCATACTGCCACTTGTACATGGCCTATCGTGCACAAAAACTAACCCAGAACGACATAGGTAGACTTCTTAATCTATTGGTTTTCTGTGAGAACTGATGTTCCTGTACCACTATAAGTCTGAAAAATAACTGCATAAGCAACCACATCCTTTTCTGTCAAACCAAGCCAAGAAGAATCATTATCGCTTGTTTAAAAAATTTGGAGCAGTGCTACAAGTTTATTGCTTACTGATATACTCTTCTGATGACTTTTCTTTTAAACAATACCAGCTTGCAACACTTCTTATCTTTTCCAATTACAATGGTGATTTGCAGTCCTTTAAATTTGTCTAGTTTCCTTTGGCTGTTTTGGATTTGGAATCACTTCCCTTCAGTATACTTATGTGCTTTTGTTGACAGGGTATCTTATCACTGGAATTAAAGACTTGAAAATTCAAATGGAGCGCATTGTATCAATGCAAGAAATCAAATTTGGAAGTTCTCAAGCAGATATCAGGTTGCATGTCAGCCTCATGGAACCCACTATTGAATCCATGATGAAATGCATATTTAAATATTCAAAACATCAGGTTAGTATTACATCTATGGGGCATACCTATATTTCTTTGCTGGCTTTACTCCCTGTCCACACCCCTCCCTGCCAATGTGATGGAGTAGGGGATTCTTACATTACTTTTCTTGTGTTGGTAGCATTGTTAATCACTTTTGGCTTACATTTTTCACCTTAGTAAACAGTTTACCTGAAAATGAGCTGAAATTCAGCCATCTCTAATCTCTCTTTATTCTGAAGCCTGCGTGCTTCATATGTTAAAATGAATTTCACAACGTGACTGATGATGATGATAATTTCTACTGAAAAGGATTTTTGGTCTAAAACTTGTAATGCCCTGTTTTGTTCTCTGCAATCTACCGGCAATAAACTGGCTGACATGTTCTCTCTTATTCTCAATGGAAGATGCGTGTCCATGAAGTGCTTGTTGGACTAGGACTTGGAAAAGACCAATCACATTTATTTGGAGACTGTTCATGCGTTTCAATCATTCTACATCATTTACTAAAAGAGCTGCCCGTTAGTTTAATCAGTTCTAACGCCATGGACATTCTTCATATGATTAAGTGCAACGATGATTGCTCATATGAACAGGTTAGTGATGTGATTGTTAAATTGTTACTTCAACATTACTAGTGCTTTAGTTAGATTTTGAGAGTTCTTTCAGGATGTTGCTTCTAGTGCAAGGTTTAATATTTCATATGCAGTATTTGAATTACAAGTTGGTTGGACTCAGGCTCTGTGAAAGCATATCCCAAGTGAGTGATGTGATTGCTTTAGTGGAGAAGATCATGGAGGTACTATCATCTATAATATTTCTGGTTGTGCTCTTGTCTCAAAAGATAAGCACTTGTATCATATACTGGCTATCCTGATCTTTGGTGATTTATGATATTAAATAAATGGAATTTTGAGCCAGTTACGTGTATATTTGATCTGCCAACAATATCAGGGAATATCTTTCATCAATTATAACTACTGTTAAGGATATTTCTTTGTTGTTATGTAATAACTAAGGTGTATTTTAATTCTAATTTGTTATGTCTTCAGGTTATTTCTTGCTATGATAACTTGGACGAGTATTTGACGGTTTTAGATGCTTTTTTTGATATTATTCTGCATTATGAAATGGTGAGTTTACTGGATGTCATGCCTGATTACTTCAGCATTGCAACTCTAGTTTTTAACGGGATTATTGGATTACAATTGCCTGTTGATCAAACTGAAGTCATTGCTCTGTTCCTCTCATTGATTTGCTATTTCTCCAGGATATACATCTAAATAAGATTTTGGATGAGGTATTTGAGAGAGTTTGTGCCCAAGACATTGGTGAAAATGCTTTGACAGGCTTGCAGTCATTCTTTCTGAAGCTTCTTACGCATTTTGATGACTTGAAAGAGATTGTATCACTGGTATTTACTCCTTTAGCTTCTCTTTTGTGCCACCCTTCTGGGTCTGTTTCATATGACTTTGTAGCTATTCTCAAATGGACTACTATCAGCTGATAATTATTTTTAATAGTTTTATATGGTTGCAGATTATGTTTTGTTGACTAAACGACTTAAAACACATTTTGATGATATTTGCAGAACCATTTTATAGACATCCTAGATGTGATGCACGGGAGCTCAAGGAACATCATAAATGTAGACATTCTTCGAATGGCAACGAAGTATGACTCCTCAGTCGCCTTTATATTGAGCTCTCTTAAATATCTATAATTCACTATTTGATTACTATTATCTTGATTTGGTATATGAGTTCCCTAGACCTTCCAACATAGGGCGCTTCTGATTTTTTTGGGTGATATGATCCTTTGTGGAAAAGGTCTCCCCACTCAGCCACTTTCGATGGTCATTTCAGGCAAATTTGTTGTATAGGTTAATATCAGAGGGGGACATTCGTGACATAGGGTACCCATCACTGCCTAATGTTGATAAAGGAACATCCGGAGAAAAAATACCAAACTTCTTTTCCACTTGTATTTGAAATTATGCTTGGCCCTGTTGGCTTACTTTGTTTTTGTTGTAAGAGGAAAATTTTTACCTGGTGCTATTATGCTTTATTGTTCTTCAGATCCTCTGATGTTCTGAATTTCCTTTTGTCAGGAACAATTGCATTCAGGATCATACAATTATTCATTTTCTGTTTGAAGTATCACAGGCCTTGCATGATGGTATAGATTCCTCAAACATAAGAAATGATGAAAATCAACACTCCATACGTCTAATATCTGGTTTTGTAAATTTGGTAGGATACTAATTATGAAAACTCTTTAAATTCTTTAGATTGCTGGCAATTTTTGGATTTTACAGGATGGCTTCTCCTAAATTCTTGATGTATAGTAGCTGGAACATTTTTTCTTTATGCATGTTATTCTCCTCTTTCAGGTTGACTATGGGGAGAATGTTGAACGTAACTTATCTTTTCTGCTTGATTGCCGTGGAGCTTTTACTGGCATGAATGACCTCAAGGTATATCTATATGTGTCTGATGAAAAAGATTTTTTAAAAAATCTAAACTGTTGGCTATATTTCTTAGAATAACATTTAAAATTGGGTTGCTTAGTGCTGTATATCACCATATTGTTGGATTAAAAGGTTGAGTGCTCATTTTGGGTCATTAGCAAACTTCAGTCTCTTGCCGTAGTGTAATGTCACCTGACATGAATCCGTTTCATTGTCTGTCATTCATTTTACGAGAAGTATCCACTAATCTTTCTTTCCAGTAATTGATGTATGCTACATACTTGCATTGAATATATGGAAGTAGTCTGCTCCTTATGATGCATCTCCTCTGTAAAACATTAGTATGATCCAAAATTGCTTGGCTTGTGTACTAGACATTTCCCCAGTAAGACTTGATTCATCCATTATATTGAAGTTTCTTACTCTTTCTTTTTTATTTCCTTATATTGACTAGCAGGAAACACTTGTTCACTCCAGCAATCTTTTAGCCGTTAAAGCGCTAAAATATGGGAGTAGTTCTCTCTCTGTCGTCAAATCTTGCCTTACCTTTAGTGAAGTTACAATACCTTCTATCCCTGATTGCTTAAGGCAGTTGAATCTTTATCTGGAAACTGCAGAGGTATTGATCCAATGCAGTGGTGATACTGTAGTTAAAATATAGTGTTTTATTGGTTTTTTGTGCGGCATGCTATGATTTGTCTTCGTAAGTGGATTAATTCTGATTACCACTACGCCTTATCTTTTGTGTTAGATCGCATTGCTGTGTGAATTACTTTCTCATGCGGATGGTCTTATAGGTTCAGCAATCTGCTGTTTGCAAGACTTGGGCTTGATGGATGGTTAGTTTCTTCTCAAACATATCACATGTATCCTAGTAGTAATTGTAGATTTCTCTTTTATTATTTATTTAATTTCAGTTTTTTAGGGGTTTGACTATAGTTCTTCCTCATGGGCATACAGTTGTACAAAAATGGAAAGGTTAACCTCTGTCTTGGTTTGGGTGAGGTGTGGTTAATTATATTTTGTACATCATAATGGCTTTGCTTGGATGCTTGACAGAATTGATGACTTAAGTGTATGAACCTTAAAAACTATGGGCTGTGAAATAAGAGGTTATGTTTCTCTATTATCTCTAGGTCTGGGCTGTTGATACATAGTGTATCATTCTTCGCCAGTACGTAATAGTAAAAATTTGGGTTAGGAGAAGTGGTTTGGGAAGACTTGTTTGAGTTGCACCAGTTTAGTAACTCTTGTTATTGTCAAAAAATTAAGTGAGCAGTCCTGGATCATTTCTCTGCTAGTTTATGTGAAACTTTTAGTAAATACAGGCTAGAAACAAGATTGAGGCAGACAAAGAAAAGCTCTTTTTCCACATATCCAACATGTACATACCCTTTATTATCGAACTTTTGCAAGATTGAATATTGAATACACCACGTTTTGTAGGTCTACAAACACCTGGTGCTGTTGATGGAGGTCTTACCTTATTGTTCAAGTTATGCAACCTCATCATTAGGCTTCCAGGTGAAGCGTCATATCTTGATGCTTTTTGTCTCTCTGAGTTGAATGACATTTCGCTTCCATTAGTTTCTCATGAAAAACATTATATCTACATGAAACACGTGGACCACCCATGGATGGTAATGACCAGCATCAATTCTATGCTGATCAAGGCCTACAGAAGTTGATAGCTGTAGCTGATTTACTTCATCTCTTTCATATTTCCTTACAAACTTTTCTCAATGTTTAGCATAAATCTTAACTTAGATTAATGTGCCTCTAGAAGTACTTATAGCTTTATCTATATTCAAAGGGTTCGAGGGAACTGGTTTATACGTGTATTCTGCAATAACTACTCTAAATGTTAGGATGGAGGGTATATTGAGAGTGATTTCCGAGTCTGTTTTGGTTTCTTAGGTCCATGTACTTAAGTTTTCTCTTTTCAGGTGGCCTTAAGCAGGGATTTACATATGGCCCTAGGAGTGTATATTCTTTTCTTGATTCTTCATGGTAAGGGCGTCCATCTGTCTTATGTGCTTCACATAGTATGCTCAATTGGTTTGAGATTGTTCCCTTTGCTTGCAGGATGACCTCAAAACTAAAAGTTAGGGGGTTCTGTGCTCTTATTTCAATGTTGGCAGCATTATCCCAAAACCCTTTACAATTTCCATCCATACATAATAAGGTACCATGGCTATCTTATTAAAGCTGTCAAGGTCTCTTAAACAAAAAAAGAAATTTATATTGGTATATAACACTTCTAATAATGATTGAACTTCAATGTAAAATGTTCCTTGACTATACAAGAAACTGTAACTTGGCAGCTAACAAAATTTAATACTCTCTCCAGTCCTAATGGCACAAATTTCAACTAATTTTTTGTTTATTTTTTCCTTATAATTAGGACCAGAGGGAGTAGTTAATATTACTCTGGATTTACATGCTACATGCTGCATTTCGATGCACACTAGTCTCACAACTCACAGGAGCCCACTGTACAGTTTGTGCATAATTCCAGTGTCGATGTATGTGATAGAACTATGCATCTGTGATCTGGGAAATTCCGGACAGTCTGACCTGATGTTTCTTTTTGAACCTAGGTGATTAGCAATTACAAGCTGTTCTTTAGTGATCCTACTTATTTGGAAGAAATCTCATTATTATCTGGTGTTGTTCTGGAGAAAGTTTTTGATGTTATATCACAAGAGCCTTCACAGGTAATCTGGCTTCCTTTCCTTCTCCTTATCGACATTATAGCTTGTTTTCTTCTGTTTGCTACCTCCATGTAGCTAGTGAGTTCCTTCCTGTTGGTTAATGATGATCAGTTGAAACTACCTGACACGTAACTTGACCTTGCACAGACTACCCGGGGCAATCTGGCGCTTGAATTTTGTAACTGCATTGCTTCATCATTCAAAGTACGTTATTGATCCTCTTCTGGGTTCTACAGACTCATCCCAATTTGTTATATGTTATTACTTTGGTTTGGTGCTCATTCTGAACACGGTCGGCTTGTTGACACAGGTATCCAAAAAGCTGCTGACAACCTGCGCCAAGCTGGTTGAAATAGCCGAGTTAAGCTTGGGTTCTGACAATAGATATTTAGCATCAACCAAAAAAATCCTAGTGGCGTGCGGCATATGCGAGGAAGAGGTGAACGAGTGATGAAGTGACAAAATGATTAGTTAGATTTTGTGGTAAAAGTTAAAACTGGCTTGTATCTCATAGTGACAGTTTGAGATGTGTATTTATTTGTTCTTTCCTTTCCTTTCCTTTTTTGGTTTCAAAAAAAGTGAAAGATAAATAATATACGAGCAGTAAGGTTTCCTCGTGTCTAAGTCTAGATCACTGTACATGGAGTATGTTTAAAACTTAAAAGGATGTGTAAAAGTGTTTACTTGATTCTTCTTTTAAAAATAAAAGTTTTTTATATTAGTTTGTTTTAAAAATAATTCTCAAAACCCTGATTTTTCTTTTACGTGGGAATGTTTTCTGTTGTAATTTTCATTCTGAATTCAAATTTTTCTTTCATTTATTTCTTTTTTAAATGTTTTTTTTTCCAATAATAAGAAAGAAGCTATAGCTGTATAGGTAGGTATGAGGAGCGAGACCAAGTTAATCTGATTATGTCTTCCTAAATAGATCGAGTTTCGCTAGAGTATTTTGAAATACTATTGTTTTGTAAATGTTAGAAGGGAAGCACTACGGTACCCACAAAGTTGGTTAAAAAGCAAAGATAGGCCCGACTAGTTTTTCTCAGTCCATCTTTAACAACCAACTCCCCAAGGAGGCCCCAACGTCGCTCACGGCTGATTCCTGTACACCGAATTAAGGTCACGGAGCTATCGGAAATTCGGAACCCGAAAAGTTTTTAACATCCCAGCTAGGGTTTTGTTTCGATTTCAATTAGTCCGTACCTGCGTTGTAGAATATGGATCTAGAGGTGGTAGGGCGCCATGCCCTCCTGTTTGATGACGATCCCATGGCGGCGTTCGTGAATTCCGGTGACGCGCTTGTTGATTGGAATTCCCTCCAAATTGATAGGTACGACGTCCGCCACCTTCTCTCCGGTCCGTTACCTCCCCGCAGGCGCCGCAATCCTCAATCTGCTTCGAATACCGCCGACTCCTCTTTGAGCGCCGAACTCGATCACGAACGTTACCTCGATCTTCCTTCGCCTTCCGACGAGCCAGGTAAAATTGTTTTCAGCTCACCTCTTTTCCTTTTTGTTTTTGCTTGTATAGCTGAACACGAGAATTTACTATATAAACTGTTTACCATGGTTATTTGCACATTAAATTTCTGCGAAGATAGTTTCTGAAACAAAGAAGACAAATGAGTCATACTCGGACACATCTTCTTAGCTTACTCAAATAAGTATAAACGTCATGAAGTTTGGTCTGGCTGATATATAACATTGAGAAGGCTTGGTTCTATCCTTGGCCTGTATTTAACACGCTAATATTTGAAGGATTTTCCATTGGAACTCATGTAAGTTGATTTGAAGGATTTCCAATTTGAACTAGTCTAAGTTGAGACGTGCTTGTATAGGTTAGCATTATATTTTGCCTTACATTTGATTACCGTCCTCTCACCTCTTTTTTCGCTGTATCCACTCGATGTTATTCCAATGACTTAACAAATTTTTCTGTTGTAGAAGTCGAAGAGGCTGAAAAGCCTGATGATGCAACTTATCATGCTGTGGGTTTTTCTTATGGAAACACTGATGAGTTACCGGACCAAAATAATGCCAAAGGGGGTCTGGAAGGCCCTAGTTTCCGTCCTCCATTTAATGTTCCTGAGAGCCTTGTTCATAGCTTGGTAAGTGTTCTTTCTTCCCTCATTTTTGTCTGATAAGCTTTTCCGGTTAATTTACCCTTTTCCCTTGAAGGCTGTTACTCTCTGCTTGATTAGATTTTGAAACCTGGCCAAGAATGTTTGCGACTAAAGTACGTGTTATTCTAAGGCTCACCATGTCTAAGTTTTCAGATGCTCGGAGCAGTGATGGAGAATTTGTGATCTAAGGTTGCCATTCACGGGAACCTTGATTCCTTTTGATGTCATGACCAAGTTGCTGTGCAGGTGGGATTAGGATTGTAGGTATTTTCTTTATGTGGAGTGGCATCTTGGCTTCCTGAAGGCTGTCGCATAACAATGTTCAGTGTAGCTTTTCAATGTGGGTATATGATGATGCTGTACCTGTTCATACTGGACTAAATTGATCTATACTCATTGAAATTGTCCATCAACCAATTTTTCTTCCTTATATGTTACATTTCCACTTTTTAATACAACTTCTATGTCTTTTCTCTTCTTTTTTTCCAGCCTCCTACAGAGAAGGTACATGAGATCATTGCAAGGACTGCTACATTTGTAAGCAAGCATGGTGGACAGTCTGAAATTATTCTGAGGGTGAAACAGGGAGATAATCCAACATTTGGTTTTCTGATGCCCAATCATAATCTTCATGCCTACTATAGGTTCCTTGTTGAGCACCCTGAAGTTTTGCAGTCTGAATCTGATGCAAAATCTCAGTCTGTAGATGCCAATGCTAACCAGGCAGCAGTGGGTGCTGAAGGAGCTTTATCTTTGCTGGGTTCCGTCTATGGGTCTGGGGAGGATGATGATTCTGTTATGGAGGATGCACAAGAATTTGGAAATGTTCCTTCTGGGAAAATGAATGCAGACAGTTCAGCTGTTTCTCATGTTGCAGAAAAGGCTGATTTCAGTTCAAATGCGGCTTCAAAAGATGAAGTTGTATCTAAGCATCCACTTCATAGTAAAGATAAGCCATCTACCGTGAAGAAAAATCCTTCTATTTCCATGCCTAAAGTTGGAAGAACGAATAGTCTGAATACGGAAAATGTCTCTGGCTCGCGTTCTTCCTCTTCGGTGAATTTAGGGAAAGCTTTGATTTTAGAGCCGCCTCCCGATTTAAAGATATTGGTGGAGAAGATTGTTGATTTTATTACAAAGAACGGGAAGCAGTTTGAGGCTTCACTTAGAGAACAGGACAGCAAACAGGGAAGGTTCCCGTTTCTCGTACCATCAAACCAGTATCATCCATATTATTTGACAGTCCTTAAAAAGGCTGAGGTGATTGCTCTATCTTAATCTTTCTGGGCCTTCTTTGGGAGTGTATATTGTGCTTCTGAGAGATAGATGTTGGCTAGAGTTTCCTCGAACATTGGATGCAGCATTGTATTCTTGTTTTTTGCTATGCTGCTGAGTTCCACTTTGCTCCATCAATTTCTAATATCTCAATCTTGAGATGCAGTGTTGATTATAGTTTTGTTTGCTCTTAATTTGCGAGCTTCATTCTTGAATCTTGATAATCTAAAGCAGCTTATGATACAGTCTTTAACATTGTGCAAATCCTAAAATTTCTTCTGCCGCTTTCTTCTTTTCTGTTTCTTTTTTTTTTCCCCCCCCTGTTATTTGCTATTGTTGGATTCTTACACGTTAGATGGTCAATCTTTGGTTCACTCGCACTGTAACTTCGTTTTTCTTGTCTGCTTGTGTATTGTATTATTCTTTGCATTTTTTGATTATTGTCCGTTCTTTCTCAGCCGTTAGTTTGCTGTCTGATTCGTGACGGATTTAAGTCTTTATTTTCTCATTTTTTTTTTGCTCGTTCTCAACTTTTGCAGTCCAATGGGGGGCCCGATAAGAAAGTTTCTTCACACAAGGAAGATAATTCAGAACTATCTTCTGATATGCCATTTGAATCCGACAGGAAAGAGAAGTTCAAGATGGTTATTGCAAAATCAAAAAAGGAGTCGCAAGACCATGAGTCAAAACCGGCCCAACAAGAGCACGGAATTAGTATAGATGCAGAAGCTGCTGCAGCTATTCTTCAGGCTGGCACGAGAGGTTTTAAGAATCCGTTTGCTGGGATTATGTCAAGTTCTTCTCTCAATGGTTTTCAACCACAAGTCACTGGTGCGTCTAAGCAGGGTTCAGACCTTGGTGAAAAATCTTTGTCTGACAAGAAGGCCTTCGCAAAAATTGACATTTCTGAAACTCCTATTCAACCCGACTCTGATCCGCCCTTGACTAAAGAGCAGAAGCTAAAAGCTGAGAGACTGAAAAGGGCAAAAATGTTTGTGGCCATGTTGAAAGGTTGTAGCGTGCCATCTAAAGATGAATCATCTCGTGCTTTGTCAGTCGAACCTTCAGAGCTAGGGGTTGCTGTATCCCCTGGAAAAGCTGATCATGGGACTGGGGAAACCAGCAATTCAGCCCTGGTTGATTGTACTACATCAGATAAAATTGAAAATGGCCAGGTTAAAGTATCGATGAGAAAGTATCGATCAAGATCTGAGAAACATGAAGAGAATGATGATGAAGAAATGGAGGGGAATCATCTCAAGGATTATGAAAGGCGGCTAGATGATGAAGAAAAGAGTCATAGGCAGTCTAGAAAGAAGCATCATTCCAGTCGGGATAGCGTCCATGATAGTGATTACAGAAAGGAAAAGTCTCATAAGCGGTCTAGAAAGAGAGATATATCTCTTTCCTCTTTCGAAGACAACGAAGAAAAAAGTACTGATTCAAGTCTTCATAGACACACAAGAAAGGTGAGAGAAAAGTCTCATAAGAAGTCCAGTAAGAGACACCGATCCCGTAGCTCTTCTTATGAGGATGATTCTAGTGCTCATAGACACTCAAGCAAGCGGCATTCATCTCACAGGCATAAGCATGAAGAAGATGATAAAAGGGCCGAAAAGCGCTCCAGAAGGAAGCACCGGTCTCATCGTTCTCATAGTAGTGAAGAAGATGATGAAAGGACTGAAAGACGCTCAAGAAGGAAGCACCGGTCTCTTCGTTCTTCTCATGGCAGTGAAGAAGATGATGAAAGGGCTGAAAAGCACTCCAGAAGGAAGCACCGATCGCATCGTTCTTCTCATAGTAGTAAAGAAAAGGCCGAAAAAAGTAATGCTCATTCATCTGAGAGTGAAGGTTCTGAACTAGGGCATCATGGCGGCAACTATTCTAAAGAGGAAAAGAGGTCTGTATTAGGAAGAGCGGAGTTGGAGGAAGGCGAGATCAGTCCCAAGGTATCTGATCAGTCTAAGAGTGTGGGTGGTCCGGTAAGCCGTGAAGCTTCTGCAGATGTCACGAGTACAAATGGAAGGGCTGCTTCGCAACCGTCTGAGACCATCCATATATCTGATGATCTGAGAGCGAAGGTCCGTGCGATGCTGATGACATCCATGTGATTATTGTCCTGGACATGAGATTTCGGCTAAATAGAAATGTATTCAAATGCAGATTGACACTGATCAAATGGGATTTCAGCGAAGAAAGGTTTGGCTTAGGGGCTACGCCCCGAAGTGTAATTTCTTTTCACGTGTTTTAAATTATGTAACAATAACCGAGAAAGCTATAGAGCCGTCTAAACAATGACGTCCGGTGAATCGTTGGCATTTACTTTATTCTTTAAGTTTATTACAGTATATACAGTAATCCATAATGACTGCCGGAGAGTTTTTTTGTTGAGCTTTTGTACTTCAGAGGGACAAGAAGCAAGGGTCAAATAACGAACAGTATAATGAAAACATGGAATAGAAAAGTGAATCCTCCTGAAAGTAGGAAATGTAATCCAACTAACAATTAGAAAGGGGAACTGAATTATCTTACGGCCCATATCAATGATATCTGGGCTTTGCAGTGGGGCTAAAGGTCCAGATGACGGGCCGCCCTGCAGATGAAAGGCGGCAACATTCATTTGCGACCTTTGGAAAGTCAAAAAGAACAACTTTGACAACTCAGCAGTTGGTTAGTGCTCTCGCCAGTCGCTACTGAACTGAAAAGAACTACAGAGGCCAAAGACTGCCACAATGGAGGCGGCGGCGACTTCTGCTTCTGCTTCTCCACAGTTCTCAGCCGTTAAATGTTTCTCCACGTCATCGCTATCCTCCAGTTCCTCCGTATCTCATTCTCTCAACTTCTTACGCTGTAAACCGGTAGGGAAATCTCTCAAATTTAAACATTCCAATGGCTTCTCTATCCGCGCCTCCGCTTCCGGCGGTGGAGATAATGGTGCGGCTTTATATTTCTCTACGCGCCTCCACTTTTTAGTGTCGATATTTTTTTTTCCGGTTAAATGTGATCGGAGCTGAACTGCTTTATAACCTTAACTGAAGCCCGGTGAATTGCTTTATTATTGCTTCGCATTAGTTTAATTTTGGTTTATTTTTTATTTCCAGTGGTGACTTTACTTGATTATGGTGCTGGAAATGTTCGCAGCATCAGAAATGCAATTCGTTTTCTTGGCTTCGACATCAAGGATGTGAGTTCGGATATTCTCTGCTATTTGGCTGTTCAACTTAGAAAATGACAATTAGGATTGTTACTTAAAAAATGTGTGCGAAGATGAAGCTATACTACATTTTCTCAACTTTATGAACTTCTGTTTTTACCACATAATGATGTTGTGTGTTTCAGTGGGTATGTTATTGTAAGTTTTATCTTCTTTTTCTTTTTGGGAGGTGGAGGATTTTGACTTCTGCTGGATAGAGAATGATTTCAAAATGCAAAGCTGAATTCTATCCTTGAAAATGTTCAGGGGACAACCATGACTAAGCTAATAATTTGAATGATATTAAATATCCAAAAAAGAAAGGATATAATAAACTTCTGCGTTATTCTGTGCTATGTGTTGCTACTATTTCAAATTCATTCTCGAAAAAAATCTTTTTCAGGTACAAACTCCAGAGGATATCATGAATGCAAGACGCCTTATTTTCCCTGGTGTAGGTGCATTTGCTGCTGCCATGGATGTCTTGAACAAGAGAGGGTAACAATTTTTTGTATGTTGCTGTGGATGCCACGTGTATCTGTTTATTTTTTGAGAATGCCACATGTATCAGTGGTAGAAATTGATTATTTAAAAAGCGAAATATCAAGTTGGATGAATATAATAGAATATGGCTAAAAGGAAAAACAATCCTAAACAAGGAGATGGTAATTTACCGAATGGTACCTGTTACATTTACTAAGTGAGAACAGATTCAAACCACTGGAAAGCAAAATGCACTTTCTAAATAATTTGATTTGATGAAAGTGGAAAGACACCTAGATGAAATGACTGAAGAAATATAGTAGAGTGAATCCAGGGGCAGTGGCAACATGTGACAACGCTGAGAAATGTGGTATATGCATTTCTCCCTTACATGCTCGCACTTCATGATTTTTGCGGGCAGGGAAAGGTATATAATTCAGTGGTCTCCACCACCACAAACTCCGGCTAGATTCAGGGATTGATCATCTTTAAGAATACACATTATTTCTTTGCATGAGCTAGGTTGCTTGCTTAAGTAGAATTAAATTGTTTTGAGAACTTACAGCTGCTCTCTCCTGTAGAATGGCTGAGACCCTTATCCGTTACATTGAGCAGGATCGCCCATTTCTAGGCATCTGTCTTGGGCTTCAGCTGCTCTTTGAGTCAAGTGAAGAGAATGGTCCAGGTAAGACCAAGAGCAACTCTTATTCTGTGTAATTTCCTCATCAGCAGATTCAGCACGTAGTTTTTCTTATCCCCTTTGTAAGATTTTAAGTTATGCAGTGTCAACATGCTTTACAAACGGAAAACATTAAAATGAAATATTTTGGAAACCTTTAGAAATTGATCTGTTAATGAAGTTCTTTCTGTCAGTTTCTTGTTAAAAGGTTGCTAAATATAGGAGGATAATGTGATAGACTTGACTCTCGTGGCTTAGTTCTATGGCTTCGGGGGTTTTCAGTTACTTAATTTTTGCAATCTTTTTTACCTTTTATTTTCGAGTGGGAAAGGAAAAGCATATGTTTTGTTCTTTGTATCCAGTATCTGTAAATTTTTGTTAGTATTAGGTAGGAGGGTGTGACCAATGATATGCGCTGGTTCCAAAAGCAGATAAGAGAGTTTAGCTGGATTACTCATTGTGTGGTTAAGTTACATGCTTTATTCTTGTAGTATATCACTTCCTGTGCTATTAATGGTTCTCTTCCCAAGGTGCTACTTATTTCTCATTTAAATCACAACAAAAGGGTGGCTGTTGCTTCTTCAAATTCCTTGTTTCATTGAATCATTGTATTCTGAAATGATTTATTTGTTTTGTATCAGAAGATAATCTAAGGGTTTTTCTTGTTCTACAGTGAAAGGCCTTGGCTTGATTCCCGGGGTTGTTGGAAAGTTTGACTCGTCAAAGGGTTTGAGAGTACCTCATATTGGTTGGAATGCTCTCCAAGTAAAGGAGGGCTCTGAAATTTTGGATGATATCGGAAACCGCCATGTGTACTTCGTGCACTCTTACCGCGCAATGCCTGTATGGTTTGTCATTTTTCTCTTACACAAATCTCTTTTTTTTTCCTTCATATTTTCTTGGTACCTTCTAGGATTTTGTTTTTGTCATTCTGGCCTTAAGTCCTTTCGCAATCTTTAATTTATGTGTTTAGTCAGATGAAAATAGAGAGTGGATATCATCTACCTGCAGTTATGGTGTCAATTTCATTTCATCCGTCCGTAAAGGAAATGTTCATGCTGTTCAATTTCACCCGGAGAAGAGTGGAGGTACGAACCCTGATGACTTTCTAAACAAGGTTATTTCCACGCTGTAATGAAATAGTTAGACCAGCTTGACATTGGTTGGTTTTTTGTTCATGTGCCGAGAGCCTCAGACTCTTATCAATCTATTTTCCATTACTCGTTCCTAGTTTCTGCTTTGACTTCTGTTGCTTGCATAACTTTTAAAAGATGGACAGAAATTGAGATTTTAATAGTTCTTCCCTTTCTTGAAATAATCCAGATGTTGGCCTTTCTGTGCTGAGAAACTTTTTGGATCCAAAGGATGGGAGAACGAAGGTATCAATTCTTTCTTTAAATTGGTTATTCCCAAGTTCTTTTGCTGCATCTAGCTAACAGAGAGTTTCATGTGAAGACAGAAGCCAGTCCAGGGGAAGGCCTCCAAACTTGCGAAAAGGGTGAGGACTCAACTCTCCAGCACGAAAGACTTATTCTTACACTTTCAATTATTTGCTGCAAGCCATTTTTAGCTCTTTCTTTTGTTGTCCAACTTCCAGATAATTGCATGCCTTGATGTAAGGGCTAATGACCGAGGTGACCTTGTTGTTACCAAAGGGGACCAGTATGATGTAAGAGAGCAAACAGACAACAATGAGGTAAGGCTAAATGATATTTTCATTCCGGAGCATATTGATCTGCCTACCAAAGAAAAAAAGGGTGATTTTGGCATTTTACCTTTATGCATATTAGAAAATTTAATAGGGGACAAAAAGAAAATTTGAATATTAGGCTTAGCTAATCCAAAAAGTCTGAAGCACTTTTGAAAATGCGAAATGGTGCTTGCTTTTTCTGATGTAATGGAATTTTGATTGTAAGTGACCTATGCATCATAATCTTTTATAAATAGCTGACTAGGTTGATAGATTGATCACCATGAAAATTAATATATAATGAAGGCAATGGCTTACAGTGTACTGTTGCATAAGTTTTTGGTTTCAAGGAGCTAGACATGTTCATGTAATCTTTCAAATCTATTTAAACGTAGTTCTTCTCAACAGTTACATGCATCGGAGTTCATAGGATGATCGTGAGATTTTTCCAACAGATTGGTCCAGTAGATTAGATAATATTGTTCGGATAGGTTTGTACTCTAATCATGTAATGTATAGTGTCAGGCAATGATCTTACACAAGTTCTTCCGCATATAGTCTTCTCAGGATTTATTAAGTAGCGTTTATAACTGCCATCATTGTTTCTGCATGTAGTTTATTATTGTTGGAGTGGGTTTATTCTAATGTTTCACACTGCAAATCATTATAAACTATTTGTTCTCATTCTTGAAGGTTCGAAACCTTGGCAAGCCAGTGGATCTTGCTGCGGAATACTACAGAGATGGAGCTGACGAGGTACTCAATAACTTTTAAGATTGTGACTCCCATATGTTGGTTTTTTTGGCCAAAAATGCCAGTAATTATTGCTTGTCTGCAGGTTAGCTTTTTGAACATCACAGGTTTCCGTGATTTCCCTCTTGGAGACTTGCCAATGCTGCAGGTATATTACGTACATCCTGTTTGCTTTTCACACTACTCTTCCACTTATGCATTTATGTAGTTCGACTGTGTGTGTGTGAGAAATGGTAATAATAATGTCTAGTTGCTTGCTTCTCTTTACAGGTTTTGAGATATACTTCAGAGAATGTTTTTGTACCGTTGACAGTTGGGGGCGGTATTCGAGATTTTACTGATGCAAATGGAAGGTAAAGTAGTTATTTGTGGCCATTTCTCGGGTTTTGCTGCACTCTGGAGAAGATGTTCATTTGAGATATTTGATGTGAATTACCATTCATCGAGGATGTCTGTTCTAGTAATTGAGAAGCTAATTTATTCTGTGACATTAATGCCACTTTCACTGTTTTACATATGATCAGGTGGTATTCCAGTTTGGAAGTTGCTTCAGAATATTTCAGGTCTGGAGCAGATAAGGTCTCAATTGGCAGTGATGCTGTATACGCTGCAGAAGAATATTTAAGAACTGGAGTATGGGTTACTAAACTTTGTATTAGCCTTTTCCTCACCCGAACCCCTCCCAAAATATCAAGACACACACACACACACATACACCCATAACTGTTTAAGACATAATCTATTTCTGAATGAATTTGCTGAGGTCATTTTCCAACTTCTTTTGTAGGTAAAAACTGGGAAGAGCAGCCTGGAGCAGATATCCAGAGTCTATGGTAATCAGGTAAATTATGTCCACATTATTTTGTCTTTTAATGCATGAAATACATAAGATCATCATTAATTCAGTGTTCAAGAGTGTATGGCAACTATATCTGAAGATTAATACAATATGAGGAGTTGCTGAAATAAGAAAATTGGGATGGATCTGCACAGACATAAGACTAAATAGAATTAGAAATAGATGCAATAGAAGAAAGTGGGTTTGGGGGAAAGAATCACAAACCAGTTTTAGAAGCATGAGAAGATTTTAAAACTCATAAACTATTGGAAAGAAAACCCATATTTCTACCACTCCTTGTAAATGACACTTATTTGGCATGATATTGCATCATGATACGTTTTCTGATGGATTTTCTAATGTGTTCATATTGTAGGCTGTGGTGGTTAGTATTGATCCTCGTAGGGTATATGTAAAGGATCCAAATGCGGTGAAATTCAAGACCATCCAAGTGAGAAGCCCAGGTGAAGCCACTGATTGCTTTCTTGTTATGTGAGTGACCATAGTTATTAGTTTGTTGTATTATTTATATACTGGATCTTACTGTGTTGAGGTCTGGTGAGTTAAGTAGGATATGATCTCTTGTTATATGACCGTGACATGTTCCGCATGGACTTTAATGGTCGAATAGTGATGTTAACCACAAATCCCGAGTCAGCCATTTTAACAGTACTTCACTTGAAAGGCTATATGTATATATCATTTTAGTGTGGCATTCAGAGAGACAGGGAGAGTTGTGGAGGAACTGAAATTAGAGTTAAGTTGTACTATCCTTTGGCAACACTTGTGGTTATGAGGACTTGGCAGTTGGATTTGTTTTGTTCCTTTGTGAAAATACTAGAGAGGAAAAAGGATACTCTTATTTCCTCATAAGGACCTAACATGACAGGCAACAGATAAATGGCTGTTTGACTTTCTGATTTCCTGTGTCAGGTCCAAATGGAGAAGAATATGCCTGGTATCAGTGCACAGTAAGTATTCATCTTTCTGATTTAGAATAATGATATTAAACACAATTAGTATTTATCCTTAAGCAGTTGTCACATTGTCAACATCATTGCTACTCCAGTTTCTTGGAGTTTTTGCTTGCCATCATTCTTCATACGGTTATACCACCAGTATCTGAAACTTGTAATTGATTTTTCCAAAGGTGAAGGGTGGTCGTGAAGGTCGGCCAATTGGGGCATATGAACTTGCCAAAGCTGTCGAGGATCTAGGAGCTGGGGAAATATTGCTGAATTGCATTGACTGTGATGGTAAGTCTGATAACCCTGGTAATCAACGCCACTGATAATTAACATTAAAAGCCTGCATTACCTTACTTTTCTAGAGTTCCGAGTAGTCATGAACTGTTCAGTTTGCCTGCATTACCTTACTTTTCTAGAGTTCCGACTAGTCATGACCTGCTCAGTTTGTTTATGATTTGGCTGTATTAGCTCAATTCTCATAATCCGGAATTAAATTCGTATCTTGTGTGTGAAATGTTACTTATACTTTGTAAGGTTCATTTCCTGTGATTTAATCTGCTAGACAATAATTTATATTAAGGTTTCTGATTCCCTGACTTTTTTTTAGGCCAAGGTAAAGGATATGACATAGATTTGGTGAAGTTAATTTCGGACAGTGTCAGTATTCCAGTTATTGCAAGTAGTGGAGCTGGCATAGTAGAACACTTCTCGGAAGTTTTCTTAGAGACGAATGCATCCGCTGCCCTTGCCGCTGGCATTTTTCATCGCAAAGAGGTATGAATTTTAATTTCAATGTGGAGGATTCTACTGAGGTTTTGTTTTATTTTTCCAGGTTCTTTAACTAGGTTCGGGAACTTGACTCGTTGTTCTTGCTAACTTCTTTTTTTACTCATATGTTTCTCTTAAGAAGCCTTGTTCATCCCTCTGAACTAAATGAAACCAATTTACGTTGGATTGAGTCTCACGTGGACATTTTTATCACAGGTGCCTATTCAATCTGTTAAAGAGCATTTGTCAAACACAGGAATTGAAGTTAGACTTTGATAGGAATGTAATATCTCAGAGCAAGAGATCGTTTGATGGTGAGTCATAAAACGTTAAACTCATCAAGTTAATGGTGACACTAGTTCCTGTTGTGCTTCTGATCGTAGATTCCATTTCGCGGAAGACCAGTACCGAACACCCAAACTTGTATTGATACTTTGATTTAGAATGTCACTGTAACTCTAGTTGGTTTTTTCGTTTCTTTTTTTTTTTTCTCTCTTGGTAAAATGATAACTTCCCAGTTGATCAATAGGACTTTTTCTTCTATCCCTTCCTACAAGTACGCCTTGCACTTCAGTTTCATAGTGTTCATACACAACAAACTTAGAAAACAAAACTTTTTTCTCCATTTCCATGAAATCAGTATATTTCCATAAAGTCATTAAAGAAAGAATATAGGCCAAGTCCAAAATAATGATGATCCCTACAAGCTACCAGTCAAAATTTAAACACCATAATTCTGGGTTCCAACTTCCAAGTTCTGTAACAGCCAGCCAGAACGTGCTCTCCTTCAAATAAAGCCTAGAATTTACTTTTTCCTTCATATTCATCAAACAAAAAAACTACATCCGGGAACTTTAGCTCTCATCAGATAAAAAACTGGCAGGCCACAGCTAAATTCTCTATATATCAAGCAGCAAGCGGTGGGGATCTTCAACAACATCTTTGATTCTTTTCAAGAAGTGCACTGCTTCTTTTCCATCAATTAGTCTATGGTCATAGGTCAGCGCAACATACATCATAGGTCTTGCGACTATGTTGCCTCCCACAACCACTGGACGGTTGATTATCGAGTGCATTCCAAGAATAGCAGACTGTTTAAGTAAAAGGTTATATTATTACTAATAAAAGGAAAATGGAAAAGAACGCATCATTAAGAACCTTGCATCACCAAAGGAACTATACCTGAGGGGGATTGATGATTGGAGTGCTCAGAAGGCTTCCATATACACCACCATTGGATATTGTGAATGTTCCTCCTACCATATCGTCGATTGATATAGTCCCGGTAGTTGCTTTCTTGGCCAATGTGTTAATCTCCTTCTCAATCTCTGCGAAGTTCATCTTATCAACATCACGGACAACAGGAACCACGAGACCCTAAAATCACATCAAGAAGGCTGTTCAGGGACTACAGAGGTTCCAACTGCCAACTAGAAATGCAATACATGATCTGATAACTATGAATACTCTTGGAAATGGATGATAATGACGAGGCTTCCAGCAAAATTATGAGTAAACAAACAGTAATGCATGTTAAAGTTATTCAAGAAGCACTTTTAACTGTTAACAAATCCAGCTTTAGATAAACATGCAATCAGTAATTTTGTTCTACAGCGTATTCCATATGGTAACAGCACAAACACAATCCACAGATAGTGAAAGACCACGACCAACAAATAACACAAACAGTCCACGAGCAAACAACAACCACGACTAACATTTACCACAAAATGCAATTGTTTTTTTTTTAAAAAAAAAGATAACCCCTCAACGACCTTTCTAAAGATAAAACTGAACAGTTGATTATATAAAAGCCAAAAACATGAATGCGACAAAAAATTAGCAAATTGAAGATGGATCAACAAGTTATTTGTTATGCAGATGCAGCCAATGAGCGGTGATATCCACAATGAATGTATCGCTGATTGGCAGAGAGTGATTTTAGTATCAACAATAGGACTGTAAATATGTTAGCAATCTATATCAGTTATAGACACTCTATTGTAACTCTGGATATCAATGACAAATTAATCAGCTTACCCTGGGGGTACCAACCGCTATGCTGATGTCTATATAATCTCTGTAAATAATATCACCACCATCAATCACTGCATTTATTACAGGCTGATTCTGAAGTCCGCTGACAGCAGCCTGAGAAAAGAGATAACAAGATTTCAGATTATGGGACCTTGAGAATAATAAAGAAACAAAAGCAGTATCATATCATGCACACACTTTCACAAACCCAGACATAAATCCAAGCTTCACCCCATGCTTTTCGAAAAAGGCATCCTTGTACTCTGATCGAAGTTTCATGAGATTTGTCCTGCAGTAAGTAACGATCAGAAGAATCCAAATATAGAGAAAACATGATACTAGAAAACTTCTGCCCAATATGTTTGAAAGTTATGTAAAGATTCCAATATGGCAAGCTTTAGAAGAGTTTTTATTCAAGAAAAAGATTTACTGTACATAATTCCAACCAGGCCAGCCTTTCGAAGAATGTCAGTCAAAAAGAATGTTTCCATTTTCCAAAATTGATGGAGATAAATTTTACATGTCTATTTCATTGAATGTTGTCAGCAATGCATAAGTATTTTGGGCATCTTTCAAGCGGTCTCTAACTCTTTGCCTGATTTTTGTCATGGGAACCTGCAAGAAATAAACAGTTCATAAGCATTACAGCAACAATGTAGTCCAAAATATTATGTAAGATTGCATACATCTACAATTATTGAGATGGAGTCTGTATAGGGCTAGCTTACTCGTCTTTCTCTTGCTTTTGGGGCAAGCTGGGGCTCTGTCGCCATTTTCTGAGGAGGCGGTGGGGAAGCATTAGATTTAGGCTTTGGCTTCTCTTTTTTCAATTCTGCAGCAGGAGATTTCTTTTCAGGCTTGGATACCTCCGGTTTTTCCTCAGGAGTAGCGTTTTCAACAGGCTTCTCTGGTGAAGAAACACCGGAAACGCCCTCTGCAGATTTTGAAATGACTGCAATCTTAGTGCCAGGTTCCACAGTGTCCCCTTCCTTGGCTATAAGCTAATAGCAAGCAAAAAAATTTCAACTTAATAATCCCAAAAGTAAACAGGAAGAGTGTATAAGGAAACCAAAAAAGAAAAATAGTAGTACATCTCAATAACCCGAAATCCTAATAGTTTACCTCTTGGACTACACCTGCTTCTGGACTGGCTACGTCTATTGTTACCTATCAATTAAATACAAACAGATGTTAAAAATATTTGCTTCATTTTTGCTCCAATCCAACTTTGAGTTCAAATTAAGAAAGATGCTTCTGCTATATCCTACCTTGTCTGTTTCGATTTGGGCAATTGGCTCATCAACTTCAACTCTATCCCCAGGTTCTGGATTGTCAGAATAACATATTAAAAACAGCAGGAAATCAGTGGAAACAGGTCTGGCGGTGAAACCAAGCACAAAAGCAGGTATGCACAAAGTTATGCACAATGAAATTCAATTTTGAGAAGCTTACTCTTCAAGAACGTTGCTAATGTCCCATCAGATATTGACTCTCCCATAAACGGAACGACAGCATCCACTAGATCACCTTTAGTACATGGAGATGAATATGAAAAAAAACACAAAAATCGATAAGAACACAAGGGATACCATACTTGTCATTGGAAGTGAAAGATTGACATATCAAGTATTCACAACTTTTTTTCAACAGGAATACGCTGGAAAAAAGTCATAAATAGGGCCGCTGGCTACAAAAAGAAAAGTAGTCGGAACATATATTCAAAGGTACCTAAACCAAATATTTTCCGGCAGGAATGCAATTAAAAGTAATGAATGTGGGAGTTAATTCTCGAGGCCAAAGGCTGAAGAATTTCCAACAAAGCTAATCATGTTTTCAATGTGTAATATACAGTTAAATGAATGGCATGGAACATGAAGAGCTCTTCAATGACGGAAAAAGTTGTGAATCGAAAGAAAATGAAATCATACCGCTGTTAGAACAAAATGCCCTGTTCCCTGATGGAATGATGATTTGGGGAAGAAGGTTTTCTTTGATTACCCTGCAAATTAATGTTTCTATTATTAGAATATAATGATTATCTACCATTAACTGTTAGGTAAGATCTGGATTCCCCACTAGTCTTAACAGTCATTTCAAATACACTAATCTTAAAACCCTAACGCCAAACAGACCAATGTCTGAGCAATGAAATCGTCTGAAATATGATACAAGATACGAAATGGTACTCCCGCTGATTAATAGCTACTAAATAAACAAGAAGTACCATGAACTAACCTTGAGACTCTGCCATCCATAGGTCCTATGTAAAATGGAGATGGAAAGGATTTAAACATAAGCATGACATAAGATGCATATTAAAGTGGCGCAGAAGTAGCTACAAATATTACCAGATATTGTGATGTGTGAAAAATTTCTAGCGTCAATGCATCTTCGATGAGATAAAACCTGTTCACAGGACCAAGAAGAAGTGTCAGTCAAACATGCAAGAATCCACCATTTATAAGCTTCATTTTTTACGTATCGAAATCAGACTAAAACTGGCACCTAGTTTACATATATAAAAGCTGTTCACAGGACCAAAAAGAACCTTCGATCTAACACATAAGAATTCAGCATAAGTAAGCTTCATTGTTTGCATATAGAAAGTAAACTACAACCGACACCCAGTTGAAACAATAGAAACAGAAAATAATCAAGAGGCAATGGGATACCGAGTGACAAGCCTATGAGCATCGATTAAATGTCCACATTCAAGAGAGAGCCAGATATAGAGTGAGTTTCTAGGAACTATCATCAACAGTTATGGCATTCTAATCAAGTATTATCTTACGATTAGGTTTCAGCTATGGCCATCTTACAACGTAGCCTTAGTAGCTGTTAATTCCAGGAAAGAACAGAAACGGAATTATGGAATATTTGAGTGAGACACGATCCAAAACATCTTTAGCAAAATACGCATGTAACTGGATTGATAAATTTGATTTCAAAGAGACATGACAATCCAGTTATTGCAACCAAGTGTCCCCATCTACTAAATACTTAACTGGAAACACCTGCAGAAAACATCTGTAAATAAATTTAAGAATTTACCAGATCAGCTTAGACCTGGGTTGAGATACACAAAAAGTAACCTGACTAAAACCAAATTAATTTCACCTAGATTACCTAAGCAGCCAAATAGCTAGCCTGAAGAAAATTATACATCTCCCACATCAAACTACTCATTCCATCTCAAATACTAACGTCCATGGAAAAGCAAAAGCAAATGGAAAGGGGAGAAACAAGGCTACCTCTTCTGTGGTAGCAGGACGAACTCTATGCCATGATCTCCTTGCAATCTGTTCAGAATCATTTAGCATATCAGAATTTTCAAAGCTACACCAACTCTATTTCTATCCTGTAAGCAATTACAATATTTGGACCAAGGATCCCATTGAGTTGCAACATTTGAAATTCTAGAGTATGATTCCTTTCTCAGGTAGTTACTAATACCTATTGGCACAGATCGCACGCTATCGTACAAATGCATACTGAAAATTGAGGGGCCGTACCAAAGCAGAAGATGCATCAGAGGCGACTTTCCGCCTTAGAACCCCCAGCATCGCGAGCTCGATCTCTTAAACCTGCAATAAACACCAGAAACACCAAAATTCACATACATGCCCTCCCAAAAGCAAACAAAATTCAAAATCGTTCGACATATATAAGCTTGCGAAGCTTTTCTCAAAGCACAAATCAAACTAGCTAAGTGATAAAATCAAAATCGATCGATCATGCAAGAGTAAACTCAAATTTGTTCCGCCAGACGTACTGAATTCCACAGGTATGCAAATTTCCGCTTTTTCCTATACTATCGAATCAAAACCGAAAATTAAAAATTGAAAGCATCGTAACGAGGAGACAGACTGAAAGAGTTGTAGAAGATGACGCCGACCTGATTTGATGATGCCGCCGAGCGTACGAAATCGGAGCTTCTCAGTCCTCCTTTCAAAAAAGCTTGATGGCGTTATCTGTTCTGTTCTGTTCTGTTCTGTTCCGTCGTTGTCTGTTTCGATTCTCTAAAGTCTAAAATGTTTTGATTTCCGTCTCCGTCCTTGTTTAACTCCTAATTTCACCTTTTCTGTCTGCCAATTTCCCATGCGTTATATATGTCACATGCAGGAACTGAAAAGGAAATGAGAATATATTGTTGTCATTATTACAAAGCCCGCTTTCTGTTTGAATGAGAGATTTTCGCGTCTGTGCACCTCTTTCTTTGTCTTTAGTTGGCCCATGGGCTTCACGTTTATAATAGAGTGTTCACCCTTTACTACAAGAAAAATAAAAATTATTGTATACACCTACTGTTTCCTTGTTTTTAATGCAGAAAATATTAGACCTCTTATTTTGTTGTTAAAACTCGGACAATAATTATCATCCATTCCAAAATAAGTGTCGTTTTAACAAAATAGAGAAATTTCAAAATAAATGTCATTCTCACATTTCAATGTACTTTTTGTCAAAATTTTTCAAAATTACCCTCAAAAGAGTTGATGCTATTGGTGGACAATTTTATAATAGAGTTGGTTAAGGATATTCAAGTAATTTTATTACTCTATTTAAGAGTTTCTTAAACTATGTGCAAAGTGTAGGACGATACTTATTTTGAAATGGAGGGAGTATACCATAATAGGTGCGCACAGTATTTTTTTCACAATAAAGTACGCCAATACTAACATTTCACTGAATTATATACAACTCGATGTATATAAGAAATGGCCATTAATGATCCTTGCAAGTGAAGTTGAAATGTGATAAGAAGGAATTTCATTTTTTATTTTTTTTTTCTTTTAAGGTATAAAGGACTTTGAACATTTGATGTCATTGGATTATGCGGTACATTTTAATGTCAATGACGATGAGTAATTGATCCAAACATAGTGACTTGTGGCCCAAACATACTTACTATTTTTAAATTTTTTTAAATATATTTCATGTCTCGATATTTTTATTGGATTAGACTAAATAAAATACAGTTGGCACTGAAGACTGTCACCTTGAAATACCAATTACTCTGCACACAAGGTAAATGTCACATAGGAACATTCTATCAAAATGTCACGATAAGAATTCAGGTATATCTCCACTGAATTTTTGCCATGGAACTCCATCCTGATGACATAAGCCTTTTAGTTAAGAAGAAATTAAAAGTAATTGAATTCCATTAGGACCATTACTTATTACTCCATCCAGTCCCACAAAAATAGTTTAGTTTAATAAAAAAAAAATTATCCTAAAAAAATAGTCCAGTTTTACAAAAGTCAAAATTAATTACATTGAAATGACTTAAATATTCAAAAGAGTAGTGGTAAGGAAAACAAGGTCCACTACCTTTGATTTTCATTTTTTTTAGTTTTCTCTTATTTTTTCAAATGATTCTTTTAATACATGAATAATTAAAAAAATGTGTTATATATCAAATTAATTTATGTAACGAGATCTTTCCATCAAGATCTATTGTCAATATTTTTTGAGATAAAAATTTTGATCAAATTTAAGTTATAAAATAAATGCATATTAGTTAACTATTATAGAAATAACTAGAAGGGGCATTAGTGGAAGTTAGGGACATAAAATGAGTTGTACATTTGGTGTGTTGATCAAATTAAAAAAATTGTATATTTTTAAACTAGATTATTTTTCTAGAACTGGGAGAGTGCAATATAAAGTTTATAGAAAAAAGATATGGTATATTACAAAAGACTGAAGTACCGGACCAAAAAGCTACACACAAAAAATGACAATAATAATAGTACTATTTCCGTCCAAAAAAATAGTCCAAGTTTTAGAATTTGTATTAAAAACAGTACAAAACTTAAAACTCAATCTACACTTTTTTTTTTTGGACGGAGGAAGTAGTAAATATCTTCTCTGGCCCAGGAGACGTTATCCCAGTTCAGTATCATTCTCTTTCAACGATTGAATTGGGAGATGAAGAGCATCATTAGTTCTCATCCTCCGGCCATCTCGATTCTTCCACGAAGCCGCACGAAACCACACCTCAATTCCAGTAAGTCGCATTGGTTCTCCTCGAAGATACCTTTCAGTAGAGATGAAGCTTTCAGTTGTGGGTGGCGGAAGAACAGAGTATTTTTGGTACATTCAGTTCCGGCTTGTGTAGACTCCACAGCTCTACTTTTAGCCGCCACCACAGCCCCCAAATCAGCCGACCTTTCGCTCCTTCTTCCGACGAGGTTCCTCCGATTTTCCTCATCCCTTTAGTGCTATGAAAATGAAAATCACTATCTGTTTCGTTTGTCTCAAGTGTTGCAAATTTTACGTGTAGAACAGCGGAGTGATGCTTTTCGTGTATTGGATTGCAAATTTCGTTCTGCCGGACCTTATTATGAAGGACATTCAATCAGATAAAACAAATGAAGACGGGAACGATGACGGCAAATATGATGAACCAGGAAGCTCAAAAGTTAAGAGGATGCAGAATTCAGGTCAAGAAAAGAAGGGCTTTGGCAGCACCAAAAAATCATAAGATAAAGCGTTTGAGCTGCATTTTTTTTTGTGGGGGGTATTTTACTGTTGCCAAATGAAGTTCATGCCAAGTATGTTAGTGGTAGAATTGGCTCCATGGTAGGATTTATGATGTTTTAAGGAGCCCTTTCATCATCCTATACGAGACCATCGTAAATTTTAGTAAAAGATTAATAACCATATATCTATCTACCACTCAGAAAATCTTTTCCATTTCTCATTTCCCAAAAAGAAAAAAAAAAATCACAAAAGAAAGCACTTTTTGCTATTCTTTTGCTACTTCTAATTTGTAATTTACATTTCAAATGATTGTCCAACCATTTTCTAAAGACATAGTAGCTTTATCAGCCGGAGATCCAGTGCTGGGCTTAGGAGGCTTCCTTGAAAATAATGATGAGAATGATTGTCGTGTCGGGTTATCCTCCACATTTTTCTGATTGTTTTGTGGTGATTTTCCCGAGTTCTTATCCTTGCTACCAAAGACGAAATTAAGCCTCTTGAAGTGGTTTTTTAGGTCACTCCCAGGTGCTGTTTCTTCAGGATGTACCGTACCTCTTGTAGCTTCATCTGGATTCAGCAACATTGCCTCAACAGATTCATACACCTACAAAAGAGTGGCCTAGTGTGAACCCTACTATGTGATGCCAATCTAAACTAACAACCACAACGTTCTCCAAGCTAAATCTGTTACATGCATGTTTTCATTTACCATAACAAACATGCTATAGACATGTATGCAATCTAAGGGCAGTAACACCATGGTGCCTGAATAAACCTCATATGAAACCTGAGTTTTTGAAAGATTGAGATAAAACTAAGACCTTTGATGTAGAGCACTGAAGCACTCAAGTAAAATGCACGAGCAAACAAGCCAATAAACACACATTCATCATTCAGTAAGTGGCACAAATACGACATACCTGACATAGCTCATCCACTTTTTCTAGCCATGTTTCACTTTGACAAGTGACTACAATATAGTCCTTGCATTCTCGAAACAGCTTTGACAGATCAATATTTGTCGAGAGGACGGCCTCAGCAATTACAAACCCAGAACCCAACTGAGGAAGTTCAATAATCATATCCAGTAGGAAAAATTAAATTAACCATTAGCGATATGGTAATCAGCGAGACAGATTAACTGTAGTTGACTACTCCCTCCGGTCCTTAATATAAGACATTTTGATTTCGTCTTAGGTTTAATTTAGTGCATATTTTTAATTGACAAAAAAAACCTTAAAAACATTTCATAACAATCAAGAGAATACAACCAATGTGAAAATATATTTTTAAAATTTTTTCGTCGATTAAAAATGCATACTAGGTGAAACCTAGGACGAAATCAAAATGCCTTATATTAAGGACCGGAGGGAGTACGTCCCAAAGTCGCTAAGTATAAAGGACTTACAAGAGAAATAAATAGCTGTTCAAAAAGCACAGAAGGTGAGATATCCGCTAAGACATTAAGAATACCTTCCCTGCAACCAATTAGGGTAAAAATGATTTCAGCAAATCATCACATCCAGCCGTTAATTACAAAATGATAAAATTCATTTCCTGAAACTCACACAGCGAAATCCTCGTCATAGAGAGGAGTTTGTCTCATAGCAGGTATTGGTTTGGCTGTTTCCCACAGTTCGCGCCACAAATTTCCTACACATAAATAAAAAATCATTGATCAGTTAACTAGTTCCCAAAATAAATTGGACATGATAGTTTAGCTAGATGGATGTTAGCAGCTTTTTCTAATTAAACATCGACAAAACTTTGCACTTGAGTTCATGTTAGAAGAGATGTAACCTTCTTTCTGCATCCTCCTACTAAGTTGACCTCTTGTAGATGACAAGTCGCCTCCACCTGATGTATCATCAGCTTCATTTGACGCTTCACTTTCCATCCAATCAGGGGGTGAATGCCACCTCACAAAATCTTCCAATATGCAACCTGGATTTGCTGCCTAAAGAGAAAAGAAGGTACATCAATCACGGCCCTCAAATTTCTGCTATTTGCCACACATCAAAATATTGAAGGTAAAAAAATTTACTGAAGGTCACCTTGAAAGCTTGCATGTCAGACAGAAGTTGGGAACAACCAGCACCAAAGCTGAGCACATTACAGAAAGGAAGCATGTCAGAGGGTGATTTGAAAGACTGGCAAAATAAAAAAATATTTGCAATACAAGCTTAAGGTATCTGTGGTCAGTCATAACAAGGGCAATATAGTCTTAGAGTTCAGATCAACAATAGAGAGACAAGACATTAGGAATGTCTAGGTTAGTCTGCTTAAAATCTAGGGATAGCAAAAAAATCTTTTCAAATATCTACTTGGCAATGTTAATCAAATTATATCCAATTTACAAAGTTGTCTAAGAATAGTTCGGCTCTGGCCTTAAGGCATCATTTAAAAGGCGAAATTTAGTTTTCAAAAGAATTACAGATAGCCATGCTCATCCTACACATATAGATAGATACAAAAAGTCAGTAAGTGTGTCTGTTTCAGCGAAGTATTAACAGAAATTCAAGGGGGGAAAGCATGGAAACATTTGATGGCTCAATCATTAGCCTCAAAGGAGGTTAAACAGGTAAAAATAATAATAATTAAAGAAAAAAAACTCAGCATCGCACGAACCTCCCAGTCCTTAGCACAAATTCTTCTGTTTCTTTAATAAGGTCTTCTGTCAGCAGAGGTGCTTCCTACATGTCCATGCACAAAAACCTCAGAAACAGGTTAGAATTTTAGAAGCAACTGTGAAGACTATGAGCTAGAGATAAACTGAACCTGCATCACGGGTGTAAAAACTGGTTCACCAGTTTCCAGCATTGTCATGTCCCCAAACTTCACATTAGCTCCTGATCGAACAAGAAGTTCCCCAGAACTAATTCTTGCATACAAGATTGAGTCTATTGGAACCATGCTTTCAGAAACACCACAGTCGTTGACCTTTAGAGTAGCTTCTTCTAAGCTTGATTCTAAAGATTCGGTGGCAAGAGTACGACGTTTCTTTCTGGAAATACAACAATTAATGACCTGCAATTGCTGATACAAAAGACAGCAATTTAAGTCTGGAAACTCATCTTGTGGAATGCCAGGAACATACTGCCCTTCGGACCAAAGTCTTCTAAGCTGTTGAACAAAACAAATGGAAATGCCTATCACAAAAAAGTTGAGAACTCCAACGAGGAGGTTCAATTTGATTTGCCATGTGCAAAATCCAGAACACTTCTTCTAGAGCCAATGCTACACTAAAAAATAAAGATACATTAAGCCGACGCAAAAAGGTTATCGTAAGTTGACATGTTGGTACAAATATAAAGAGGAAAGACAACTAACAAAGTTGAATACCTGTCCAAATAAAAAACACTCCTAGAAAAAAATCCTCAATTCGAAGAAATGCAAAGAATATGCTGAATGCCTCAAACTGTCTAGTCTAGAGATGTATAAACTATAGCATGTAGTTATCAGTTCTTGGCTACTTCTAACAATATGAACTGTGCAAGTCAGCATAAAAAATGCCTACAAAATAGATCAGTATTCTTAATAGAGGCAACAGTCTCATGCACAGTGTTTAGCTAAATCGTTTTGGCTAATCTGTATTAATACTCACTATATACAGGATCCAGGCGATGAGTTCCATGCAAAGTAAGAGATGATCTCAACTAGGTATCAAGTGCTTAAAATAGGATAGATAAGCATAAAAGAGAAGTAAATCTCCACACAGCGAGATGTGCCTGATTTGAAAGTGCAGGTTCCCTGTTCACTTACCTCAACAACAACTCTACACCAAAGTGAGGCCATTTTTCGCAGGGTTTTCAAGCTTCCAACGGCTTCAGAGAGCTTAACTACAAAACTTTCAGGTGGAGCACCATGAATATCCTTAGTCAAAGATGGGACGACTGTATGTTCTCCAGGTTCAGAGTCACCATTTCTCCAACAAAATTGTCCTTCTGTGAATATCTTGCAGATATCATGACTAGAATTAAAAATATCACATAGTATAGCAAAAGCTGGAGAAAAACATAGAAATGCTCCAAGACATTAAACTAAATAACAAGAGCCTGTATCTACCTGCATCTACAAGAGACTTGATCAGAGAAACTACTTTCTCGTCAGAACCAAATTCAGTGATAAACTTTTCATCTTTTTCTCGCAGCATTAATGATTTCATTGCCGAGAAGCTCATGGCAGCCCTCTCTCTGACAGGTGAAGAATCTCTTGATGAAGTCAGAAGGTCCCTCATTGAAGTATAATTCTTTCCAGCTCTGAAGAAGGGACCAAAGAAAATAAAGATTACAAAAACTTCAAAAAAAATTACTTTGGAAATTATCCCTTGAATATTGGATACTAAGCAATTAATTAAAAAAAAAAGAGAGAAAAAAAAAACAATTAAGTGAGAAGTAAACCAAAACAGGGGAATCAAGGATTGTATATTCAAATTTGTCTTCCAAGGGGAACGTGATAAGAAAATAGTCATTGGTCAGATTGAGGAATTCAAGCATTATTTTCAGTATCTAAAACATATAAATTCAGGTTGTTTCAGTTATCTCTTTAGTCTGCATTGAGATTTCAAATGAAGCTAAAACAGAGTCAAAGATAACAGAAACAATTATGATTAGAAGGCAACAGCGATACTTACTCTACAGCTACAGCCAGTTGTCTTATTATAGCCGTAGTAGGTATAATATTTTCCTTTGAGGCATTTGACTCCTCAGGTCCTGAACCTAATTTCTGGTCCTGCAGAAATGAACTGATACTTTAGTATCTGGTGATCATTGAATTCTTTAAACAAATAAAATAAAACCAAAACATGACCAAAGCATGAGCAGTATCTAAACTTAGATATGGGAACATTGTAGCAAATGCCTCTAGGTTCAAGATAACTTTGTCATCCAGTTTTTTTCACAAACCTTCAATTCTCTCTCATTCATTAAGTACAGATTTTCATCAAAAAGTGCGTAAGCCATTGCTGAATTTTCAGCTTCCTCGGCTTCCTCAACTCCTCTTTTTCCTATCCTCAAGTTCTTAAAGCGCGCCTGCCAGTCCTGCTTTATCTTAATTGGAGCAGGCTTCCGCCTTGAGTTCTTCTCTTCACTCTTATCCTGCATCATTAAGCTCACAGATTCAGTGAACAGCTACCGATTACCAGGTAAGCTCACTAATTCAGTGAACAGCCACAGATTACCAAACAAGGCCACGACTAATTCCGACAACATCATCTTTACATTAGACTTGCACAATATCATCTCTACATTAAACTTGCACGATATCACATGTCAGCATATGCAAAGGTGTCAACATCATTATTATGTTGAAATCGGAACAGATTACTGTTGTTCCATCTTTGCTAAGTCAAATCCAATAAAATAAAATAAAAAAAAAAAAGAAAAAAAAGAAGCAGAAATAAATCTAATAACATGAGGAACAAAAACTTGCTATACAACAAAAAACATTAGTTGAAATTGAGATCAGCGGAATTTTTATTTCCAAATTAAATAAAATGGATAATTGATCCAAAGAGGCTCGGTACCTTGGATTCATCCTTAAAGTTGACGGACTCCGGCGACCTCGCAACACCCGGCGATTGTATATCGGAATCTTCTCCTGTTCCGGTTCAGCGATCAAATTCACATTCGAGTTGACCACGGAAAAAAGAAGTAAATTAATTTTCTTTCATAAAAAATGCTAAATATAAAAAATTTTATGAGGCAGACAATTTACTTTTATATATAGCCTAAAAATAGTAAATTGGAAAATTGAAGACGAAGGAAGGAAAAACACACAGACACAGAGAGAGCTAAATTATTGGTACGAACCTCGATTGGTGACGGAATCAGATTTTTTGATGTCCGCAAAGACTTTCTCCGCTTTGGCCGCCGCGGAATGGAAGGCAGTCCTGGCTTTGGAAACGAAAGACGCCTCCATTTCTTGCGCCCGAGAGGGTGTGGTGGTGCAGGGGAGTGGTTAAGAAATGGTGATGGGCAGTGATTCGAGAGATGATGATTCAATCGGATGCATAATTTTTGTTTATTTTCACATCAGTTTTGAAACGGGGAAAATAAGGAGGGAATGAAATAGCTAGGGGAAAGCTCGCTCGCTGATTTAGCTTAGCTGTACTACATATATTGTTTAGCCATGGACTGCTAGACTCCTGGAGTAGTTTTAGACTGCAGCCTTGAAGTTGAATTTTTTTTTTTTTTAATTTCCAATTCATTTAAAAAGTTTGAATATTGTTTTTTGAAAATTTATACTCATTTATTTTCAATTGACTATGGATGATATCTATTCGTATTTATGTATTTCAGTCTTAATCTTCAAAGAAAAAAAAAGTCAACTCTATATACATGATGATCAATTAATCATATTTCTTTTCTTAAAAAAAAAAGAGGAACGAAAGAGATATAACTTCCAATGAAATTTGATCAATTAATCATATTGCAAACTCGTGAGCTTTATCTTGTAAACGAAAAGTTTCAAGAGATTTTTATTTTGAAAGAAAATTAAAGTGTCTAAAAAAGGTGCCACGAATTTTTTATTTTTTTTCCTTATGTTTTGATTTTTGGATTGAGGGTTGATGTTTGAAATTTAAACATACTACTTCTGATATCATTCTTGCTTATACTCCTTCTTTCTAAAATTATTTTTCAGTTTAAATTTTCATTTCTAGTTCAAATTATACTCAAACTGAAATTGAAAACTGAACAATAATTCTGCAAGAGAGTACTACAAATCACAATGTTTGTGAGATAAACCATAAACGTCACTCATCATTGGACATGGTCACATATATATTAACTAGAAGCAATCAAAATTACGGGTGTTTGAACAAATTAACGCGGATCACTCCGTTCATCTTGATGAAATGGTATCCTGATTTGTTGTCGTGAGTGAACTCGTCAACTCAATAGTTAGTCCTATGAAAATTAACTTTTTTTTCTTTTTTTTTTTAACTGAATATGATACACTTAATAAAGTTTAAATTCTTTGACACTTACGAATATCCCAATGACTAAAAATGAAAATGGCGGAAATATCATTTAGCTAATAACTTAAGGTGCATCTTTCTTGTACGCAATGTGTCATTTTACTTAATGAAATTTCATTCGTTAACTGCATACTTTTTATATTTAATGAATAAAAAAAATACTCCCTCCATCTCATAATTAATGTCCAGTTTGGGTTTTCACTTTTAGTATAATTTGAACTAAAAATTAAAACTCAAACAGGACAATAATTATGGGACGGAGGGAGTATATCACATGATGCAAATTTCAAAGACGATGATGATAGTATGATATCATGACGTACATAATTATAAAAAAAAAAAAACAAAACTTCTATGTACTTCTTCTGTCCCAAAATTATTATCCAATTTGAAATTTTACTTTTAGTATAATTTAAACTAAAAAAAAAATAAACTGGACAATAATTATGGGACGGAGGAAGTATATTCTTATTGTCCCGTGACGTATGTAATTACAATATAATAAAGATATATATCGTTAGAATTTGCACGTTAATATCATCATATGATGGAATGGAACATAACAAGAGTACTTATGCATTGATGTATAGTGAATGGCTAAGTTCACATTTTTGTAAATACAAGACTACCTATATAAACTACTTTTTCTATCCCGTAAAAATAGTTGTAATTCTTAAATTGTTTTCAAAATACTATAATTCATAAATTACAATGTGTTTTTTTAAGACGGAAATAATAAAATATTATTTTTTAAAAAAAACAGTAGTCATCGTTTGAACTAAAACTCTTATATTGGGACCAAAAAAAAAGGGTCAATTAAAGAAATAATGCATATCAATTGTTGTAAAGAGAACAAGACACAGTTGATCCCCAAAATGAGGGAGTATTTCTGAAGCGTGGTACTGTGGTATATGCAATCTATACTATTTTATTGAAGATATAATTAAGGATTATTATATTTATGGAGGCTTAATAATGGACCAATTTTTTTTGTAATTTTTAGTACATATTCAAATTCATTCAAATTATAATCACTCAATTGGCATGATATGCAGCTTTACACTTCTATGAGATTATCTATAAATGGAGCTTGATTTTGAACCCCCTAAAAAGCAAATATAAATTTATTTTTGCCACAATTACAATTTGTTGTGGCAAAAAAAGGTAATAAAATAGTAAAAATAATAATTTATCTAATATATTACTTGGACGCGTTTCCATTTTTATTCGGATACAACTTAAAATTTCTCCTCCACCAACAAAACATTAGAAGCTGTTTATTTAAATTGTAATCTTTTTTATATGTTTTTGTTAAATTTTAGTACACGAATCATGAGATGATTATAAATTTTGTACACAAAAATCTTTTTTTTTTTTTGGGTACAAGCAAGGAGGCAAGTGCCTTATTGTCTAGATTATTACATTCCGTTAGTAGAAAACACCAACTGTATCATATGCTAACTATGATTGTAACACTATGGGAATATCTTCTAATCGTTGTAAACCATCTTGACTAACTACCGTTAAGATTGTTAATGAATCAGCTGCAAAATTTCGCTTTCGGTAAATATGTTTCATCTCCACCGACCATTCCTGATTTAATAGCTCTTGAATGGCTACCACTAGACTCCGATGCATACCGGTTATTTTTTTCTCACTCTTCACCATACTAACAACACTCATGTTATCAACCTCAGCCATAATCTTTCGATTTCCCCGATCCCACAATAAAAGCAAACCTTGAAACAGAACCCATAACTCGGCTCTAGTAATAGTGCAGAATCCTATCTTCATTACGAAAATCATTTTAATGGTTCATAACACACTTATACTGATCCACATTGGAGTAAAAACAGTAGGAGGGTTTTTTAAAATAAAATAAAATAAAATAAAAGTTGAAGCCTAAATAAAGTTAAGGACATTCGAATTCTTTCATGATTAATTTGGATTTTTAATTTATGGTTTAACTTAGAAATTAATTTATTATTAAGTGTATTAGTGTTTTTTTTTTACATGGTCTCGTGACACTTTTATGTTTTATTATCACTATTGGTTATATCATGATTCACACGTGACATTATTATTAGTAAAATACTAATAGCTTAAGTAAATGATAAGAAAATTCATTTAGTTAAGTGATTAAAAATCAATTTATTCACTTTGAATAGTTTCATATGGATTTAATACAAGTGTGATTTTTTGTTATTTGTTGTTTACTCAAAAAAAAAAAAAAAATCAATTGGATAAAATCGATTTTCTCCAAAAATTATCCAGCGACTCACCACAAAATGAAGACCCGCGCAACACCGAACATCATCAACAAACCACGCCTCTTCGAGCCACAGCAGAGCACCCTAGTCACAATAACGCTTTCATTACCTCATTCACACTCACGAGAGCATTAGAACAAAACCAACCACGCCTTTTGATCCTTGAGTTTCCCTCCCTTATGTTAAGCCCGGACCATTCCCCAAAAATCAAATTTGAATACTCCAATTTTTTTCACCTGCGTATTTGTTTTCACCCCACAGCTACGGTGTCCGGCGAAGAACCATGGAAGAAGTCGATGAAACAGAAGAAATTCCTCAGGTAATTTACTTCACAAAGCTGTGGAACGCACTGCGATCGAGTAATTTTTATGGTTGCGCAAAATTCCAACCAAATTTTATCATTTTGTTGCTCGCACTTCTTGGAACTGTTTATTTGTTGCTGCGATTTTGCATTTCCATGCTCGTTGCAATTTTGAATTCAGCCGTATGGTCATGTGGCGTGAGTTCGAGTACGGAGTACCAATTTCTGTCGGTGAAACTATACCGTGCTGTGTGAATTTTTCTACCGATACAGGAGTTCGCAATTTTTTTTCTAAATGTAATTTGTTTATGTAATGTTGTAGGTTCATATGGCTTGCGTCATGCAAGGTCAAAGGTGAGTTCTTCTTTCGGAATACTGTTTTAATGCTTTAGATGTTTGTGATTTTGAAGATCAATCAGAGTAGATATGGCAAGAAGATTGACAATATCATTAGGTGGACACAATTTGAGAATTTTAGCTTAATTCTGGATTGTTTGTTTCAGGATTGGAGTTTCTTATTATGATTGTAGCGTCAGACACCTTCATGTGCTGGAATTCTGGGAAGATGGGAGTGAAGATTTCCCCCTTATCCAGATGGGTAAGGAATCTTCTCATAATTCTAATGAACTCTTAGCTCTGAAATGTATCTATTGATCTAATGCAGCCATCTTATTTTGGTTTAGTTAAATATCAAGCTAAGCCATCTATCATCTATGCTAGCACAAAGAGTGATGAGCTCTTCTTGGCTGCTTTACAAAGAGATGGTAAGCTTCACCTGATGCTTGAAGTCACTTCCAGCTTATTGATATGTCAAGGAGTGACTTCTTTTTGCTATTGCAGATGGGACGAGTGATGCTCCTGCTGTAAAGCTTGTTAAAAGTTCATTATTCAGTTATGAGCAAGCATGGCACAGGTATGACGATGTTTTTCTTCTCTCCGGATCTTATTAATTTTGTTAATGCAACCAGTTTTTCATCCTTTGAAAGTACTTAATTGCAATTATTTTCCAAGTATTCCCCCAGAATGTGGTAACACTGTGGGTGTGTGTATCACTTGGATGGAAACAAGCCTAAGTTTTCAACTGTTATATTCTGTTGTCTGTATGTCCAGGCTAATGTATCTGCGGGTTACTGGGATGGATGATGGGCTAAACATAAAGGAAAGAATTGCTTTTGTAAGTGAAAAGTCTTTCATGTAAACATTAATCAAATTCCATGGTTCTCAGCACAAATTGATTTGGTTATTTCAAGATCACGGTGTGCATTCTAGTCAATTTTATTGCACTACTAACTAAAATAGTAAGAGGTTTAGGAAAGCATTGTGAACTTATTGAACAGAGGAGGTTGTGTGTTGGAAGGTCAGAGAGAGAGAGAGTTGCATGTTGCTGGTAAGGTGGAGAAGTTAGAAAGAACCTATTCCTCTCTATTCCTCAGAATTTTGAGAATCTTAACAGTTATGAGATTTGTGTTTCTTAATCCATTTCTATCTATCCCTTCTTATACCGTTTTTAACATGTATTTAGCTGAACTCTATGATGGACATTCAAAGTGATGTACAAGTGCGTGCATGTGGAGGACTTCTTGCAGTTCTGGAGAATGAAAGGATTATAGACACCCTTGAACAAAGAGAATGTGGAAATGCATCAATTGCAGTTGACTCACTCATTGAGATTTCACTGTATCTTATCAGATGTTATTCTGCTTATCTAATTATCTTCACCTTTCTTCAAAATACTCCCAACTGTTGTTTGTTTACTTAAACAAAAATTTAGAAACAAGTTTCTCAAAGTTGATTCGGCTGCCCATGAGGCCTTGCAGATATTCCAGATTGACAAACATCCCAGCCACATGGGAATTGGTAGAGCAAAAGAAGGGTATGTGATGGATCGTAGTTTGATTTTTGTTTAAGCATTTGAAATGCCGGTTGATATTTTTGAAATGCAGGTTCTCTGTATTTGGAATGATGAATAAGGTTTGCAGCTGCTATTTCATTCAACTCCCTGTTGCATTACTACATTTCTATGTCTCATTGGATTGATATTTCGTACCTGTGCCAGTGTGTAACACCAATGGGTAGACGTCTTTTGAGGTTGGTTCATGTAAAATTGAAAATGACAATCATTGATATGTGAATACTGCCTAAGACCTCTGGCTAACTGTTTAATTGTTCTAGGAACTGGTTCCTGAGGCCTATACTAGAGATTGATGACCTGAACAAACGCTTTGATGCTGTATCCTTCTTTAGTTACTGCAGCACCGAATCCTTGCTTGGAATCCTGTTACTTTATGTTGCTGCAACGTAGGAGTAATTATTTGCTCTTAAAGAACCCATTTTTTAGAGGAAAGGCACATTGAAGGCATGGATGTAGAATCTGCTGACGCAAAAAGATAGCCATGACTACCTGAAATGCCAGTCAATTAGGTGTTTTCTTTGACAGATTAAGATATCATTCTTCCAGTGTTCTGAAGAACTTTTGTTATCTTTACGTGAAACACTGAAGTCCATCAAAGATATACCTCAAATACTCAAGGTGCTCAACAGCTTACGTGTTTCCTTTGTTTCTGCAAAACTGCTGTTGAATGCATTTACTATTATGATATTATCCAGCGTATAAACGAGTCTAACCTATAATGTACTGTCTATCACTTGTTTTTATGCCCTTTAACATTGTATCCCTTTTCCTCTCCTTCTGCAGAAGTTCAACTCTCCAAGTTCTTTGTGCACATCTAGTGACTGGACAGCATTTGCAAAGGTAAATTCAACAACCTCTGTAACCATAACTGTATTATTCTGCCTGAGTTATTCAAATGGCAATAACATATACAATATCCCCAAAGATTATGATTATAAATAATCCTTCTAAGATTCCTTCTTCCAAGACATAAGTGGTTTTACACATCGTCCAACAAAATTTGAATGCAATGAAACTTGTTAATTTCTGGTATACTTCCAATAATTGAAAGGCTTTGCATTTTTGGGGAGAGTTGGCAAAGCAAGCAATTCACCCTGTTATCACACTCCCTTTCTTGTTTTCATTTATGTTTTCATTTGTTGAGACCCCTTGAAATCCATTCAGGATTTTACTAGCTAATGCTATTATAAGTATAGTGAGTAGGGAGTAATAGCTGGAGAGAAATTTGATTTACCCTTTCTAACTTTTTGATGTAGAGCCTCTGTTCTCTTCTGCACATAAACAAGATATTTGAAGTTGGCATTTCTGAAAGTCTGCGGGAGCAACTGAACTATTTGAACTTGGATATTCTTGAAAAGGTATATTTAAACTCTTAACTTTTGTGTTTAAGGTTGTCATCTTCACAATTTATGATGCTGCATTTTTTTGAACTTATGAGCATCGCAGGCTGCGGTTTACATATCGACAGATCTTGCTTATATCTATGAATTGGTTAGCTTCCTTTCTAAAAAGCTTTTACTTTATTTCTCAAGCTTAATACTGCCTGAAGCATATGTATTCTTTAATTTCTTTATATGCTTTTTTTTATATCAAATCCTGAGCTTTGATTGATGCACGGGAGATGGTTTTTCCTAAATTCATTTAGAATATGGCAAGTTGTTTTCTTAGAAATATTTTTCAGAAGGTGGCCCATCTACAACAGCTTCATCTGATTACTGTAAAATGAAATCGGTTGTTGATTTCTTGACTTCAGTTCTATTTTCTTTTTGAGGGTAAAATGTAAATAATATTCACAACTTGTACAAACCTGTAGCTGTGTTTCTATTACATCAGATTCACTCACTTCAAAATGATTAACATTCTCTCCTAATTTGCACAGAAACATGTTTTCTACTTATTGCAGTTTTACAACACCATTTTACGTTTCATATAAGCTCCTGCTTTATTTCCTTAAGTTCTAGGTTAGAGGTTACCTGTCCATGAATTTTGTGTACTATGCAATATTTCTGAGTCCATTTAGGTTTGAATACATAATTTATGCGTGAAAAATTACAATGTGCCTTGCATTATAGATTTTGTTCTGTTGGATTTATTTGTGGAGGTTGATTGCATGGTGCAGGTAGTTGGTGTTATTGATGTAAATAGAAGCAAGGATAAGGGTTATGAAACACTAGTCAAAGATGGTTTCTGTGAGGAGGTATGATATGTCGATATCCATTTGCTGATACCTTCTGAGTCTTGTGTCTTTTGATTGATGGTATTGTAGTCTGCTTCTTTTTCACGTCTTATGATAGCTCACTTTTCCATGTGTAGTTGGATGAGCTGAGGCAGATATATGAGGAGTTGCCTGAGTTTTTGGAAGAGGTTCTAGTCTTTGGTTTCTTTATCACACAAAAATGGGGTTATTCAAATGTGTTTGCAAGAAGGATCTATTTCTATTGCCATTTCTTTGCAGGTTTCATCCTTGGAACTTGCACGCCTTCCTAACATGTCTGGATACAAGTTCTTACCACATATTGTTTATATACAACAGATAGGTACTAATGTCAGCGCTTCACGTTTGTATCATCTACTGGAAATAAAAATGATCAATAACTTTTACTTGCTTCTGATTTTTCATATTCAAGTCTTTAAGACTCTTTCTTTTTGTTTTTTCTGGTTATCTTTCTTTTATAGGTACCTCAAACGCTATAATTTCTTCTGCACTTACTGACTTCAGTCTTTTGTAAAAACCATGAGCACTTAGCTTAGTCAATTCTAAACAATTTTTCTGAAAGTAGAGGACACAGCTTTTGAATTAGGGAATGAAATCAAGGATAGTACAGCATGTTTGGTGATGATGCTGTGTTCTTTTTATCATTGGCATCTTCAATGTTTGAGATAAGAACTGTACTTCAGGTGTCATTTTCACTTACAGTGAGTTTAAGATAGCAATACTGACAAGAAGCTGGTAAATTTGTATTCTGTGACATCACCTCTAGTGCATTACAATTATGCATTTTTCTACATTGGTGACACACCTGCGTCATCTATCTTGAGGATGACAGACATAGACCCTTCCCTAGTCGTAGGCATTTTATCATGGATTATCAATTCAAAATCTTCGTAATTTTTAAGCATATTGCATCCCCCTTCCATGTAAGCTTCAAGAATTTCAGTTACAACATGTTTGTTGTGCAGGTTACTTGATGTGCGTTTACCAACAAAATCTTGATGAAAGCATTCTGGATACACTTGAAGACTATGAATTTGTTGTGCGTGATTGGCTTTCTTTTCATGAGAATGTAATGCTACCGTTGGTTAACTCTTTCATGCATGGATTTTAATTTTCTAAAAATATATAGTTCTCTGATGAGGAAGGAGATGCAAAGAAGTACTTCTACCGCACTGCAAAGACTCGAGAATTGGATAACCTCTTAGGAGATCTGTATCATAAAATACTAGGTAAGCAGTTATGGCTGGGATTATTACCTTAACATGAAGGCCATCTTGTTGATTGTGGTCTGGGCTACTTTTAGTTAGTCAATCCTTTCTATATAGCTAATTATAGTAGATGTTTCATATGCTGGAGTTTAGAATCTGATCATGGTTATGAGTACTAAAGTGAGATTTTTTCCTTCTAGATATGGAGAGAGCTATTATTCGGGATTTGGTGTCCCACATTCTTCAGTTCTCATCTCATTTAAAGGAATGTGTTAACTTTGTTGCGGAGCTTGACTGGTAAGAGTCTCTATCACGACTGTTTTTTTGACTCCATTCATGAGTTTTTGCTTCCTCTTGAATCAAAAGGTTCTTAATTTAAGTACTTTTCTTCTTATTTTCTAGTTTTTTGTCATTAGCTTTGGTTGCGCATCAGAACAATTATGTAAGGCCTGTTGTGACTGCTGAGAATCTGCTTGAAGTTCGAAATGGGAGGTTAGAGCGATATCGCCAGTTTTATGTTTCATTTTATTTTCATAAACTTATGTAGACAAGACATACAAATAAATGAACCCAACAACACTGAAGTAACTATTCTTCTTCTGAATAGGCATGTACTGCAGGAAATGACAGTAGACACATTCATTCCCAACGACACGAAGATTGTTGATGAAGGTTTTGCTACTATACTTCTTGACCCAGATTTGATTCTTGTGAAACTTTATAGCTGACCTGTTTAATTGGTGTACTCATGTCTTTAGGCCGGGTAAATATAATCACAGGACCTAATTATTCAGGGAAAAGTATTTATATAAAGCAGGTCAGTCACGTCATGATCTTTGGTCTGTTAGGAAGCAATTGAGAGCTCTGTTTTCAACCATTATCTTCTTGAGTGCTGCATTTATTCCTTGATGGTCCAAGATGACATTATCTTTGTTCCATTGATGTATCCATGTGTGTACTGTGACTAAAAGCAACACTATCAACATGATCCTATGTTTTCTATTCGCGAATGGAATTTCTATTCTCATTGTGTTGAATCCCTCCAATTGCAGCGGAAGGATGAAATGTTGATGTTCTCTTTTTTGCAACATTTTTTTGCGGCCCCTATTCTGTTTGTTGATCATCCAAGTGAAGTGGAGACATGAAAATTCCAAAGCTATACGTCATTTGTGATTTTTATGTCAATAAAAAGTGAAAACCTCTTAATACCAAAATTTGGAGAAGCTGAAAATTCAAAGTCTTCTTTAAACCACAAAGAGTAAAGAAAGATTTGTATCAGTATTTGACAGAGGATAGGTTTGATCAATTTTTAATGTTCTTTTGCCTTAGCTGACATTTTAGATACTTGGTTCAGGTCGCGCTGATAGTTTTCCTATCTCACATAGGAAGTTTTGTACCTGCTGATGCGGCTATTGTAGGCTTGACTGATAGGTCTCAGTTTTCTACAACTTTTGGTTTACATGATGATTTAAGATAGCAACCATCACAGAAGAATTAGCCTTGCAGGATATTTTGTGCAACAGGGAGCAAGTTTATGACTGCTGAGCAATCAACTTTCATGATCGATCTGCATCAAGTTGGAATAATGCTAAGGTATCAATCAATACACTGGAGATTTTCTACCAAAGTAGCTGAGAGTGGTCATAGAGTCGCCCTAAATTATACTGAGTTATTTCATTTTTGTGCCATGAAATAGAGATTTTTTTAATGGTATTTTAGAAATGCTGTGCTTATTTAGTTAATGTACAGCACAGTGTATTTCTCTTGTATTTGTAATTTAGATCTTATGTTGTTTTAGGCATGCAACTTCTCGTTCATTATGCTTATTGGATGAGTTTGGAAAAGGAACGCTTACAGAGGGTTAGTTTCTTCAACAATCTTTAAGATATTTAGCTGTCACATGTTTCCCTATCCTTTGCTGAAACTGACTTTTTTGTGCAGATGGCATTGGTCTTCTTGGCGGAACTATAAATCACTTTGTCTCGTGCTATGATCCTCCGAAGGTTTGGAACAAATACATACTCTTAGAACATGATAACTCAATGTCCCCTAATATTTCTTCATATACCATTAATGTGGATTCCTGATTTTACTTCTCCTAGGAGTTGTGTGCTTTTTACATTATTGATCTACGTGTCTTGGCTCTTTGTTGTGTTTTGCAGGTTTTGATCTGTACACATTTGACAGAGATTTTTGACAAAAGCTGTTCATTGGAGGTAGAACACTGTGTTTGGGCTTTGATAGGATTAACGTTATGTACTTCGAAGGTTACTAGTGGTTTGTTTACCCATTGACTTGCTTCTGACCTTCAGACTAACAAAATCAAGTATTACACAATGAGTGTGCTCAAGGAAGACAACAAAGATAAAGGCGTTGAAGATATTGTTTTCCTATACAAGTAAGGAAATATAGTTTTGGTTGGGATATTTTTTAAAGTACTTAGGCAAGAACAAGCAAAAATTTTCTGCCATTCCAACTGATGATTCATGTTCATTATTTGGTTGGTTGTTTTTCTGATTACTTTTACTCTTTTAACTAATAATCAGGAGTCCTCCCATATCATGGTTGCTCCTGAACTTAAACTGATACAATGTTTCTGTCTTACTGCAGGTTGGTTCCTGGACATGCACCTCTTAGCTATGGTAAGAGTTATTACCGTTATGGATATTTACCGCAACCGTAGCTTGAGATTTCGCAGAGAATCACTTACTAATCTCCTTTTCACCTCATGGTTTGAAGGTCTACATTGTGCACTTCTTGCTGGTATGTCTAAATCAATAAAAGAAGTTTCTGGTTTCTTGGGGACTTATGATACTTTGAGATACTGCCTTTTCATTTGGAACAATGTTATTGTTATTACCATCTTTTAACAAAATGCTATGAACAAGGTGAAACAGTCACCTGGTTTTGGTTGACATTGGGGATTGGGTTATCTTGGAGGAACTCACCCTTATTGCATAGAGTGCTTCCCATTATGCATTGACTGTTTTGTATCATGTTGTAGGAGTATTTGATGAAGTTATAGAAAGAGCGTCTCTCATCCTGGATGCAAGTCTAAACAGCAAGCACGTTGAGCGGCTAGTCAACAAGAATATATCTGCTCAGGATGAGCAGTATAAGGTACTGAAAAATTGTGAATTCTCTTTCTGTGTTGTAAATCATATCTTATCCTAACTAGCAACTGCAGAACGTCGTGGAGAAAATGTTAGCATTTGATGCAGTCAACGGTGATCTGTGTGCTTTCTTTGAAAATATGTTTCCCTCTCAAAGCTGACGGGGTAAGCTTTCTTACCTGGATCCTTATTGACTAATAGCGGATTTGACTGTTCTCTTTCTCAAGATACTACGTTAGTGTAATGATACAAAAACCAGAAGTTTATTAATTATAAGATCACAAATTTCTTCAGAAGGAATTCACAGAGCTATCAACTGCTGCACGTTCATGGGAGTCACGTGTGGTGGCGAACCACTGTAAATAGTGTTAACCAAAATGCTGGCTGCTTGTTGGGTCGGATGCACTTTATCCCAGAAGAGGTGATCTGTTCTATTGGGGCAGTACACGGCAAGGGGAGTACAAAATGCACCAGCATTCAATTTTCCTAATCCACAGCAAGCAGCTTTGACCTCGGCAAAACCTGGGAAAAAAGTTGGAAAATTGGAATGGTAATGCAATAATCATAGTTAGTCACAAGACTTTGGGGGAGGAAACCAACTGGTACGTGTAAATGTAAGTTACCATAATTAGCAGGGTTCTGAATGATGTCATAGAGGACAGGGTAAGTATCAAAATACGTGTAGTTTATGTCGTGGAGATTAGACTGTAATCCAGACAACATTGCCGTAAGCTTTTGGTTGTATTTGATCGCCATAGTATTCATGTCGGAATTGCAGTCTTCAGTATTACTGTTAAATCTTTGTGCAGGTGTACATCCAAGACTTGCTAACCCAATGACCACGAACTTGCGAGCTCCCAAACTATGTAATTTCTGGACAACGAAAACAGGAAGAAGAAAAAAAATGTAGAAACTTAAACGGCGAAGGCCTCCAATTTGCAAGAATGGATGCAATATTTCTGAGGGGTTTCATTTGGTTTATATGTACCTGGACGAGTCCTTGGAGGATGGTGATCATTTGGTCTACGTACTGATCAGGGGTGACCTTGTTCTTTCCATTTCTGTTGTTTCCGTTATCGAAATAAGCAAAAACGTCATTGCTGCCGATTACAATGACAAATAATGATCTGGAGAGATGCTGCTGGGCTCCTGCAGCTCCCAGTTGTTGCACCAAACGATCATGCACCATGCTGTAGTAGTCCACTTGTTGTGTTAAAGATAGAGTCTTACGCTGCGTGACACCATTGATTAACCAAAATGAGAAATAGGCAAACACTTTTTATGTCCAAGATGATAATGATGATTTCACAAAGGTGAAAGAAATTATACTCTCTCTTGTCCCAAAATAAATGTCCACTTTGGATTTTTAGTTTTAATACAAATTAAACTAAGAATAAAAATCTAAATTGGACAATAATTTTGGGACTGAAAGGGTATAATCTATAATTATTCTTACAAGGAGCCCTTGTCCAGTGGAGTTGAAGAGTCCAGAACCTCCAGATGCGAAGCTTACACCTTTGAGGAAAACATCACCCGTGTTGGACAAATATGGAGGAGCTGTCGGCAATCCGACTTTGTCCGCTGTCAAATTAACCCACGTGTTAAATTGCCACTAATCATCACGTATTATATTCCTTCATCCCATTTAATAATTTCACTTTGTTATTATGTTTTAGTGTAACAAAATGAAATAATGTCACGCCCATCCGTGGCATTCATAGTCCATCATATGATACATAATGACGACAATGATCTCCATGCACCAAAATCCTTACCGAAGAAATCAGCAGAGTTTTTGCCGTTGCAAAATCTACCGGTAGGTTTGCCGCCAGGGTAGTCAATGCCATTGTAAGGATAATTTGCTTTAAGAAGAGAACCATTTATGTAATTGTTGTTACCAACATCCATAAGAGAGTCGCCCAATATGTAAATGGCCGGAACGGATTGCCCTTCTGCGGAAGTGATCAATAATGCAAAGAAGAAATATAAACAAGTTGTGAATGCGAAAGATGTAGCTATATTTTGTGACGCGGGGGAGCTCAAAGAAGCCATTGATTGATCAATTAATGTTATATGATTGTGCTTCTTGTGAATTCCCCCAAGAAACTTGGAGAGAGTTTAAAAGGGATTGAACTCTTGTGTTTTGAAGAGAGGGATTTATATACACATCTATAAATTGAGCAGCATATATATATATATATATATATATATATATATATATATATATATATATATATATATATACTACTTGAAAAGGCTGAATTAGAATGCATGGAGTGGGTGCCCTTCCCAGGCCATGCTGAATGACTACTTTGGATATCAATATCTCATGTCGATCTGAGTTTGTTGGCGAATTGTATTTCTACTTTCCCCACCTTTTTGGTCCGTTATCTATATTATCCCAATGAATATATATGCTCGATCCTCATTTGAAACGTAGAGTGAATAAGAAAAGAAGAGACTCTAAATAAAATAACAAAATGGTTCTGAAATTCTGTTAGTTTTCTTGGTTTGGCTAGCTGGGTCAAGGTTTTAGAGTTTCTAGCTACTATCACCGTTCACTAATACTGCATCTCCTACTACTTCAGCATTCGAAACTTAAGTTATGTCCCACATCAACTGAAATTAAGATTGGAGAATCGATCATAGTTTTAAATTCAATGATAAAAAAATACTAATAAAAATCTAAATAATCGCGCATATTTGGTAGATAATGTGCTAACTACATCACGAACATGTGCATCACTGTTTGTTATTTCCGGCAAGCCGCATATATTTTGGAGGAGAATAAAAACAAGTTATACTAGTTCCACGCGGATTTGGTATGGAAACCCATGCATGAGCATGATGGACACATTAATTTATTTTATCAAATTCTTTTTTTTTTTTGGTTACGCTTTAATTTACTCTTTCGAATCTTCGATATCTCTTTTGTTATCCTTCTTTATGTTGATAAAAGACAAGTTTAAATCAGGCTTAATATTAAGATTGTCTTATAAATAAAACTGGAAGAATTTATACAGATCACATTTTGTGTGTTGAGTAATTTTTTGACAATGATCTAGATGAGCTTTCAATTAATATTGGCTTGGATTTTTATGGTCATCCCCGTTAAGTACGTGTCATTTTGGTGCTAAACTTAATTAATGGAGTTCCTTTTTCGCGATTGGCGTTTTTTTTCCTCCAACCAAAATGCCAAAGGTCAACCTGATATTTTTTTTTGGTGATTTCAAAGGGGGTGGAAATTGAATATTGATATTTAACGGATTTTTGGTCATAATCTTTCAAACAGTAAGTTGATGTGCTACATTACTTGTTTTGTAAATTTGTAAGTTTATTTATTTTTATAGTAAAATATTTGAATAAAAATAAAATTCCGAATATACAAGAAAAATATGTTAGCATTACAAATTGGTGTTTCATATACATCGACGACTCCTAAAACCACTAAGAATGCGAAAAAAGAAATAATAAAGGGTTAAAAGATAGTCTAGTTAGTTTATCTTTCAAAAATATTTAGCATGGAAAATTGATATGATAATTGGAAAATATAGTGATTGAGATGAAGTAGAAGTTTCACACGGTATTACTCATTAGAGTTTGGCCTCCTAATACCTTCTCGTTGAAATCGCAAACTAGACGAGAGATCAACACAAAAAAAAAAAAAAATAAATAGCCTTTATGTGAATTTTACCTTAGTAACATATATACCTTAATTGGATAAAATACAATAAAATCACAAAATGATTAAAAAAGCAAAAAAAAAAAAAAAAACAAAAAAACAAAAAATTTTAGTGATCGTCGACTTGACCATCGACGTTAATAGCTCGACGAATTTCGTCAACTTTATTGTCGACTTATATATGTCGATGATAAAGTCGATGAGTATAATATCTAACAAAAATTAAGTTAATTTCTTACTTTTATATCCCTTTTACCCTATTAAAGCAGAATACAGGATGTTGATGTGGCAACTTCTCATTAAAAATTTTTGGCTCCAAATGCACCATATTGCATTAACTATTTTGCCATGTGTCATCCTTTTTTTAAAAAATAAAGTAAAATTCTTATCTGGAGAAACAAAAGCTATTTTACAAAAATAGCTACACAATTTTAACTCCTAACATTTTTCATTTATCAATCAAATTAAAATAGCATTTAAATTTGCCCATAAACTTATCCCCTTTATTACTTCACATTCTTTTGTATGATTTCTGTATGGTTGTACTTTTTAATATTTTTTCTCTTTTGGGAGATGATTTTTTTATTTTTATTTTTATTTTTGGCTAAAAAAGGAAAAAAAACTAAATGTGTAGTTATTTTATTTTTTCCAAATCAAGAATTTATTTATCTATTAACACAAAATTAAAGTAGAAGGGCGCCCGGGTATCTGCCGGGCCAAGCATCTAGTTAGTATTATGATGAGAGACATTGGGAGTTCAGCATCTATGACACTTTTTGTTAACCTTCCCATCGTAACTGTTGAGCAGATGAACAAATCGATCCAATAGTTTTTACAAAGAGTCAGAAATTTGTAATTTTTATTTCAGTTACCACACATCGATTGCTTAAAATACTATAGAATAATAATAATTATAAAATTTGATATTGATATTTAACAAAATTTTTGGGTCATAATCTTTCATACAGTAAGTTCACATGCTACATTGTTTGTTTTGTAAGTTCGTGAGTCTAGTTATTTTTGTAATACAATATTTGAATAAACATGAAATTTCGAGTAGCTGAGAAAAAAATGTTAGCATTAAAAAATTGTGCTTCAGATACATTGTCGACCCATAAAACGATTAAGAAGGTGTGAAAAAAAATAATCAAGGGTTTAAAAGATAGTTTAGTTAGCTTATCATATTTCAAAAATATATTTAATATGAAAAATTGATATGATTATTAGAAAATATAGTGATTGATATGAAGTACAAATTCCGCATGGTGCTACTCATTAGAGTTTGACATCCAGACACCTTGTCATTGAAATCGCAAACCAGACGAGATAACAATAAAAAAAATAAGAAAAAACAACAAATACATAGCCTTTCTGTGAATTGGTGATGGGCACTTTGTGATTCTTTTTTCCATTTACTTTACTTCTTTTATATCAAAATTATTGTAATAAAACGATGTTTCATTTAGTGAAAAGATGTTACAAAATCATGCAAGAGTTTTTCTTTCCCCCCTCCCTTTTTTTATGAGAACTAATTTATTTGGAATTAGTTATTGAAACGAAAAGTACAGATATAGCAAATAAGCTCATCGTAACTTTCATCTATGTTCTTATCTTAATATAGTTATAACTTCTTTGATCAAGAACTAAATCATTTAGAATCGAGTTAAAGAGGAGCAAGTGAATTGTGTTGTTTGTCCATAAAATAGCTATCTTAGCCCGCGACGACATTCACTTCCTAATAGATGTATCTAATTAATTTGATTTTATGCTAAGAAAATCTTTAATCATAGAGAATTTGTCCCGCAATTTTCATGACAACTAGCATTGTTTTTAATCTCTTGAATATTTGGAGTTACCTTAATTTAATTATTGTTGCGTCTGTGACAAAGATGGGGGACCAGTAATTTTTTACATCGGATAATTAGATATTCATTGGACAAGTATCAAATGTAAGATTTGTTGCAATTACCACATATATTTACTCAATAGTACTTTAATAAATAGGTCACTCGATTTGTCTAATTACATGATAAATTTGAAAGAAATCATTTAAAAAAGTTTAATTGATTAAATTATTTTTTAACATAATTATAAAATGTATGACTTGATGCGGCGATGCAACGATACCAGATTTCAAGTTGACGAGTTGGGAAACCGCGTCATTCAGATAACTAAGAAGGAGAATTTAGCATCGGACGAAACTGTTGTCTACAAAAAAAACACCCCTTAGGATATAAATGTTTATTGGGTTTTCTAATTTTGGTTCATTTCATCACTGTGTCCCAAGTATTATATACTTTATTCTGATTTTTTAGTATCAACACTGAGAGATTTAAAGTCGCAAAACATTATTACATGATATTTAAGTAAGAATACATATCAATTCGTACAAACGCACGGACATAAACTAGTTACAATAATCGTATGCGGCCAAAGGGACTATAGCTTGGGTAATGGTGTTAGCTTTGTTGCGTTACATTGGTCGTCCAGTTATCGCCTTTCCTTTGGGGCCATGCATCTTCTTTTTTATTAAAAAAAGAACAATTAATAATTTAAAGTTTGTCTACATGTTGGGTTTTTGCCACAACTTATATTTGCACAATAACATAAGAGATATATAATAATGGAGGAGCCAAATTGAGACAAGAAAACTTATATAATTATACTTTTATTGATCATTACATTTGTATAAGAGGAAACAAATTGAAACAACTTATATTTGCACAATAACATAAGAGATATATAATAATGGAGGAGCCAAATTGAGACAAGAAAACTTATATAATTATACTTTTATTGATCATTACATTTGTATAAGAGGAAACAAATTGAAACCTGGGGATATATAAAAGTAAGATTACAAATAAACAATTTTAGTATAGAGCCAAGAATATGAATTAAAGAGCCATTAACTGCTGCAAATTCATGGGACTAACGTAAGGTTGGGAGGCAGAGAAAAGGGCATTAACCAAAAGGGTAGCCGTGGCTTGAGTGGGATGCACTCTATCCCAAAATACATGATCTGATCTATTTGAGCAGAATATCGCCACCGGTGTGCACCATACTCCGGCGTTCAATTTCCCTAATCCACAGCATGCCGATTTTACATCATTAAACCCTGATTGATTTCCAACCAACAAAAAACTAAAATTAGGTCATCATCATCCTCAAGATTGCATGATTAATTTTAGGTGAACACCGGATATACTCCCTCTGTTTCGAAATTATTATATGTTTGAATTTTTATTTTTAATTAGAGAATAATTTCAATACAAAGGAAATATATAATTTACCGTAATTTGCAGCGTTCTCAATGATGTCATTAAGGACGGCGAAAGTGTCGATATAAGAATAAGAAATGTCGTTGAAACTGGACTGTAATCCGGACAACATTGACGAGAGTTTTTGGTTGTAACTAGACGCCATGTTATTCATATCGGAGTTACAGTCTTCGGTACTACTACCGAATCTTTGTGCTGGTGTACACCCTAGCATTGGTAGTCCCGAAACAACCAGCTTGCGTGCTCCCATACTATGTAATTGCTGCATACCCATTAAAAAAATTAAAAAAAAAATCTAGGTTTTATTTTTTTCCTAATAATTGTGGGTTTTGGTTGGTTAATTAATTTATTTACCGTGATGAGGCCTTGGAGGATGGTGATCATTTCATGGGTGTACTGGTCGGGAGTTTTGGAGTTTTTGATATCGTCGTCCTCGAAATAAGCGAAAACGTCGTTGCTGCCGATCACCACCACAAAGATGGATTTCGAGAGGTGTTGTTGAGCGCCGTCGGCTCCCAGTTGTTGCACCAGTCGATGATGCACTGTGGTGTAGTAGTCCACTTGTGCTGATAAAGATATTGTCTTTTTCTGTAATCAACCAACTTGATTAGTTATGTAACTTATAATTCAAATATCAGGGGAAGAATAAACAATCACTTAGAAGGAATTACCATAAAACTGAAGACCCTTTTATGTTACTATGTTACACCTTTTCGTGTTTTTTTCCACGTCAAAACATTTTGATTTTGAAGTCGAGGCGGCCTTAATTCTAAACAATTTTCTTCTTTTGACGGCCAAGAATTCATTAATTCCATTAGACCTTTCCTATAATTAAGTTGTTTATGAACATTGATTGACAGTCTCAATACCCAAAAAATAATAGTAATAATAGTTGTCAATTGATCAGAATGTTGACTTATAGCGAGTCATGATCCAAATATTAAGGATGATCCAGTTGGACGTCGTGTTGTCCATTTGCAATCTCCAATATATTAAGGACGACCGACCCTTTGATTTGTTGTTATTTCAATCATTTGAGTTGCTAAACAATCTTAACACTTGAAAATTGTTAAACACACGGAAGAGAAAATAAAAGAGAGAGATTAATTTATATTGTAGTTCTTACAAGAAATCCTTGTCCAGTGGAGTTGAAGAGTCCTGATCCTCCAGATGCAAAGCTTACGCCTTGAAGGAAAACATCATTTGTGTTGGACAAATATGGAGGGGACGTTGGAACTCCCACTTTCTCAGCTGTCAAAATAAGCCAACATTTTTTATTTTTTATTTTTTATATTACTCCCTCAACCCAAAATAAGAATAACCTTGTTTATTCGTAGATTTTTTTTTCGTCCAATTCGATTTATAATCTACATTGTTGAAAACAATGCGACAAATAGGCACAAAGAAGAACTATTTATGTTAGTATAACAAATTAAATATGTGGCTTATTTTTCATTAATTTCACTTTTGAAATGATTTATGAGTTAATGGAGAAGCTAAACTTTACACGGAAAATGAAAAGGAAAAATATATATGATCACATATTTAGAATTCGAAAATGAAGGTAAAATGTCACATTCGGTGAAATTATTATATATTATACGTTATCATGTTGTACTTTCAGCTAGTGGGAAACTTCACAAGATTCCATCTTTTGACTTCATTGATTAGGCTTAGCCACACCTCTAATTTTGCAAACTTACGCGGCTTAATTTGTTTCCGTAAAAAAAAAAAAATTACCAATTTAACTAAACTGGGCGGAAAGAAAGAAAGACGTGTTTGGGAGCAAGAAACACGATCACCATCGATCGCTAAATTATGTTGTGGGAGATATTTTACTGTTCAAAATTACGTGAAATGGTATAGTATAATGCATGCAGCTATATTTTCATCTGTCGATGCATATAAAACGTAAATTAACATTACAGTTAATTTAAATTTGTGCCTTATAAATAAAACCGGCGAGGAAGGAATATATTTCTACGTACCAATAAGATCTGCAGTGTTTTTGCCATTGCTAAATCTTCCAGTCGGTTTGTGGTCTGTGTAATCAACGCCATTATAGGGATAATTTGCCTTCAGAACAGAACCTTGTATATGGTTGTTGTTGCCAACATCCATAAGTGAGTCCCCCAAAACATAAACAGCTGGAACTGATGACTGTGCTTCTGATAATTTGAATGCAAAGATGAAAGCCAAAGAAATCATGAATCCAAAACTTGTAGTCATGATTGTTGAAGAGGAATTGGAAGAAGCCATTAATGAACCAAAACTCTATTTTTTTATTTTTTTTTCCTGCTTGATTTGACTTCTCCAGAAAACTTGGGGAATGAATGAATTGATGGGGTTGAGATCATTGGGTATTTAAAGAGAAGGACTATCATGACTTATGCCTAACTATGGAAGAATGCCTAAGTGTGAACAATTAGAAGATTAATTAGAATGTGCACAGTGATGGACCATGACTTTAAATTGTTGTATGGTGTCTTATCTGATAGTAGTGTTCCAGGTTTGAATATTCTGATGGGAAATCTGATTTGACCATCTATATTTATCTCTATTATGGGCGAAATTTGAAGTCTACAAGGATGTAACATGTAATGTAACACCCCTTTACTGTTCTAATAGGAACTAGATGTTTGGCGGCATCTGCCGTCCCTCTACTTTAATTTTGTGTTAATAAATAAATGAATTCTTAATTTAGAAAAAATAAAATAGCTACAGATTTAGTTTTTTTTTTCCCTTTTAGCTAAAAATAAAAATAAAAATAAAAAAATCATAGGAGAAAAAATATTGAAAAGTATAACGATACAAAAATCATACAAAAGAATGGGGAGTAATAAAGAGGATAAGTTTATGGGCAAATTTTAATGCATTTTAATTTGATTGATAAATGATAAATGTTAGGAGTTAAAATTGTGTAGCTCTTTTTTGTAAAGTAGCTTTTGTTTCTCCGGATAAGAATTTTTTTTTCTTTTAAAAAAGGATGACACGTGGCAGAATGGTTAATGCAATATGGTGCATTTGGAGCCAAAAATTTTTAATAAGAAGTTACAACATTAACATCCTGTATTCTGCTTTAATAGGGTAAAAGGGATTAGTCGAAAAAATATTTTTGAACGGAAGATGATTAACAGAAAAAAAGAAAGAAAAGGGAAAAATGAATCAAGAATTTTTGTTATAATAGGCCACAAATATAATAGAGATAATATTCAATTAGATCCAGTTTTTCACTCCAAGCGTATTTTTTTTCCTATCTGGAAAATTCGATTTTCACTTCTTTTTTTCTTTTTTATTTTTTTGGTTTCAATTTTCCATTTCCTTTATTATAGTTACTGGTTCTTATTGACAATAAACAGAATCCTTTTAGAAAAAAACTGTGAAGAATGTAAGTACAATTTTCATGAGAATTTTTTAAAAAACTAATGTGATTTATTCATCGTGGTAAACTTGTGCTGTTGTACTACATGTTTCCATTTTAAAATTCTTGCGTAAAGGATATAGAGTATTTTATTTGGCTCTCATAGACCATTCTGTATGATGCAACTTTTTCTGCGAATCTTGCAAGTCTCTTGTATTTGCGTGTAAGTTTTCCTCATATTTGTACTGGAAAAATTGAACTCCTTAATTGTATCAATTTTTATATTACTCCATGCTATGCATTCTGTATACAACTCTAAGTTATGGTGCCAATATTTTTAGTTTCCCATATTTCAGTTATGGCATCTCAAAATCTGCAGAAATGACTGATCTTTTTTTCTTCTGTATATTGTAACAAATGGCCGTTTTTTAAATTCGTTTTAGTCAGAGAGTAATATGAATTTCGGGACAAGTTAGCTCAAAACATCACTCGATGAATTTAACACAAGTTTTAGTAAATGATAACATGAAAGGCGCCAATTGTTGGACATCTCGTGATTTTTATTATGACTAGTGATACATGTAAGAAAATATTATAAGAAAAATTTACAAGAAATCAGGGGTGACTCTCTTACTAGGCAAAATAGGCCATCGCCTAGGACCCCGGAATCGGGAGGGCCCCCATATATTATACATATATATATATATATATTAACTAAACTTAGAGTTAATAAATATTGGAAAAAAATGTAAAATTCATAGAAATAAGCAATTTGTTGAAAATATGAAGAATTATTGAAACTCTTACATGTCTCGAGATTTTTAAAACTAATTATTTTCTTTACGTAGTTAATAGAGCTACATATCTCATCACTATAAAGTAGATTTAAAAATTTTAAAATAGACGTTAGTATTTTTAGTTTTCTATTTATTTTGAAAAAATTATAAGTACTTGATGATAAAAAATTAGAAAAAAAAAATTGTCTTAGGCCCCGTTTGATAAAACTTAATTTGGCTCTGAAGTCTGAAATCTGAATATTGAACGATAACTGCTGAACCGTTTAAGTTTGTCTTGTTTGATAAATATCAAAATCTGAAGACTGAATTAAATGTCTGAAATCTGAAGTCTGAACACTGAAATTTAAAGTATCTCGACTTATAATTTTTTCTACAAAAAACTGTTGTATATGAAACTATAATAATAAAAATAATTGTAATATTATGAAATTATGTAATAAAAAAATTTAAATTATTATGTAATTATTTTTCCAGTTAATACTAATATCATATCTTTATATTTTAACTTCTTTATTTAAAAATAAATACATATTCATTAAAAATTATGTAATTTTAAATTAATAGCTAAACACCAAGATTAATAAAAAAAATTCAGTATAATACATCAAAAGTACAAATATAAAAGTAAACAAATAGGAAAAGAAAATCGTCTCAAGGATTCAGTTCAGAAATAAGTGATAAGCCTAACACTTATTTTTAAACTCACATTTATAATAGGATTTCATACTCACTTAATTTATTAAGACATTCTACTTTGAGTTATCAAACACACTTAAAATTTAAGTCCTTAATTAGTTAAGTTCTTAATCAATTAAGTTGTTTCGAGATTGTGTTATCAAACAGTAATAATCAATTCAGCACTTAATCAATTAAGTTTAAATGTTGAATGAGTTTATCAAACAGGGCCTTAATCTTTAAAACTCCATAAAACACAATAATATTTTAGATATTGACGGTTTAGATATATTTATGAACTAAAAATTTTAACGGATAATATATATATTTGAGAATAATAATTCAACTGATATACTTAGTTATATTAAAAGACTTAATTCTTTTTTAATTACTTATAGGATAATGTTTGACTTAATTCTTTTTTAATTGCTTATAGGATAATGTTAACTATTATTCATGTAACAGTTGGTTCAATAGAAAGAAATTTTTCAAAACTTAAATTAATAAAATATTACTTAAAACCGACAATGTCACAAGACAGATTAAAATGGATTTGAATTTATATTAATAAGAAAGAGGCTTAGTAGAAGAGATAGATCATAGAAATTTCATAAAAGAATTTGCAACCAAAAAAGAGTTTGCAAATTATTTTTCAAAAAAAAAATGCTAAAAAGATAAATTTAATATAAATAATATTTGAGAAAAAAATTTTAATTTTGCTTGCTATGGATTCACAGGTTTATAGTTGTCACCGAAGAATGAAGAGGGTTAAACTTTTTTCCCTTTTTATAATTTCTTTATTATCAAAAGGTCTCGAATTCAGAACTCGCCTTAGACCCCAAAAAATGTTGAGCCACCCCTGCAAGAAATGATGTGTCAAAACTATTTCATAACCTTCGATGTTCCAGATAGAAAGTGTTAAAAATGAATGATTATGATTATTTATTGTTATGTTTGAACTCCAAATTAAAAGTGTCAAAATCACATAATTGTGGAGTTATTCCTCACGTATTAGCTAGCTAGTATGAAATTAGAAAACAACCACCAAAAAAGGCGACCTTAATCTGCTCAATCATATAAGTTTTTTAAATGGAGGGAGTTCACATTTGTTCAAACTTTCAATAAGTTTCGGAGTTTAAATGTCGGTGTTGTCTTAAACAAAAGCTGAGTACCCATTTGGCAAACGTGAACTTAATTTCTCATTATAATTTTCCTTTTACTTCTTATTTCAGTTATTTTTTTTGTTTTATTTTAATGCGTCAAAGACTTTAAAATATTTGTTAAACTGAACAAACTTATTAAATATGTGAAATTCACAAGTCCAGTATGCTGAACGTTGTAACCTCTCCTATTATTTTCTTCTTCCTTTTTATTGACATAATGTTATTTTCTTTTTAAAAAACTAACGAGTCCAGTCTTTTTTGGAAACATAAAAGAAAACTATAAAAACAACCCCACAATTTACTTTTTTTAAAAAAAAAAAACTAAAAAATTGCATCTGGCTTGACTCCGATTTTTTTGTTTTTCTTAACCTTACGCCGTGGGAATCATAATACATTCAAACTAATCCATACTCAGACTTCTTTTGTATTAGCCTTCTGTTTTAATAGATGCTTAAAGTGTTAACTTCTATTAATAAGCTAAAACGAAGGAATCATTTCTAAAATCAGCGCTGAGTCCAGGTCAGACTTCGGAGGTCATAAAACTGGATAGATTTGAGTCAGTTTTTTTATGATTAGAGCACAAGACAACTGCTACGTAACGTTTTTCGAAAATACTGAGAAAAGACGAAGTGTTACATAGGAGTATAATATGTTTTGGGTGGTACAAAAGCGACGCATATATGTGTTAAAAACCTTCAAAGAAAAGCATATGTATTTACAGTTTTTCTTTCTTGTAACTAAGACCGGAACTTATAATATATGCTAGCGACTCCTTAAATTTAAGATAACCACTCATTGATCATTAATTTAACGTCACTTCTTCCTCTCTTTCCACAAGGACAAAACAATGGCATCAAAAAGAAAAAGAAAAAAAAAAATTGATCAAACAAAACGTTGAAAAACTTTGGACGAAAAAGATTTCAGTATTTGCCACCTTTCTCCCCGCAAAGAGCGTACGCGCGCACGTTGTTGCTGCGGCTATCACCGTCGTGCTCGCGAGAGGAGATTCCTCATCACGGAGTTTCATTCATCAGTAAAATGATATTGTTTTTATATGTTAAAATTACGATTAGAATATACAATTCTATGAAGTTATGTAATTTTGTTAAAGTAATATAATAGATATTTAAAACAGTAAAATTGATGAACTCGTGAATATTATAAATTCAGAAATTTCGCTCCGATTTTTGTATTGACCATATAAGAAACACGATAACTTCAGGGGTGTCACATTTGTGACAACATTTGTATAAGGGACAAAAAGAAGTACTAAAAGAAATGAGGGAGAAAAAGGAAAACTAAGACTAGAATTTAATTTTTCATTTTTTTTTCTATAGAGCAATGAGCTGCTGGGCGTTCATGGGAGTAACGTAGGGTGGTGAACCGCTGTAAATGACGTTAACTAAAATGGTGTCAGTTTCTTGAGTGGGATGCACTTTATCCCAGAATATGTGATCCTTTCTGTTTGGGCAGAATATTGCCAGGGGAGTGCAAAATACCCCCGCGTTCAATTTGCCTAATCCACAGCAAGCGGCTTTTGCCTCCTTGAAACCTGGAGACAAAAAAGGGATTTTGCACAAATTAATTTAAAATTGGTGATTAAGGTTAATCTTTATGAGAAAACCAACAATTTCATTATGGGTCACTTACCATATTTTGTGGGGTTCTGAATGATGTCATAGAGGACCGGGTAAGTGTCAAAATAAGTGTAGTTGATGTCGTTGAAATTGGACTGTAATCCAGCCATCATTGCCGTAAGTTTGTTGTTGTACTTAATCGCCATATTATTCATGTCGGAATTACAGTCTTCAGTATTACTCTTAAATCTCTGTGCCGGAGTACACCCAAGACTTCCTAGCCCAACCATCACGAACTTGCGAGCTCCCAAACTATGTAATTGCTGCAGACCAGAACAAAAAAAATGTAAGGAACTCGACACTGAATAAAACGAAATTGCGTGATTTTCGTTTGGTGGGTTTAATTTTATGTAATACCTTCATGAGGCCTTGGAGGATGGCAATCATTTCGTCGACGTACTGATCGGGAGTGACATTTTTAAGCTTATTCTTGTTATTATTATCGAAGTAAGCAAAAACGTCGTTGCTTCCGATCACCACCACAAAGAGTGATTTTGATAAGTGTTGCTCGGCTCCGGCAGCTCCCAAGTGTTGCACCAATCGAGCTTGCAATGTGGTGAAGTAATCCACTTGTTTTGGTAAAGACAGAGTCTTGAACTGCATAAAATTAGAGGAATTTTGCCTAATGTGAGAGACAATATCTGAAGCAAAGTTAGGTGTTTTGGTCCAACATACGTTTTTAGTTGGGCTAAGATGCTGGGCTTTATAGTGGGTAACATCAATTAGCCCATAAAAAATCTCAAGAAATTTCATGATTGTTCACTTAGTTATGGTAATTTTTTATCGTTCTAATATTATCGGATATGATTGTTTGTCAAGTACTAACTCACTTGGACTAGTAAAACGATATTCCTGCTGTCTCAAAATTATTATCTAATTTAAAATTTTAATTTTAGTACAATTTGAACTAACAATGAAAAATTCAAAATGAACAATAACTTTAAAACGAAAAGAGTAAGTAAATTCTTACAAGGAAGCCTTGTCCGGTGCTGTTGAAGAGTCCCGAACCTCCAGAGGCAAAGCTTGTGCCTTTCAGGAAAAGACTGCTCGTGTTGGACAAATATGGAGGTGATGTCGGTAACCCCACTTTTTCCCCTGTCAAAAATGTAAGCCACATTTTTTGCAGTTTAGCCATAATAATATCTTCTTCCGGCCCGTAGTTTTCATCAATTTTACTCTATATTGATCACTTATCAGATATTTTGCATTCATTGGCTCAATTAGCCATAATAGATAATGCAAAAGCTGGCTACAAGGGATATAAGGAGGTAAGAACATATTTGAGCATCCAGAAATTTACGTAGACGTCGATCATCATTTCTTACTCTATCCAAAACTAACCCAACTTAAACTCTAGAAAAAAAAAACGTGATTGATCGGAATACATGTTATTCAGAAAACCCAATCATTTTACTTTATTTTTATTTATGCTCAACGTCAAAAGGTACTGATTTGATAAATAAGAAGAACGTAAGTTTCCATCTGATAATAAACCTTTGTTTGAACCGGGACAAACTCAAAATTCACAAAGATTCTTTCAAGTCATATCCCATATTACATCAAAAAAAAATGTACGTACCTAAAATATCTGCGGCGTTTTTGCCATTGCAAAACCGGCCGGTTGATTTGCCGCCGGGGTAATCAATGCCGTTGTAAGGATAATTAGCTTTGAGAAGAGAACCATCTATGTAATTGTTGTTGCCGACATCCACAAGTGAGTCGCCGAGCACGTAAACCGCCGGAACCGACTGCCCTTCTACAAAAGCGATTAGTGCGATGAAGAAAAACAAACAAGTTGATAGGGAACAAAAGGATTTGCTACTGATGGAAGAAGAAGCCATCATTGGTCGACCAAAAATATAGTTAACCAATGTTTTTATGCTTCTTCTAATAGGTTTCTCCACAAAAGTTGGGGATCATAAAATCCGGTTTTAAATAGAAGAAGATCAATTTATGCATTAAATGGGGAAAATACTATAAAAGTGTGAACGAGTTGAAGACTAGAATGTTGTGTTTGGTTTGGACCATTAATGAGAGAGTAGTTCTACTCCGATCGCATTCCAACATGTCTTGTCTGATTTTGATGGAAATATATATTTTTGATTTTTTGACAATCTTCTTTTTATTGATTTTTTTAAAATTTATTTTTGCATTCACTAATCGATTACATATGCTCCAAATTTTAAGATAGAGTACGAAATGTTATTAGTCTCCTAATGAAATTACTAAATTGGTTCCCCCATAAAGTTCTCTCGTCTAGCTAGTTTTGAACTTATTATTTGGATATTTCTTTATCTCAAAACAAGACGAGTTTATTTTTATTATTTTGAGATGAATATATAGATTACTATCTGTATTGTATCTGAAAATGAAATTTGAATTATCGATGTTTCTCTAATCCCTTAATCCTTTCATTTTAGTACTATATAGAAGTAGCTAGCTACTTCTACTTGTTATGGCCCATATATAGTCACTGATTAGTTACACATATACAGTAAATTAATGCTCAAATCAGCTGATCATAGAGTCAAGATTCTTGGTAGTTATTAATGATAATGGATGGCTTTAAAAACCCAAATGGGGTGCAATATCAATTTTCATATGGGATTTTGAAAATAGTTGTAAGTTCAATATATTTAATGATCAAGTTTAAATGTTTAATTCTTATTCGTAAAATTTCTGATTGTTGTTCATACTCGGCACCATCACACGATACTAGTGCAAGTATCTCCAGTCCACTATATAACAGTAAAAATTTTGTTAACTACAGTACCACATATCTGCGTTGCAAAGAAAATAATTGGATTCCACACGGCCTAGGGTTAGGTGGGTACTCCATCATGAAAAATATGGTAACGCGTTATATTATGAGGTTTTATTCCTTTCGATCTTCATCATGGTGTATATTTTATACCGGAAAGAGAATTATACATTAATTTTTATCATCTTTTTCCTTCTTACCTCTCTCCGTTTGGTAAAAGCAATGAAATAAACTCTAAAATTTCTATGTTTTACTAGTATCATGGATTATTTGAGTCTCTGGTTTATATACTTTATATATACTCCTTCTGTCCCAAAATTATTGTTCAGTTTGAGATTTCATTTTTTTAGTATAATTTGAACTATAAATAAAAATCCAAACTGAACAATAATTATGAAACGAAAGAAATACTAACCATAATCTATAAATTAATGTCCATCAGTGAACACAATATCTCATTATCATCAGCGTAACGTTTCATTCTTATTGCAATCCCATCAATTCAAAAGCTATGGCAATTTGAAAACGTAGGACAAAAAATGACAAACACAGCATTATATAATTCTCATTCTTCTTCCTCCTTCACACTTCACATCTTGCCGCACCTAGGAAGCGTAAGGCAACCGCTGAGCTGGCACAGTCATACCCTCTTCTATTCCTTCCTTTTATTTTTCATTTTCTTCGTCCTATTTAATCGTGCTTAAAATTTTGTGTATCCTATATTGGCTGCACTTGGGAGCATAGCACCCCTTCTTATTTTTTCCACTATTAGTTCGTATTATCTTTTTTCTCTCTCTTTTAAATAACTTTCTATATTTTACAAGTTTAGTACTTGTCACTTTTTTCTCCTTCTAAAAAAAAATCTCTAATCTTCAAACGAACATAATTCTCAATCCGCAAAGAATTAGAAAAAGTACCCCACATGAAATTTCTTGATTCCTCGAGATCTATCCAACAAGATCCATATTGAATTTTTTTTTTTAAGCTTAAAAATGATCAAATTTCGATGGACAAAATTAACATGGATATTCAGTTTAAAAAGATGGATAAATAATTATTTTATATTAATATTTTCTTGTAAAATTTATATCTTTCAAATCGTAAAAAATTAGAAAACAAATTATATATGAAATTTATAATACTCAATGAGATCTATCTGATAAGATCAATGTTGATTTTTTTTGAAAAATAAGAATAGTTAAAATACTCCAGACAAAAATGAAGAAAGTATCGTGTTGGATAACCGGTACAAAGATGTTGGATAACCACTTGGAAACCATTAAATAAGCGGCCTGATTCAAATTCTTTCTCACATTGGATAAGTACTAGGAAACCAATGGATAAGCAGTATAAACTAGTTGGATAATCAACATAAAAAATTAGACAATAAGTTTTACAAAAAAACAAGAAAAAGAAGGTTGGATAACCATCACCAAGAAGTTGGATAATCAGTATAAACACATTGGACACACATTTTCTCTGAAGAAAAAAAAAAGAAAAAAAATTCTGTTTGGATAAGAAGAAAAAATAATTTGATAACCAATACAAAACGGTTGGATAGTCAGTACAAACAAGCTGGACTAGAATTTTTGTAAAAAGTAAAATGAAAAGAATGGTTAGAGAAGAGGAAAAATGACTGGATAAACAGTACCATTTAGTTGGATAATTAATATTAACACATTAGACAATCACTTTTTACAAAATAAATGATTGGATAAGCAGTACAAATATAGTGGATAATCAATAAAAAAAACGCTGGATAAGTATCAAAAAAACAAATGGGTAGGTGTCTCAATTTAAATTCTCTTTGGCATTCCTTGATAGATATGGCGTACAAAGCAAGTGGATAGACTCTACCAAACCAAACTAGTTGGATAATCAGTATGAACACATTTGATAACCATTCCCTCCTTCTCCAAAAAAAAATAAATAAAAATATTTGGATAACAAACCATTTGAATAATCAGTAAAAATAATTGGGTAACTAATACAAAACGGTTGGATAATCAGTATAAAAAATTGGATGATCATTTTCATAAAAAAGCGAGAAAAAAAAAAGGTTGGATAACCATCACTAATAAGTTGGATAATCAGTATGAACATATTGGACAAATATTTTCACAAAAGAAAAAAAAAAGAGGAAAGAAATTTTGTTTGAATAAACAGTTAAAATGATGATAACCAATATAAAACGGTGGGATAGTCAGTACAAAAAACTAGACTAGGATTTTCACAAAAAATAAAAAAAAAATGATTGGATAATCTATATCGAGCAGTAGGATAATCACTATGAACACGTTGGACAATCATTTTTAAAAAAAAAAAACAAGAAAAACTACATTGGATAAACATAATTAATAAGTTGGATAACTAGTAAAAATTTATTAGACAATTATTTTCATAAAAAATAAAAAAAATAGCTGAAAAAACAATAACACGGAGTTGAATAATTAATATGAACACGTTGGGCAAACATTTTCTCAAGAGAAAAAAAATTAAAAAAAAATAATTGGCCAAGCAATACAAACTTATTTGGACATGCAGTAAAAAATTTGAATAACCAATAATTGGCCAAGCAATACAAGATGCATCCGGGTGCACCCAATAATTTGCTATTTTGTACTCTTTGTCCTTATTATAAGAGAATTTTATTTTTCATAAATTTCACCTAATATATTCTTCCAAATAAAAATAAAACATTAAAAATATTTTATAAAGATAGAAGAACATAATAAATGTGAAAATACATTTCTACGGTTTTATTTTCAATTAAAAGAACGTCATACGTAAAATTAAGTTAAATCAAAATACCTTATACTAAGGACTAGAAGGAGTACATATCACTGTTCTCTGGGCAGAAAAGTTTTTTGAAGATGTAATGTTCAGCAGTACATGGATATTTTTTCCGGAAAAATTGGTACTTCTTCTATTCCAAAAGACGTGTATAAATATTGTTTTAGCTCCATTAAATAAAATGTAAGTTACGTACAGAATATGAATATTGTTTTCTAGGATCGAATCAAATGTACCGAAGTCGGCCCTTTTATTCCAGTTCTCAATTTCAGCTAATGAAACCTAGTACTAATACACCAAGTTTTAACCTAATCTGTGCAAGAGGCCTAACATTTTGGTTGTGGTTGGAAACAGTGTCGGGACTCTTCTGGCCACTAAATATGAACTGATCTGTTTCGCTTGAGAGGGAAATAACAGCTGAAGGCTTATTTTTGCAGTGAGTCAAATGTCAATGCCTACACTTATATATGGCGCCAGGAATTTCTATAAGAGTATTATTCAAACCAAAAGGAAAAAAAATTCAACCCACTTCCAATGGTTCAGAGAAATTTCATTAGTCTTCATCACTAATAGAAACTCCACTAGTGTATACATGATGAAAACAACTTGACTCTAGGTGTACATCCATTGTGTACTCTCTTTTTTCTTTTTTTCTTGGCTTCGGAATTCAGTATTTCACATCAATTGATCTGTAGCTTCAAGAAATGCAGCAAAATCACAAAATATATATGCCGACTGATCAACATCAAAATCAAATAGGGTCACTCCAGCAAAGCTCATATATCGATCCACACAGTTCTAACTTGGGGGCAGTAATGTCCTTCCATTTTTTCACAAAGAAAGAGACATAAAGGGGGAGTATCAAACTTAGTACATTTTGAGAGTATGCTGTATCTATTACATCATGTTCATCATGTTTCAACTACGGTTTGCCTCGATGGTGAAGTCTTCAACCATTGTAATCTACCAGGGGGTTTGTACAACCAATGAAGCCATATAGTCTATTATAAAATTAGTCTCTTGGAACATGTTTGGTTTCAACAACCTAGTCTCTCTTTAACAATTTTCGGGATTCCAACTTGCTGATAGGCTTCATTCTAAGTCCAACGTGCGGGACCCAGAACCTCTTGTGAACAAATGGGAATATGGAACAAGATGGCGTTTATTTTAGGAGATGATTGTGTGTGCTAAGAATATTTGGCGGGAGAGGCCAACAAGTTTCAATTTATAACGACTTAAATGTTGTGATCCTTACGAGTTACAACATCAAACCAAAAGAAATGCGCGGGGATATTCTCTTCTCTCCATGGTATGATGTATTTCAAAAAATCAAATTTCTTAATATGTAAGCGTGAGTTATTGTAAGTACCCCATTTAGTATCAGCTCATAATCCTTTCAATAATAAAAAAAATAAATCAAATTACCATAGATTTGATATAACCAAATCCCATCCAACCCAAACACCGTCAAAAATCTCGCTCTTCTTATTCTATGCCTCGCATATTTAAGGATGTTTCAGTCGTGTGGTTGGAAACATTTTTCGGTGCGCTAGAATGGAAATGAAATAGCTGCTGACGGCTCATCTTTGACGTGTGTCAAATGTCAACATGCATAATTGATAATACTACTACATGGCCAAAGAATCAACATTCTGTATGCATAATTCAAACCCCCCAAAAAAAAACAAAAAAAAATAGCAATTCACTTCCAATGGCTCAGAGAACTTTCATTAGTCTTCATATATAGTAACTCCACATCATCACAACGACTTGACTGTAGGCGCACACCCATGGTATAAATGGCTTCAGAATTCAGTGTTTCACATTCTGTACTCCGTAGTAGCTTAAAAAATGCTGCAAAGTCAGAAATATGTCGACTTTACCAACATCAAATCAAATAGGGCATCCTAGCTAGCAAGCTCAGATCCACAGTTCTACCAGAGTGTGGATAGTTTGTTCCATACTGGGTCCAACGTGAGACCCGCCTCTCTAGTGAACCTAGGAATATAAATACTTCCAGACTTCTATATTTTCACTTTCACACCAAGGATTTCTTCAAACGCTGTCTCAAGAACTCCTTGAAATCATCTTCTGTCCGTTTTTTGCGAGGTAGAAATTGCAATTGAGAGCAGAGCACCAATACTTCATAAGGATTCAAATGTTTAAGAACTTCTGGAGACCTATCATAGTCCTGATACAAAAAAAAACAAAAGAGAAACTCAACAAGGAATGACACGACATGAACTTGTAACTATTTCAACTATCAAACACTACAAAAGGCAAAACTGAGCATCTTTCACATGCCTCATATAAAGCTTGATTAGGGTTTATCTCTCAAGTTCATATGTTGAAAGTTTTCTTTTGATGGTTCAGAACAGCAGTAGACAACAATGTTGTTAGAGTTCATGAATTCATGTCAGGCGAATACTCGGAAATCTAGGAAAAACACAATGCCGGGTCATCAATTTGATAACAAAAGAAAGATAACTACTAAAAGTTTTTTGGCCTATTAACTTTTGACAAAGGGTAATTCCAGAAGTATAGGCTCTTTAAATTTTGTAAGTTCCCCTTACCTTTTCAGTTACAACAACAACTGGCTTCACAGCAAACTTTAACTCAAGTTCTCTAAGCCTTTTCTGAAGCATACCAATATCCTGTACTCCATAAGACAGATAATAAGCAACATCAATTTCACTTCACAGGCATAAAATATGAAGAAGACATTGTAATGTAAGATTGTTCATTTAGGAAAGAACCCAAGTTTCCATGCAAAAGAGGAAAAGAAAGAATGAAGCTTTTCTCCGATTAGAATGCTGATCAATAAAGTTCAGAAACAAATGTACAAGCAAGCCAAAATAAAAGAAGACAAGAACGAATAATATACCTTGGTATCAAACAAATAATGGTCACTAAAATCCAGTCTATCAACATGTTTCGGTCCCATCTGCAATAGTACGATCCAAGCCATCTTTTAGAAGTGAAAGTAAATCATTGATGGATACTCACAAGGCCTTGAGAGGCCTCCCCGTACAATGGATGATCACGTACTTAGGTGGATGAAAATTGAATTGAAAAATACACAACCCCAGAAGCAAAAAGTAATGAGATTTTCACAAAAGTTCAAAAAGATAAATTTCAGCCCCCAACCTGCAAAACGGTCCTCACAAAGGACTCGGCAAAACCAATTGCAGAAACACATAAGAAAGTCGAATCCTTTGCTACTGTTAGTGATAATTTACAGGATGAATCAGCTGCTTTGAAGAAGAATGAAGGAACCATTTTTGTGAAAAATATAGGGAGGGACTGGTTAACTCTTCGAATGGTTGATTCAATGGCCTCAAGATCTTGTTCACCAACCTGTATCACTCTCCTGCATTAGACTCAGTTATGAATGAAGGTTATCCATTTTCACCAGATAAATGTACATGAACAAATCACAATCAAGTTTACTACCGAACAAGAGCGAAAAAGTTAAAATAATATAAGATAGAAGAAAAGTGATTCCTACCAAGTTTGCATGATGAATTACAACAATATCTGCTCTCTCCAGAGCAGTCAAAGGCTCCCTTAATGGTCCGAGAGGAAGTAGCCTCTTATTACCCCACGGCATCATAGCATTTACCATCACAATCTCCAAGTCGCGACACAAGCACACATGCTGAAATCAAACTTTAAACCTTAGTGACAAGCAAGAGCAAGTCTAACTGTAACTTTTAGATACTTTACATTTTGAATATGAGAAACTTTGTGCTATTTTGCTCAACCTAACTCGGTATCACGAAATTTTCACTTCATAGCATCGCCGTTAAATTACCAAAGATATTTACCTGCATTCCATCATCTAAGATTGCTAATCCAATTTTATCTGAGACCCTGGAGTTACTCTGAAATGCCCCTTTGAAGGATGTACTGCAACAAATATTCACACAATCATATTTAGCTGCTGTGGCAGCCCTGTTAGCACCCACACCAACTTTAGCAGAAGTCCCATGGAAATGCCGTTGAAGCATTTTGGCCTCATCTCCACTTCCATAACCCTGCAAAATAAAATGTCATGTGGAAGCAGAGTTGAAAGCCTGTCCAATGACAACGAGAGAAACTATTTGTATCTGAAATATGCATCAAATTTACAAATACACAATCAGCACAGAGAAAAGATTGAATCTGGAAACCAAGGCCAAATGTCACTAGTTCAGCAAAGCATCATTCTTCATGTGTGGAAGAACACTAGAAAAAGCTCAAATAGCACAATCTGCCAGCACAAATTGAGATTTTTCTAAAGCTGTCAACCATCAAATACACTAGAACATGGAAGAGAAAACAAGGTTCCAAATTCAAATCTATGAGCCTCCCTTACCACTGTTTAAGCATTCCCAAAAATCAGTCTCACACACGCATTTGTTTGCTTCTTCAATGAAACATTATACCAAGTATCAATTTTTACTCACCCTTATAGGTCAACCCCGAAAAGACACGCACACACACAATGAATAGAACGGAGAGAACAAAATAGAAAAATACCCGCGTTAAGATAAGAGGTGAAATGCCAGAATCAAGTAACCAACGAGCAATGAACTCCACCATTGGAGTCTTCCCATTACCTCCCCATGTCAAATTCCCAACGCTAATAACTGGCACTGGCAACCTCAACGAACCATTAGAAAGAAAAAAAAAATTATCAACAACAAAAACTACCTGAGCCCTGAGAAAAGATAAAAGCCAACAACTTCTATTTCTCTCCCAAAACACAGTCCTAATACAAAAGTTCAAACTCCACAGAATTTACGCTTCGGATTTTAGTGCAAATAATAATACCTGTGCTTGCGGAATACACCAAGGCGGTAAAGACCGCGGCGGAGAGAGATACCAAGGCCGTAGACGGAGGAAGCGAAGGAGAGGAGTGGGATGAGTGACAATTGAAAGGGAGAGAGGTTAGTGAGTCTTTCAGAAGGCGGCGTGAGGGCTATTTGGGTCACCAATCTTCGCAGCTTCTCCATTGTTTGACTCAAACACTCGAGATTCTACCAACTTGTTCCATCTCTGCTACAAATCTCGAACGTGATGATGATGAATTGATGATGAAGAAGTCTCAAAACTCAAAAGAAAATATTAAAAAAAAGAAGAAAATTTGCATCATCAGTTCCGTTTCTATTCAGTGAAATTTCGGCGCTAATCAGGACCTGGGCTTTTGTTTAATGAATTCGAGAAAGGTTTCAGTTTGGGCGGGCCTTGCCTACTTTCTTACTGGATTACGTGCCTTGCCCATGTCGTTTCAAACTCATTTCTATTCTTATTCATAATAACCAATGAAAGCGAGAGTTTTTGAAATGGATTCTCTTGAGGCAGTAGATTTCTTTGACAAAAGACAAATTAGGAAGTCCCTCCATTCCAAAATAAGTGTCGTTTTAGCAAAATGGAGAAATTCTAAAATAAGTGTCGTTCTCACATTTCAATGCACTTTTTGTCAAAAGTTTTTAAAATTACCCTCAAAAGAGTTGATGCTATTGGTGGACAATTTTATAATGGGGTTGGTTGAGGATATTCAAGTAATTTTATCACCCTATTTAAGAGTTTCTTAAACTATGTGCAAAGTGTAGGATGACACTTATTTTGGAATGGAGGAAGTAAATAGCAGCCTGTTCTTTAGAGTTAAAAATCTTTTCAACGCAACTTTCGGTTGGCTATCCGATGTCCAAATAATAAATGTCGTCGCGGATGCACTAGTAAAATTTGACCTTGATAATCTATAAAAGTGTCATATTTTATTGACACCTCTGTCTATAATTAAAAAGATAGGCTTATCCCGTTCTCTATAGGAATGTTTTGTATCTAAGCTTATGACGTCCTTTATATTAAAAAAAAAATGCAAGGTTTTCTTCTTCTTCTTCTTCTTTTTTTTTTGTTTCTTTCTTTCTTTTTTATCGTTTTCTCCCTCATGATGAGGATTTGGAGAGGGATGACTTGAGAGACTGAACGCATTTTTTTGTTATTCATACTCCGGTGCATCAAAATCTCTACTTACGTTAATTATTTTTACTTACCAACATGTTTGGCTCAATACATCCATGAGCTCTTAAAAGAACATCGATTCTTAAATCACTTAAAAGAAGGCTATTAACTTTTTCACTAGAACAAATTTCTTTTTTTAAAAAAAAAAAAAAGTTAACCTTGTATAATTTGAACAAAGTTGAGCTGGTATGATGATTTTTGTGATCATAAAAGTATTACGGCTTAATCATTGAAAAGTAAAAAAAGGACAAAATTGGAATCATAATCTGCCAGAAAACCCCACAAAATGTAGTTGCCGCTATATACGCGCCATTTTTCAAAAGCAGGCATGATGAACTAAAACATTTTTCTTTCTTTCAAGTGGTGAATTAAGCATGACCTCTTCTTTCACATGTACAATTTGTAAAGACTAAACTATTCACTTTTGGCAACGCAAATACGTAATCGGCAGTTTGAAGGCCAGATGTTCAGTATAAATCGTCCAATCCTGAAAGCGGGCAATTTTTGGTTGCTCGTTCATTTCCAAATGAATAAATAAAAAGAAAAGGGAATAATAAAAAGCATGAGGTACAACTATTTAATTAACCATTTCAGAGCTCGATTTTCATTTTGTACCAACAAAAAAAACAAAAAAAAGAGCTCGATTTTCATTTTCTATCAAATTTAATCATGGAACAGGCTACAAGTTTTATTGGCCATTTTGGCCAATTGCGAACAGCAAAACAAGAAAGTATGAAAATTAAAAAACTAAAAAAAAAAAAAAAACAAATAACATACCATCCCCTTTTCCGTCCATACTTGCTAATTAATCATATGATGACAGAACTGTGGAAGGCTTCAATCTGCTAGGCAATGATGTCTTACAGCTGGAAAATAAATTAGGAGTTCAAAGCTATAAATGTGTAACCGAGTTCGAATCTCGCCAACAGTGAATGTGTAACGGTCGAGCCCTTCCTGTTTCAAAAGGCCAAAAGTGATCAAAGGTTTGAAAAGGAAAAAAAAACCAGGTCGGCGACAACAGACAATTTGAAAATTCATAAAATCATAAGATATGTCAAGACAATATTTATGATGCTTCAAACGAAAAGCATAGTTACGTACAAACGGACGTCACTATATAACTCCTAATTGATTGATGCTTATTTACTAATCAAAAACGCTGGTATACATACACTAATATAACCATCATTTTCAACTATTCTTTTTCTTAATTAATGATCATTTGATCTCTCCGAGGTCTGAACCCAAATGGAGTCTCCAAAATGGGACCAAATCAGTCTACTCGGAGTATATCCAAATAGGGTTTATTCTTGGGTTAAAAGGTTATAAAACCATTCATGCAGTTCTAAGTTGCTTGTGCTAATCATCCTAACTTCCGAAGTATCAGTGACAGCGCCAGGTCACATGCAAGCGCGATCGCCTCTTTCCGTCCTTAATACTATAGTAGAGACATTTTTAACTTAGTCACCGTGATAATCTAGTTTGAATTTTTACTTTTAATACACTTTTTTATTATGATGTGAATTTTATTTTTTTTAATATAATTTGTAATTTACAATGTAAACTATTTTCTTGAGATTGGGAGAATGATAATTTATATTAAAAAAGAAAATCTAAATTGAATAATTATTTTAAAATAGAGGAAATACAACATTATATATTTTGATAATGTTATTGAACTTAGCCTCATCAAAATTTTAATTATGCATATAAGTTATACTCCCTATACCTAGAAAAATAGTCTACTTTGTTGTCTTGTTTTAATAATTCTACAAAATAAACTCTCTCTCTTTTTTTTTTTTTTGGCACCGTTGGATATAAAATTATTGGTTTCACCAATACCAGTTAGTATTCCCTCCGTCCCATAATTATTGTCCAGTTTGGGATTTCATTTCTAGTTCAAAGTGTATTAAAACTGAAATCTCAAACTGGACAATAATTTTGGGACGGAGGAAATACAACTTATTTGACTCTGAAAATAATAATATCGGGGTGAAAAATGAAGTTAAGACTTAAAAATACCGGACGTTTAGCTCGCTTTAGTGAAATCAGGAAATGGAAAATTTGAGTACTATGTTCCAAGAACTTGAACTCTTGAAGTTAACTAATGTGACATATGCTGAATAAATGCAGAATGTTTCTTCTGTTTGTCATTGTTCCCCAATCTGCTGGCTTTACGGTGACTACCTTTTCGACATACATCTTACAACCAACGGTGAAACGTGCATGATACTCGAGGAATCAGTAATGATATGCATCGACAAAACTATATTCAATTCATTTCGTCTTGTAATAATAATCTGTTTTTTTAATTAAATATAATAGTAAATATTAACGAGTAAATTACATATCTGAAACATATGGATTTATCAATAATCTAACAAGTTGTTTACTCATTGCCAATCGATATATTACAATGATCAAATCTTCCTCCTTGCCAGAATGATGATTAAGAAACAGATAAAATAATCTTATTTCTTGAAAAAGAATGATACATTAGTCCATGTTTCCACGATAACTCAAATATAAACCTACAATGTACATTGAGTTCAATTCATTTTCATTTGTTATAATTTTACAGATTAAAAATCTCCCATACTACAATTCTATAATATTTCTAAATGATCATATCATAATATGGTATGCATTCATTTAGATGTTATCTAAATTTTAATCATTTAACTATCAATAGACTGTTGGATAAACTTTTAAAAGTCATGTGTTCAAATTTTGACAAGTGACGTAATAAGTTGTGTAAAATTGCCAATAAAGGTTTGCCCAAGTGGTAAATGGGCATGGCATTAATTGGAAGGTTTTAAATTCAAATCCCACTTACAGCAGTTTTGTATGTTGAGCTGTGCAAGTTATCTTGTACATGCCACGAAAGCTTTCCGAGTACCATATCAAAGCGTGCGTGTGGAATCTTCCCCTTAGTAGTATTACTCCGTCCCTATAGGTTTCACCCACATGTAATAGACTAGATACTTGTAATTGTGTATAAAAGAAAAAGTTGTATAAAATTATGGTGTAGAAATATTTATAACGACAACGTCATTTTGATATCATTTGCAACAAATGTTGGTGTTGTTTGCTACTGCAACATTATATGTATTCCAAAACTGTTTAAAGATTGAACATTGTTATTCACTTGTTCTGATGTCAAAGTAGTGGCTTATCATAATATTTATTGTCATTTCCAAAAAACTTTAACAACCAGTAGATTCCAACAGGCAATAGCTAGCTGAGACAATAAATTGATGTGTCTCCCAAGCTTCCTTATGAATCCGTATAATGTGAACCATGATTTCCCAATTATAGTGTTTTTTAGTTGGCTTAAAAGTTATTGCATGTAAATCTATCAATCAAAACTACATAAGTATCACACAATACGTTTGCATTTAATCAAACCATGCAACGATGATAGTACGACGTTACCTACTAGTGTGAATCTAGCGAATTGGTCACACCAATCCCATATGCTACACGGTGACGATAGTTCAAACTTCAAGAAGGGCGATCATCCCATATGTTAGTTACACTCTGTGTCTAAGAATTTCTTTTTGACAATGATTCATAGTCCCTCCGTCCCAAAAAAAAAAAAAATAGTCCACATTAAATTTTGTACTGTTTTTAATATAAATTTGAAACCTACATTATTTTTTTTAGGATGGAGATAGTAATATATTTTGTCGCAAACTACATCGTGATTCTTTTAATCAATTATTTTGAGAAACTAATTTGGCTTGAAATTCTTTAGAGTGAATTGTTTCTTTTGATTCCTCATCCTTAGAGGTAGGTTTCATTCTTGTAATTAGCCACACAACAATTTTCAACCTAGTAAGTTGTTGTTTCCTTACCAGTCTTACAAATTCTTGTAATCTTTCTGCGTGGACTATTTTTACATTGCAAATTACTAAAGCTAAATTTGGTAATTGAATCTCAATTATGTATAGCCCTTTGTTTTTCCTACTCATTAGAAGTAAAACTTATGATGTGAGATTTTGGCTTGGGGCCAAAAGCATTTTCCCCCAACCTTCTTCGTTTATTCGCCTTGTGAGCTGCGACCCACTAGTCAAGCAACGACATTATTGAGTACTGTAAAAAGGAAAAGAAAATGAAAAAAGAAAAGCAAAATAATGTTAGTTTACTTACACTCCCAGTGGAATCGTGAATTTCACGCAGCAATTTATCACCGTTGCCTAGAGATATTTCCTACAGAGGCATTAGTGGGGATTACACGCGCTAAACCCTGAAATTCCAAAAACTGTTGGGAAATATAATAGTCCAAGTCTAGATTGACGTGACCCTGGGCAGGGGCAGACCGATGGACACGCAAACTTGTAAGGGCAAACGGGCAGCACCTAACGCCGTCTTTCTCATCCACTGACGGCGTTTCTCTCTCTATCTTTTCATTTCTGTAGAGGGCCAGACGGAGAGAGAGGTAAATTCATCTCATTTCAATTCAAAACTCACTCCAAGCCTCAGCTCCGGAGTTAGGCTTGGGCTACGAAAAGCGAGCCCCAGAGGGAAAAAGCCAGATCAAAGCACCAGATAAATAATGGAGTAAAAGAAGAGAGAGAAAAAAATACACTAGAGAGAGAAAGGAAGAAGAAAGAGAGAAGGTTTGTTTTTTTGGTTAGAGAGAGACAGAGTGTGTGTGTGTTGTGTGACTGTGTGTGTGCTTTTAGAGAGAGAAATAACAGGCGCATGACAAAGATGGGGCAGATCGTGAAGAAGAAGAAGAAAGGGAGACCTTCCAAGGCAGATCTCGCTAAACGCCGTGAGCTAGCGTCGTCTGCTCCCGGGCGTGAACTCCGGCGAAGCCATCGGCAGCGGAGCGTGAGATACACTTTCGACTTCGACGATTACCTGGACGACGACGACCTGTTCGAGGACTTCGACGAGGAGGAAGACGAGAGGCGGCGAGAGAAGAAGCTCAAGCTCTTACTCAAGCTCCAGGGTGGTGGCAAAGAGACCCCCACTGAGTCGACGACGACCCCGAGTCAGACTCGGCGCGTGTCTCACGCGCCCTCCGCATCTCAGTCTTCTTCGGGTTACGGCAGCGGGGACGGCAGCAAGCCGTCGAAGAAGAGGAAAATCCACAGAGCCGGAAGCGACGACGATGAAGGGGAGCCCCAGGAGGATGAAGATGATAATGATGACGTCGATGATGACGAAAACGAAAATGTTGAGCATGATGAGGTATAAAATTAAAACGTGGAAACCAAATTTGTTTGGATCTGAGTGAGCTACACAAGTCCTAAAAGAATTTCTAAAATTATCTGCACTATTATTCGAAAAATTGCAAGAAGAAGAAGAAGAAGAACAACGAAGCAAGTGAAGTGGGGATTGTTAGATTATCTTCGCTAATTAAAGATAATGCGAGTGAAATTACTGATGTGGGAAAGCTGCCCAGCTCAGCTCAGCTCATTGTTCTTTCATTAAGAGTTTTTCTGATTGGTCCATACCTGAGAATCACTCTAATCAGCTTTTCCTAACTTTCTCTCTCTAGACACAGAGTAAAGTATGAAATTGGAGAAATGAAATGAAATGAAGTTACTTATGAATATGTACAAGTGAGAGGATCAATGTCGGGGAGGGAGGATGGAAGGGGGTAACGGTCGGGTCAACTGTCAAAAAACTAACCCCCACAGAATCTGATCACGCTCCCACCTTTCTCTCTCTATTGGTTTCTCTCTCTCTATTTTGATAATGTAGCTCATTTGTAGAATTTGACACTCCCAAACACATTATATACTTGATTGTACTTCTCAACTTTTTATTTTTATCTCTCTCTGTCTGCTTGCCTTGTTTTCTGTCTCTGTCTTATGGTAGCCGACTTTTGTTTCGTAAGCCAAAGCGTGTAATTATTTTATGTTTGTTTCTCTAATCCGGTGCTTTTTTGTAAAGTTTAAGGTTATCTCTTGTTTGATTTTGACAGGTTGTTGATAGAAGAGGAAGAGCCACCGAGTCGAGAGATGTGGATTCTGCCCCAGGTGGGTTTTTGTGATTTTAATTAGTGGGTCAGGCTTCAATACCCAGGCGTCATCCCGTGAATTTTGGCGGTTTAACCAAGTTGGAGTGATGATTGGATTGCTTCTTATTGTTTAATCAGGGACGCCTCCATCTGGGCTGCCATTACCGGATAAGAAGATTTTGGAATTAATTTTGGACAAGCTTCAAAAGTAGGTGTCAGTGCTGGATTTGCTTTTCCTGTTTTTTGGCGGTTACGTTTGTCTTTCTTATTGCTGATGAGGTACTTTTGGCTTCCATTGGTGTTTTGCTTTTGTAATGACAGGAAGGACATTTATGGCGTCTATGCGGAGCCTGTTGATCCAGAAGAGGTTGGTTAATGAATTCTTTTTTCTTTTCCTGCTTTTTGTTTTTCCCCTCTGATGGCGGATTCTGGTGGTGACTACTGATTGGAGTTCTTCTTCCCTCTTTTCTTTGGGCGAGATTCTGATTTTGTGGGTTTTCCTTTTTAGCTACCTGATTACCATGAAGTCATTGATCATCCCATGGACTTCTCCACCATTAGGAAGAAGCTCGGAAATGGGTCATATTCAACGTTGGAACTGTTCGAAGTAAGTGCGCCTTCGTTTTTACCTGGGGGAATTTTAGTGTTTCTTCTTCTCCTCTGAATTTTCCAATAAAAAATCTTGAAATTGAGAATTGAGATTTCATCAGCTTTTTAGATGGACTGTGCCAGGGGAAAAATGAAAAAGTGAAGTACTCTGGTGCGGTTGTACTGTATCAAGTGCTACTGTGTGGTTCAGGCTGTGGGATGAAAGATGTTTATATTTTTCAATCTATACAAGAAATGGAAATGAAGTTCTTTGTTTGGTTCAAACTGTTTCAGATTTTGAGTACTTCAGTTTTGGGGCTTCCCATTTATTTTGATTATTTGTGTCATCCTTGCTTAACTGTGATGTTATGTTGCTTAGTTTATTATTTTATGCATGTTTAACTCGTTTTGTTATCTGCAATAGGCTAGCTTTACTTACTCCTTTTTTTACTCACATCTGGACAGAGTGACATATTCCTTATTTGCTCAAATGCAATGCAATACAATGCTTCGGATACCGTTTATTATAAACAGGTAATTACTCAAATCTCTGTTTGTATTCTCTTTCTGAATGACCCACGATATTTTAACAATTTCTCTGAACCGGTGAAATGATGCATCAAGCTAATGAGACGATTATTTTTGAAAGGCTCGCTCCATCCAAGAACTGGCGAAGAAAAAATTTGAGAAGCTGAGAACTGGAATTGAAAGATCTGAGGAGCTCAAGTCTGACCAGAAGATGAGAGTGAGCTCCATTATGAAGAAGCAGGTGAAGAAACCATTTAGCAGGACGTTACAGGATCCTGTAGGATCCGACTTCTCGTCTGGTGCTACTCTTGCTACTGTTGGAGACTTGCCAAACATTTCCAGTGCACCTCAGGCCGGTGGATATGAAGGGGCTAGCAGTGTTGATAGGCATGTTGAGGGAACATCCGCAGTTGATAACAATGTTGATAAAGCGGAAGAATTGCTTCCAGGTAATTTTTTCATTATCATATCTGCATTTTTAATCTGAATCCTGCCTTGTACTATTAGCTAGCAGGTCAAAAAAAACAAAAAATAAGTTTTGGCATTAAATTTTTGTATCCTTTACTTTTTGATCACTTGTCTTTTTTTACTGCTCTCAGATTTGCTAGTTAGGCTCTCAATTCCCTGGCTTTTTTTTTTGTTTTTTTGTCACAGTTGGAAAGCGATCTCTGTCTAGATTTGAAAGGAAGTCGTTCTCGTATGATGAGAACCGGCGTGGAACTTACAGTATATCTACTCAAGCAGTGGCCTATTCAGACTCTGTACTTTCGACTTTTGAAGGAGAAAGCAAGCAGCTAGTGACTGTATGTTTGTGTAAATGGAACTGCAAATGTCCTAGTCAGTCATACAGTGCTTTTTTTTTTTTTTCCTAATTTGCTTGATCTTTTTCTGATTTAGGTGGGTCTTCATACGGATAATTCTTATGCAAGGAGCCTAGCAAGATTTGCTGCAACACTTGGACCTGTTGCTTGGAGAATTGCTTCAAAAAGGATTGAACAGGTTCTGCCTTCAGGATGCAAATATGGCCGTGGATGGGTTGGTGAATATGAGCCACTTCCAACCTCTGTTCTTATACTCAATAATTGTATTGTTAAGGAACCCCCTTTCTTTAGGAAGAGGGAACGGCCTGTTGATCCCCCCAAGGGACAGAAAGTGCCTACCAAGCAAGTTTCTTCCACGCAGAATCCTGTTAGTGAACCACGCCCTGATAGATTGCGTAAGCCAGCACCTTCTCATAGGGTTGTTGAGCCGACCTTGGATAGAAAATCAGCATTTTCTGGTTCTGCTGTAATCAGGCCAACTGCCAGTTCCAGCCCGAATATCTCACTTCAAGGTAAAGAGCAAGTTAGTAGGTTTGTTGGCTCAGATGGGAAATCATCTTTCTTTGGTTCCCCGGGAGACAAAACAACCTTCTCCGCTTCCCCAGCTCTTCAGCATCAAAATTTAAAACCTAGATACTCTGAACCTCAGAAAAAGGTTACGAGACAGGTTGAATTGAATTGCCCTCCCTCAGAAAATCAAACCGGTGATTTTGTTGTAGAGAGAAAAGGTTTGAATAGTTCAGAACCACCATCTTCCAGGTCCATGGAGATGATTTCAAAGAGCAAAAATTTCTTACCTTCTGGATCTCCCAAGCAACCTAAAATCAATGGAATATCAGCTGGCGGGCTGCCTAATGGAAATGCAAACAAATTGGATAGCCATAAGATCTACGGTTTGTCATCAGATGTTGCCAAACCAGTAAGCTTCTTCCCCCGTGTGCAGGATCAGGGTCTTACTGATCCTGTCCTGTTGATGAGAATGATGGCTGAGAAGGCCCAGAATCAGCTGAACTCGTCAACTCATCCCCCTTCCGAGCCCAGTGTAGTTGCACCTCCGGCTTCATTCTCTAGAAAAGAAGATTCAGGAAATGCTTCTGCAGCTGCTGCTCGCGCATGGATGTCTATTGGGGCTGGAGGCTTTAGACAGGCTGGTGAAAATACAACCTCACAAAAGAACCAGATATCTGCTGATTCCTTGTACAACTCTGCACGTGATCTGCAACCACAACTCTCACGGTTCCGTGGGGAACCTCCATCTAATGGGATGCAGGTTCAGTCGGAGAAAAATGGCTTTGCGTTTCATCCCTTTGTGCCTCAACCTACTAGAATGGGCAATGATGCTCAGTTCCAAAACCGGCCATTGGTTTTTCCTCAGTTAGTGACTACTGACTTGTCTAGATTCCATATGCAGCAGTCTTCTTGGCAGCCTCTCAGTCCACATATGCAGCCTAGGCAGAAGCAGGAATCACTGCCTCCAGACTTGAACATTAGTTTCCAGTCATCAGGTTCACCTGGTAGACCATCTTCAAGTGTACTGGTGGATTCTCAGCAGCCAGACCTGGCTTTGCAGCTTTGAGTTGGACATGTCTGGAGCAAAATGAAGAATGTCCAATAGCTGGTTCAGGTTTTTAAACAAGTTCAGTGCTTGCTATATGATGTTGCAGTAGTTGTGGATCATTTTGCTAATATGATTCATGATTATCTACTGAGAATATCTGCAACTGAGGGGACAATCTGCAAGCTTGTAGATTGCACTTAAGAGTAGATTATGGTTAAAATATGACATCCATGCTGCCTGGGTTGGCGTTGAGATTCATTGACCTGCAATAGGTTGTATCTATATGTTTATCATGGTTAGGGGGAAGGCTTCTTGGTTGGAAGGTTGTTCTTGATAATATAGGCGTTCATTATTTATTCATCGATGGCATAAGTTAGGCAACACAGAAAGGCTGAGTTAGTGTAAATTAGGCAAGATTTCTTGGAGGAAAGATCTATTGTAATCTGGCGATGATGATTTTGTCTCTTCAGTTTCAGAATGTTTTACTTGCCTCGCGTTATTTCCACACTATCCCCAGAGATGATAAACTATTCCTATTTCAAAACAGGCAAAGGCAAAACCGAGTGGTCCGAGTCTTTCTTTTCTTTGTTGTTTCGGGATTTATATCCCCTCAACTAAACTAGATTCTGCAGGAATGAAATGAGATCAAGAAATGCTTCAGGCATGAAGGTTTTCTTTTCTTTTCCGGTACAACCAAAGAGCCTAACTAATTAGGCCGAAAGTTTGAATGTCTTGTAAGATGGGGAGGGAGACCGCTCCCTCATCAATCTAGATACCGTAATGGTTTCCGAACTAAAAATTCTATTCTCACTGCTAAAATTTACACCTACTCGCCGAAACAATACAGTTCACGACATTACAAGTGAGAAAACAAAGTGAAGATAGAACAAAGAGAAATACAAGCAAAAAATAAGGATTGCCTGTTCAACAAAACTGAAGAAGCCAGGTGGATCCACAGGACGAGAATTTCTGCCGGAACCCTCTCTCGAGATTTTCCGGAGGGCCGGGAAGATTAATGGATCACCCGAGTCCCTATGCAGTTCCATCACTGCCAAAATATGTATCTACCGCTAAATCACATCCAGGTTGTTGATCATCCCTTGGATTTTTTTCCTCGGGTGCGATGCAGAAGATGTTATGTTTTACATTCTCTGAAGAAGAACATGATCATTTTGTGCTATCCATTATTCGAAATCTCTTGAAGAAAAACAATACCATTAATAATATCTCTCTTTTGAAGCTGATCAGCGGCGCCTCATCCTGCCTCTGGTGAAACGGGCCAACGACAATCTATTTCTAAAGCTGTGCTTTCCCTTCTTCTTGGTCTTAGGATTCAGCTCCGGGGACGATTGCGGCGATGATGAAGATGTTTCCGGCTTGGGATCACGCAGAACACAAACATCACCATTACATACGTATCGGCTCGAATACTTTTCCGTTGATGACGATTCCGATTCCGAAAAGCATCTCCCGAAGTTGCGCAAAGAAATGGACATAACTTTTTTTTTTTTTTTTCTCAAGTTTCAACACTTTTGTTCTTGTGTTGATCCTCGTGGGAATGAGAAAAATGGCCCTGCCTTTTAGGGTTGCAAGGGAATGATGCACAACTTATAAAAATAGAAATATAATGGCCTTGTTTTCCTATGAAATTGATCTGAGGGAATGGTTCGCTTATAAAGAGACGAAAATGAGAGACAGCCACAAAACATTATGCCAAAAAAAAAAAAAAAAAAAAGAGAGCATTGAATTATTCATCATATATGATTATTCTAATGTACGAAACTGCCATTGCAATCGTCAAGAAAAGAGAAAAATCAAATGTGAAGTCAATTCCGCTGGCCAAAATCACACCTATGATTTTGGTTGGTCGATGCTCATTCAATTTGTTAACCAAAATCAGCCAATGCATGGCAGCTTTGACACTTGAAATCGAGATATTTAAATTTGAACCAAATGGTGCAAAACCAAACCAACAAAATGGTCCAAAAAATACACGTGTTTACCGTGGGATTGGAAATGGTAATTAACTTGGTTTGTACCTGAAAACATAAAGGGAGTTATCCCTGTGGTTTTGGTTGACCATCGATCCTTTGAAGTATTCACCAAATAATGCTTCTTATATTTTGACTTTCTGATTTTCCTTTTCAACAACCAAATTGAAAGGGTTGGTTATTTTAATTAATCGAATAATAACGTGTTCATAAGGGCTGATTCTTGTTTTCTCATGATCATCAAATGCCATAAAAAAAGGAAGCGACATTATTACGTTATAAACTTGAGCAATTAGTTAGTAGTCCTACAATTTAAGTGGTGGAAAAAAAAACATACATAGTGCAAAATATTGTGTGACGTATCTGTTGTTTCATGATTTTTTTGGGTACACTCATAGGCCATAATCCCTAAGTCATAAGAGGAACATATGATATTGAACGTCCAAATCAATTATTGTTAAAGAACAAAGCGTTAATAATTATTAGAACGAATAGCAATTAATGCTAATCTTTATTTAGAGTATTTTATGGTTCAATAGTTTTATTGTCCCAAATCCTGACCAATTAAAGATTTTTGTTCAGTGCTTAAAGCCTTAAAGCGGTTACTAATAATTACTTTATGACTTTTCCACTTAAGCAAGTTCACTTTTCACCAATAAAGGAATTGAGTTATAATTTTTTTTTATAAAAAAAATAAAATTTATATATACTTGTACTTATAAGACTTATTACAAGGGATATAAATTGATGAAATGAATCTTCTTTGCAAGAATCTCCTGGCGTATAGCATTCAAACCAAAAAGGGCAAACATAACATCCACAAAATGTCTGAGAAAAGCCCGCAATGAATTTAGGACATTTTGATCTGTCATCATTTCCTGAATTGAAGATGGAAATTATTGCAAAACCCTGAACCTTTAATCCTTGATTCTTCACCATAATAATAATATGATGTTCCCTCCTCAGTGTTAAAACTCTAATTGTCGACACGTCTAAGACCTGCGACCAAATTTCCAGAAATCCCTTCAATCTTCACACAAAAGAAAAAATAAATAAATAAATAAATAATTTATGTAGTTTCAGACCCATTTTCGTATTCTACGAGGAAAATGAACCCCGGAATTCGCATTTTCCTCAAGTACTTGGAGGAAAATCGTACTTTTAAATGACACGAATTTTTCTGGCGTTTTTCACCGGAATTCGCGATTGGCTCAAGTTTTTCGAAGAAAATTGTACCTTGAAATGACGCAAATCGGAGACGTGTACAATTGGGAAGCTGGACGATCCTCGCCGGAAACAATCAGCTGCGGCAGCGTATTTGACAGCCTGGAGTTCGAATACAAGAACTGGGCTCGGATGCCCGGAGAAGATCAAAACACCGAAGCCCATGATCGTGATTTCGGAGGCTATGGCGGTGGCTTTGCTGGGGAGGAATACGAAGGAGGAGCTGAGCCGATGATGAAAAAGGGGCCGTGGACGGCGGAGGAGGATGAGAGGCTGAAAAAGTGCGTGGAGGAACATGGGGTCGGAAATTGGATCACAATAGAGAAATGCTCTGGTTTGGGTAGGACGTCCAAGAGCTGTAGGCTCAGGTGGACTAATCATTTAAGACCTCATCTCAAGAAGGGTTCTTTTACAAGAGAAGAAGAAAGGCTTCTGGTGAAATTGCACAAAATTTATGGCAACAAATGGTCTTACATTGCCTCCAAGGTCCGCTTTTTCCTAAAAAAAATTTTATGCACATTATTTCTCTGTCCCTTGTTTTCAATAAGCTGTTTGAAATCTGTTTAAGAACTGTCTGAATCCATAGTGAATTGAATGAGTAATATAAATTGTGCATTCTTGGGTTAGGTCCTGGTGATTTGTTAGTTCAGTTCCTTGGCTGGATTCTTTAGGTAGTCCAAAGATCAATGTTTTAACTAGTTTATCTTCTTTGTGTGTGGTATTATGCTTATGCTGGTTGAGGGTACAATGCAGCTTCCAGGAAGAACAGACAATGAAGTCAAGAACTTCTGGCATGGAAGGGTCAGAAGATGCCGCAGAAAATTCCAACCCATCTACCCAGAAAACATTGAAGATAATGAATCTTGTAGAAATGGCTTTGACAGTCATGGAAAGAATCATTTCAATGATGGATATCATAGCTCCATTCCCATGGAGCATTCTGAGAGTGGCCTCCTTTTCTATTCCATCACTTCACAGTATTCGTCGCATGATGCGACATTCAAACAGCAGCAAAATGTCGTAAACAATCTTAGTCCTTCGTTCGCGTTTACATCACCTGAAGCTCAGTTCTTTTCCCAGAATCAAAGGCCTGTTTCATCCCCACATAGCCTCCCATCTTCACAACTTCCTAGCCCTACATACTACACAGCTCAATTGCCTCCATCACCCATAAGTTTGCCTTCCCATAATTGCTGCCATTCAATTCAACAATTTCGTTCAACTGAAGTGTCTGATACTACCTCGCAGAACCCTTTCGTGTCGATTCAAGAACACCCCTTGTCTTCACAACAATCGGCCTCCAGGACTGCTGGTGCCATTACATTCGCGCCTTTGAGACCGCCACCCATTCTTTCCTCTATGGCTGGTCGACTAAAAAGATCCAGAAGCACCTTTAATCCACAGTCTTCTCCAAGTACAATTACTCAATTCTCAGGTCCTGAACAAGGAAGTCAAATCTCAGCCTCAGGATCTTCAATCACTTCCCAGAAAATGAATGTCGCATCCCAGATTCCTCAAACCTTTACTCAGTTACATTCTCCTAAGCTGCTTAAATCTGTAGAACAGCCTTTAACATCTTTTGAAAAATTGCAAAATTCATCCATGCCATCTGATGTTTGTTCTTCAAATCTGAATTCATTGACAACGCATCCAGGTTCGTGTCTCCATAAGAGTCAGTCTGCACCATCTTTTGTATTTCCCGAGGCACGGGATTCTTTTCTTTTTGAGCCCCCTTCAGTCCAAACTCCCACATCTGCCTATAGACCTATCCCTGAAATGAAGAATAATCTCCAGGGAACAGATGTTGGAATACTGGATGCTCAATCTCAAGAAGCCAAAGCTAAGGCAGATATCTTGAGTCAGAAATCGCTCGAGGAACAGTATGTTGATCAAAGCCTGAGCCTAAAACGAGACCTGGCTGGAAAAATGTTAGAGAATGAAACATTTCAGGAAAATGTATTTCACCACAGCTCAAAGCCAGGAGGTAATTGTGGTGAAAATACAAGAATGTCAAATAACCGAGACTTGGTGAACCAAAGGTCAGGTAAGAAATCTTCACACAAAAAATGCTTGAAATTCGGAGGATTCGAGGGAAAAATATCCAGAAGAGAAGGTTTATTGAGTGAGATCTCAAAAACTGGAGTTTTGCTGGTGGAAAGGGGAAAGAAAGAGACAGTGTTGCAGGGACTCTTAGACAAAGGTTCAAGACAGGGAGCTTCAACTAGCAATAGGTCAAAGACAGAAGAAGTTTTGCTGGCAGAAATCTCCAACAGAGGGGACCCTTTTGGCCAAAATTATATCACAAATAATTTCCAGGGTGAAATGTACAACAGAAAACATAATATCAATCAACAATTAGAGAAAGATTTGTCAATCAATGATCAACAATACGAAAACTTGGCGTGTTTTACTCAAAACATCGAAGAGACTTTCTTTGGTATTAGCTCAAGGAGGTCATTTTCATTGGACTTACAGAATCAAAAATGTGATCAGAATGCATTTGGTCGTGCTTCTCACGCCGTCTCAGGGAGAGATGATCTGTTGGCTTTAGGGGGACAAGATGATGAATTTAGGACACTTTACCAAAAATCTATCCATAATAGTGAAATACCTTTTACAGAATCCAGTGATGGGAGAGAAACCTGGAAGATCCTGAGTGATAACATGGCGGAAGGATGTCCAGACACTTTCAAATGTGAATCTTTGTCACATCAGGCACAAAATGGTCCTTTTATAGGTGAAGATTCACTTGCCAATAATGCATCGTTAGATCAGCAGGAAATCTTACACAACCCAACCTTGAGCCTCGCCCAATGTCCTACAATATGGACCTCCGTTCAACTATGTGGAGAGGATTTCTTCGAAACAGATTTAAGTAAAGAAATTCCATCTGGGAGAAGCTTCGAAAATAACATTTCTCCTGACAATGGCTCAGGAGAAAGATTCCAATCAGAAAACTCAGCTGATAGAACGATCCCATCGCAGGAGCTTTGCATGAGTGAGTTTGTTTCATCAACTCTCAGAAGCACCGGAGCCCACCAGCTGACAGATAGTATACATTGTACTGAGACTGGCTCTGGCCAGTGCTATGAGGGTGAGTTCCAAATGAATACCTTAGTTCCATTTTGATCAAGGCTATTCTGTTATTATTATTCCCTCCATCCCAAAATAATCTATCTGTTTGTTATACTCCCTCCGTCCCATAATTATTGTCCACTTTGCCCAAAAAATTTGTCTCAAAATTATTGTCCAATTTGACTTTTTATGGATCAAGTTACACATTTGTCCTTTGTAAAAAACATTATCCAGAAAATCTTAGTGGTTAAACAATTACTTATGTAGGGGTATATACGGTTATTTTAGGTAAAATATAGTTAAGTTTGACCAAAAATAAAATTTTTCATTTTAGTAAAACTGGACAATAATTATGGAACGGAGGGAGTACTAAATTTTGGGACAAAGGGAGTATATCTATTCATTAGCTGAGATCTAAATTGTGTTTCTATGCAATTTTATCAGTTAACTATTCTTCTTATGATAAAGCTTACATTCCTTTTTTTCCCTAAATCTTCAGAACCAACGACGAAGGAAAAAATGGAGGAAACTTGTGACATCCCGGCAGAAGACATGTCTGACTTTCTTGAGTTTTGTCCAACCAACTTACCTGATTGGTATGACAGCAATAGCTGTGAAAACTCTAGCATATTAGACATGATTTTTGGGCTTGAAATGAGTTACAATCAGGCTATTGATGAAATAGAATATGAATGAGGCGTGCCGAGCCAGAAATTGATTGCAACCGCCACTATTCTTGCTTAAACCGGTTTTAAAAGATCAAGAAACATTTGCGTTTCAGTTGAAATGCAAAAGCATGAAATTCTTGAACTGTAGAGGATCTTGTTTAGCGTCAGGGTTTGAATGTAGATCAGCTTCTTTGAGAATCGAGAAAAGCTGGACTTATTTAAGGGCTAGCACAGTCCGAGGATGATCAAATTCATCTGTAATATTGCCTTGCATCGATTGACTCTGTAACAGCTGAAATCATTCGTTGCAGCCGATAAAAAATATATACTCCCTCCGTCCCATAATTATTGTCCAATTTGAGTTTTCATTTTTAGTTCAAGTTATACTAAAAGTGAAATCTCAAATTGGACAATAATTTTGAGACAGAGGGAGTATATATATATATTCTCCGACATTTTGGCAATGACAATGTAGAGCTCGGAACTTCAGGCAATAGCAACTAATAGTTCCAATTCTTAGATCTCCAGCTGAGGCATTCCTGTTTTAGAACGGGTAATCATCTATGTTCCACAGTATGTTCTACAGTAGAACTTCAAAATGTATGCAACGGATTGCCCAAATGAAAGGAGCATATTCATTGATCACATAATTTTCCCCCAGAATGTCTGAGCTGCAAACTGTATTTAACTTTTATTCTGATGTTTTTTGAAGAAATAATGTAGATGAAGCCAGAAAGGAAAGCACGGAAGTAGTGTTATTTTGAGAAACAAATCAATCACATTAATTCTCTTGCTTAAGAATATATATCCGTACTCTGACTTCTCAAGTTATATAGTTCTCTTGCTTAAGAATATATCCGTACTCTGACCTTTCAAGTTATATAGTTCAGAAAGCAGACTTGAAGAAAATCCACTGCTTGGGACGACAACAGGTGAGAAATCGATTGAAGCTAAGAGATTTTTCTGCCCTTTTCAGCATTGGGGAGAATAAGATAATATATAACACAAATAAGCAAACAATTAATCACCAGATGTAGCACTGAGAAAACAAATCTTATTAAGCAACTGGAAATTGTATTTGAAATAAGTAGATCAATTCATGTCCAGGAGAAAACAAGTTAGGAAATTGTTTCATAGACGGAGCATAGCTGAGGGCTATTTACAAGTTCGTCTGAGATATATGTACTTTAGGTAAACATATCTTCCACTTCAGCAGCTTCCAAAAGCATTCTCGCCACTGTAAGTCATGTAGAGGAAGCCGTCTTCATCTTTGTTCTCCTCATAAATAGCAGACATCATAGCAGCTGAACAACAGTAATGCGTCGTCAGATTTAAAAAATAAACAAACGACAAGAGCTCTTATATTCTACTGTCTTTCCAGGTTTCAATTATTTACAATTGACAGTTTTGTCATAGATGAGAAAATGAATATAGTTGGATAAGAGAAATCTTCCTTACCAGTGGGTGGAAGAACATTCTTGACAAAAATAAATATGGCCTTCTCTGCACTGAGCTTAATCCTCTTTCGGACAACATAGACAAATTGCCCAACTGTGAGATCAGCAGGAACCAAATACCTACAACATCATCATACAAGTCAGACAATAAACTCGATGCAGAATGAAAGGAAGCAAAGAGAGCAAAAAGTTGAAACATTTTTTTGAAGACAGGATTTACAACCATGTAAGCAAAGTGACAAGGTTATAAACTTGAGTGCCCATTCAAATAAAAGAAACATCAAAACAACCTTTATGTAGTACTTCCATTGCAACAACAGGTTCTCCAAATAAATAATGTTCCCAACAACTTAGATTTAATCATAACACAGATAAACTCGGTTTCCTTATTTGGGCCAAATATTGAATAAGAAAGGATAACACATCCATCTAGCAAATAATGATAGTTAAAAGATATAGAATGGACTAACTTCTTCTTGTCGATATCAGGGATGTCACTTTTCTCAGCCTTCTCCACAATGACCTACATCCAACACAAAATAAAAGCAATAAGAAACTGTTAGGGAGAAGCATGCACAAAGGGAGGTCTTGCAAAACAAAAAGGAATGAACTTTCTTACCGGGATTCTATCAGGATACTTCTCCCTGATACGAGCAGCCTCCGCCTGTCGTCTTTCTGAAAAATTTCAACAAACAAATAATACATTAATAACTTGAAAAGGACCGAGAAAGGAGAATGCATTAAAGCAGCTTTTCAGCTAATATACAAGCATAACAGCTTAAACATCAAACCGAAAGTGAAGCCACCCATCAAACATAGATTATATAAAGCATAATTGAAACATGATACAAATGTCATGAATTCTAACTGGCATATATATATGGGATACAAAAAAATTGCCTTCATCCAAAATCACAAATTTCATATCAAACGTTACAATGGACAAGCAAAAGAACAACAGGACCATCGTTATAGCGAACAGCAACAAACAAATAAACCCAAAAGGCTGATCTTTACAAAAGAAACAAGAGGAATAGCAAATATCGTTCTTGATCTTGACTAATATTCCCATATTTTAACGACAAGAACATCAAAATTAACATCTTGATTGATCAATCATTATCAAAAACCCAAACGATCATAAAAAACCCTAGGTATTGCAGCAATTCACAAAACCAATAGATAATAATCAAATAGCCAAATCGATGCAAAACCCATCATCAGATCATACTAATTAATACAGAAAACAAAACAAATAAAAAAAAAAAAAAAACAAAACGAGAACTACATAAAATTCTGGGAAAAGGAAAAAGCAATTGAGGAAACTGACCAAGGGGGTGTTCAAGCTTGAAGGAACTCTTGGCCATGATCACGATCGGATTCCAATCCGCAACTGTAAAATCAGGGATTAGGGTTTTCAAGGATTAGCACAATTGAATCCGAATAAAAAGGACAGGGAAGAAACTTCGCCTACCTCTCAAAGGCAAAGGGGGCGCAAAGATAACGCTTTTTTGATGCTGATCAACATCATTACTCCTATTTATATGCAGAAGATCACGTCATAATGACCGCTTCGTCCGTGTGTCGGTTAAACAAAGCCCATTTTGATGCGTCGTCGTTTCGGTATGTTCTCACCATTATTCAATTACAAAAACAATTATAAATGTTTGAGAATTCTAAACTTGCTCCGCAAAAAAAGAATCCTAAACTTCAAGGAAAACATCAAGTAATATAAATTATTTATTGCTCTTGTGTTCTTGCAAATTACAGCAGCATATAGTACGTTTTTATTTTTTTATTTTTATAATTTATAGAGTAACCAAATGACTTTTCGGATGGAAAATATATACGACGTTATTAGAGGAAAAAATAAGTGAAAGTATTGTTATCCAAAAAAAAAAAAAAAGTTATAGGGAGTAATTATACAACGAACATTGAAAGGATATAGGAAAAGGTTTCAATTGGAGTGTAAACTATGATTGTCGGATCGGAATCACACTAAATTAACAAGGCACTACGGTGTCGCCAACACGATGACGATACTTTGGTTTAGTTTAAATTTCAGTATTCCATAGTAAATACTCCCTCTGTCCCAAAATTATTGTCTTGTTTGAGATTTCACTTTTAGTACAATGTATACTAGAAATGAAAATCTAAACTGGACAATAATTATGGGACGAAGGGAGTAATAAAATTATTATAGGAATTGAATTGTAATGGTACTTAGGTTTCTGCTTCTTGGTGATTAGATACCCACAAACACGAGCATGCAATTTTCAAATGTTTAGAATATCAAGGAACATTAGAATGTTGAAACGGCCCAATGTATCCGAATGATTAGTACTTTGTCAATAATCTCGTTAGTTTGAATTTCAATTTGTTAGTAGTTAATGATATTCCTACTACAGACCTTAGTCTCTTTTATTGTATCGTAACGAAAAAAAAAAAAACAGTTTAAGCATTGATAATACTTTGCAGGTGACCAAAGTTGTATATGTCGTTTTTCCGCTTGAACTCCTTTTTTGCAACTGATTTAGATTCCAGAACACAAGTACGAGGAGGAATCCCATTGCATTTCTGATCTTAATACAGAAGTTAAAAGGCTTGTTCTTCACTAAAGTGTTGTTTCCATTATACTACCAAATATAACAATCCGTCCGAATGATCTTCGAGTTTTTGGCAGTTCATACATCATTCCTTAATTGACAAATGTTAAGCAGACAAAAAATGATCTTGGGAGGGGTACTTCAATTCTGTTCTTCCTCAGTAGCTTCCTTAGATTGAATGATGGGAGGATCAAATCTACTGAAGAGCCTGTAAGCTGATATAACTGCTAGAAGTAGAAAACAACAAAGGGCCACAACTTGTAACCCTATAATCAGCTTCAATCTGTTGCAAAACTTTCCATATGAACTACAAGCTTCACTCCATGTTACTTTCTGATCTCCATTTTTGGCCAAGTAGAGTATCTCCCCTAATGCAGCCATTGAAGTAACCATTAAGTATGCCATCACCTGGACCAAAAACAATAAACCCCAAAGCTAAATAAGTCAGGTGTACCAGTATATTTATTGCATTTGTTCCAACATAAGTAGCTGTGCACCATGTTCTTAAATTACTAGGATACCCAACATCAGTCACTAAATCATTTATCCGACCACTTGTTAGTCATCATTGGTTGGTTAGATCGTATACTTTCTCCTTTTTAATGTTCATCGTGTAACCAACACATCGAAAATTGCTGATTGGTTTATTCATTTGGCAAGAGCGAAAACTTTGTTTAAGTTTTGTATAATAATTCGGTTAAGTAAAAAGTTTGACAAAACTAACAAGGGAATGAAGATGTTTTAAAGTTTCGAATGATACACAGACAAATGGAGTAACGACTCTTTATCCCACTCCTGTGGAATTGGAGTTGACCATGTTATGTTCAAACTGCTAGTAGGATACACAGACACAAATGGAAATAGTACATGCAAATTTAATGCAATTAAATTCCAGAAACCATACTCCAGTTGTTGAATTTCAGAAATTTATTGCCTGTAACCAAATTTCACCAAACTCCTATCCCATCATAATGGTCCATACTCCATACATCCCACATAATAGAAGAGATTAATAACCCAAACAAAAAACCTTAATTCTACAAATTAATGTACGAAAAACAAATATGTTGGATGTGATTGGTAAGAAGGAGAGTTTGAGAAAGGTATATTGACCTGATCCGAGACGAAAAAGATCCAAGCTTGAGCAACTAAACATCTGACCCACAAAGAAATGGCTGCTAACAAAGCATAAACAGTCGAGACTACACTGATGTAAACCATGTACCTGTGCCAAAAATTTCATTTGTTTTCAGCATGAACATCATTTGGATGTTAAGATATTCAAAGAAAAAAGTGTAACAAAAGTTTAAAAAGAAGAAGATGTGATTCTTCTTACTTGAATCCAGTGAAGTGGCTAGAAACAACTTTGCCATAGCTGCTATTCTCTTGATTGTTCGTCAGAGTTAGCCACAAGGCAGCAATGCTGAAAGGCAGAAGAAACAACCTCAGCCCACAATCAATGGCTTTGAGCCCAGATACATTTTCTTCAAGAATCCCCATTTTCAGTTGCAGAACAACTGGAACAAAAGCCTCTGTTATGAGCACAAAAACAGAGAAGAAGAAAGAAAGCAGGAGCTATGTGAATGAGTTAATCATGGGAACTGAGTTATATATTTATGTAGGCAAAAAAGTGACAAAATTTTTCTGACTTTTTCTCCTATCTTTTGGATTAGATTAAACGGAGGGAAGACAAGTAGCGGATTGGTGTTGTTGTGTTTCCCTTTTTTCCCGTCAGTGGAAAGAAAGAGAAGCAGTGGAGAGGGGCTTTTCAGCAGAAGAATTATGAACTTAATAAGCATAATTGGTAGTTGGTTTTGGTTATGTTATCTGCCCACAATTGGCTATCATTGATGTCTTCACACGGCATCCAAAGGGTTCGCTGTTACAAGTTTATAACTACTACTGTAAGTCTGTAACAGTGCAAAATCGAAAATATTTTACAAAAAAAAATGATTTCTTTTCTGCTGCTCTGTTGAATTGTGTACTCTTCTATATTGTTCTGTTTTGCCTTTTTGTTAAGATTAACTTGTGGATCACACGTGGAGGGAAATAAGTGGTACATTTGGGAACAAAGAAATTCCAAGCCTGATGAAATGATGGCTTAGAGTAGATGAAAAACTACTTTATGAGCAACAAACGGCCCCCTTTAGCGTCATTAGCCCTTCAGCTTTCAAGTAGTTGAATTATTACTTCCAACAAATGAATTTTGGGTTCATACCTGTTTCACATTTAGTAGTTTAACCTCAAGTATTAGGTCTGTCAAAAAATGTTGCTAAATCAGATTTGCAAGATGTTGAAATCAGCATGACTTGCGTACTACATCAGCTCAACCACATGCCTAAATTCTGACATGGGCTATCATCAATTCAATCACATGTGAGCATTTTCAATTAGGCCAGCAGAAAAAAAAAAAAGAGGAAGAAATGAATGCAAGAAACTGGTTGATCAATGGCACCATTAAAGGCTCTGTAAGAATAATATTGTAAATAAACAACATTACATTTGATAGCTGCTGAAGTGCTACAAAGATTTATTTGAGTAGCAGCAAATGGAATTTTTCTGTTGTTCATTTAGCAACTATGAGAGGTTGCCTGCAATAAATTTCCTATTGGCAATACTACAAAGATTCTTCTCCTGAACAAAAAAGGAGCCGATTCCCTATCTACGGGGCGACTATAAACCCCCGAAAAGAAAATGAAAAGGGAACTTGAACTATCTCTCTCGAGCTTTACAGATTCATATATTAGTTACATTTACCTGAAACAGTATCTACACTACAAGCCTAACTCAATGCAAGCATACTCCAGAGTTTGGAAGACATGCTTGGCTCCTCATCAAAATGAAGCAGACCAAAGAGCATTTTCGCCCTCCCCGCATCTGCGATGTACCTCCTTGATCCTGTCGACTGAATTGCAAATTCCACTGCATCTCCAGTCAAATGATGCAACACAAATGTTGCCTGCCTGAGCCTTCCACTCACAATCTGCGGAAACATAAACAGAGGATGTCATATTAATCAACCGGGCAGAGAGCCGCTCAGCTTTACTTTTCTCTTCTGGATGCATGGATGTACGTACGAGTTAAGAAAAGCAGATGGGCAGCTGATCAGCTTATTTATAAACAGCACAACCATGTCAATACAGTTCATAATTTGTTTTACTTATAACCGTCTACCAGAACAGCTGACCATTTCAAAGGTCAATTCCTAAAAGCTACCATGCATAGTTCAGATGACATAGATTAAGTCACCAACCAACATAATTGAAGAAACTTCTCCAACATTTGATTGATCAGAAATTTACAAGAGGACGTTAAGACCTCACCAGGTGGAGTTCCGCAGCATAATCTCCGATCATCTATGTGTTCCACATCCAAACCAATAAACCAGGATCCCAGTGAAACATCCTCATTGGCATACTTATGAAGCACATGTCTTGCATGAAAGCAATAGACAGTTACCATAAGAAGACTTCATAAACAGGAGAGGAGAGGTTGATTGAGGGAATTGTAATATCAATAGAGTAAAGTTATAGTACTTACTGATTGATAGAAATATAGGTCGCCAAATCTTTAGAAATAGCATATAGCTGACCAGTAGCATGACGGAAATACTTGTTTCCATCCTCCCCAAACTTCCAATGCTCAGGTTCATGATATCTCACTCCCCTGAAGAAGGCAACTAAGTCATAAGAAAGATGCAGAAGTAATATTTTGAACATGATCATCAATACTAGTTCTAGTATAAAGAGAAGATCTGGTAAAAATGCATACTTCTGAGAAAGAACAGGCCCGGATTTCATGCACCCTATATACACTCTGGGTTTTGAACGATGTCTGGATAGAGTTGCTCCAAGGGTTCCTGCAGTTATGGACAGTATTATAGCGATTTCAAAAAGTCAAAGGTGAAATCTTCATAGCAGAATTATCCAAGCATATAATTTGCTTCATGTAAAAAAGATGTCAACTTTGTCCAACAAGTTTCTACACAAACAAGTAGAAGAAGGTTGATCTTTTACCTATATTAACATGAACATCGTCATCAACTTTAACATAAAAGTCTGCATCCCACAATGCAACTGCTGTAGTGAAATATGTCTTGGTTTTCGCAGATAGTTCAAGGTAGCCTTCAACATGTTCCTGTAGAAGCATGAACAAGGAAGGCTCCATTAGCTTCATATCACCTTTGCATTGGTTAACAATTAAAAGAATCTACAAGATACATTGAGGAAAAGACATGCTGAAGGCACGGACTCCACAACATAGTCATGTAATTCCGAAAGAGCAAAACTTAAATGAAGAAAATTGAACTCACCAGCCTCAAGATGTCCCCATGTTTCTTGTCTTCTGCTTCTATAGCTCTATCAAGGATACCACCAGATGTAGCACTGGAGGAAAGAAAACAAAATTTTAACGACAAACAATTATAAGACGGTGATTCTTGTTCTAGAGTAGGATACTGAAACAAAATGGTAGAAGGGGAAATTCATGAAACTGTATGAAACAAACAAAATGTGTACCGTATGACGAAACAAGTAAGCATTATAAAAATAATCCAAAAATATTATACTCTCACTCACCTGTGACCTATAACAAAACGAATAATGATGCCCTTCTCTTCCTCAAGCTTCTTTCGGTTCTCGCCTGTTTTGTCAGTGTTAATTAAAGATCAGTGCACACAACGAAGAAAATGGATGAAGATTAACCTCTATTTAACATTTAAGAACCTTGTGGCATCCATGTGGCTCGGATAGAATCTCTTCTCTTCCTGCTGCTGAAAGCTGTATTAATGCCTACAACCATTAGATATTTCCTTTTTTTGGCCAACTCTGGCATCCTCAGGTCTTCAGATAAAGGAGAGCCAGTAAGCAGAGAATCTTGCAAAGCCCTTGCAGCAGCTAATTCCATCTCCAAATTTGAAATAGTTTTATCAAGTGTTCTGAAAATCGGCATGAAGCTATTAGTTATTGTATTATGCATCTACAAAATATTGATGAAATTCAACGGAAACAAGGGCAGGAGCTCACTGTATGGCATGATGTGTCTTTGAAACTTCTCCAAGAATATTATGGGATTTTGTTTCAGTATTCTGATGGGAAACAACAAGAGAAATACTGAATTAATTCAATGTGCTAACAAATCAACCAGCACAGTTCTGGAGGGTAACTTTTCTCGTTAATAGCTCTTAATGACAGAAACAGACCATTAAACCAGAAAGAAAGGGGTGAAATTTAGTCTCCGGGTACTTACATCTTTGGATTCACAGTCCGCAACAAGCTTTAACTTCTTGTCTTCAGCTGATGGTGTTCTTGTTGTACCGTTTGCATCTGGTACTTCCCACATTCTACAATGCCATTGGCTTAATTAGTGTAACTTTTAAATCCCAATTTCAGGAAAAGAAATATTGTTCACAATTACAAAGCAGCTCAGCAGACTGAAGCAAGAAAATGGGTAAAACTCAAACATGGACGCTTCAGAAATCATCCATTGATGGGATAACCTTTGTGTAAAATGCTGTAGTGCGTTTGTCAAACAAAAAATTGGATGAGTTCAATGTTGTGGATCCCCATAGCACTACCCAAAGCGGCTAACATAACAATGATGATACAGAAACCCAAATTTAACAACTGATTGTATTCTAGAACACATGAAACAAACCACTGATGCCGTTGCAATAGGCCCAACAAGTACTATTATGCAAAAACCCCCTATTTGAGCAATGAAGGCTTTCTGGAGGCAAACTGAAATTTAACATAAAAGAACCATCTTTAAAAAAATGAAAACAAAAAGGACAAGAAACATTAAAGTCCAAAGGACGGAAGGATCTCATTAAAAACATGTGTTGCAAACGGTGGTATCTGGATAAGAAATCTAGAAAACTAGCAAAATATTTTTGACAGGGGGAATTTAGGATCAAAGACTACTACTTTCAAAGAAAATCAAACACCCAAATATACAAAATTTTCCAAATTCACCCCGAAAATTCAGATTCGTTCCGGTGATTCTGACAGTAAGCTATACAAGGAATGGACTTAGAAATTCAGAAAAAAAAAAAAGATGCAGAAAACAAACCTGTCGGTGAATAGCATCCCAGCACAAAAACATCCAATACAAAGCAAAATGGTCAGTTTTTGGGATAAAACCCCCTTTGAGCTGGACTCCAATCCTCTGTTCTTCCAAGACATTACTATTTACTAAAACTCACTCCCCAAAATTTAACAAAATCCCAATTCAATTCTCAACTAAAAGAACTGCTGCAAAACACTCAATTCCACACCAAAAAAGTTTGAGCCTTTCCCCTCTTTAGTTTCCACAAAAATTGAACTGGGTCTCTGCGTCACTAAAATGCGACCACTTGGGACACCACCAAATAATTCTTTCTCTTTTCTCTTCTTTTTTTTTTCTCAGTAAAGAAAAGAGGGATCAGGCAATTGTTCTGCCTTCAAGAACGTGTCCAACTAAACTTGTTTCGAGTCTTTTTGACTTTTGATGAATATTGAGCTTCAAATGAAGAAGCTACAGAATTTCATACAACAAATAAATAATAAATCACATAAAATACAGGTGGAGCAGAAATGTAGTTGAGGTGGGGTGGTGGGTTGGAGTAGAAGAATAGAGGCATTCCAACAAAAGGTGTACTGGGAGCTATTGGTGGTTTTCAATACTTTAGCAGTAAGGCTATTTTTTTACCTTTGCTAGCCTCCATTGTTGAAGCATTATTTTTTTTTTTAATCTCCATGTCGGTGAAGAGGTGGGGTGACTTTGCTTTGGCTTTGTTCTTGGGAAAATGCTGTTTTTCTATATGAAAAAATAAATTAGAAAATGGTGTTTTATTTTCTGTCCTTTATTTTTTGGAATATAATGACGTAATTGTCCTTCTGTTGGTTTTACTTTTACCAAGGCTGGTCAACTGTTGCCCCCTATTGTGGGTTGACTATTTGTCAAATGGAATATTTTTCTTTCTTAAAAAAAAGTAATTCACATCAAGTATAATTTTCTCTTGTGCCTCCATTTCAAATGAGTTTTGGGAGCTTTAAAAATTGCATCATACTCGTATAATTTGGCCCTGTATTCTCAACCTCACGATAAAGAGTCGGGTGATTACTATTAACGTAGCAAAACTACTGATTATAAGACACATCGATATTATCTTCTCTTATCCGTAAGTTTGACCCTCATTATAATATATCTCAAATGCATCAAATAGATGTCAATTTCAAAAATAAAAAAGTTTTTGGGCGTGTTTTATTTATTTATTTATTTATTTTTTTGAAGCATGATACAGTAGTTGGAAACTTGGAGTGTTAACCACATGATACTATAAAGCTAAATGTCAAGTAAATCACAGTTACTAACGTATCATACAGTCACAAATAAAATTGGTTAGAAAACTCAAATTTAACTCATTTACGACTGTGTAATTTGTATCATGTTTGAACGGTAACAACTAATACTCATAATCATAGTTTTTTTTTTTTTGCTTTGAGTCGATTGAGAGATGAACATATAAGTACAGATTGTCCAACCATGCATGACAACTTTTACTTTGGGAAAGAGATTAAAGTGTTCATGCAATGATTATCAGTGTAATTGTGATAAATGATTAGATGGGCTGATCTAGTATGCTTCTAGATGAGGGAAAATGAAAAGAGTAATCTTTTGATGCCTTTTTCACTTAGTATTGTGGCATTGTTGGAATTATAACTCCAAAGGTAAAAAATAGTGTACATGAAATACCCGAAGCCGAAGTCCAAAAGTTGGATTTACTTTTATTATTGTTTGAAGGGTATTGGACACACATTATGAAATTGCAACCAAATGGGGTAGACCATTTACGAGTGTTGGCTAAAATGAGGACATTTAAGGAGAAAGACAATGGCGTATTTATTCATTCTTTGTCCTTTTAGAATGTGTGGATCTTAAAATTAGTGTCATATTTATTATATTAAAAATAATCTAAAAAGAACTTGATGCATAAAATTTATTATTCGGACTAAATATACCGGGCGTGATGATTAAAAAAGTAATATAATAATGCATTTTTATTTAGTTGACGAAACAGAAATTAATACATTTACTAATAAATAGTGTTACTAACTCTTAATCATTTCTGAAACTTTTGGTGAGATCACTGAGTCTGGACTCTGGAGTGTACAATGATGAGTTGTAGTACACATGACGCACGAGCAAGTAACATGGATACTCCCCTTCATTCTTCTAGTCCTGCCTTATTTTTTAATGTTGAAAAGCCATCTTCAATTTCAAGTATTTAAAAACCACTTGCCAATTTGCCATCCTAATTTCCCACCGTTAGATATACTCCTTCCGTTTCAATTTATAGGTCGTTTTAGATTTAGAGAGATTTTTTAAAATATAGGTCGTTTTAAAAATTTTAAGCAAAATAATGACTATTTTTTCAATTTTATCCTCAATAAATGATACTAATTTATGTTTATTTAGTCTTGTTTATATTTTTAATGTAATTAATGAGGGATAAAATAAATATTTAACAATTAAATTAATTATTAAATGATTGTTTTTTTAGTTTACGTGTCAAATCTAAAAAGACTTACATTTTGAAATGAAGGGAGTAGCTGTTTATTCTAACCACCCCATATTCCTATTATTGCTTCAATTGAAAATTTTGAACAACATTAAAGTATTATTTCTTTCGGAAATTAAATGACAGTCTAGTGGTTAGGTTGTTGTCCTTCCTGATAATAGACCAGGTTCGATTCTAACTAGGGGTGGTAAGGGGAGGGGTTTTACCCACATTTAAGTGATGTCTACTAGAGTGGATTTTTTTTAAAAAAAATATTTTTTCTTATGTCTCAAAATATGTTGTTCATCAAACATTCAGCTATGATGATTCGCCAGTAAAGTTTAAGTCGGTACATACACGATCCAAATAAAGTTTAACACTTTTCATTAAGTTCGTAAAGAAAGCCAATTCAAGAGCGATTAAATTATTTTCACGACCTAAATATCCGAGACTATATCTGATGTATACACCGAAATATATCTAATTATGTATTTTTGTTAGACAATTGGCTTTACTGGCCATGATCATCAATTAGTTAAAAGAGGCGATCGACATTATTGAATGCCTAGCTCCAGAGATTCTGGGCCATTGAGGTATTCAAAGAATTCCCAACTTTTTACCTAATGTCCTAACTCCATTTTAGAATGACACTTTTTACTTAATTTCTTTTGAGGGTACATTTGAAAATTTTTGACAAAAAATACATTAGAATCCGAAAACGGCTTATTTTAGAATTTTTTTATTTTGCTAAAACGACACTTATTTTGAAACGTAGGGAATACCTTTAAATAGTGGCAAACATGAATTCACCATAAATTGGAGAAATTGAAATGGCACCCAGCCGCAACAAACCAGGTTTGATCTGTTTGGAATCTTTGGGAGCAAATTTCTTCCAACTGTAGCCTGGGTAGGTTGAGGCAGTTGTTGCCCTTTAGCCTTCACAGTTGGGAATCATACAACTTGGACAGTGACTTCTACCTCTCCGTGCTAACTATATGTATGGACTCAATTAAATCACACATAAATGAAGTATCAACTTCTCCTCGGACTCATTGCAAAACTAGCTAGTTCGGATGTGTTTTTAATGCACAACATAATTATAGGGTTGTTGATGATGATGATGCATTCATTTACAACTAGAACGGCCTGAATTTAATTCTCAAACTTATACTCCCTCCGTCCCAAAATTATTATCCCGTCTGTATTTTTATTCTTAGTTTAAATTATATACTAAAAAATGAAATCTCAAACTGGATAATTTGATAATAAAGATTTCAATATTTGGATGATTATATCTCTTTATTTTGCGAGTAACAAATCGGATTCGGCCCCGTGAAAAGCGTGTTCATGCTATGTTTGTGATACAGAACAGCTTTTACCTTTCGGACACGAGAATTTGTAACTTAGTTCTAAACAGGAAACATCATCAGTTTGGCAGCCATTCAACATCTAAAAAATAGGAATTACAATGACGATTATACCAAAAATTAAAAAAAAAAAAAAAAAAAATTGGCACGCGGTAACTTTAACGATGAATTGAGCCATAGTCACGGATTGAGTAAATACTACTACAAATTCCTTAATTTGAACCAGAAAGGGACACTATTCATTAGTGCAACTTGTTGTGAGTTTTATTTTTCTTTTTTTTTTATAACGTCAGGAACCCACCAGAGATGAGAAAATTCACGCGCACTGCAATAACTTGCAAGTACAGTGGAAAGTAAACTACCCTAGGCATGCCCGAGGTGACAAATTCGGATGCAAAATCGGGTGTTTATTAGTGGGTTAACCATAACAAGTCCCTAGAGGTGCTAATAGGCAAAGTAAGAGCCAAAACTTGCTGTGAGTTGTGAGGATAGCATTTGGGCTGTATGCCCACCATACAAGTGTTGAATTGTGGCTCGATATTGGGCCAATTCCGCCCACGAATTAATAGGTGTAGCCCAACTACTCTTAGAAGGAATTTATGATATAAGGCCCACTAGGGAAGATGGCAGGGAAAATAGTTTTTTTTTTTTTAATTGCACATACGGCTGATATATTTCATAATTCGGGGAGTGAAATTCAGATATGCAAAACAAACTGAAAAAATGTTTGCCTATAATCTATACAAAAACCTGGTATTTTACTATTCGGAAAAACCTTCAACTTACGAAATAAATCATAGTAATTTAGTTAGTAATCATCAAAGATAGTAGAGCTACAGCAAATGGTTTTTGAAAATCCTGTTGGGTTTAAAAGTCTAAAAAAGAAGGGAAATTTTGGAAAATCCTGTTTATGACTTTGAGCTGCTAAAACTGCCGCATTACAATTGCTATTAACTCCAAACTTCAAAAATTTATGAATCAAATTGCTGTTATTACCTTGAAAAATATGTGGATGGGACACTATATATATGGTTGAAATTTGAGAGATGATGAGCAACGGGAGACGAAGGTTTTTTTTCGGCCTTTTTTTTTTTTCTCACACTAAATATGAGATAGACTTAAAAGAATAATGGGTACTTCCGTCAGAGACTAAATAAATTTTCTGATTTTAAGAAAGTAACTTACTGTCCTTAATCCATATAAGGTAAAACTTGTACCTTTTTGTTAATTAAAATCTCTCTATTATCCTTAATTCAAATTTTCCCAAAAAAGAAATCTTCTATTATCTATGTTGGTTTTAAGATAAACCATAAATCACCTAATCCTCCACGTTCCATGTTTTTTTTTTTTCTTCTTCATAGAATTTCCAAACACATATACAACTCATAGCCACGTAGACTTTTTTGTAGATACTGATTTCTCAAAAACGCCACAAACAAATTACAAATATTCACAAGACTAATTAAAATAATATTTTTCACGTCTCAAAATGATACCTAATATAAATTTTCACTTTTAATTCAATTAGTATTAAAAATAAAAATTTAAAGTGAATAATAATTTTGGGATGGAGGGAGTAGAAAAAACACTCACAGAATGATGAAGGCAATGCCAACATTCACCATCGCATAATCGGGTTTCCTTGAAATTTCAATATGAAAATCATAGTTTCAAAAAGAAGCTAAAATCTCCACTTGAATTAAATTAATCATGATCCTTTAGCAATTGTTTAAACAGAAAATAATAATAACTATCAGCAACTACCAAATGGCCATATCATAATTTCCCAATGTAGAAAAGAAACACCATCAATCACAGGCACACACAATGCGTCCGGCTCCACAATCAACTACAAATTTAGCTCATGTATTTATTGATTTGAGCAATTTCTTGCAAACTTCCAATCAGATGAGGAATCCCCTCATGGCCTCATGTTGCACGCAAACAACTTACAAATAATTAACCAAACAAAAATATAAAGATAGTGACTAATTATAGTAAAAAAGTATAGTGACTAATGAAAAAAAAAATACACCATTCTCATTTAATATGTGTATTTATTAATTAAGGCTAAAAATATAAATTTTAAGAAAAGATAAACTTTTAGTAAAAAAGTAACAAAAAATTAAGGGCCAAAAATATTCTAAATTACTCACTATTTTTTTTTTGTTTTTCACTACCTTCATTTAATATAGTAAATTAGTAATTGTCCGCTGAAATTGTATGCAATAAAATTGTTGACAATGATATGATATCTACCAAACGACGAGACAGAGTCTTATTCAATGGCGTACTGATCTGGTTCCTTACCACAATTTCCAAAAGACCGTGTACCACGTGCAGTTCATGCACCCGAAAATTAAGAACTCATTTATAACATTTATAAATTCAGTTTCATATCATCACGACTTTATAAATTCGCCCCTTCCAAAACCCCTCTGTTGGTAAATCCCGATTAGAACTCTCAGAAATGATGGCCAGAGCTCTTTCCTCCTCCATCAATGGAGTTTCAGATCTTTTCGGCTTATCTCGAGCAAATCATCTTAGCCCTTCTTCATCCTCCTCTCTGCGTTACCGCCCCCCATCCGCCATTAAAATGGTTCAAACCCAACAAACTTACTGGGCTACCATCGAGTCGGACATCGAAACCCATTTGAAGAAATCCATTCCGATCAGACATCCAGTCTCGGTATTCGATCCCATGCATTACTTGACCTTCGCCGCCCCTAGAACCACCGCGCCGGCGCTATGCATTGCGGCTTGTGAAGTCGTTGGCGGCGATCGGGCCCAAGCTATGGCGGCTGCGGCGGCTATACACCTCGTCCACGCCGCCGCTTTTACACACAAGAATATCCCGTTGACCGACAGGCCCAGGCCCGAGCCCATTGAGCACAAGTTCAATCCAAATATTGAGCTCTTAACGGGAGACGGGATTATGCCATTTGGGCTTGAGTTGGTTGCCGAGTCCATGAGCTTGGGCCTAAACAATCCGGACCGGGTATTGAGGGTTATCACTGAAATCTCACAGGCCGCTGGATCCCGAGGCGTGGTAGAAGGCCAGTTCAAGGAAATGGATATTTCTCTATCAGAAATTGATGTTGGGCTGATTGAGTATGTGTGTAAGAAGAAAGAAGGTGAATTGCATTCTTGTGCTGCCGCATGTGGAGCTATCTTAGGAGGTGGAAATGAGGAAGAAATTGAGAACTTGAGAAGATATGGGCTTTATGCAGGAATGGTTCAAGGGATTCTGAATGGTGTTGGAAGCAAAAATCGAAAAGGGTTGCAAGAAATGGTGGAAAAACTGAAGGTATTAGCGCTGAAAGAAGTGGAATGTTTCAAGGGCAATGGTAAATTTGATGGCATTCTAGCTTGGTTTGAGTCTGAGCTTTGCAATGTTTAGTGCCTAGTTGTGGTTTTGTACTACTTTGTTGTACCGTGGAAATTGTTACACATACCATTGTATTGATTAATGTTCACTGGTGTCACTGAAGAAATATGTCATTGATTTGTATCCAAATTGGTCTGTAACTATAGCTATGATTCATTCAACTGAATTTATCACAATGGTTTATGTTCTGTTGCTGATAGGCAATATAACTAGTCATATTTGGGTATGTGAAAAGAAATCATCGCGTACTGTATGTACATCGTAAAATTTTGAGGTGAATTCCTGTATGTTTTGGATTTATACAGGATCCGAATCAATTAAAGTCCTTAATGACGATGCTTGTCTGTTATTCTATCTCTTCACGAAAAGCACTAACGTATTGTTTCTAAAATTTTGTCTATTTTTATTGTACCAAAAAATAAAATCATATATTACAATCCTTGATCGATGATTGGATGTTGATGTATATCGGAACAGTTTGGTGAGGGGGATGCATACTATCTCCGCCTAATAAATTGGCACTCGAAAGATTCAATCTTTGAGGGAGATATTGTACCGGCTCTCCTTATCACCGGTTAGAGCCTAGACGATAAGCATTACATTTAAACGGAATCGCAAAAATAATCACATTGAACAATTTTGACGACAAAGGCAATTAGATTTTGTGAATGTTTCATTAAATGATTTCACTGTGGTTATATACTTATTATTATTATTATTATTTTCACCTTGACGTAATAATAATATAGTGCGAGTCCTCATTCTGCTTCTATCATGAAAGTAAACATCAACAACCAATTCTAAATCACACCCACAATTGTAGAAAGATTAATCTCTCGTAATTACCATTTTTTTTTGTAGCTGCTAACCCGCAGCCAAAGGTTAACAAAGCTGATAGTGAAATAAAAAGTGGACTTTATCAAGCAAGATAGCCTCCTTTCAAATCCATCACATAGATTACCAACAAAAAGAACAACCCTACATCCCCAACAATTTTTCATCAAAAAAAGTGAGATTAGTTTAACATCTTTTTCCCACTATTTCCTTTTTTTTTTTTTTTTTAATGTGAATTAATCCCATTTAACTCTAGTTCCGGGGGAGGCTTATACCCATTTTCCTTGATTTTCTTCGAGATTTTGGAATCTTAGTTAGTTAATTAATCGTTGTCATGTCTAGCGCTACTTTAAATTTTTGATTGGCTTGGGCTATATTAGAAAGGGGTTGACTCTGGTTAAAAGTATCAATAATATTTTTTGAAATCTTCTGGTGGTGCTGTAATATATGCATGGTATATTTTTGATTGTTGTCGTATTGATAATTCTCTTACAGAGGTTAGGTGAAATGTAACCATCCCGATCCTTCAAAAGAAAGATGAATGACACAAGTCTAGACCCCGCCACGACTCAATGATTTTGGCATCTACAAATGATCCCAGTAACAGTATTAACAAAATATTGGCTTTGTTTGTGGTGTTTTTAAATTAAATTATTGTTAATTGTCACATCTCAACCTATCTTTTCATTTTTTTAATATATTTTTTTATATTTTCAATACAAAAAACACCTAAAACACACACTAAAAAACGAAACAATATCACTAACCTTTGAAAAAGTTTCAATTTCATCCGACGATATAACAATACATTTGATAGGCAGGATTTGTAATCAGAAAAATATCAATATCACATGCTGGTGGGGTTCTCATGTAGGGCGACTATTTGAATTGAATATCAACGAATCTTCAGTTTTTTTAATCTCAAACCACAGGGCCACAGCACTAACCATATGTGAGTATGTGACTATGTGACAACATTCAATTACAAAAAAAAAAAATTATTTTAATGATGTGTAGACCAAATTGGCAAATTTTGTAGGAGCACAAATGGTAGTGAAAAAGCCAGCAAACAAAAAAGCTGTACAATTAATTCAACAATTGCAATAAGACGATGAGTGACACCATGATTTCATGAGGACCCCTTCCCAAAAAAACAATATACACCATTACATTACAAATTAAACATTATACACACATTACCAATCATACTGGTTGATACAGTATCACCATCATGACAATGTTTTTTTTTTTCTTTTTCAATAATAATTCTGATCTGATATTCAACAAATAAGAAAATTATTTGGCAAAAAATTCCTTCTATTCAAGAAATCCTGTTCTTGTTAGAACAGCATTCCTGACATTGCTGAGATCTCTACCTTTCAGTGTTCTTCCAACTCCTTCACACACTGAGAATGAAGAAATTTGACTTCTTGCAAGCTTCTTGGCTATCCATTCATGGGGTGGAATCAAATTCTCATCATCATCTTCTTCTTCATCATCCTGATCACTGTCCCAACTGTTTATCACCCCATCAAACTCATTCTCTCCATGATCATCGTAATCAAGCCATGATGAAGCGTTTTGGGACGGCTTTTTCGACCGGATTCCGTAAATCTTGGACCAATCTGGTATGTTAACAGGGGCAGAGTGTTGAGCCATTTTGGTGGGTTCTCTGTTTGTTGGTTTTGGGATCTTTTTTGATGCACTGCTGGGCAGATGTTTTGACTTGGTGGAGGATGATTCTTCTCTGTTGTGGGAGTCAAAACTGGAGTATGATTGGTTGGTTTTTCTAAGAACTCCCCAAATATCTTCTTCTTGAAATTCTTCATTCTTCAGAATTGACCATCCTGTACTGCCTGGGCTGTACAGATTATACCTTTCTTGATTAGCTGATGACATCCCCCCACTCGCTGAAAATTGAAATGGTATGGGGGAAAAAAATCCAATTAGTATTTTCAAAGAAAAGTGTCAAAATTATTCCATCTCAATTCTCAAGAAGAAGAAAAAGGAAAGATCTTTGAAATTTTGGGCAGCAGAACCAATAATAATTGTGTAAAAAAGCATCAGAATGGTATATGCAGAGAAGAATAAAGAGATTCTATGCCGCTGGATCAAATTTTAGATCCCTTCTAACCTTCTAAATGTACCAGATAGTAATACTATTTGATTCTAAGCATTATTCCTAAGAAAAAAGGTTGTGTGTGTGTGTGTGTTTCTTTCAGCTGCTTACCTAGAGTTTCAAGAAGATTTATAGATGCTAGGGAGAAGATAGCCACCACCAGGGACAGAATAGACCTCAAGGTTGAAGCAGCAGCAATCAATCCTATAATTCCCTCCTTAATAATGTGGCTGCAAAGTGCTATACTTTTGTCCTCTAAATGACTAAAACTTTTGAAAGTGAAAGGTCAGAGAGAAGGACTAATAACATCTGCAAGTATTATTATCCTCACTTTATATCTACCTAACAAAGACTAAACAACACAAGTCCTCCACACCAAAAAAAAAAAAAAAATGACCCAAAAGGTATTAACAAGTTGAAAGAATGAACATGAGAAGAATGTAAGAAGAGGAATAAGAAAGAAGGTCTGTTATATAAACAGGACTAGGTGTGCCATTATAACATGATTTGCCAAGGGGAGAGAGTGAACAATTGCTCTTACATGCCATAGTTAATATAGAGATTCGCTAGGAAACGAGATGGAGATTCTGTCAACATGAAAAAAAGGCGGGCGGTAGGAATTATTTATTGTGTAATTTCCACATATACGAAACAATCTGATTAGCAGATGACACAGAGATAACAATTGATCCCATGTGAAGGCGGTTATATGAATTCTATGTCTTAATTGAATTTAAATTAAATGAAAAAATTGTATCTTTCTGTCTCTGAAAAATACGATATCGACATATAATTCATAAAAGTGACTGTGTACAGCGTCATAGTGATGTTTAATATCATCAAGAAACCTAGTCACGCATCAGTAAACTTTCGTGGTTGTTTCTCTGATTTGGACTTTGTTAACTACTATATTATGGACCTTTTTAACACTAAAAGCAGGAGTCTTTTTTAAAAGGTAAGACGCCTACACACCTCTGATTGTGCAGCTGAGTGCAATGCACGTGTAACTTCTTCTTTTTTTTTTTTTTTACCAATAATCTATGTTATCTTTGCTCAACTAATAGCTTGTTTTCGTCATCAGTAATTAAAGAATGGTTACCTGATTTCATCTGTGAAAAAAGCTCTTGTTTGATTGGTTTATAGTTTGTTTACAGTCAGTCAACGTAAAAAGTGGCCTAACAGGAAAGGGGCTGGAGGTTTCCAAATTGCACTATCCTTCTTGAAGTTAAGCCTGAAAGATCAGTCTGGTACTAGGTTAAATATCTTAGGTCATTAGCTTCAATTAAAAAAAAAAAAAGAAAAACTAGCAGAAAGCTCTTCCTAATAACCTTTTGTTTAAAGACTGTTAGCCAGAATGATCAGAGCAAGCTGTCATTGGAGTAATTAAATTAGGAGTGATAATTTGTCCTCATCTTTGTGAGTATATATAACTTATTAAACCACCATAATCAGATTTCATCCCTCAGTGAAATCGACTATATAGATAGATCATATATTGCTAATGTACACGGGAAGAACACACTATATTAACCTGAACAATTCTTGCATCTAATCTAATTAAATCCAACCAACATATCAACTTTGGCATGTAAACCATCAAAATGGATTAGCCCAAGTGTTGTAAATAAAGCACCTGATCAACATGGTTGTAAACTAGTATCAATAACAAATGCAGATAAATCGCAATGAATAAACTCTTGTAAAAAAATTGGCTTTCATCATTGATAATCAGACCAAGTCTGCTGCTTGCGTAAAGATAATGTGGCCGTCATATATACAATTTTATACAATTAAAATTTAATTTATAAGGAGAAGAGAAGACTTACAAACATTTTTATTCTATAGTACGCGAAAGCTTTGGCCGTCATTCATTGAATTTAGCCACCTCTAACCTGGGACATGGTTGAGACAGAATCGAAGCCAAACATCTGATAAAAGTCCAACTCCCAATTGAATTCTTGAAACCATTTTCAACCTCTCAATTTTCTTCAAGAAGAAGATGAGTATCTTTGCTGAGAGGCGGCAGATTCATGTATTTTCCCGCAGACCAAAAATTTGGCTTCTTGTAAGCATAAAATCTTGTCTGCAATGAAGAGTGGCGGCCATGAACAACAATATACTCTTTGTGACCCACAACTTACGGCCCTTTTTGTCCCGAATATACAGCCCTGTTTTTGTATCTTTATTGGTATCCTTTTTTTTTTTTGGTGATCGGGTAAATATCTTTATTGGTATTCTCTTTCAACTTCCGAACAACTTTCAGCTCAGAGATTCCATAATCAACTCAAGATTCTTGAGGATCTAAAAATTTCTAATGCCCAAATTTTTAATACTCCATTGATGATCAACTATTGAGTACATTGATGCAGAAAAAAACATGTGAATTCTGCTCGACTGAATTCATGCAGTACAATTGAATCGTGCCAAAATGAAAAAGGTCCATATGAGACAAAAAATCTGGAGCAAAGGTTTCAATCAAAGCTGTCTTTTTTTGAAGAAAGTGGGTTCAAGAGGGTGCTTTTCAATTTTCACCATGAAAATGTGTGGAAAACATCGATCAGTAGAACCCCCACTAAACCTAAAACAACTACATTCTAGAGATCCAAATCTCATAACAGAGATGGACCAAAGCCTATTTCAATGGATCATTCACTTCATTTTGAAGAATGCCTGTAGAAAAGGATTCTGTTCCGACTAAATTCAATGCTAAAAAGTCTCACTTTTGGGTGGATCTCTAATACAAAAGGGATTAAACTCATTGATGAAAATATTGCATTGCACAAAATCAAGGAAACTACAACTACAAGAGTGCTTCTGCTCCTGCAACAATCTCCAATATCTCTCCAGTGATCTTAGCTTGCCTTTCCCGATTATAAGCTATGGAAAGATTCTTCTTCAACTCAACCGCATTGTCTGTTGCACTGCTCATTGCATTCATCCTTGCAGCCAGCTCACTAGCAAATGACTCCATTAATGCCCTTAAAATCTGGCTATTCAAATAAAGAGGCATCAGGGCATCAAGAATTTGAGCAGGGTCTTGTTCAAACTCCAAGTTGGACAAAAACACCCCCTTTTTCGTCTTCAAATGATCCCTTTCCACTGTCAATTTCCCTTCTTTTGTAGTTAATCTAAAGAATTCATCCTCGCTAACATCAACAGAATTCCCATTCACATCACAAACCTCTCCTTTTGCAGACAGAGGAAGCAAAGTATGAACCACTGGATCAGACTTAATCAGGGATACAAACTTAGTATACAAAAGCTCAACTTTATCAACCTCTTCACTAAGAAACAAGGAAAACACATCATCAGCAATCACTTGAGCTTCCTTCGCATTAGGGAAATTGCCACCTTCAACAAATCTATCCACAAACAAATTTTCCCTTCTCCGAAAATAAGCGTTACCCTTTTTCCCAACACTAATCAAACAATAATCCAAACCAAGATTTTTCAATTCAGCAATCCGGGCCTCGGCGCTTTTGAGTATTGCATTGTTGAATCCCCCACAAAGACCTCTATCACCAGTGATAACAACAAGGGCAACTTTCTTAACAGGCCTAATATTGGTTAGAGGAACATCTATATCATCCAATTGAACCTGCTCGCTGATGTTATATAAAACTTCAACAAGCGACTCTGCAAACGGCCGACTACTAATGACTGCTTCTTGGGCTCTTCTCACCTTGGCAGCTGCCACTAACTTCATCGCTTCCGTGACTTTTTGGGTGTTTTTGACTGTTTCCATTCGTTCCCTGAGCTCACGGAGACCACTCTGAATAAAGGGAACTCTTGAAATACGATTATAATCATTTCTTTTTGCACCCGCATAACTCATACACTCTGTCCCGGGAAATGGGTTGAACTGGGTCAGGAAAGAAAACGAAGAAGAATCCTGTATGGAAGGATTTACGGAGATCTTCGTTGGAAAACTAGACCAAGACATCGGACGATTCACGATGTGCAGTAACCGGAAGGGGTTAAGATTTAAGAATGAAATTTACTTTTTGGGGGAGATGCGTGGCCGCGTGGGATTTTCAGATTGAAGCTGGATTTGATCTGTATCGATTAAAAGTGGCTACCCAAAGTAGATCATCACAGGAATCCGCCCGCCGGATCTAGAGTTCCCCGCCGGCGAATTTCAGATTGACGGGGGAGTCTGCACTCTTGTAGGTGAAAGGGGCAAGACCGCAAGAGTCTGGACTTGGGACAGACAGAAATGAATGGGCCTTGGAAGCTTAAGAAAAATGGCCCAACCCTATTTTATTTTACTTCTTTCTTGCTTTTTATTCCCCCAAATCAAAATTAATTTGTTTTTGCTAATTATTTCCCCATGTATTTGGTACTACGATATTATCTCTATTTTTTTTTTTTTTTGGTTTTTATGTTTGGTGGAGATAAGGGTGTCAATTGAGTCGTGTTTCAGGTTCCTGAAAATTTTAAACGAACCCGAACTCAATTTGTTTAACTATACAGGTCAATAATGTGAAAAACATCCCAGAAGAGTTATTCAAGAAACAAATAACTATAAAATGGGCTAAAAAAATGGAGGACCGAAAGGAGATTGAGAATCTCTCGGCCGAAAAGTTATTCCAGAAAGAAGTCACTATAACTTGGGCTTAAAAAAATGGAGGCCCAAAAGGGGATTGAGAAAGAAAAAAGATGATGGTCCAATTGAGACCACTCTTTGGGTGTTGATGAGCCTGAGGAGCACCGGCCTATAACTATAAATTGGGCTTAAAATGGAGGCCCGAAAGGAGATTGAGAATCTCTCGACCGAAAAGTTATTCCAGAAAGAAGTCACTATAAATTGGGCTTAAAAAAATGGAGGCCCAAAAGGGGATTGAGAAAGAAAAAAGGTAATGGTCCAATTGTGACCACTCTTTGGGTATTGATGAGCCTGAGGAGCACCGGCCTGTTATCCTTCCACTGCAGAGAGCGGGAAGTTTTCGCTGCTCTGTGAAACCAGCCTCACGTGGTGCCCTCCACTCTAGGGACAGCGTGACCTGGGCCTTCGCCCAAGCCACACAGCCCAACTCCCCGCTTGGAGCGGGCAAGCCAGAAACAGCTCCACAGGCCCTACACGAAGAGACAGTCCAATGTCCCATCACTTTAATGCCCCCACTCGGGTTATAAGCCCACGTTACAGAGCTCGGCGAGCGAAACTGTAATTTCCAAGCTTATAAACTGATTCTCCTTACCTCCCTGCAGCGATGTGGGACAAAATAGCAAAACTTCCAAAAAATATTTCTTACACCAGATGGGAGTTCATTCCCAAACATTTTTGCCAGATGGATATGTGGTGAATGAAGGATTGTTATGTATTGAATCATCACCGTGAAATGAAGGTATCCCAAAAATTTTGGTTACTGAAAACGGAAGATTGAGAACAGTACTCATCAAGTTGATGAAACAACAATGGGACTTTCAAAATTCAAACACTCTCTTGATTATTGAGTAAGAGTTGGGGTCAGCGTGGGTTCGACACCCAGCAAGCTTATTTTATGAATAGGCTATGGAAACTTAACAAGAACTTGTTCATTCATACTTCCTGTTGCAACCATCATAGAGCGAAAAGGGTGTCGGAAATTGGAGGAACAAGGATGTCGAGACTATGGGCAAGGTTCAAGGGATTATTCAGCAATAGGACTATGGTGGGAATGGACAAAGCCGGGAATCGATATTTCGCGGTCACTGAAGAACTTGATGGTGTGAGTAAGTGGGTTTTTTTCTCGGTTCCTTGTTTTGTATGATTCTCAGTCTTTTCTTATTACCCCTTTTGAATTTCCAAAATAACTGCCTTTTCTGTTGTCTTTCATGTATTGGGTTGAGTTGGAAATTGCTGCTGCTTCAACCCAAAAGCATGAAGTTGTGATTTTCTGTATTTCTGGATCACTTCACTAATATGATTGAAAAGTTTGGTATTTTTTCAAACTGTACTGAAAATAGTTGTGTCGGAATGTTAGTATGAAGAAAGTTCTAACTATTCGTGTTTGCCATTTTTAGCTGTCCTTTAGACTGCTGCAATTTTAGGTCTGGATTATTGTTTTGTAGGTAACTCATAGTGGGAGTGCGATATTCTGATTCAAGACATAATATTAGGTTGCTCAAAGGTGCAACTTTTTGCACAAGTTGATTGATCTTAGTGCTTAAATGTCCAAATAGCAATAGTGAAAAGTGACAATCTGATTAGATACATGTGTTTAGGATGTTCTTAATTTTGTTAATATTTATGTTCCAGTGAAAGAGAAAAGGTGGGTGATGTTCAAAGATAAAGAGCAGGAACCAACCTCTATTCCTGGTATGTTTATTGGGTGCAAACGTTTCAATTTCTTAAATCTTTCTTTAATAATTCCTCTGACCTCTTTTTTTCCTATTTAATTCTCTGCACTGACTTACAATGCCGCATTAGGATTTGGCATTAAGCACGTCAATTTTGTTAAATTTGGACAAGAACAGATGGCTTATCTCATTTTTTTACATTCTTGTGGCTTTATTCTGTGATTTGGTAGTTGAGTGGATATGTTGGCTTAATGGACAACGCAAGAAAGCTCCTACACCTGAGGTATTTGACCAATCTTATGCACTTCTTCCTCAAAATGCTAAGTCACTTGTGTCTTGAAAAAGACTTTTATTAGTTCACTTAACAAGTTTCACCTCAGGTATTTGATCAATCTTGTGCACTTCTTCCTCAATATGCTATGTTTGTTTTGTTTTTTTAGTGTGTGTTTTTAGGTGCTTTTTGTATTGGGAATGTAAAAAAGTGTATTGGAAATATAAAAAGATATGCTGGGATGGGACAGTTATTATTAAGATAATCTGAAAAAACTATCAAAAAACCAAACAATTATGTCTTGAAAAAGACTTTTATGCATTGTTGCACCTTTGAATTGTTTAACTATTGAGCTTTATTGCCCGTGTAAGATATGAGAAAAGACTTTCACTATATTATCATCTGGTTGCTAGGAAATGGCTGAGCTGGAGGCAAGGCGTGAACGTGTAAGGCTGAATGTTGCACGTAAGTATAAATGGTACATTACCTAAATTTTTCATTAGATGTTAATGGTTCCCTTGCTTTCATTCACTGCTTGTTGACCTTATGTCTGGTAGATTGTGGAGTTTACTAGATATTCCCGTAAGAGTCCTTTAAAATTATTAATATCCATTCCGTTTCAATTTTTTCAGCTGAGAAACCTGTAAATGTAGTGTTGTTATTCTGATGACAACTTGAAAGTTGAAACTCGAAAATTGGATGCCACCAATAGTTGGTTAATATGACAACTTAAACAAACGCTTACCAATTCTATATTTTCATCCCTAGTTCTCAAGAAAGAAGAAGAGGAAAGAAAAGCCAGAGAAGCTGCTAGTGGAAAAGTTGGCAGTGCTGGTAAGACTTACATGTTCCTGTACATTGGAATGCACACAAACAAATCTTATACGATTGATGCTAGTCTCGTCAGTAATCTTGATAAGTGGTCACAAATTGGTGGTAGGTAAAGTTGCAGGACCAGATTTGAAGAGCTTTATCCAACAACTTCCAGTTGCCTCAGAAGGTACCGTATTTTTCTTGAATCATATGTAGTTGATGTTTTATAATCCCTGCCCCTACTGTTTTTGTATTATGTTGTTGCCCCTTTTCTTTTGAGATGTTACCTCCTTTACCATGTATCTTCACTTTCTGCTGGCTATGCTACAGTTGAAGGGAAGGAAACTGGGGAAGCATCTCTTGAATCCAGTGGCTTCAGGTATGTTAGTTGTTTATTCACTTATCTACATATTGTCTAATCAAAGCAAACAGTGAACTTCAATAACTTAATGGGACAAAGGTCATAATGTCAAACTCCTGCACAGTCAATTTTTCGCTCTTCATTTGTTTAGTGTCTCAATTATTGGTAACTATTTGCCTCAAGCACTACATGGTCAACCAACCTCGCAAACCTAGCTCTTTCTTTTTTCGTAGAGAGGAAGAAAGAAAGAGACATACTGTGATAATGTAGCTTGGTTTCTGTCACTTTATATAGTACGATCCTACAATTTGTCATTTGACATGTTATTGTAGTCACAGGAACCCCGCAGAAGCAACTCCAGAGAAGAAATCCCCCTATCAAATTAGACGAAAACAAGAAGAGTAAGTTCTTTTCTTAATGTCCTATTCTTCTTTGAATGCTTGCAAAATGTGCACATTGCATTGCATGGATAAGTGGGTAGTGTGTAAACTGTAACGACTAGATATCTAAGCATTTTAGTCTGGAAGGCATTGATTCTATATAACTGGTTACAGGTCCACCGAGCCAACCGGATCTGGTGAATCATTCAAACCAGGGACTTGGCAACCCCCAACATAATTAACAGGCCTTACCAGTGAGAAAGTGTTAATCTTTGATGCTGTGACCGAACTCCAGTCCTTGCCTGCTTGATTTGTGGTTCCGGATATATATACAATGAGGATATCATTCATGATTTTATCCATACATTTTTGTGCTTCCTGGTAGAAGTTCCTCGAAATTGCCACACGGGTTAGTTCTCAGAGAAAATCATAAGAGTCCCAAACAATAGTAGTGTTCTTTATTTTATTTTATTTTTGGAACTTGACTTGTATTACGCTGACATGGTCTTCTGGTACAAAATTTTTGTATTTTGAATCCGCTGTTGCAAAAACGCCATTTCTTTTATGAACAAAAAGACATCATTTTCTTTGGCCTTTTATTTTTTATTTTTTATTTTTTGAAGAACCTGCTTTTCTGAAGAATGCAAAGATGGAAGCAGAAAAGGAATCTGTTTTAAAGTGACACTCAAATTAACGATACTAATCAGTAAAAGATTACGAGTTGCCCCTTGATCATTGAGCACACCGAATAAAATCTTGAAGAGGATGGTAGATATGCTATTGTTGAGACTTGAGACGGGAATTGAAGTCTTGAAAGTTGAAACCATTTCCAAAATCTCAATTTTCTTCCAAGGAGAAGAGTATTTGATGGCAGAAGAGTAGCGTCCCTGTCAGCCCGGAATATACTGTCCTGTTACTATATCACCATTCCTTTTGATGACTTCAGATTTCATTTCATCTGAAGATTCTCCGCTATTTGAGGTTCTAAACTATTTATCTTAATCAGACCATGAAGATAGATTTACAAAATTGGAGATGTGTACTGCAGGATGTAATGCAGCTGACACAATACAGTTATCCCCCAATCTCCGAAGCAGACGATTATTATTGAATTCAACTTCCCTACTTACATGGGGGACATCAAAATCATACAAAGAAGAAACCACAGTCAACATGAGACAATGATCTGAATCAAAGGGATTCCATCAAAGCTTTTCCTTAAACCTCCCCGAATTTCATTGATTATATATAGATTAAGAAAAGTCTTATCTGGATGAAGCCTTTTCTGAAAGATACCAGTAGAAAAGGATTCTAAAGTCTGAAGTTCCACTTAAATTAGTCTGTAACAAAAATACTAATGTAGAGTTTGAAGTTCCACTTAAATTAGTCTGTCACGAAAATACTTACGGGTAAAAGATGCTTCTTCAAAATAGATTGAACTTAAAATCTTGAGAATCTTGTCTTTCCCAGGGAACAAGGCACCTGCAGCAATCACCAATATGTCTCCCGATCTTACACTGTGGAAAGATTCTCCTTCAGCTGATCTGCATTGTCCCATCGCACTCCTCATCGCATTGATTCTTGCCGCTGGCGAATGACTCCATTAATGTCCCATAAAATCTGACTATTCAAATCAACAGGTACCAGGGCATCAAGAACCTTAGCTGCTAAAACGCATCCATATATTTTCAACTTCATGTGATCGCTCCCTAGAGTCAATCCCCCTTCATTTGCAGTTATCTACAGAACTCATATTCCCTAACATCAAAACACTTCCCTTTCACACACAACCTCAGCTTTTGCAGAGGTAGCAACGTATGATCACTGGGTCAAACTAACTTTATTAGGAAACAAACTTAAGTGTACAAAAAAGCTTGAACTTACATACCTATCCCAGAGAAACAAGGAAGAAAACATCATCAGCAATCATCTGAGCTTCTTTGCAGTAGGAATCTAGGTCAGCATTCGACTGGTTAAGGTTGGCTCCTTTCTGCTCTGCAGCCTGCTGGTGAAAGCTGCAAACATAGAGACTTAGAACTCACACTGATGAAGATGTAAATGGGCCAAGAAAGCTTCAATTTGGGTCCTCTTCTTCTTTTTTTTTCTTTCCCCCCCTAAAATCAATGATTTCTGCTTTTCATTTGATTATTTATCCCTTTGATCCTGTTTTGTTTTCAAATGATGATGAACATCCTAAATTATATTGGTTCTAACATTGACCACATATAACGAAATAAATATTCAATCAAAACGACATCAAAGTTATATTTTCACGCAGAGCAGAACGCATGTGGAGTTATCAGAATGCCATTCATTTGTATGATGATTATATATATATATATATATATATATATATATATATATATATATCTTACTACAAAAATCACACTTCAAAGAACATCTCATTAACTGCCATGTGGCATTTCCATCTAATTGTTCCAAAAATTATAAAAAAAAAAAAACAAACATCAGCCTTAAAAAAGACACACCAGGTTTTTTAAAATAACATATACCACATCAGCTATTTCAAAAGCAAATTTAAATCACGCACAGCAAAAAATTGCTCCATGTCTCCCACGAACAAAAAGAAAATTCCTTCTCTTCACTATTCATCTTCATGTCCCAATTCAACAAACATCAATGATAAACCCGAAAAATAAAAAATTACAAAAAAAATAAACAAAAAAATTACTTTCCTTTTTAACGAATTTTTTTCCATATTAGATCTTTTAAAAAAAATTCATACAGTTTTTTCGACATCTGTTTTTTTAAAAAAATCTATACGTGTAAGATTGAGTTGAATACTACTAATTGATCGGTGATAAAGAGTGTGATAAACTAAATTAAATTATATTGTATAGGATTGAATTAATATATTAATTAATCAACCATAAGTTTGAAGTAGAATACAGGTAAAATACTACAAATGTTAGATGCTGCCAACATCATTTCTCTCACCTCCAACTCAAAACTACGGCAACACACTCCTCTTCAAATACCTTTACGACTTCTTCGGCAATTTCTCATTTCCACGGCCAAAATAAAATTCCTAATAGTCCTAAATTATTAGCAGGTGATTCTAATTGGATAAAAGTTCAACCTCCACCAATATATCCGTCAAGTTCACATCTCCAAAAAATATTTCCTTTTATCTTCTATATATATATATATAAACCCCAAACCAAAAAACAATATAAAATTATCTTCATCTTTCTTCTTGATGTGCTACTGTTTTTTGCCATTACCATACCTGTAGTTGTCAAATATAGGTGTTTTAATGTCAACTATAGGCATCTTAAGATAATATACTGATTTATTTGTATAGGCCATCCGTTTGCATACGTTAAAATAAATTTGTTCCTATAAGTTTTTGCTTCTACTAATTCTGATTCTCTACTTATTCCTATAACTTTTGTGTGAGGTGTCGCTCTCGCTATCGTTTGTACTACAATTGCCACTAGGTACTGCTGCTATTTGTAGCCAAATTTTCCAACTTTTTAATGGTTACTGTACAAATTTTTTTGAATCGGCAAGTTATTATTATTTATTATTGACAAAAAATTACAGATATATTGGACCATGGTCGCGCATTGCGTGGCCAGACATCAACTGCAGGACTGACCTCGTTCATGTCCACATCTAAACTTTAGCACGGGATTCTTGTCCAACTCGGTTTAATCCAAGCACAATCCAAGTAAATGCTAGTTTGATTTAAACTCAGCCATTTGTGTTGACTGACCACAGAATGATAACTCTTGGTGCTCAAAGAATAATAGATGAGTTCGTCCTTGTAAAACTTTTTTTTTGAAGGGCGTCCTTGTAAAACTTTGAAAAATAAACTCTGTCTGCTACATCTGGTCTTTCTGCAAGACATGATATCGATGTTGACTCACTCACATATAAACAATACCCTTCCAACGTATCAATTTCTTCCCATTCCTTATGCTCTTTGAGCTTAAATACTCTGACCCATGGTCGTTTTCTTGAGTGATCATTGCCGTTATGCAGAAGTATAGATATAAGCTCTCCACCACGCTCCGTCAAATAATTCCGTCTAAATTTTATGTCAGGATATACAATGTCCTCGAACACTTGCCAGTGGAATAGGGGTACTTCATCTTGATCTTGAGTCAACTGGCCACGCCCAAGCATACCATCACCCCCCAGATGGTAACAAAATTCTCCCAAGACTACTGGACTGTTGCAACCTTTATTGAAAACCCATTCATGGCCTTGTTCTCCCACCACGAAGGACCGGCATTTAGGGACTGATCCTGAAATGCGTGTAACAGAGAATGATACTCCACCAATACCATGACGGGACATTGCTAGGATTGAACAACCGGAAGAAGATGACTTGCTTAGAAAAGTATAGTTCAAGATCCCACGGCCCGTTATTGGTGCACCACCAGCTGGAAGTACGTGCATTGTTAATGGATTAAAAAAGGCTAAATCTTTATTGTATTCCAACAGTAGGCAACCATTTCTGGAGCATCGGATCTGATAGTCTTTAAGAAGCTCAGGAATTTTGACGCAAATTTTGTGATTAAGGTTGGAATCTAGTATATTGTAGACACCGGCAGACCTATCCTTGTAAATCAAGCATGGAGGGAAGGGATTCGACCTCATCCGGATAGTGCTGGAGGCGCAAAGTTTATTGACACAACGAAAATGCATGTAATCAACAAAGCATAGATTGTCAGCAATCAAAGCAAGTACCTCTTTTGATAGGTTGCACATTGAGGAGTTCCCATCGTCATTTGTGACTGACAGAATTATTATGATTTGAGTTTCATCAGGCGCCTCCTCTTAGTAGTAGCACTCCTCCTCCTGCAGTTTTTCCAAACAATATATGCCTTTCCTCCAATTACTGCACCAGTAGTAGTACAATCATGTGCATCCTCTTGCCGCAGTTGGTGGTGATTTGGCATGGCCGGCATAATCCATACAGAAAGCCATTTTTCTCGCGGACGTAGACGACAAGGTACTAATGATGTTAAATTCCCGTCCTCGACCCTGTAGGAGAACAGAGTAGGGTCATTCAGAAAGGCAAAGAAAATGTAACTCCATTTGTTGTCGTTGTTTGAGCCATCAATATCAAAGCCTAATTGAGTGGTGTATAGGGAGTAATCATAGCACAAGAAAACTGCCCCCATTCAAACTCGTCCGTTGTTGCCAAGAATTTGAACAGAAATCAAACACGAAAATTTAGATTGATAAGGCTTCTGTATAACTGTAGTAAGACCCAGGACACATTGTGATCAGACAAAGGTCACGACCCCCCAATGAGACCAAAAATGGTCTAGAATTAAGGGGTAAACTTTGCCGTCTTGCTGGATCTTGTTCTGGCATTAACAAACGAGTCTCACAATGATTGTTGCCATCAATGCTAATTTGCACCAGATCCCTATAACAAGAGGCTGTGGCGTAAATAGCCCCATTGAAGTCAACAGCACTGCGGAGGCGATAATTTTGTGGTAGAGTAGTACCTGATTGAGCTTGGAGGCGTGGAGCATAATCGAATTCACTCCACTTTTTGTCACCAACACGACAAATATAAGATGAGAGGGATCTTTTCATGGAATAAAAGTACCAAATCAGAGGAGCAGCTGGATGACAGGAATGGTTGGAGAATGAAATGATCTTTGATATCTATCCGGTCTGAGACGGGGCAACCAAACAGGGTTCTTGCTCCTACGACGACTCCAAAACAAGTAGCTTGGCAGGTCCCTTACAGTGCGATGATACAAAACAAACCTCTCGCCGTCAGGGGATACAGTGCGATGATACAAAACAAACCTCTCGCCGTCAGGGGAACAGTACAAAGAACAAGTTGAGGAATTTCGGGAAAGCTGACACCTTTTGTTGAGGAGAAAATGTCACAAAAAGTTTTGATATAGAGGGTCTTCTTGAAAATGCACTAACCATGGATAACGATACTTCCGCTGTAAGCTTCCAGTTCCAAGCGACAGAAATAGTGAGCGTTCCATCCTCCTCCTACTCCTCCTCATGTCTGGCCCCCCGACAATTTCGATTATTTAACTGAGAAAAGGAAACGGTTGTAAACCCGGAGATCAATATCAAAGACTAAAACAGTGTCAAATAAAAAAAGAACAAAACTTTGCAGATTTCTGAGTAGTCCAACGTGAAATCAAACTCTCAGCCTGAACTGAGGGCTCAAATTATTACTTAAGTAATTGTAAGATAGATAGTACTCCCTCCGTCCCATAATTATTGTCCACTTTGCTCAAAAAATTTTGTCCCAAAATTATTGTCCAATTTGACTTTTTATGGATTAAGTTACACATTTGTCCTTAGTAAAAAACATTATTCATAAAATTTGAGTGGTTAAACAATTACTTATGTAGGGGTATATCCGGTTGTTTAAGGTAAAATATAGTTAAGTTTGACCAAAAATAAAATCTTTTATTTTAGTAAAACTGGACAATAATTATGGGACGGAGGGAGTATTTGCCTCAAACTCAGGGCATTGGAAAACAATCTCTGCAGTTTCCAACATTGTAACAATCACAATCAAACTAAACTAGTGTTGCAGAACACCTACAAATTCGTTTATGTGGCGGATAAAACTAGAATTGTAAAACCACCCAAACACAACCAAAAAAAAAAAGAAAAAGAAAAAAAAATTTGCCTGCGGTGAGGCGTGAGCAATACCTTAGACGGCTGCAGGAGAGTGATAATAATGAATATAATTGCAGAAGAGGGAGAGAGATCCAGTAATTCCCTAGGAATGGAGGCGGGAGAACGAGGGATGCCAGTAACTGAATGTCTGATAGCCAAAAGCAGATCTGCATTAAATTAACGGAAATATTGCGCGATTCCTCGTTGAAGTTGAATTTCCAGTTCTCTCTTATTCATGGAAGAAAGCACGAAATTCATTACCCTCAAAGAAATAAATAGGAATAGGGATTTAGACGGAAGATATATTACAGAGAAAAATGGTTGCGTAAAATGACAAAGAAGTTGGAAGATAAGGGCAAAGATGAAAAGAACAAAGCTCTTACATTGATTTCCAGTCAACACAAAGCCTATATACAAATTAGAGCAGACATGAACTATGAAGCACCCACCACAGCGAGACTAACTAGCGGGTTTGAGTTTGCTACCACGGGTGAATTTAAAGTTTAAAGTACTCTCATTAGTCTGTAGCAAACATATTCTACTTTAAAATGTAAAGTTCCACTTAAATTAGTCTGTTACAAAATTATTAACCCGTAAAAGATGCATCTTCAAGAGAGGTTGAAGTTAGATCTTGAGAATATTGTCTTTACCCAAGTATAAGCTTTGGAATTCGATTCTCCTCCAGCTGAACTGCTTTGTCCCATTGCATTCTTCATTGCAAATGACTCCATTAATCTCCCACAAAATCTGAGGTCAAGAGGTACCCAAGGGCATCAAGAATCTGAGCAGAATATTTCTAAATCTCCAAATTTGGCCATAAACACCCATATTTTTTCAACTTCATGTGATCCCTCTCCACAGTCATCTCTCTTCATCTGTAGTCAATCTTCAGACCTAAGATCAAAACACTTTCCATTCACACACAACCTCAGCCTCTGCAGAGGTAGCAAAGTATGAATAACTGCATCAAACTGTATCAGGAAACAAACTTAGTATACAAAAGAGCTTGAATTTTACATATCTATTCCAAGAGAAACAAGGTCGAAAACATCATCGCCAATCATCTGAGCTTCTTTGCAGTAGGAATCTTGGCCAGACAGATAACATTTGACTGGTTAAGGTTGGTTCCTTCCTGCTCTGCAGCCCGCGGGTGAAAGCTGCAAAAGTAGAGACTTAGAAACTCGCACTGATGAAGATCTAAATGGTCCAAGAAAGCTTCAATTTGGGTCTCCTTTTCTAAAATCAATGTTTTCTCCTTTTCACTTGATTATTTATTTTTTCGATATCGCCTTGCTTTTGAATAATGATGCACATAGTAAAAAAAATTATACTTGTTGCAACATTGACCACATATAATGAGAAAAATAATCAATTAAAACTACATCAAACTGAAAGAATAAATCATAAATTTAAGATACTTTGATTTTTACGGATAGCAGAATGCATGTAGGAGGAGCATCAAGGTTATCATAATGCCATTCATTTGTATGTTGATTGTACATTTTTGTGAAAAAAATTAACTGCTGGACTGACCTTGTTCATGTCCACGTGTAGTTTTGCTCAGGCTACATTCTTGACCAACTCGGTTCAATCCAAGCACAATCCAAGTAAATGCTAATTTCATTAAAGCTTGGCACTTCATGCTCACTCCCAACAGAATGGTACCTCTTGGTGTTCAAAGAGTAATAAACCAATTCATCCTTGTAAAACTTTGAAAAATAGACTCTGTTCGCCATATCTTGTCTTTCCACAAGGCAACGAGATATCGATGCTGACCGGCTCAGTATAAAGAGTAGCCTTCCAACGTATCGGTTTCTACCCATTCTTTGTGATCCCTGAGCTTAAATACTCGGACCCATGGTCTTTTTCCTTGGTCGTCTTTGTCGTCATCCACAAGCACTGATACAAGCTCTCCACCACACTCGATTAAATAATTCCGTCTAAAGGAATTTATGTTAGGATAGATGAGGTTCTCAAAAATTTCCCAGTGGAAGATGGATTTTTTATCTTGGGTCAATTGGCCACGCCTAAGCATCCCATTAACACCCAAATGGTAACAAAACCCGTCCACCACTACTGGACTGTTGCAACCTTTATTGAAAAATTGTTCAAAACCTTGTCCTTGCACCATGAATGAACGCCATATAGGATCAGAAATGTATTTAGTAGAGTATGATCCAGCACCATTACCATAATTGAACAATGCTAGGATTGAACAATCGGAAGAAGAAGATGGCTTCTTTATAAAGGTATAGTTCAAAACTCCATGCTCCCTCATTGGTGCATATCCTGCTCGGAGTGCTTGCATTCTCAATGGATTAAAAAAAAACAAATCTCGATCGTTTTCCAAGAGTAGCCAACCGTTTGCCGAGCAACGAATCATGTAGTCTTTTAAGACATGAGGAATTTTCACACAAAGTTTCTGATTAAGGTCGGAATCTAGTATTTTGTAGACATGGCTGTTCCTATCCTTGTATATCAAGCATGGAGGGAAGGGATTCAACCTCATCCTAATAGTGCTGGAGGCACAGAGCTTATTGACCAGACGAAAATGCATGTAATCAACAAAACATAGATTTTCAGCAATCAAACCAAGTACCTCTGGTGACAGGTCGCACAATGAGGAGTTCCCGCCATCATGTATGACCGTAACTGATCCATGCTGTTTCATCAGCAACCTCCACTTAGTAGTGGTGGCACTTCTTCTCCAAAAATAAGCCATTCCTCCAAAAACTACGCTGGAGCAATCATGCGCATCCTGCTGTTGCTGGTGATTTGAAGGGTATGTGAAAGTAGTACTAAGCTTGTGAACATCAAGAGGAATGGCAGGAGGCATAATCCAATGAGAAATCCAATCATCTTCCGCCATCGGGGGACAGAGAGAATATGATGTTAACTTCTCATCCTCAACCCTGTAGGAGAACAAGGTTTGGCCATTTTGAAGGTTAAAATAAATGTAACTCCATTTGTTGCCGTTTGAGCCAACAACATCCAACGGTGCTCCACCTTGACTGCTGTAAAGGCAGTAATCATGGCACAAGAAAACTGCTCCTCCATTCAAACTTGTCTTTTGTTGCCAGGAATTTGTAGAGAAATCAAATCTGAAAATTGATACTGATAGCTCTTCTTCATACCTATCATAATATCTAGGTAACATGAGGATTAGACAAAGGTGATGACCCCCCAACGACACCAAAAAGGTTCTATATGAACGTGAGAATATTTGAAGGAATCGGTTAAAAAGGTGTCTTGCTCGATCTTCTTCGGGCATTAACAAAAGCGTCTCACAGTTATTGTTGTCATCAATATTAATCTGCACCAAATCCCTATAACAAGAGGATGTGGCGTATATCGCTCCGTTGAAGTCGACAGCACCACATAAGTGATATGTTTGTGGTAGAGGAGTACCTGTTTGAGCTTCGATGCTTTGAGCATAGTTGAATTCGCTCCACTCTTTGTCACCAACATGGCAATACAAGATTAAAGGAAACTCTCCCATAAATATAAGTACCAGAGACGAGCTGCTGGACAGCAATGCTTGTTCAATAAAGTCAACTTGGAGACCAGGTCTCAGACGAGGCAACCAAATTGACTCCTTGCTCATAGGATTCCAAACCAAGTAGCGAGGCGATCCCCTTGGAGAGTGATGAAGCAAAATTAACCTCTGGCCATCTGGGGAACAATACTAAACTGCTCTGTATTTCAACTCTGGGATTTGTTTCAGACAGTTGACACCCTTTGAAGAAGATGTGATGTTACAAAAAGTTTGACCCCCTCCATGAAGATACATTAACCATGGATAACCATATTTCGATTGTAGTATTCCAGGCGCTGGAAATTGTCGTTTCGAACCTCCTCCGCATGTCTGCCCAATCGATAAATTAACTAGAACAAAGGAAAAAATAATCAATATGGATGGGAAACAAGGGACTGAATCGAACAATAGGAACGAGAAGAACAACCCTAGCTGTGCTATAAAAACTGAAACTGTATAAAACGAGAATCACAACTACAGCATACCTATCTATCTATCTATCTATCTATATATATATATATATATATATATACACTAGTGATGTCTGGTCGCGCATTCCATTCTATCTGTAGATCGTAGAAATATTTATATTTGAAAAAAAAAATTGTATTTGGAGCGATATATTTTAGAAATATTTGAAGGATTTAGAAATGTTTTATAAGTGTGATCATAGAAATATTTGTATTTAACAAAAAAATAAATTGTATTTCGCCATGTATGTTTTAGAAATGTTTTATAAGTGTTACTTATTAAATATAAATAGACTTAATCGAATATATCTGTTGAAGTAAATGTTAGACAAAATATAAAAGTATCCTAATAAGTTTAAATATTAGTAAGATGATTTATTGATGTTCTCCATTGGTCGTGCCAAATCAATACTTAGTTTTGGAGATTTTTAATAGTTTTGTAATAAGTTTCATCCGAAGGATGTACGCTTAAAATAAAATTAACACTTTGTAACAAAAACCTAATTGATCAATTCAATTTAGACTCCATAATTAAGAAAATAAAACCACTCTAATTGAATGAAACATACAGAAAAAAAAATTTTAAAAAAAAAACGTGTCACGTAAAGTGCAAAGGGGGATTTAGTAATTTAGTATGGTTGACCAAAGGGTAATTTAGTACTTTGCTCATGTCACGTGGCAATCATAGGAGGTGCTTGAAAGGGGGATTTTTATTTCTAATATAGTAGGATATATATATATATATATATATATATATATATATCTTACTATATTAGAAACAAACACACACTTAAGAGAAAACACCATCATTTGCCATGTGTCATTTCCATATCATATTTTTAAAATAAATTTTTTATTACCACATCTTCTAAATTTAAAAGGTAAATGCAGTCTAAATTCACTTCCACATCCTATTTTCGTCAAAACAAACAAAAAAAAAACCACGGGTTCATAAAAAACCCAAATCCTCATCCCCATCTCCACGACAATCGACTCCTTAATCAATCCCTTCTCCACAATTAAAAAAAAAACAAATTCCTCATCAATCATCAATTGAGAATATGTGGTGAAATATACTCCTTTCCTATTAGCATATTCAATCTTTTCATTAGTGATGATCAACTACATCTTAATCGGATAAAATTTTAACTTAAAAAAATAGTCTCTTTACCTCTCTATATAAACACAAAGGAAAAAAAAAAATTTCTCATTGATCTTGCTTCGGCCGTTGTGGTGGTGCCATTGCAGGTATTAAAATTTAAATGATTTTATTCCCACAGATCATTGGTTTGGCTTTTATTATTTTTTGTTTTTTCCATTCAAAAATAGTATTATTACTATTATTTTTATGCGTCCATCCGTTACAGCTACCGTAGCCATTGTTAGGTAGTATGATGTGATTTCTTATTTGGTTAGTTAGCTTAGAATTTTTGTATGATTTTAGTTATGTTTGGATTGAGTTGATTGATTGGGTTTTTGTTATAAAGTGTGGTTTTTTAAATTTGTTTTTTATGTTTCATTCAATTAGAGTGGTTTTCTTTTTTTGATTATGGAGTCTCAGGTTTTTTTTCATATATGGCCAATTATGAAGTGTGTTTTTTCTTTGTTTAATTGCTTTTGATTTTGTTTCATACTCCCAGTTGACCAATTATTATTATTATTATTATTATTATTATTTTATTTGCAAATGAAGCACGTTTCTTTTTTTGTGTCCGGAGTTTCAAGAATATATTTTTTTGGATTTGGTTTTTAGACTTTTTTTAGTTCCTCATCATATAAATAGTTCAGGTCGCTTCTTTTAACTAATTTATGGGGAATCCTTTTATGAATTTGAGGTGGAGAGGGAAGGAATGATGTTTCTACGTTTATTTGTGTTTTTATACATCATTTTTAACTACAGAAAAAAATAAAAATTCTCAAATTTTAATGGGCTATCTTTTACTTTTTTTTTATTTGCCATCGTGAGGTGAGTTCTTTTTTGCTATATCTTGAAACCTATGCAAATTTATATTATTTTCATTCTCATATTTGTGATCAACCAGTTTCAACAATTAACCAGTTTCAAAATTATATTTTTGATATTTTACTACCTATAAACTTTTGGAAAAAATAGTTCCAACAATTAAGCGTATACTCTTTGGAAGAAGCTAACTACAAAGCTATTATAAATCTCAAAAACTAAGTATTGATTTGGCACAACCAATGGAGAAAATCAATAAGTTATCTTACTAATATTTAAACTTATTAGGATGCTTTTATATTTTGTCTAGCATTTACTTCAAGACATATATTTGATCAAGTTTGTTTATATTTAAGAAGTAACACTTATAAAATATTTCTAAAATCTTCAAACATTTCTAAAACGTACCGGGCCAAATACAATTTATTTTTTTGCCAAATACAAACATCACACTTATAAAATATTTCTAAAATTCTTCAAATATTTCTAAAATATATCGGGCCAAATACGAAGTTTTTTTTTTTCTTCAGATACAAACATTTCTAAGATCTACAGATATATTGGATCAGGGCCGCGCATTGCGCGACCAAACATCACTAGTATATATATATATATATGTATATATATATAGAGAGAGAGAGAGAGATATTCCTAAAGCTGAATCAAAACTAAGTATTCTTAACCTTTTCCTAAATCATTAAGGTATTAAGCGTTCCCATTGACTTTCCTTCATCAAATATCTTCAAAATGGTCGACGGGACCTAGAATTTTCCTATAATATGATAAAGCGGAGTTTCAAAGATCCATATTCCATACATCTGTTAATTCCATATTCTCGAAAAAATGTGTAAGAAAATTTCCTTGTAAATTGATGACAAGCAAAACTGAAGAATATATTAAAAAAGAATTTTGAAAATTGTCAGTGTCCCCTCCACTTGGAAAATTGGATCAAAGTTTCCTTCCTCTCCTTGTAAATCATTATTTATACACCTTTTCAAAAAAAAAAAAAAAAAAATCAATTTATACAACTAACCAAAATATTCCTATTCTGAACGAATAGTTTCTCTCTTTGCATTCTCCTGTTCAGTTCTTTGTGAAACCAGCTACAATGTCACGCATCAGGATAAAAAGAAATAATCGGCAGTTAATACAATTCAGACTAGGTACTTAGCTACTAAAGTGTATTTTTACATTTCTAAGTAATTCAAGTTTTTGTAATCAGCTACAAAAGCTATTGCAATGATTAGAGAATGACCATCGAATATATGAATTTCCAAAATCTTTCCTGATCTCAATTGCTTCTCTCTCCCTTCAACTGTTTCTAACTACCATGACCTTTCTTGGCTTTGTTTGGTTTCTTTTTTTATGGTATTTTCAGAATAATTAAATATTAATCGTCTCATTTCAGCATATCTTTTTACATTTTCAATACACTTTTTTACATTTTTAATACAAAAAACACCTAAAAACACACACTAAAAAACTAAACAAACAAAGCACTAGTATTCCGGGCAATAACTTTCCGTCAATTTCAATTAAACCTCCCTGCAACTGATGTACTAACTCAGCCCAGTCTGCAAAGGATTTATCATACACGGGGACTTGGGTCTTTTGGAGTCGAGATGAAGGCCCTAAATATGAACAAACGATTTAAAAATTCTAATGATATAAAATTTCATCATAGTATCGTCCTTGGGTTAAAAACACACACACAGAATCTGACAGGCCATTTCAATAACACATGGGAAGAAGAAAACTACCAGCCCGAGGATGCAAGCAGTCATGCCAGTCCCACTACAAGAACTTTCTTGAATTATTTTGATTTTGGAAATGAGGACGTTGGTATCACGTAACGGAGAGATTGAGGTCTTCATTCAAGAACTTTGTTTGCTAAAAGGCCATCTTTTTGGATTTACCTAATGTAATATTCACTGGAAGGAGAGGCACTGCAAACGGAAGACATGATGAATTCTCGATTTCCACCCTCCCTTTTGCAACGTGGAAACAGTGTTGATGAGTTCATCTTAAAGAGGCTAGCAGGGATTCATAACTTAGTATGCAAATTCTTTTTCAGATTCATGGGATGATTCTACTTCCACAGGTTGCACTATTTTTTCGGGGTTGCACTTCAATCACTCAAAAAATCTCCTTCTCTGGGAAATTAATGTGTCCCTGTAAGTTTAGTTTTCCTTCAAATCTCATGAAGCTGGCCATGTCCAACTCTCGTCTGCCTGTGGGAGGAAATTGCAGTCATCGGGAGACTTGTACCGAATCTTGAAGCTCTAAAATTACGGCACAAAATCATTTGAAGGAAAGCAATGGGACATTGGAGACGATGAATTCCCAAAGCTAAAATTCCTTAAGTTGGAATCTCTGAATATTGAAGTATGGAATACATTTGCTTCCAATGGGCTTCCCTTGCTTGAGAAACTCAATTGCCCACAACTTAAAAAAGAAATTCCTCCTTTCGAAGAAACTGCTACCCTGAAGTCTATTGAGTTCTGCCATGAAAATTCTGGATGTGCAACTTGACTTCTCCAATGATGATCTCATTGTCAACCTTTTCCTGTCTAGTATGGTGTTCACGCTGAATGCTGTATCCGCTGGAATCAAATTTTCTGCAATCATGTCTCCATCACTTACATGGTCAGTGTAATGATACCTTGTAATGTGCACTCTATTTTATATACTCCATAATTGAAGCACTTGAACGTATTCATTTGTGAACCCGAATTTTTATGTTTCATCTTGAATTGAACTGTAATGCTGATTTAGAAGACTAACTTCAATTGTTCCATACCAGTAAGGTATTAAACGAGGAATACTATGTGAGGACACTCAAGTTCAAGTTTAGCTTACCGATCACTTCAAATCCCCCGGTGGTGTTAACTTGCTTGG